AAGTGATCAATTCTTCCCTATGAACAATGAGTAAATGACTAGGGACACACTCAATTGGCTTTACCACACTAATAAAGGAAGGTAATATGCTAATCACTTTACTTTGTTATCCTCAAATATGAAAGTCATGTCAAGTTTCTAAACTTGCACATAAGCAGGGCTACATTATGAAAACATATGAGACATCTAGTCAACTATGATAACATCTGATATATTAACAGACTAAATGACCAATCTATCGATATTGATGCTAGAGACAAGTATTAGGATAGTGAAAAATAAGGCCTCCATCATCATAATGATTGTGACCAAGATGACAATTATCAGAATTATTATGACAAGTCATGCTTGAGTAAACTTGAGATCAATGTGGCCTAAGAGGAAGAGGGAGCATCAACTGACCTTACACAAGAATGCTTCTTCTTTAGAGACATTCATTATATGAGGAACTATCTAGAGAGAAAATAAGAATGAGGTTATAAACATCCTTGAAACTTTGACTATGTATGAGACACTAGTTGCTACAAATATTGATCTTAGATTAAATATTGTATGTTATTTAATCAGACTGAAACACAACTTAGGGTTAGTCACCCTAAATAGGTGATGCCTCATCTTTATGAAGATCACCATCAATTGTAACTTACCCACCTTTGCCTTAGTGGATATGAAGGTCACACACAACTTTCTCTTTAAGAAAAAATGTACCTAAATGGGGTATGATGTTGTCATAAGAAAACATCTGCATCAAGTTTATCAACTAAGGGGTGTTGGAATATTAATGTAACTTGAAACAACAAAAGAAGCATGAAATGATTTGAGATTTCTAGAAGCTTAACATTTTCTCAATTCTAAGGTAGATTTCTATTTAGCTAATCTATGGTTGAAAATATATAAAAGTTATTCATTGTAGTAATGACTCTTAGTAATATCTTACCAAGAACACTAAATTGTTTATATTAATTTATTTCTCATGTGATTAATTCTAGTTTCAAAGAGAGTTGTCTTATAATATTAACTATTTATTTAAAGAATACTCAGCATTCTTCACATATCAATGCCCAAATCTTAGTTGTTTAATTTCATAGAGACACATTCTCTTTTGACTCAAATACCACTACCAACACTTTATGCCTTCGTCAAATACAACTTTTTTTCACTAATTAGTTACCTTAGGATAATGTGGAGAGCAATGATCATGGAACACGAGTTGATTGATTTCCAAACTGAGTTGATGAACAATATTAACTTTTTTGTTCATCATTGATCTGTGTGGTGCAAAGAACTTGATGAATATATGTGTATTTATTAATTTTTTGGTTTAGAACTCTTCTTCAATAAATAAACTTTTGTCATGTATTATTTTTTTTTATTTATCGGATCTTCAACATTCAAGATACTCATGCAAAAACTTGTTCTCTAGAATACACAATAACCACATTTGAAATTTCCATATCAATAATTAAAACCTTATATTTAATATTAATTAATAAATTATTATTTATAATCATCAAAACCAAATATGTCAACAAGTGGCATGTGTATTGACTAATGTGGCATGTGAGGTATTGCCACATGGGAGGGTCCAATCGACTTTCTAGTTTTCCTCAATGAAAGGTAGAAGTCATATTGGGGGATGGACTTGTATAAGTTTGGGCGATCATCTTCCATAACTATCATGACATCCACATCATGAATGACATAATATGAGTTGAAGTTGATGCTTCAACCTACCATTGCAGGATGGGTAACTTACCTTGTTATAACCCAAGAGTTGATTGACAATGTCCTACTTTAGATGGCCATTGGGTATGTGGTGTCAAGTATCAAGGTATACGTGGGCAATCACATTATAATAGGTGTGCACATGATCAAGCGAGTACACCTAAAGAGTGTCAAGGGAGGTGGGTGGCAGGATTACGACATAAGTGCTAACAGCAATCAAAACCATGACCGGCTAGAGGCATATTCATGGTGGCCATGACATTGTAGGTCTTAGTTCAGCGTTTGATGAGGATGTATGATTTCGCATGTAGGAGATAATCTTATAACCCAGACATGATGGAAGCTCATTTTGGAGCGGAACTGTATAAACAACATGATCATGGCAATGTGATCTCATTTGCATGTGTGATCAGAGAAGTGGCTTGCCAAAAACAATGCACACAAACATGCACTGCATGCATGAAGGTGCACATCAACATGGATTGACATGTGCAGTGTGTGCAAAAGCTCACGACAACATGATACATCATGCGTGGAGGTTAGAGACATGCACAAGTATGTAGTGAGCATGCAGGCTCTCGACATCACATTTGGACATGCTGTCGTGTATGGAGGGACGCAATAATATGGTGGAGGTGCGCATGGAAATGGTGACGTGTGCAAGCATACATGCTACGCTTAGCATGTGTCGCCATCAAGTCGAAATGATGCTCATAAGAGATATGAACCTTGACAATGTGGCATGCACGTGGACTGCATACACTGGTACATCATGCACGGAGGACGTAGGTCCCTTCATGTGCATGCTGAGGAGCAAAAGGTCCACCGGCACACTCAATAGGTTTGTGGAAACCTTGATGGTTGTGGCAAGAGATGTCATGCCATGAATATTGCGCCATCGCTACGACAGCTAGGTGTCATGCATGGAAACATAGGCACATGCACACAGGTACGGGCAGCACATCGTTATCACATGCAGTGAACAATGGAAGGTGAAGCACGTATAAGCATCAGGAAAAACACCAAAAGTTATGTACACACAGAAAACCAGCATATGTGATGCATACCCAATCAATGATAGGTGGAGCACCAACCATCTGAAGGTGAAGTGTCATTTTAACGTTGGTACCCAACTTGGTTGAGTAGGCTAGTCATCCCACATCTCATGTGATTCTTCTTTTGGTAGAAGAGTATCTCCTCTTTGTATGAAACACTCTTGTTGAGACTAGTTGGGCGTCTAAGAGGTCGACCAAGGCCGGCTATACTAATAGGTGGGCACGCTGCTAGTGAGTTACCCTTGGGACAACATACTCTCGGGGCAACCTTTGTAGTGGACAAGGAGACTTGACATTGAGTGTGTAAAAATGACCTACGTACGAATAGAATGTGAGGGAGCTTAGGGACGGGTTTACACATGCCGATAAATGGGTCGGTGTACTGACTGGGCCGAGGAAGGGCCACTAGTGGCCGTGGGCCTGCTATATGTCCTCTAAGCTCCCGTGGACTACGTACTTCAAGAGAAGGTGGCCCGCCCCCTCGCCGATGCCCCCCCCTCCCTTGACTATTGCACTAACCGCTAACAACTCTCTTCTCGGGGCGTCGTGGCAACGAACGCCCGGTCAGCTGCCGAAGGTCGACATCTGGAGACGCTGGAGCAGGAGGGATGGAGGGGGTTTGTGGGTGGGGGCCAGGTCTTCGACGGCGGCTCCCTCTGATTCACGTGAACGGGCAGAGAACTTGATGACTGACGACGAGACGACAGAGACATTTGCCCTCCTTCCTTCATCCCCTCCATTAAAGCTCTCCCCTCGAACCTGCACCCACTTGGCTATGCGAGGGACCAAAGAATATCTATCTATCTACCTTCCGACGGTCAAGTGATCAAGGCAGAAGGCCAAGAGTAAGTCTACTCACACAGGTCAGCTCAAACGAATAAGATGCAAGTAGAAGAACAAATATTGGAGGAAGGCCCGAAGGGGGGAGAGACCGGCAGCAGCTTTTTAAGGATGCAGAGGCGTACGGCATTTGAAAGCCTGCTCGCGTCTAGTCGGCGGCGAGGTGACGCTCTCAAATCCTACCGACGATCGTTGTCAAATGAGTACGGGTCTTAGGGAAGAACGCCCAACACGGCTTGTTATACTGAGCAGCTGCACCTGGCCGGTGCAGGGAAAGCTACTTTCGCCTCACCTCTCTCTCTCGCGCGCGCTCTCCTCTCTCTCTCTCTCTCTCTCTCTCTCTCGATGATACCTAAAAGACGAGAGCATGTGAACCCATTCACGTTAGCTGTCACGGACATATCTGTCGTTTTTCAAGGGAAATAATATTTAATGATTCATTTTCTTTCCGGAAAACTTTATCAAAGAGAAAGGGCTCACTAGAACTTAGTCGTATGGACAGTCATTATTTGATTGGTTGGAGGTTGAGAGCGACAGCGGGCCATAACTGTCGTCCAGCGCGTGTAGAATAGACAGGAATCCTCCACCCCCCACCACCCTCACCCCTCCCCCAACCGCACTCGAAGGCGTGTAGTAGAGATCTATGAAGAGTTTTGGATGCTCGCGTGGACCAATTAGACTCCAGTATTGGATCTCCACCCAATGGATAAGGATCCTGACAACGGCCATGGTCTTCCAAGTAGCACCTTATTCTGGCCCACGCGGATCCTCACGCCGGCGTCCAAAATTATTTCGTGGGGAATCCGCCTTCCCTCGCAGGTTGAGAAAGATTTGATATTAACAACGTAGGTCTCATATTTCTGATATCAGACGAAGTTAGTAAGTTTTGAATATGATTGTTCTGACTATTATTTGAATGCATTCGTTAACATGATCAGTCCCTTCCGTTAAGCCCAAAGCGTCTAAATCAGCAGGGTCCGCTTCAACTTTTTGTGTGGAATAATCTGGATAATTAAGGATAAAGCGGATAGATCACGTTGTAAGCTCCGCAGGGTCAAATCTACCACTTGTCATTATTCGATATAAATTATATGAGAGAGCAAGAGAAGGGGGAAGCCGCGGAGAAATCTACAACTATGGGCGAAGGCGTCCGCATAATTTATAAAATATTTATAGATTAGATTATCTTGAGAGGCCGCCAATGAATTCGAGTCTTCACATGTTAGTCTCGGGATCTTCTTCTCTATGGGAGAAGAAAAATCTACCCCAACATGATGGAGAACCGCCATACTATCACACAACACCAAGACCAAAAGAAGGGACTAGAACGGGCATCTTACACTCCCCCCCCTCCTACCCCGCCGCCGCTCACCACGAGAGTCAGAAGGATGGGACGACACCGTACTCGCTGTCTACCATAAGGTCGGCGGCGCCGCCGCAGATTGCGTCACCACTGTTCTCCGTCCGCTTGGCGAACCGCCCCTTGATGCGGGGCCTCGTCTCCGCGTAAGCCTTACGGGACGCGTAGCGGATCGTCTTCTCGAACCTGCGGCTTTTCCGCTTCTCCCTGTACCTCATCAGCCGCGCCTCCCGGTCAGGCTCCCCCGCTGGCGGCGGCCCATTTGTCCTGCCATAGGGGTACGTTATGTCGGTCATCACACTCGCGTCTGGCACCACCCCCGCGTCCGAAGACGATATCTGCAGTGACCACAGATAATTCACCGTAATCAGGAGTTAATCGTCACCGAATTATTGCAATAGGGATTCCTTGTTGCCAGAGTGCTTACGCTGTTACCGCCGTAGGAGGGCTTCGGTCTGTAGAAATCAAAGTCGATGAGGCCGTCGGCAGCAATCAACGTGGGCACAGGAGAAGCGACGGCAGCAACCTTGGCCTGGACAGGCACGACGCTGTCCGTCTGGTCGTATCTGGGATCCACGGATGAGGAGTAGTCGAGGTCGAGGTATGGGTCGACGTCGGAAAACAAGTACTCCACAGTTTTCAGCTCCGGAACCTCCGCAGGGACCTTCCGGAGATGATCCTTCTTAACAGGGTAGGGATTGGGGAGAACCCACGAGGGCTCAGTCTCGTTGCCGCCGCAGTCGTCGTCGTTGTCATCGGATGGCCTGAGGAGATCCGGCCCGCTGGTAGACTTGAGCGTGGCGGTGGCCGCGGTGGGGGACTCGTAGAAGGGCACAACGGGGAAGCGCTCGTGGCGGCGGGCGAGTGGGTTGGCCGAATGGATGTCGGCGTCGCAGGCGACGCAGAGCATGGCAGCGTCGGCCTTGCAGGTGATGGCGGCTGGCGCCTGCTCGCAGACCTCGCATATCCACACCCGCTCGTGGCGGGAAGCGAACTTGTTGGCGCCGTGGACCTTCGCGTCGCAGATGCCGCAGAGGAACGCGGAGTCTGCCCGGCAGAAGAGAAGCGCCGGCGACTCCTTACAGGAGTCGCACTCCCTTGCCGCCATCCCCCAGCAGTTTTTCCCTTCCGCGCGCTCCCACACTGAGTCCCTGGCCATTCTACGCCTGTAAAGGCACTCTCTCTCTCTCTCTCTGACTTGAGGGCACGAATGCGGCGCGGGGATCTATCCGCGTGGATTCGGAGTGGTGACGTGCGAGCCCGCCGGCCATAAATATACAGGGAAAACACCAAAAGGGGTTCATTTCCCCGGGTTGACACGGTACGCCCGTGACTCGCAGCCCGACATCACAGATCCGGCATCATTGCTTGCGTTTATCGGATCAGAGCACTTCTCCGCATCAAAGCCTGGGGGCTCCCCCCGTTACGATGGCGGCAGGGGGCCTCTGCATTAATGGCTTTTCCATAGCCACTTCGGTTATCATGGGTGTCAACTCCGTGGGCGTGAGTATGTGGAATGGGTGAGGCATCAATATTATCGTATCCAGCATATATCATGTAGAACCTGAAGATAAGGACTAAGGTCCAGATTATCTTAGCGTACTAACTTTGATAAAGGCTCCAAGAAGCCAATTGAAGCTTATTACACGTTAGTTCATCCGATAATTGCCTTCATGTACCAACCTCAAGCACCTCCTCATGACTTTGAGCGACAAAAAGGAGAAAGAAGAGAGACTGAACAAAGAAAGGGATTTAAACCAGGAAGACTAAGCCATGTTGGGTTAACACTTCCTGTTTTAGGCACTTGATCCATTAGTGTTGATGGCTTGCCATTTGTAAACGATGGCACAAATTCTCTACAGTCTTCATGAATGCCACATGGTTCCTGCTCAATTATTGTCCACGCACATGTTTTTCTATAGTTTTGTTGCACAACATTTGATGTTTCTGACTGTCACTTTCATTTGTTGTGAGCATGTCACCAATCTCACTAGGCACATAACTTGTAATGCATGTGCAAGCCTTGTGTCTCTGTCTGCCTAATATGTACGTTAGATACGTTGGTGTGCTACCAATGCACACCTCACCCTTCACGGTTTGGCGGGTGTCCATGTTGATAAGAGAAGAGGGGGACACATGACGATGGAGAATCCATATGCCAGATTTTGCAACTGACACTCAGTTATATGGTAAAAGCCTTGAACGCAGTGCAATTTAAGTGAGCAAGTGCATAAGTGGGTGAGTGAGAGATTATCTAAGCGGGAAGAGAAAACTAGTTTTAGAATCACAAACTTAACATTAATGAAGGGTTCAAGAAAAATCTAACCTTTCTATAAAACCTTAGTTTCAACTCCATGCATATGGAAAATCAAAGCTCACTAATTTCAACATTTACTCAACCCATTTACACCCATGTATACTAGAATATCGTTTTCTATTTTTTTAAAAAACGTATCAATTATTAAAATAATACCGATTATCTCTGCAGATATTAGGAAGACACAAGATAGAAGACTTTAGCTTCTACACTATTGGTGATTATGGTACACGCTCTCTTCTAAACATCAAAGATAAGAAAATAGCAAAAGTATTTGCACCTGAAATTGTACATGAGCTACATTAATTTGCAACAAATAAGCTCCTTAATATTGATTTTTAGTTTTATATGGATAAAGTTGTTCTTGATCAATACAAGTTATCATGTTATTTGTTTTCCTATTTTGATTTCACATGATGTGAGATTAAATTTTGAGAGAGACGTGATTAGGTTTTCAAAATTGTGATGTGTCTCATAAGTATGCCTTCAATGAACCAATTTTATTTTAAGAACCATCCATAAAATCTTAGTGGGAATTAGATGTGGTTAAGGAATTAAATGCTTTTGAGTTAAAAAATGGTGAACTTTTTCAACTCCCACTAGGAGAATACACTATGAGTTGTCAATTGGTTCACAAAATCAAGGACAAATCTATTGTATTTGAAGAATATTCAATGCTCAACTTATCACAAAAAAATTATCAAGAATATAAAATTTATTATGACAAAAATTCACCCTAATTTCTTTGAATGACTTTTTGGCTTATAATTCCAACATCTTTGACTTGCAAGACATTGGGTAAATGATTCAAATGAATTATGGAAAGGATAATTACAAGAAAAAAAGTGTTTAAAACCTTGAACATGGTATTCACATCTATAACTATGTCATGTTGACCTCACCAAGTGATTAAGGGTTTAGATAAGTTCCAGTGTCATCATTTGCAGATAAAAGTTCTATAATCTTCATTATAAAATATTTCATAAGTTTTTTGCTAAGCTCATGATTTTTCATCATGTATACACAAATGAGTTGAATAAAAATGATATTAATTCATAGTATAAATAAAGGTTGATGAGAATGGTTTGATTCACCATGCTAATGTTTTACTTGTCTCTATTTGTATTGAAATATTTTTAAAAATTATGCTACTTTTTTATTATTAAAGTTATTAGTACATTTGATGGATTTATCCATTTCAAGCATATTTCAATTTTTTTTAGCAAAGCATGTCTCTACAATAATAAAGGGATTGAAACTCTCATAAGCTCAACTACCAAAACATGTTCAACTAATGAAGAGCCATTTTAAATTCTATAGCAATCTTGGACTATCACATGAAATAGTTTTTACTTAACTACGAATATTTTATATCAAGTTATCATAGTTAGCTAGTTATGTCTACATTGCCACTAATCCATGATGCAAAAAGGTATTGAATTTTTAATAACCTCAAGAGAACCAGCTTTCATGGAGTATTACTCACTTCTCTTCCTCTAAGCTTCATGGTTATGTGAATTTTTAATTATGTCTGAGATGCAACTGATCAACAAAGCATGACATATTTGTGTATTTACGGTGATTCATTAAACCTTTTACATAGTAAAAAACAATGTTTTGTCTCTTAGTTCAACATGGCAGTTGAGTATTGAGCACTTGTTGGTAGAAGATCCTAAACTATGTTTAATCAAATCATGACTTTGAGTTTTAAACATCCTCACTTTGGCATTCGCTTGCTTATGATTACCAAAGTGCCATGTAAACCATTCATAATGAAATATTTCATGAATATAAAAAACCTATCAAGCAAGATTTGGAGTCATTTTATAAGTTAGTATTTCCTTAACAAGTAACCATTTGAAACATTAGCTAGTTGAGTTGTTAGGAAAGATTCAAACTTATTTTGCCATGTACTTCAGTTGTTGCCTTGCAAGATCTTGGTGACAATGATAAACACTGAATTTAACGTGCCAAACATAAGTAAATATCAAAACAAGTAAATTCATATAGGAGTTTCCTTTCCTTGTAAGTCTAATTCCCATTTTGAACTAGGTATTGGTAGCCCATTTTTTTTATTTACTTACATTTAAGGTCTTTAACAAGTTGCCAACATAATTTCAAAACCAATGTATATCTGAACTAGTACTCAAGCAACTTGACGGATCAAGCACACCAAGGGTCCTGACAATGGACCATCATTGAATTTTAGACAACCTTGGCATGTGAGCACTTAGAATTCCTTGTTGAGAGGGGCCCATGAGGAAGGCATGGAAACAACCCTTTTATTAAAAATAAATTATTATTAAGAAAAGTAGGATATCGCCATCAAAATTTTAAGAAAATTAAAAATAATACCCTTTTATTTTTTAAAAATGGCTGGTGTCATCTTGATAAATGACAACCTGTCGTGATCAGGGGCTTGGGACAGCCTCTGCCAACCTTAGCACGCATCCATTAAGAGCTAGGGAGTCCCAAACTTGTTTGGGTTGGGGACAATCATGGATAATGGGCTCTAGCCTAGACTATTAATCAAGCAAATGTACCAATATGTATACATAAAGATAGATGGATAGCGAGAGGGAAGGAGGGAGAGAGAGAGAGAGAGAGAGAGAGAGAGAGAGAGAGAGAGAGAGAGAGAGAGAGAGAGAGAGAGAGGCGGGCCTTTTTTCCGTGATGAAAATTGGTCAAGACGGGATAGAACTATGGTTCCTTGATCAGGCAGATTATTGGGTAACCAGGTCCGTTTTACGAGACGGAAACAAGCCTGTTAGATACCCCTAGTCATAGGTTCCTTAAATGGAAATCTGCTTGTCTTACAAATGGATAAATCCATCAAATGTACTGATAACTTTAATAATAAAAAAGTAGCATAATTTTTAAACTCATGACGCCAGGGCTGACGTCTGACGGCTTAAATGCAAGGACAACGAGAAAGTCAAGCCCCAGACGTTCAGTTGATCTTCGGCGCCGATTCCGTGATCCGACTGCCCTCCCTCCCGCAACCCGACGGGGTACTTCGGACGCAGGCGGCCGATCGTCGGCCTGTCGCCTTCGCAGAAAGCGAACGGTGAACGGCGACCCGGCATGGACAGGCTCGGAGAAACCGAACTCTCGGAGGCCGTTCAACCGACAGAGAATCCCTCCCCTCCTGTCTTCCACCCATCGACGGGCGTCGGCTCTCTTTCAGTTTGGCGCTGGTTTACGTTCTACATAATACCTCGGATAGTCGGCAGTGACATTCGCCGCCCGTGGGTTCGGCGGCGCCAGATGATGGGTCCTGAACCCCAGCGAGGTATTCGGTGGGATGCTGGAGAGCCCAGTCGACGGCTGAACTCCATCCTCTCCATCCCCTGCTACTCGCTCCGACGACTTCGATTGAACCCATTGTTGCGTCTACAGAGTCGGCCGCTTTCTGAGTTTTGCGCGGCCCAACAGAGACCAGCATGCTCGAGCCCATGAAGCCCCAATCAATGGTCAGACGTCTCTCTGTGCCTCGTTGTGGCAATCCCCGTCGAGGGAGCTGACGAGAGGTCCTAGTCAACGCTTCCTCTTCACTGCCGGAGGGTTTAGGGTTTTCCCCAGTCACGAGAATCGAGCAGGAGACCTGACCAGCTGCTGCCATTGGCGAGCTCGAGCTCGACCTTGCATATACCAGGCCCACTTTAAATGGGCCAGGTCGAATGAACGGACTAGTTCGAGGTCTGACCGCCTGGCCCCATGACGGGGGCGGTGAATGACGGCCATCCAGATCGGCTTTCACTCGGCCAGCTTCTCTTCAGCGCTCGTGGCCCACAAAATTAGGTTAACGCAGAGAATTGAATTGGGATGGAGCTCGTGCGGGCCCGGCCGTAAGCGCCCGGCGTTCCGTGGGGCCGGCATTTAGGGGCGCAACAGCTCACGATTCCACGTGTCTGTCAGTCCGTCGATGGACGTGGGGTGCATCTCCCAATAACGGTCATTTAACGGGCCATGGGGCCCAGCAAGGATGACCCACGGCGCGCCGTGATGTGATCCGACGGTCCCCAAGGCCGCGCCACATACCAACTTCGGGCCGGGCTCAGTATAAGAGCCGCCAGGAAGCTACTGGCCGAGAAGGGGAAGAGTCTGTCCTTGGACATGGCGTCCTCAGGCAGGGAGGCGGCGGTGGCGGTGGCGACGGCGAGCGAGGTGAAAGAGCTCATTCCGGGGCTGCCGGACGAGGTGGCGGAGTACTGCCTCCTCCGTCTTCCATTTCCCGAGCAGTCGAAGGCACGGTCGGTGTCTTCCTCCTGGAAACGCGCCATCTCCAGCCCCTCGTTCCACCTCGCCAAGAAGAACCTGTTCCTTTCGCTGCCTTACCTCTTCGTCTTCGCCTTCCATCGCTCCACCTTTCGCCTCCAATGGCAGGCCTTCGACCCCCGATCACGCAGCTGGTTCGCACTCCCGCCGATGCCGCTTGAGGCCGCCGGCTGCGCCGACGGCAGTGCCCCGCTGTGCCCGCCCGCTTTTGCCTGCGTCGCCATCCCCCATCGCGGGGAGCTGTTCGTGCTCGGGGGTATGCGGTCAGACACTCAGACCCCGCTCCAGACCCTGATTTCCTACCGCGCCTCCACCAACTCGTGGTCCGTGGCCGCTCCCATGCCGACCCCCAGGTCGTTCTTCATCGCGGGGTCCATCGGGGGGAAGATCTTCGCCGCGGGAGGCTACGCCGCCGGCGGGGCAGGAGACGAGGACGACGCCGTCTGCACCGTGGAGAGCTACGACCCGGCGGCGGATCGGTGGGCCCCGGCGGCGCGAATGATGTGGGGCGTGTCCCGGTACGACGCGGCGGTAGTGGGGGGGAGGCTGTACGTGACGGAGGGGTGGACCTGGCCCTTCAGCTTCTCGCCGCGCGGTGGCGTGTACAACCCGGAGGCGGACAACTGGGAGGAGATGCGGGTGGGGATGAGGGACGGGTGGACGGGGGTGAGCGTGGTGCTGGCGGGGAGACTCTTCGTCGTCTCCGAGTACGGCGACTGCCGGGTGAAGATCTACGACGAGGCCGAGGATTCCTGGCGGTCCGTTGGCGGCGGCGGCGTCCCGAGCGAGCTCCAGAAGCCCTTCGCCATCGCCGGAATCGAGAGCCGGATTTACGTGGTCTCCTGCGGCCTCAACATCGGGGTCGGCACCGTCCTCCACCGCAACCCCGTTGCTGGCGCCGGAACAGACGCCAACGGCGACGGCGGCTGGTGGGTGGAGTGGGAGGTGGTGAAGGGGCCGGAGGAGTTCGCCGATCTGGCCGCCTGCAGCTCGCAGGTTCTCTACGCCTGAATCTGACCCGCCTCCACCTGCAATCCCTTCATCCTGGCCCATAACCCCTTTCCAAAAAAGACGACACCATTCCCTCGCCCAGCAGCTCATCTCACGGAGGCTACGGACAGAGCGAGTTGACTCGAGGGTGTGAACGATCCGCCGTTCTCTGGCGACGTCGGGTCCAGACGACTCGGACGAGGACGGGTCGGGACTTCTAACATGTCAACTTGGAGCGACGCCCGCCAGAAAATAATTGATCGACGGGGTTCTCCCGGCTCCCCGGCACCTCGTGGACTCCACCAAATTGCTACACGACGGAGTAAGCGAGAAGGGGGAAAACCTCCGCCGCGGCAGATGTTGAAGGCCCGATCGGCAGCTAATTCCCTCCATCGCCTGCTCCATGGTGTCCGAAGTCTGCGGCGGCGTTCCTGCAGAGGGTTTAGAATATGGCATGTGGACAGCTTGGAATTACTGAAGAACTTCACTCCAACCGACTAGGGGAGACTGTTCCCAAGTTATGGCCATAATATGCCCACGGGATCCCTCCACTGGGTGCAATCAATGTGATAGCGAAGTGATCGCGAATCAATACATCAAGCTGGGGTTAATCTGCGATCACCGCAGTCAAAAACATGCAACTTCCCTCCGACAAATTGATAGCCCCGGCATGAATGACGACTATTCATGCGCTAGTTTGGGGCTCAAGGCGGAGTCATGGTGATGATGGCGCTCCCGTCCCTGTCACTCTCCCTATAATGGAGGCCGAGATCATATCATGTGTCAGGATGTTCCAATTAATCTCTCAATTAATGCAGCGCGAAAATATTAGACAAAATGATAAGACCCACGTCAAGCTAAGGCAGCGCCTTCATGATAATCAAGAATCTGACGGAGTTCAGAACGAAAATATTACACCAAGGAATAAGACCCACGTCAAGCTAAGGCAGCGTCTTTATGATAATCCGTAATGTGGATTAACCCTAAAACTATGGCGCCAAGGAGGTGAAGAGCGCGCACAGTAACTTATGCGTGAGGATCGCTCTTTCTACACACCCCTGGGCCTGCTGGTGAAGACGCCCTCGCGCGGTTCTCATCAGTCAGTTCCTCCACGTTCCCGACGAATGCCGGCGAGCCTCGTGGGTCACCGACCATGGAACGGTCCACCTGGTTCTCGTGCCCACAAGGATTCAGCCGTTCCTGATGGCTCACGGACGCCTCCTCCATAAGAGACGGTTATCCAGATCAACTCCGAGCCCAATAGCTGAAGCAACCGCTCTGCGTGAGCGTGACAACGGGGACCGGCGTCGCCAATTTGGTTGGTGCCTTCGTCTCACTTTACTTCCGCCAGACGCAGATCCGTAGAGTCCGCCGCCCGTCGTCTTTCCAGCGGGGAAGGGGGGGGAGCCTTGTTCATTCGGCCAGGGAGGCCTCCGTGGGAACAGTTTCTGTGTTAATGGGCTGGGCCGACCCGGAGCGTGATTTCTAAATGAGATCCAGAAATAGACGAGCTCACCCCATTCAGCCCAAAACGTCTCTAGTGGACTGGGCTAGGCAACCATGGGTCACTAGCCGTACGGAAGCGAGGAGGACGATGGCGGTGCTCTCACGTCGGCATTCCGTCGCCGGCGCCGCCGGGCACCATCATCGCGTAATCCGTCTTCCCGTCTAGCACCGCTGTCGGGCCTTTGTTCTCTACAACTGTGAAGATGTTAGTAAAGGCGAGAGCAAGTACCATCGAACGGCCAGGAGAGGAACGGGAGATCAGCACAGGCGAGTCTGCTTCTTTTCTTGCGTTCTCGGATGAGAACAATTATCGGGTGCGTGGAATCTCCAGTGTTCCCTGTCGACAGTGGCAACCGTGGTTACGGAGTCTTCTTGGTTATGGTTTCACCAACACTCGTGCGGGCAGCGGTACTATGAGGAGGAAGCGCCGTGAAGCCAGGGGTATCAATCTCCAGGATCCCAGACTCTCTATGACTGGAGGCCATTTATCTTTTCGGACAGGCGGGCCTTCACAAGCCGTGTGCATGCTCACTGGAGTCTCTAGCAAAGTCTCTCCATAGCAATGGGGTGTCCTGAATGAATTTCTGGGTTAGTTCTATATTAACGTCCATGGCATGGAGTGTTCCTAAACCGGGACATTAGAGAGGACCATAAACCTTATGCCAATGACGGTGTGATTCTATCCATCTTACGATCAGCTGCAAAGATTTGGAAAGGGGTGGGTTTGTGCATCGTCATCAAACGAAGCTTTGTTTTGATTGAGTGAATAATGTTGTTGGAGGTATATCGATAATGTTCTAGGATGCATATGCGGTCAGTACATAGATCCAGCTCACTTGTAATTGTGAGACTATTTCCTCTCTAAGAAAGAAGAACAAGAACTTATATGCCCATGTATGGAGGAGGATTCTCATAACCTTAAATCTTGTGTGTTTCTTTTCCTTCACTCTCTCTATCTTTTGTTTTTGCACTTCTTTCCATTGTGTAAGGAGTGGGCACTTGTCTCTGAATAAATATATTGCAATTAACTATATATACGGGATAATAATGTTAATATCTTGTTCCTTTTCTGTTTCTTTACATAATTGGCCACAAAGTTTCTTACCAAGTTAGTCTTGTGGCTTAATTCGAGAATCAAGTGTGTTGTGAGCAACATAAGTTTGAAGACTTAATGATAACCGCCGCCAAGCAGCTGGTTCTTCATTCGCTGATGACACTAGGAGAAAGGTAAAGGTGTATGCTCTTCATTATATTGAGAACCAACTTTGGTAATGTAGACATGCAAATACTAATAGCAATCTTGGATTATGTTCTGATTCCAAATTCATATGTTAGTATATTATTGTATAGTAGTTGTTCTAAATTTTGATATATTCTAAGGGGTTTTTTAAATAGTTTTATGCCTATAAACAAAACCCTTCGAATGCTCCCAAATTGAGATGTTCTAGTTTTACTTTCCGTTCTCCTCTTACGTGCCACCTCTCTTTGAAGGCAAGCATTGACTGTGGCTGCCTCATCTCGTCACCTTGACTTGTCATAGAGCCACTCCAGGAAGTTTTGACTTCGTCTCATCAACATCTCCTCTTGTCGCCGTCTCAATAGGCTGTGGGCTCATCTTACCATCACCTTCCTTACCACTGCTCCAACTCAATGCTAAATCCCTCATCTTCCTCTTCTTCACCTCATCTCGTCTTTGCCTTATTCTTCTTCATGGTATATGACCATTGTTCAATTTTGAACAGCTTTGTATGGCACACTTTTCACCATCGGTTGCCTCCTTGACACATGCCACAAATTTTGAATTTTCACAAATATTAAATTTAAATTTATGTGTATACTATTATGCTAACTATTGAGTGAACTCTCATTTGAAGATTGTTTGCCTTTAAGGATTTTATAATCATCGGCTAGATATTAGTCCGAAAATATATCATATGAGTATGGATTCATCTTTCTCATCAATGAGTTCCATCACTCTCATTTCACAAGTCTTGATGAGAGGAGGAGAATCTATAGTGTTTGAATCACAATTTCAAATTACTTTTCAGAAGTTGTCCAACCATTATTTTGGCACATGGGCCACTATAAAACAATTATAAATTCAGTGAACATAATTGGAGCACATAACAAGATTAAAAATATGTGTACTATAGTTATTACATATTCAATCACAGACCCAATCATAAAGTCTGGTTCCATGAAAATAACTTTATTATGTTATGATTTTTGAACTCAATAAATATACAACAAGTGATCATATATATAAAGATTGCATATGAGATTTGATGGACATTATAAGCAATGTATAACCAAAGACAAGACATGAATCATTGTTACTAACTGAATAATAATATTTGTGAACTAAAATAAGGAATGATAACATTTAAGTATCATTTTACTTCCTTGAAATTATGTGAGATAAACTAAATTCATATGAATCTGATGGAAGGTCATTAATAAAGGATCAAAGGCAACACCTGAAAAAAATTGAGAGCTATATGCATTGTGCATATACCAATTATATTATGGAATACTATTTGGTACTATATTTAGAAAACAGGTCAAATACACGAAGAAAAAAACTAAAATGCCATCTCAAACCAAACCAATGGTCTATACAATCTCAAATAATGTATCTCACCATAATAGCTCCATAGGTTTTGACATCTCTCGATATGAAGAGATATCACAAGATATTGTAAGACTCCAAAGGTTTTTATGGTAGATGCAAATAAACAATCAAACTCAAGATTATTGACTATGGAGCATCCAGACATATGACTTGTACTTCCTCTAGCTTTATATTATACTACCTTTCATCAAGTAGAGACAAGTGACTATAATTGATGGAAGCCGAGTTACTAGTTCAAGCAAAGATTCTATCAAATTAAATAATCATATAACTTTATCTTTGACATTTCTTATTGACATAAATTTACTTTATATAAGTTCAATTTTTTTAAAAAAATAATTATAAATATTAATCATTATGTACTTGAAGATTTAAAAGAATGATTGCTAGTGAACATAAGAGTGGTGGAATCTATCTTCTCCTATCTCAATGAGAGATAATTTTACAATCATAATTTCACAATTTACTCAAAGAATAGGCCAAAGGCTACAAGAGATCCACATATAGTACTCTTACTTAAGTCATCTTTTAGGACCATTAACATTATATTACTTATAATGTTTAATTAGATTGATATTATATCTCTAAATTGTCAAATTTGTGAACTTGCAAAACAATGTCATGTTTTATTTCTCCCTTCTAACACTAAGAGTACCTTGTCCTTTGGTCTTATTTATTATGATATTTGGGATTCATCTCTTATTACCTCTATGAATGGATATTGATATTTTATCAGTGTTACCTCAAAAAATGACTTTTGGTTAATGCCTTTACTCACTCAATGTGGTTATACTAAGAATAATATATTTTTTGTAATATGATTATCACTTAGTTTGATAAACGAGTGAAAACATTTCACTCGAATAATACTTGAGAATATTTTCAATGAAGTTTTAATATTCTATAGAAGATAATATAATTATTTATGAATATTATTACCCTTACATTCCTTAAAAAAATATAGTAAAAAGAAAAATTATTCACTTTTTAGAAACCACTCAAGCCCTATTGTTCTAAAGTCACATTTTCAAAAGATTTTGGATAGAAGCTATTGGCGATAACGTATCTAATTAATAGGATATCATCTACCACACTTAGCAGTTATGTTTCATATGAATTGGTATATTAAATCTTCATTTTCTCTTCTACTTAAGATATTTCAATGTGTTTATTATTTCCATCTCTTTGGCACAAATAGTCTTAAATTAGGCATTAGGACAGTCAACTATGTATTTTTTACTTAATTCATTTATACAAAAGGGCTATAAATATGAGAAAATGTCTTGAGAGATATCATGTTTCATGAGTTAGAGCTATTTTATAAGACCTCGATTGAGGGAGAGATCTCTCATGATACCTTATGTGCTTCACATTTTAGAGGGTGTATCGATCCTTAATTTTAAGTTAAGTAACCTAGTTAGACATATTCTTCTTTTTTCCTACTATTCATCTGCCAACTTCCACTTCATATATTGCTTTTTGTACAAGAGTTCTTCAAATGGACTCCCAAATCTTCTATGATTTAATATAAGAATACGAAACTATGTTCTAACATTGAAAACATCGAATTGTCAAAACTGAAGCAAAAATGTATATAGAATTGTGTTGATGAACTTTATCTTGTACAACATGAACGTCTTATCAGGCCAAATAAATAAATGAAACGTTAAACATTTCATACCAAATGGCAGCATGTGAATTATTTTCACCATTCTTTATTTTTATCCATTTATTTAGTCTCCATAATTTGTAGTTTTCAACCTTTATACCTTTTTTTAAAAGTGCAAATAATTTTGAGTCATCTTAAAGAAGCGAGTAATCACTAAAGCATTGGCTTATATTTAAAATGATAAACTGAAATTATATCTTCAATAAATAATTTATGCTCATGAACTTTATTTTAAATCATTTTATGGAGACAATAATTTTCAAGTATGCTGCAACCATGATATTATGCCTTGTAGTTGTCTTTGGGAGAATTGTGTTCATTGGTTGAGTCATCTGCAGTTTATGTTACTTTAATGTATAATATTTAGATCAATGGGAAACTTGATTTGCTACCATTTTCTTCAGACATGCACCATTAAAATAGGAAACTTGTTACCTTTATGCCACCATTTTTCCTTTAAGGAAAAAAAGGAAGAATATTTCTTTTAGCGATCAATAAGTATTATGATGTGATACTACTATTCTTTTGTGCCTTTCCATAATACCACAACATCTTACTTATGCTTCTTCATCACGATATGAAAAGTACGACTGTTTCATGCTGTTGTTGGATCCCAAGCACAGATTCCGAACGTAGTCATATTTTTACTGTTCCTTCATCTTTAGAACTGCCATTCAATATCGTCCATCTCACATAGAGTCTCGTTTATTTTTCTCATTAATGTTCCGAGACTTCTTTATGGTTATTGTATCTCCGCTATTTTTCTTGTTAGATGCCATGCTTCGATCAGTAAAGAAAATCCTTCTGCCTTGAGTTCAGTCCAAACGCAATTTAAAACTCTTCATAAAATTACCCGAAAAATGCTTTGATTGAATGGCTTTGATGGAGAGGTCTGCTCTTCCTTCTCTGAAATTATCCGATAGTGTCAGGTGATAAACTGCAGCAAAAGCTCGACTGGATGCCCTTTTGAAAGCATGAGAAGTGAGGAGGACAGCCCGTTAGCCAGAGGTACACACATCGCTTCCCTCCTTGCCATTGTTCCTTGAATAGGGAAGCTGGTTAGGTGGTGCCACTCCATAGGGATCAGATTAGTGAAGCAGGCGGTCGTCCCCATCTCGGGAGACTTCGTGATTCTTCCCCTCTCCTCCTCCTCCCCCCATTTCCAATTTTAAAATTATGGGGTCTTCGGCAGGCGGAGATAAACATAAGTTAATGTGGTCTTTCAACTGCTGCGGAAGGGGATGTTGGCCTTGGGTCTTGGTCGTCATTCGAAGCTCTCTGATTCTGTGGGCCTAAAATGCCCTTTTTGTGTTGAGAGGGCTCTGTGGTAACCAAACCTCTCTCTCTCTCTCCCAACCCCCTCACCCCCTGTGGCACCTTCTTTACCGGGCCAAGTCAAGCTGTAAAGGACGGGGTTGTGTTGACATCTTTCTTCACAGATCTGAGTCACACATTCGAGAGAGGCTAGGTAGAGAAGATCCACGCGTGGCTTCAAGAGTCTGCTCTTGTTACTTGCGCTCTTTCCGGCGTCTGAAAGACGGCAGATTCCAGAGAGGTCAGGCCCTTTATCGCTCTCTCATCCATACGAACTCCATGGACAGAGAAGACTGCATGTAAACATGCCCCAAGAGGATTCATTTAAGCTTAGATTAAGAGGACACAATGAAGAGCTGGAGGCCTAATTCGAGGACCATATGAACCCTCCTACAGATAATCTCCTCCGACGGGGCCCCAAAAACCTGTGGAGGCAGGTCGCTATGGTCCCCAGGCAGTCACAACAACTGAGAATATCTTCAGGCCGAGACGAGAACAGGTGGGACGGCCAAGAGACTTTGACTTTTTTCGTCTGCCTCCAACTCATAATCACACCTCCAAGCACCATTACAGATCGGAGCTTGACTTTTCCGTCATTCAATCCCTCTTTCCCCGCTACCTTGCGGTCAGATGGGATCGTCATGCTTTCCTCTTGTTTCTTCTATGCTGGTACCTTTCTCTATCAGAATTTCTAAAGGGTCAGCGGCCCTCCTCGGGTTCCATTATTGGTAATCTCTGAGGGAAATTGGGGCCGTCAACCTTACGACAGCATCAGGTATTCTGTTGACTTCTCGTCAGGTTCGGACATCCAGAGGCGCCGGTAGGTCTACCCAGGGGATCCCCAATGTCAGACAGATGATGACAAACTTAACGGTAGACTTCTTGACTGTCAGAGAGCAGATCACACCAGGATGGAGTGATCACTGCGGTCGCTTCGTCGTCGGTGTTGGGCTGAGGTCACCTCCGCGTTGAAATCTTATGCCTGGAACGTTGGTGACACCAGATATGCACAATATATAGTGAGAAAGAAATTCTTTCGTATGAGTTTCGTGGCCTCCTACATCACGTCCACGCGGAAAGAACATGGCGCAGGCAGTACCAAAGAGAAGACGAGAGGCCTGAGTCTCATGATATCTAGACAACGTAAATGAGTTATAGAGTTCACCGGTGAAAGAACGCACTGAAGGAATCATATATATCCGGTAGGGGAGGGGAGAAATATACATATAAAGTTGTAGTTGATGGGTTGCTGGTGGTATAAGAGGAACCTGCATCCCGCCCAGCTCTGGCAAATGCTAGAAGACAGTCAGGTAACGTAAAGCTCTAGTGGGTTTCTTCCTGTTCATTAATTTTTCTTAAAACGTCCGCTCATGCTTCAGGACCAAGTTTAGCAGGATGTAGGAGATGACGATACGCTAAAAGTCCTCGGGAATCTGAGGAGAGAACAGGACAAACCAGAAGAAGCCTCTCGACAGCTCCTTTCTTCTCCCCTTCTTAGTCCCCGTCTACCTCTCCCCACTTTTCGTTTTTAATTCTCCGTGTCTGGGATATGAGCCCTATGTTTGTGATTTGTTAATCTTTCCGTGTAGGTGGCGCCATGTTGTGGACCCTGTTTACATCATGGACCTCCCCCCAAGGTCAATGCAACGCGTTTGTTCTCTCTCTCTCTCTCTCTCTCTCTCTCTCTCTCTCTCCCCTCCCTCCCTCTCTCTCCCCCCTCCCTCTTTCTCTCTTCCTCTACCTCTCTCTCTTCCTCTAATAACGGAACAGCGGGAAACGACTTTAACGAGCTAATCTACCGGTGATCTCCACGAACTCCCTGTTCACCTTGTTCTTTTTGAATGCAGCTCGACCAAATCGGGCAGGCTCGTTCTCATCCTCTCGGTGCATCCTGCATGAAGCCAACGGGGGGAAGAAGAGAGAGAGATGGTAAACGCATGGAGCACCAGCTTGGAGGCTTCTTGTTCTCTACAAATCTGGCATCATTAAACCCAAGTTTTTGGATTTTACGGTAAATTTTTACCTGGGAATGGATGGGGTCGTCGTCCGAACGCCGCAGCTATAAAGTTTAGGCTTTTCCCGTAAGATAAAGACATTAGGTCAAGAGGGGGCAGTTGAGCTTATTCTGAGAAATGGCTTCGGGCAATCGCAAGGGTAGCCTTCGATTGGCCTCGCGAGATGGTGCGCTTAGACAAATCGTTCAGAAAAGAGGATTAATCTTGTTCTCTCTCTCTCTCTCTCTCTCTCTCTCTCATTCACTCACTCACTCACTCACGCCTTTCTTCCTATAAAGGTCCGGCATACGGCCTCGTATGCACCCCACCTGATCAGACGCCGACGGTCTCCTGAGTGTTTCGAAGGTTGGGTCAGAGCAAGGAAGGTATGGGTAGAGCTCCGTGCTGCGACAAGGCCAACGTGAAGAAGGGGCCCTGGTCTCCCGATGAAGACGCAAAGCTCAAGGCTTACATCGAGGAGCACGGCACGGGGGGGAACTGGATTGCGCTTCCTCACAAAATTGGTCAGTCGAATTCTTCTTCGTTCTTCTGCTGCATCCTCCTTTTTCTTTCTTCCATCTCGAGGGAAGGATCAGCCGAAGACAATTTTGCGAAACCATAAAGGAATGGAGGATAGCGCCAGGAGGAAGCTCTCTCTCTCTCTCTCTCTCTCTCTCTCCCCCCTCCTTCCCTCCCTCCCTCCCCTCCAAATAGAGAAGAAAAAACGCTGCGAAGACGGGTTCATCTGTTCAAATACTAGTGATCTGTCTTCCTGAGATTGTTAGAGAGCTATTGGCACACGCAGTTGACACACGAGATTTAGTTCAGATGAAAAAGCAGGGTCTACCGCTTGGGAAAAAAATTGCTGACCAAGATTTTGAGATCTCCAAAGAGGCAATCTTCTAATGTTTCGCGTATTTGTATCCGTCGGTGAATGTGTAGGGCTAAAGAGATGTGGGAAAAGCTGCAGACTGAGGTGGCTGAATTATCTGAGACCTAATATCAAACACGGTGGCTTCTCCGAGGAAGAGGACAAGATTATATGCAGCCTCTACATTAGCATTGGGAGCAGGTTACTCCTCCCTCTCCCTCTCCCCCTCCCTCTCCCTCTCTCTCTCTCTCTCTCTCTCTCTCTCTCTCTCTCTCTCTCTCTCTCTCTCTCTCTCTCTCTCTCTCTCTCTCTCTCTCTCTCTCTCTCTCTCTCTCTCTCGCTCTCTCTCTCTCTCTCTCTCTCTCTCTCTCCCTCACTCTCTCCTCTCTCTCTATATATATCTATGTCTGCGTGATTTTTCGCGAAACAATAATCTTTTTCATAAGCTTAGCATGATCGAACTGAGTTTCTTAACTATATGAGTAGCTCACGGGCATCTCAAACATGCAGGTGGTCAATAATTGCAGCCCAGTTACCTGGAAGAACAGACAATGACATCAAGAACTACTGGAACACTAGACTGAAAAAGAAACTGCTCGGAAGGCGCAAGGAGCCACGGAACCGTCGTTTCCCGTCAACAGCTCAAGAATCGAAAGAAGTCGCCGACGGGATGAGCTACGATGCTCCGTCGCAAGGCCTCAGCGCATCTGCACTCGAAAGAATGCAACTCCAGATGAAGCTCCATGGACTACAGCACCCTCTGGCCTTCCTCAATAACCCTGCACTGTGGCCCAAGTTCCATCCTTTCTGTGGAAGGATCCCCATGGAAGATACGGCGGTGCAACAAGCCCCCGATACCGCCGCCATGGTAGAACCTTCCGAAAGAGTAGCATTGCCAAACGGCTCCCAAATCTCCCACTCGATGGTCGGCACCAATCTCGCAGATATTGAAGCTTCTTCCTTGACTGGTCTCACCTCGCCTCCGAGCTCTATGGTTCTCAACACGGAGCAGCCGGAGGCTGACTTCGGCTCGGCGGTGGCGTTGCAGGCGGAACTAAGTAGTTTGATTTACGGAAAGATTGACTACCTGCCGGAAATCCATCAGGCGGGCATTTTCAAGGAGATGGGGACGATGAAGGAAAGCGGAGTCTGGTGCCCACCAGATAACGGTTTCGGGGAGAAGTCAGTGTTGACTTCATGGGACTCGGCTTCTCTTTTCCAGCCGTGGAATTTGCTTCAGGATTATGTGCCGGGGTATGATGTCTAGCCACCGCAGCTAGAGAGAGAAAACTGGAAGAAAGCAGACGTCAACTCATGGGGTTGCAGTTGTAAAAAATGCGTGAATAACACTCATTTCTACGCTATTTCTTTTCACTTGACCTTTGTCCGTTCTCTTTCTTCTCTCTCTCTCTTCCAGAGTATTTTTCGGCCTCACCGGACGGACGCCTACACTCTTAGGCGTGCCCTATGTTTTGCGGAATAATGTATATAATTTGTCATAATTCGACGGGTCAACAGTAGAGGCCTCATGATCTCACTTCTCTTAGCGAGAGAGAGAGAGACAGAGAGAGAAGAATTAACTGGGCTCGCCCAATCCAATACCGACCCATTAACTGGATGTAATGGACTGGGCCAGAATAAGAAGGCTCGAGTAGGGACTATTTAATAATGGGCCTGATTTCCGACCGGACTTAGAGAACGAGACTAGATGGGCCGGATAACGGACAACAGCCCATTTACAAATCTACATGGACTGGACGCATCCCTAAGAAGGATTTCCTCTAAATTACGAAACAGCCACATTAGCGATCTGCTCTTCCGTGTCCAAGCATAACTTAACGTGCGCCGCCCTCGGAATACGACGCCACGAGGTCACGTCCAAATCGACCCCTGATCTCGCTGTCGGTGCCATCCGCGGATAAAATAATCCCCACCTTCCGAGTCCGTTAGATCATCGCAGCCCACCCATACACTATTATTAAACAGGAAATCCACAATAATAATAATAATAATAATAATAATAATAATAATAATAACTCCGATAATTGCCGAAAATATACGCATTTTTAAATTACCCAGCGTTGGAGCTGACGTGTACACGAGCGTACGCGGGGACGACCCAAAAGTCAACTCCTCTTTTGAAGAGTCGTCTGATCCTTGTTCAACGCGAGATTAATATGTTAGGACATCTATACGTGTACAGAAATATGATTTCATATTTTTGGATGATTTGATTATTAAATAAAGCGTAGAATATTCGTCGGGTCAGGGATTCCCATTACGCCCATGAACCCGGCGAATGGAGGACGATCCGGCTCCTCCGGGAAAGGCGTTTGCGGCGTCATGATTGGCGCTGCCGCCACCGCCACGGGCCCCATGGCCGACGGCTCGCTGCCGTACGCTTAGGCTAGCCGGCGGCGGCGCAGTCGAGTCGGCCGCCGCCGCCGAGGTCGGAGAGGCAGCGAGTTGGGCGACATCAAGTAGGCCTGTGGCTTCCTTCTCCTTCTCCGGTCGGCCCCTCGGCCGGAATATGCTCTCCTCCGATGGGGGAAGGAGCGCTTCAGGAGCTGCCGGCTCTTGCTTCCGAGTGCTCTCATTAAATAGAGGCTGCAAGGTCTCGTGAAGAGGTCGGAGGCCGCCCGTGAGTAGTTGCAGAAGCTCCTTCTGCCTCGCCGGCGACCTCCACGCTCTCCGATGAGCCGCCGTATATATATAAATTATATACTCCGATTCCACCGATCATATGCATATTTATGGCTCTGGTTTTACACCGAACTACGCGGCAATGTGGGTTTTTCTCGTCGGCCTTTGGCGGATTCACGGGGATGATGATGATGTGACGAGAGCCGAGTCCTGGGCCGTGGACTCGGTTAACCCGAGGAACGGCCGATTAACTCGATGGTGGGCGATCCCCACCCGAGGGAAGGGAGCGGACGCACCCTAAAAGTCAACCCCTTGTCGAAGGGATCGAAAACTGCAGTGACTTTTCTCTGATGGGTCGACGGGGAACACGAAAAATGGGCCATTTTTCCGCCCCGGAAACGCGAGGCCGGGGAAACATTATTGGCAAGAAGATTATATGATTATACTATTAAAAGTCATTCGGGTCCCGAGTTATTCTCATTCCCCTCCCTCTCCACCGCAGACTCATCCCCGTTTTTAATCTGCAGCTCCCCTCCGCGTCGATGGCCGCTGCCGCCTCCTCCTCCCTCTGTGCTCGATCGGTTTCCTTCTAGACCTTCCGTAGAGAATTAAAAGAGTAATAGGAGCGGGCCGAGGTCAGCAGCCTCCTCCTCCCCCATCGTCGAGGCTTCCTTCTCCCCCGCCTGTCGCCTCCCTCCGAAAACCCTCCTCTTCCTGCTCCGTCCACCTTCCGAGAAGTCTCCTCCTCCTTCTCCGCCCTCGCCGTCGACCACCAAACCCATCCTTCCTCGCCGTCCTCTCCCCTTCCCCGGCAATTAATCGGATAATCGATGACCTGCAACCCCTCGGCGCCATGAGGCACGCGACAGCGCCGATGAGGCCCAACGGCCAGCCGCCGCAGCAGCAGCAGCTCCCGACGCCGCTCACGGCCGTCCGCCCCCGGCGCCGGCCGGACCTGACCCTGCCGCTGCCCCAGCGCGATCCCTCTCTCGCCGTCCCCCTCCCGCTGCCGCCGCCTTCTTCTTCTTCTTCTTCTTCTTCTTCTTCCTCCTCGTCTTCCTCGTCCGCGGCGGCGGCGGCGGCGCCGTCGTCGTTTTCTTCCTCGCAGACCCAGCCGCCGCTCCCGTCGCATACCCCCCACCTATCCGATCTCGAGCGCGTGCGGCGCATCGGCAGCGGCAACGGCGGCATCGTCTGGATGGTCCACCACCGCCGCACCGGCCGCCAGTACGCCCTCAAGGTGATCTACGGCAACCACGAGGACGCCGTGCGGCGGCAGATCTGCCGGGAGATCGAGATCCTCCGCACTGCCGACAACCCCTTCGTCGTCCGCTGCCACGGCATGTATGACCAGGCCGGCGAGATCCAGGTCCTCCTCGAGTACATGGACGGGGGCTCCCTAGAAGGCCGCCGCATCGCCGCCGAGCCCCTCCTCGCCGACGTCGCCCGCCAGGTCCTTCAGGGACTGGCCTACCTCCACCGCCAGAAGATCGTCCACCGCGACATCAAGCCCTCCAATCTGCTCATCAACGGTGCCCACCAGGTCAAGATTGCAGACTTTGGGGTCTCACGGATCCTCGCTCAGACCATGGACCCCTGCAACTCCTCCGTCGGCACCATCGCCTACATGAGCCCGGAGAGAATAAACACGGACCTCAACCAGGGGATCTACGACGGCTACGCGGGGGATATCTGGAGCTTCGGTCTGAGCATCCTGGAGTTCTACCTCGGCAGGTTCCCCTTCGGCGAGAACGTCGGCAGACAGGGCGACTGGGCCAGCCTGATGTGCGCCATCTGCTACTCCCCCCCGCCGGTGGCGCCGCCGACGGCCTCGCCGGAGTTCCAGCACTTCATATCCTGCTGCCTCCAGAAGGAGCCCTCCAAGAGGCTCACGGCGGCCCAGCTGCTGCAACACCCCTTCATCACCAGGGCGCCGATCACCCTGCCCTCCCACCCGCCTCCTCCCCTCTTCTCCTAGGGAGGGCCCCTCCCCGCCGTCTTCCATCAATCACCCAAGCGAGGAAATCAATGCCCGAACAGGGCAAAACAAGGACCGGAAGAAGGGAGTTGAGAATTCTAGAAAAGAAAAAAGAACGGGACCGACGGAAAGTCTTGACCCTCAGGCTCACCGGCGACGTCGATAATCCTCCGGCGAGCTCGGGCTCTTCCCATTATTTAGGGTTTTCTGTGTCTCCTTTTTCCTTAGCTTATCAGCAAATGTCGATCTTCCTTTCTTCTTCTTCACCCCCCCTCGAGCCAGACGACGAAGGCACACGTAAGAAAAAACTATATATTTAATTTTTTTCTCGGCCAATTGACGAGAAAGAAGATCTCTGCAGAACTGGTCCGCCGTCTTCTGCAAGTCTCCCCCCGCCACCAACGAACCCCCAGTTCAGAGGGATTCGTGAAAAACTGACCCCAAGAAGTGTCAATCACCAAGAACAAGAATCCGTCTTTCCTGTGTAGATCGTCATCAGGCAGTCCGGGTTATGCTTCGATCCTCCCTCTACTCGCTCCCTCTGTCGGGTTCTCTCTCTTTCTCTCTCTTCGCGCTGGAGTTGACGGGCTGCCGCTTCCAGGCGAGCTGGGACATTGAAACAGGGTCCTATTCGAGGCAGCTACAATAAACACGTGGCCAATGGCCGACTTGCGGCGGCGCAAGAAGATCGCCGCCGGAGCAGCTCCTCCTCAGGCCGCCGCCGACCGTTATTCCCCGGCCAAGAAGAACAACCCCAGCTCGATCGTCTGCCGCTGTCTCCTCCCCTCCCCCCCCTCAATTCACCTTCCCCTTTCTCTGTCTGCTCTCCAAGGTGTCACGGGAAGGAATCAATAGAGAGAGAGGACGGGCGGGAGGGGAGTGATGACGGTGTCAGAGGTCTGATATGGCGAGCGATTACATACCCTTCTCTCTCTACGTCTTCCTGTCCCTAGGCTGGCACCCCCGGCCATGGAAGCCGACTGCATTTTACTTAAAAAGAGCGCCTCACTCATTGGATTCCCGTCACCACGAGAAAGCTGCCTTTTCCCACTTTGGGGACAACCCAGAGTTTCCGTACAGCTCCAGGTCATCTCCCCACCCTCACCGCCGCCCTCCTCTTTTCCGCCCCCCCCCCCGGGCCTGGCCATCTCCTTCTGCCGGCTTTCCTCCTCCCCCGCCCTCTGTTTCTCCACACCACTCAGCCTCCGGGACTCTGATCTCCTCGGCCAGCCGGCCAGCCAGGCATCACTCTCTGCTAATATGAATACGCCTGGTGGAAAGCTGGATAAGATCGGGTGATCAGACCTAAGAGAGGGAGAGAAAGAGAGTGAGAGAGTGAGAGGACAGTTCTTTAAGAGAAAAAATGGAGGAGACGGCAGCTTTTCCAGACTTGAGCGTGGCCATTGAAACAAAGAAGGGGATCTTTCCGGCATCCACGAGAGAAGATCTAGACGAGGAAGTTGTCCATCATGTGGAGGATGACATCGGCGCCGTCCGAGTTTATCCAGTAGCTCTTGACCTGGGCAAGCAAAGAACAGCGTCGACAGAGGGATCAACGTCTGAAGAACATCAACCACAATCAACAGCCATTATCAAGTAAACACATGGAAGAAATCTCACAGAAAGTCGGAAACTGTCCCAAAGGCGGCGCCATGCCATGACTCTTACGCACCTGGATGGTACTGTGAGCGACGTATCTCTGCGTGCTTCCATGGAAGCTCACGTCTACGCGCTCCCACGGCACGCGGGTGAGTCCTCTGAGCATCTCCTCTGCAAATCCCAGACAGGGTGAAATGGGTTCGAGATGAGCAAATTTGGCCGAGAAACCCACGTCCATTATTTATATAAAGATGGTATCTTGGCGCGAAGGACCTTCCAGATCGAGCTCCCGGGGATCGCCGTCGGAAGCTGCGACGCCCTCGTGGGTGCCCCCCGCGTCTCCTCTGTCCACGCAGACGATGTGTGGGTATCGTTCATCCCTCACAAAAAGGTCATCCTGCGCATGTGTCTGGAGATTAACCATGCAGAGTAAAAAGAGGATGGCTAGCCGAGCGAAGCACGAAGCAGGAATATCTACCTTTGGGAGTTCGTGCGGGCGACGAATTGACGAGGTGCTCCAACCGACCATATCTTTCAGCGGTCAAACAAAAGACTTCATTCACAGAGAGAGCGAGAGAGAGAGAGAGAGAGAGAGAGAGAGAATGGGGGGGGCTGGATGAGGGCGATGGAGCAGGATACAGTCATAGTTCGCGTTGGAATAGGCAACGCGGCGCTGGAACGAGCTCAAGGCTGACCTGAAACCCATCAGAAATGGGGATATTATTTGACTAAAAACTGTGATATTTACCTCTAATATTACACTTCCATCATTTTATTGGCATCTTGGGCCAGAGGAAGCTAGAGAGAGAGAGAGAGAGAAACGAAGTGGCAATTAAATGGTGCTTTATTGATGGGGTTCAGATTCCTAATCTACAAGTCAAACCTGAATCGTAGATCCTGAGAGTCGCCAACCATCTGGAGGAGAAGAGGGGGCTTTCCATCATCTTCGTCAGTGAGGAACAGGTGCGTCCCAGTCCTACCAGCCACTAAATGCGCAGTCTGGGACGCGCTCCTCTCCAAGAAAGGAACTCCGCAGAGGAGGGGTAGCTGCCATTAAACAGAGCAATGCCACAAACAGCCATCTAAAAACAGGCTTCCTCATATATCTCCCACACCCACAGCTCATCTTCTTGATTTAGATAGCACAATGGTTACCCTAATAACACCCTCCTCAGCATTCCTTTGTCATCTGGGTGACGGGCTTCTGCCACCTCAAGATCTCAAGCTACGGAGTGTGTAGGGCCAAAAGTATGCGTCTACAACTCTACAAGATTCTCGATAATTTGGGAAAATTGCCCACGAAATCTTACTTGGGCAGGGGAAAAAAAAAGTTCGAATGGGGAATCCAGATGTGACTGACCTGTTTGCGGCCCCTTGAGCCTAGGTGTGGGGTAGCAAATGTTATAAAATTCATCGGCTTCAACCCTGCTATTCGTTCTACGTTTCCATCCGTGGTCAACGCACCCGCCGCAAAATCGGTTGATTCTCCACTGGAGAGAGGCTCATGGAGCTTTCCAATCGCGTATCTGGCAACCAGGCCGCCCAAGGAGTGTGCCACAAAAGAGATCTTCTGTACTCCTGGCCTGTGACTGACGACAGAGAGCACCTGCATACCCAGAAAAGGTAAAAAATAAAAAATAAGTCTCAAGTCATTTCGATCAAGTTCTTCTGGAAGACACAATCACGATCCAGGGACGCCATGAGAAACCGGAAACGCTTAAGATTTCTAGTTAAATTCGTACAAGCAGATGGGAAAAAAAGTCGACTTTTACCCCAAAACGATTACCTCTTTTGCCAGCCTCTCCCCCATCAAGTCAACGCCATCAAAGGTCAATGTTGAATAATTGCATTCACTCCCTGCTCCGAAACATCGTACCAGAAGCACACTCTTTTAATCATTTCTTTTGGAAGAGGAATAGAAGAATATATAGACATGTTAAAGAAGTAAGCATAGTCAGCGACTCGGGCACTCAGAGCATGATCTGTCTTCGATGCCAAGGCAAGGAATTCTGAAGAACAAGTACGTCAAGCAGAGTTAGATTCAATCGCCTTCCAAGAATCCACGTCGATACTTGTGAGCCAGGACCAAAACGAACCAAGCCAAGTACACAAGAATAACAGCAAAAGTTAACAATTCGTGGTTTTAATAGAAATTATGGATTCCCCATGAATCGTGGTTTTGATCTACTCGCAAGTGGATTCCCCATTATGGATGAAATTATTTGTCACCTAATGATATGAACTGATGATCTCAAAAAAAAAAAAAAAAAAAAAAAAAAAAAACACGCCATGCCATTCAATCTCCCATTTCCCAAGATCACGTAAGATTAAAAAAATAAAGATTTTTCAGCATGTAAAAGAACATTTTCAGATGATCCAGAAGCTAACAATACATCCCACTGCAACATGAAGCGACGAGATCAGTCGAACAAGATGCGCGATTCATAAAACTAAAACCCACCATCAATTACTTATAATGTCTTCAGCCTCGTGTAAGTGTCAAGTAAATCTGATAAGAAAACTGGCTCTGCACTTGTATGGAAGTATCTTTGCCGAAGGCTACGTGCTGATACTGATAAAATCCAGTGATATGAAAAATGCTTTAATGCAAGGAAGTTCTAACCATGGAAAGAAAGACTCACGATGCACGATTACTTTATCTGGAAACCTATCAACAAACCGTTCTGCAGCATATTTCCAATCGCCTGCACTGAATTAAATCCAAAAGGTGTCAGAAACCAGGCAAGAACAACGACTTAACTTTAATGACAATAGTCATATGCAAATGAGTGTACATGTATCTCAGCTTGTTTGCATCAAGGACATAAATATTGGAAAACATATGCATCGCTGGGAACCAAATTTTTTCTTGTTCTTGTTCTTCTTTTCTTCCTGTGAAAGCATACACTTCTTACCCCTGTAACCTTACAAGAGTTGATCATAGAGATGGTTCTCGGCGGCCCTTTATGATATACCATTAATGGCAGATCTGAGCAGCCCAGTAATAGCATGCGCCTATAGCAGAAATTTCCCTCGATGTAATTGATCAAAATGCCAAAAAGATTATCTGTGTTACCCAGATAAGCCAGATGCTTTTTCATATAGGAATCCCTGGAATCCGCATGGTATATAGGAACTTGTTCGAAGATACATAAACCTGATTTTCAGCATGACAGCATCATCCAAAATCCAGAAGTCTCTTGGCATTCTCTCGCTTTATCCAAGTATTATGCAACTCGAAGAGAATTAGAACTTTAGGTTGTTAGGCAGTAATTCAATATCATTCCAATCACATCGAGAGTGCCCAATGTAGGTAATTTTTGTACAATTGCTTGAAAGTCAACCTCATATTTTCCATGGCGAACGTCAGAAACTGGTTATGTATGAACACCGCGATGTTCCTCCGACCAAGGAAGAGAACAATGCAAATCCAAGAATCCTTAGGAATGACATCACAAAAATAAAAGTCAATTGGATCACGAGCCGCGGAATGATCAATATGGTGTCGCATACCTGCCAATTATGCCATTAACCATCACGATAAGGTGCTCGGGGAAGCTCTTCGGCTGGGCGGAGTTTACTTCCTCCGCGTCGTAGACGTCCACCCCACCCATCACCGGCTCCATCTTCATCTTCCCCGCCCTCCTCAGAGGATCCGACAGAAGCCCCAGCAGGCGAACGAAACCCATCGCAAGTCCCGCGTCATCAACCTGCTGCAGTTCATCCTCGACCTGGGGATTACCCATCACCCTCGAATAAAGAATCCCACCTTGGGGGCGGCGACAGCTGCCCGCCTACACGCACAACTGAGGGAGCGTGGAAGGAAGATTAATCTATCTATCGGGGCCGCCTAGCACCAGCTATAGCGGCATCGTCGTCAATCAGTCGCGGGTCAGTCTGTGCCTCTGATGAAGGCTTCGTTTTGTCCCACCCCCGCCATTAAAGCAGCTGCAAAAGCAGTCAACAACCTACAGAGTTTGGATTTATTTCAATAATGTCGTCCCGAATTATTGATGTTCCTTGTCACGCTCTACATCAAGCAGAAAATAAACCGATAAAAGAGAACTACACGTCGTTCTGGAGATCGTAACCGTGTTCTCGAGAATATAAAACTATTTAAATATAAAAAATAGAAAAAAAATCAAGCTGGGTATCATTGTTTTCATGCCAGGTGAGACGGATCCAACAGTACTTGCGTGTTTAAGGATAAATCCAGGTCTGTTCTTAATGGAGCTTGGAACGATATTCCGGCTAACATTATTCAATTCATTTACATAAAAAAAATAGTCTCCGAAAAGTCGGCGGCGTAGTTCACATGTCCTTTCTAGATTGAGAACTGGGGCTCAATCAGATACTCGGTGAAAGCTCAAGACTCTATTTTTTTATTAGGGTTTCTGCGGGTCCAGGGCTAGTTAATGACTGGTTCAGGTTAATTTGGCAGGGTCTGGTTTTCGCCGGGAGTAGACCAGGAAAAAGTCAGCGCTATTTAGGCTAACCCATTTTCGACAACCCAGTTAATGATCATAATTTCAAATCAGTTGACTATCTAACAATCGAAGGGAAATTTTTTCCCTGGATGAAATTCTGACCACAGATTTTCTGCGAAGGGAAATGACCAAAAAAAAAAAAAAAAAAAACTCCAGGAAGCTAGCCGTACTTATATCACACATATTAGTGTTCGTTTGTGACAAAAAATAGTGTTCAATCGACTCATAGGACGCAGTTCATCAGGTTATGGGGTTGTCAATGGACCGGAATTTAAGCCCAATACTAATTCCCAGGACCTCGGGGGTGGGGGAATATTTATGAGCCACTTTGACCTTCTTTGACCCAATTGATGATACTTCCTATTTAGTCAACCTCTGTGTGTCAAACCATTTGACCCAGTATCTATACCGGCCCATTTGCTGCAGTATAGCACAAATTTGCAGCCCAATCACATAAATGGGCCGGGATGGGCTCAACGGTCCATTAGTCCCCAAACTAATAGTAAATGTTTTTTTTTTAATAACAAAAATTGCCTTAGTATGAACCTCAGACTCTGACAGGCATATTGAACATCAAGCAGTCGGCGCCATGAAACCCACCGCGGAATTCTCTGAAGAACCGAGTTCACTCCACTACCTGCTTCATGATGGATCGGTAAGAACGCTGCTGCTCATAAAGAGATCGGAAGATCTGGTACTTGGCATCGTGATACTTCTTCACTCTTGCATCTGTGGATGGATGAACAACCTGCAAAGAGCTCCCACGAAATCAGTCCGAAGGTTAGCTGCGAAGATTACGAACTGATTTTTTGAAAAAAAATTAAATAATAAAGTGGATTTAAAAAAACACCCATATCAGGAAAGAAGAAGAAGAAAAAAAGGGTCAAGTTCGTCAAGAATGGCCCGCAGAAGTGATGCCGACGGAGATTTGAGGGGTAGTATGATCCATGAGATTTCTCCCGGCGAAGAAAGAAAGAGAGAGAGCAGTGACCAGAGAGCAGGAGGATGGATTCAGCACAGCAGGAACTCCGTGATTGAGACGAGAAGAAGATACATGCCTGGCCAGCCGCATTCAGCCCTCGCATTGCCTCGTGCAGGCTTGTATACCTCTTGGAAGCAACGGCACCTAGAATGGCAGCACCCAGGAGCACCGACTCGTTCTCCCTTGGAAGAATGATAGGACAACCTGTCTTAAACGTGTTAGTCCTCTTTTAATCAATCACCATGCGACCTGACATGTACGATGGAGACTATATGTAGAGATAGATGGATAGATAGATAGAGAGAGAGAGAGAGAGAGAGAGAGAGAGAGAGAGAGAGAGAGAGTTACCAATAATATCTGCGTGTTCTTGAATGTACAACGGATTCTTGGCAAGTCCGCCGCATGCAAGGAGTGTGTCAATCTGGAGGTTGTAGGAAAACTTTATTAAAGCCATATGAATATAATAGCTCACACGAGAATGAACTAATGAAAACAATAATTCGATGCTTGCTGGGCAAGATTTCAAGAACATTTTTCATTTCAACTTTAGGTGAAAGTCCCCGCATGAAAAAGATAATTATCATAATAATTTAGACTATTTTCTGCTGGATTCTGTCCCTCCCAAGACCAATCGTAAATGCAGGTTCATATCCCACAATCATTGAACATCGTCATTAACTCTAAGAAGCTACGCGTAATGCAAGGAGGGCCTTGTTAAGTTTGAGAAGCACTTATCAATCAGCCATGATTATAAGCTAAACGTGGAGGATGACTCTGGTGTAGGTAGCCATGCAGAAAAAAATACAAGCAAGTAACATGGAAATTCTCTCCACAGAATCATAAGCAGTACAAGATAAATCAGCCAAGACGGATTACCTTGTGCCCATGAGAATTACAATGCTCCACAATATGACGTGTACCATACGCAATTCCCTGCACTGTGGCAAGATAAAGAAGAGCCAAATGTTTCTCACTTGTATCGAGTGTCAAGCCGCATATCATTCCTTTTGCTTTTGGGTCTGCCATGGGTGATCTGATCCATTGAGGGCAAAATAAGTTTGTCTCGCTCCAGAATAATTATTGAAAACGGAATAACAGTGCAAGTATATCCATTTCTACAATTTCAACTTAAAAAATGGTGCTTAAAATCCAAAAATCACGTGGGCTTCTTAAAGGCGAAAAAATAGTGCTCGAAATCAATGAGAAAAGCGACGAAATCTCCTGGACATAACTGAATCCAAATTGGCTCATGATGCCTCTACTGTCGATGATGATGTGTTTTCATATCTGAATTGATAGCCATTGGATTGGTGAAAAAAGTCGTTATTTATTGAATGTAAATATGACAAAATAAACTCATCAACAATAATATATAGAAAAAAAAAAAGCAATAAAAGTCAAACACACAAAAATTGTTTATTATCTGCATGCCTTATTATTGAGAATTTACTGGGATCCATTACATGGATGAAGGATATCCTAGGAAACGGTGAATAGTCAGAGATCTAAAATGATTCTAAAGGTACCTGAATGAGAAGATCTATTCAAGATGGTGAGAATTTTCGTAGAGAACTGATAAAGCTTCGTTACCCTCCTTTTAAAGGGGAGAATAGTCTCTAAATCATTGTAAAATCAAGTGAATCATTAAGAACTAAAATAATGCAGATAAAATTACAAGCGTATGCTGTATAAGTGTGCTGCACCTGTTTCCATGGAAATCAGGGAGAACGTGGATGTCTTCAGTAAGCATGGAAAGAAAAAGAGCATTTTGATCCTTTGCCATGGAGTGTAATATCTTGTTCAATAAGTCGTATATGGAAGTACCTTTCCAAGAATGAAAGCATGATTTCAGATGAGATGAATCTTCTTGAGAAAGAATGGCCATTAAAAAATGAACAAAGAAACACTCACTTCCGAATTATAGGCAATAGCTTACCTTGGGAGGCAGCATGATTAGCAAGAAGTGGAGAAGCAAGGTGATTCTCGACAATGTGGTCCAACAGAGCACCAGTAGCGCTCTGACCACCTTCTGTGAGCCAGTATTCAGGAATCATCGCTAGATGCATAAAATTGTGCCAGCATTAGTAAGAGAGTGAAATCACATTCGTGACTTATGATCCATACAGTAATGCAACAGTCAAAATACACCATCGACGTTCCATGTTGCCAGAAAAAACAAATATCCTTAGTGTTGGATCAAATACCTGACCAATATGGTCCCCAGACACCTGGTATAAATATTTTATCCAAAGAGACAGCCATATGGCAAGTAGATGTCCCACAAACTAGTACCATGCGATGACATATCGCTTCTCTATCGTCAGCTGAAACACAAAGCGTTTTTCCAAGTAAGCGTCGAAGTTTCCTGCATCACTGAAGAATGATTATTAAGATAATAAAGAGGCCGTAACAAACCATTAGCCAGAGTTTCGGACGCAGGCACACTTTCTAGTACCCCAACCCCACCCGCATGAGCATCAATTAATGAAGTTCCAACGGGAGTTCCTTCCAATAGGCCCAGCTCCTGGGGTGTTCAAAGAGAAAAAATTGTCTGAGAAAAAAAAAGAGTAAAGTTTCCTTTCAAGTTAATACCTGCAAAGCCCTTGCCACAAAGCGACGTGTTTTCCAGAACAAAGGTTCACTTCCATGATAGCAAAAAATGACCTTAGCATCCGCACTATTTGAAATCAAATTCAAGAATCATTTTTAAGATTTTGACCTGTGCAGCAGCCGAAGTCAGACCAGATCCCAGAGGATGACCAGGAAATGCAACACTTCGCCCTGTTTCAATTTATGATAGAAAGTCATTGGGAAAAGTAGGAACACAGGACCCATAACAAATCATTTCGGCTGTAACTGGAAAATAGTAGATAAACATGTGTCAGTAGTCGCGTACAAATATTTAATTTAGATAACAACCGCGTAAAACATAAGAAGTATATCGAAAGCATAATCATGAGCAAAAAGCACAATCTTTCTGATTTTTCACTGAGTTTTCTTTTCCGAATGATGCTCCAAATCAGACTACCTAATCTCTGCCCGTCTTGCATTATATTATTCTCTTCAGCTTCCCCGTTTTACATTTTTTTTTGGGGGGGGAAAGGGGGGGGGGGTGGGGGGATGGTCAGCTTCATTAAATAATAGGCAATGAAAGAATCCCTTTAAATAGAGTGAAAACCTAAGAGCATGGCTGCCTATACCAAGATGACAATCAAAAACAGTCAATCAGAAGCTTCTAAAAATTATGTCATCTCCGAAACTTCCGTTTGCTCCTTTCCTTAGAGATTACCCGTAGACAAGCAGAAAAAACATTGTGTGGATAAATCTATCTCATCTAGTGGGTATATGATATTCCACTCTGAAGGGAAGAACAGTCACTGAGAAAAATAGATAGGGCCTTGGAAACATTTCCCCTGTAGCATTTTAAAACTGAAGTCATATATAATTCTTATATTCCAACTTATAGCTTGACATGTACTGCCCTAATCACGGTCGTAAGGTCCTCAATTCAAAATACTTTAAAATATCTTCTCGAAGAAGACGACCTAGAGCCTCTACCATTCAGTACTGCACACGATTTGTAATTTTTCCCAATACAAACCCTATTTTAAGCAAAAATCTTATTTTTCAAGTTATTGGCATCAGATAAGGTCATCAATGTCAGAAGTACAAGGTTTCCTCTGACCCACACATTTGATGACCCACCTCTTCACACTCCACCATCAATCTACTGATAGTCTCAGAAGGAAATACGGCATCTAAGGCTGACGAAGACTTCAACAAATCCGTTTCTCACAGAGCAGTGGTCTCCTTAATTTGACTAAACAGTTAACTTCCAATTTCATAAAAAAATGGTGGATCCATAATCACCAAAATTTTAAGAATATTCATCCCTAACCAGAACACTTTGGAAGTTTGGCAGTTCTAGGTTCCGATTTAAACATAATTCCAAAAAGCTTAGCCCATAAAGACGTAACATTCTCTGCAACTGTTAAAAATCAATCGCCCATAGATGGGAATACATGAGAAACTATCCATTATCACTTAACCTCCCTCTTTAAGAGATCTAATGGAGAAAAAAACAGAGCCCCTCATCGCCTCTCCCCCTTCCATTAATAGATGAGTAGAAAACTACAAAGAGATCGAAACAATCTGTCAGCATGTGAATAAACTTAACTCCACCGTCTATGAAACAAACTACGCCACTCACTGGAAAACAAAGGTAATTAACTGTACCCCAAAGGGGGAAGTAGAAAACTTTACCAATTTTTGCATGATGTCCTTCCACGAGATCTTCTAAGCCAATTTCCTCCCAAAAGGCATCATCCCATCCAAATGCTTCCATATTTCGAGAATTATTCTCATCAACTTGTTGCATATGCGCATGTCCAAGATATGTCCACTTGCAAACTGTTGTACATAAACTACGTGTATCATCACCAGTTGCCCTTCAGAAAATCAGAGCAATTATCGTAAGCTCATCTGGTTTGAACATGTCTTCTGGAATGAAACAAGAAAATAAAAAAAAAATGGATCCACTATTCATAAAAGAACTCAAAAGCATTAACCTGTATGCCAGCCAGTCGCTGAGATCCATCCATCTAAAGGCCATGGACCATGATTCTTGCAAGTTCTCTTTCACCCATAAAAGCTGAATGATGAAGTTTAGTAAAAACATATCAGTCACCATTGCATCATCCGAAATAACCTAATCATTTCAACAAGTCAATCTGATTGATTCATTCAATTAGGAAAAAAAGCACATTTATCATATAAAACGCCAGCATAGGTCACCCAAGGCGCATTATCACAGTATTAAAGAGAAGGATTCTAATTTTTTGTCTTTTATAAGCCGAAATTCTCCGTAAACACCTTCATATTTGAATTATTTTATCAAATACTGTAAAATATCGGAGGCTAGAGTGTAACACTTACACACTGACAAATTTCAAATGTCTTGTCCATGAAAATATGGTAGCAGGTCAATAATTAATGAAGATAATTGTCCTACATTCCAAGATTTGATCAACATTTAGAGAAGGTAACTTGCACCAGAGTTCTTAATTTAGCATGTTAAAAATTTCACTAACAATATTTCCCAAAACCCACAGACCCTGTAAAGCAACTCTACAAAGCTCATCCCTCTTCAATTTTCATTAAACCCATCACATTTTTGCTTCTCCTCGATTCCACTGTCTTATTTTATGTATTGAAAATGTTCTTCTAACTCATTAACATAAATAGATGCAAGACAATAAGGTACCTTCGGGGCTTGCATTTCAGGGGAGAGAGCCCCTCCACAGTACTGCAATACAGGGGAGTTGAAGGAGTTGATTCTTTCAGCTTGTTTAACAGCTCTATGGTCCATCCATACGATGATATTTCTCCTTTCATCACCACTCCATGAAACAGTCACAGGCGCACCATCTGCATCCACAGCAACTAAAAGACAAGGCCAAACATTTCTTACATTGCCTTACTGGAAAAGAGGCATGGTCATCAACCACGCTGGGAGTAAGATAACCAACCAAGAGAGCAAGTCGCTGTGAATCCGACCCCAATCACTTCCTCAGCACTTATTTCTGCCAATGAGCATGCCGCTTTGACGGCTGCACAGACTGCGTGCCAGATATCTGTTGATGATTGCTGATTAAACAAAGAAATAAGAAATTTTACGAAAAGTCAGGGCTATCCAGAGTAAGACACAAAGGGCCGAAGAAAACGTGAATCCGTGAATTCACATTATTCTGAAGGCTCTTCTACCTCGATGCAGTCACCATCTTTCCATATTTGAATTGAACTACTTGCTGTACTGAGCAACTTCCCTTTCTCGTCGAAGAGGCCTACATTATACAAGCAAATACACCATGAAAATACGTTGATATTTGAGAACGAACCGTGAGAGGTGTGCACTTCAAACAAAGAGGTATTATACAAGCCAATTTAACGCAATATCGCAGTCCTCGTCGGATACAGCGAGTTTGCAACCAAATACACGTACTAATAAAGATAACGCTAACAGAACGGTTAAATAAGGGAAATTGAATGAAATAGTTAGAAGAATTGCGCGCTAAAAATGGCCATTCGGCATCGAGGATCAAAATACACCGTCAAATCCGAGTTGTCCCCTATAGAGACGAACGAAGACGTGGGAGGGAGCGTTCGCAGAGAGAACGTCGAGAACAGACCTGCCCGGGCGCTGCCGGTGCCGACGTCAACCCCGAGGAAAGCCGTGCGGGCAGAGGATGCGGTCATCTCAACGGCGGCCGCGGCAGAGCGCATGGCGGGGTGGCCGGACGGCTCCCACAGGAGGGGCGTAGTGTCCGACAATGACGAAGACGACCGCGCCTTCTGCTCTGACGCCATTTCTCTCGTCTGAATTTGCATGACTACGGAAATCACAATCCTAATTATTAATGATAACCTCGTAATTAGCCATAAGAGTATGCAAATAACCGGGTCCCACGACACGTGGAGCCGCCTCACTCGGCGAAACTCGAGAGATAACCTCTGAAATCGCGATACTACCCCCGATTGGTTCAACGATAACTCTACGACGATTTGAAGGGGCTTTTATGTAAATACATCCCCGCGTTTGATCCGTTCTCGCGAAATGGGCTGACGTCATTTCTTCGTCCGTTTCGTATCGCCATGCCACACGATTAGAAACATTTTTGTGTAGTTTTCAAACCGTCTCGTTACTGGGCCTTCTGGGCTCCACTTCAAGCCCGCCAGTTTAATTCCATAGCCCGTTAAGCGTTTCGCGATGGAGAGAGAGAGAGAGGGTGGTAGCCAGCCGAGTAAGGAGGAGGAAGAAGCGCACCAGATGAGAGAGAGAGGGAGAGGAAGGATACTGTGGGAGAAGCCCAGCCGAGGGAGAGCGGAAGAGAGAGAAAAAGAGAGAGGGGGGAGGGAGCAGGCGGTGAGTCCCGAGATGTCCTTTCCACAGTGCGTCACCTTGCTCCTACTCTATTGCCCTCAGCAAAACGACGTAAGAGGTCGAAAGGGCAATGATAAGGATGTGCACCGGAGAAGAGAGGGAAAGCGAAGGAGGGAAAAGGCGGTGTCAGTCCCGAGATCTCCCTTCTACTGCCAGACAAGAATGTGACCAGTGCGTCACCTTGCTCTTACTGTACTAAGAGAGAGAGAGAGGACCACCTTTCGACTGTAAGGACGGATTAAATTTTCTCCTCGTCTCAGGTTAGTTACCCGGGTCCGCGCTATGTTTCGAGGACGAGCCCAGCTGAGAGGGCGTGCGCGAGTCCGTGAGCGGGTGCCTCCAAACTGGCCCGCTGACAGCGATCCCCACTCCGAGCACTGCCGGCACTGAACATCTTCATTAACGAACTACCCATCATTGAATTCTCCCACAGCCGTCAAGTCAACGTCAGCGGGACCTCGCCGCCTCTGCAGCTGCATCACCGTGAAGAGAAGAAATAGCTCATAATTCATCTAACTGATCGGCGGGTGGGGCCAGCCTCCATTTTTTTAAGCCCGTCATTAATGTCGTATTAATACTTTCATTCTATAGATTATCTTTTATTTCTTTTATTGGTCTCATTTATCTCTACTCATCATGACTCGATTTCTTGTTGGACCTGGTCCAGCTGAGGTGGGGACCGTGGTGGGCCCCATGAACAGTCACTCCGGTTGGACTGCGCCACGACAGCGGCCGGATGCAACACGTGGACTCCAAATAAGTGGGGGGCCATCACATCCAATGAAAAATTGTTATTTCGCGGGACACCGCCCTCTCGCATGGAACGCGCCAGGTCACTTCGCCGCAGCGCGAGGTGAACGACGGTGACATCTCGCTACCATGTCATCAACGGCTTAGTTGACCCACAGTGACTGCGCTTTCTGGCGGTAAATCTCTCTGCCGATTTTAGGAACCCGTGAACGAGTTCGCATCCAAAGGGATTCTGACGGGCAAAAGACACTCACCACTTCCCTCTGCCTTCTTCGTTTGGTTTCACGATAAAATGGAAGCTACGCGGAGTAGAGAGGGGTAGTAAGGAAAATCGGAGAGAGAGCGAGAGCGAGAGCGAGAGAGAGAGAGAGAGAGAGAGAGAGAGAGAGAGAGAGAGAGAGAGAGAGAGAGAGAGAGAGAGAGAGGGAGAGAGGGAGGGAGAGGGAGAGGAAGAGGGAGAGGAAGAGGGAGACCTTGTGGCCGAGTAGAGAGATGGAGTACAGGATGCTCAAGACCGAGGGCTTTCTCAGGCTGCTCTCTGTGGTGTTTACGGCGCTCACGGCCTGCGTCATTGGGCTCGATACGCAGACGAAGGTGGTCTTCGTGGAGAAGAAGGCGACCGTCAAAGACTTGTCTTCATTATGGTATGATAGTCCATCTCCGTAGAGAAACGGAGAATGGGCAGGTAGATGATGACTGATGCACTTTATTCTTCCTGTTAGGGTTCTAACAATCGCTGCTTCTGTCGCGGGAGCCTACCAGCTCCTTCAATTCTGTAAGTGCCTGCTCATTGGCCTGTCAGGGGAAGGCAACTGCCGTTGCAGCAAAGGCCTCTCGTGGGTTTGCCTGCTTTTAGACCAGGTACCTTCGCCCTTCCCCCCTCTGCAACTTCCCCTGCGCTCTTCGGATTGTTTAGCGTTTGAATGTTCTCGTCCAGAGAGAGAGAGAGAGAGAGAGAGAGAGAGAAGGTTATAGATAATGAAAGAAGAACACGAGATCAGAGGCAGAGGATGACGGGAGCGATGGGTTGATCGTTGTCGTCTGGGATTTCTAGGAATTCTACTAATTCCAAAACCGCATGCATGATATTCATCGACTGATCTTATCCCTACTCTTCTCTCTCTCTCGCTCCCCGTTTTAGGGTTTTACGTACGGCATGGTTTGCACTACGGCGGCGGCGACCCAAGCTTCGCTGTTAGCGATCACGGGAGCCAACTCCCTGCAGTGGAGGAAGGTCTGCAGCATTTTCACCAGATTTTGCGAGCAAGTCGGTGGGGGGCTCGCCTGCGCTTTCGCCGCTTCACTGGCCATGTCTATGCTGGCCGCCATCTCCGGCTACCGCCTCTTCAGAAACCACTACGCCCTGAAACGGGCCTCCCCGAAGAGCTAGATGGAGCCTCCTCACTCCAGTCAGTTAATCTTGCTATCCCCCTTAATTATCCTCGGTCGTCGGTTCTTTTTCTTTCTAGATCCCTGTGAAATACCGTACTTGCTGTCGACGGCTGCTTCTACGCTGCAAGTGTGAGGGCGTGCGAGTTGTTGATTAATTTTAATAATATTTAATTGCTACTTGGCTAAGCTATGCTTTTAACCCGTGATGACGGGGACATGACGTTAATTACAAAAACTTTATAGAGAATTATTCATAAATGAAACTATAGAGGGATTTATTGATAATAACTCGATTTCAACCCTCCGAGCTATTTTGGTCAACCAGTAGGATAAAAATACGAAGATATCCCTCTCCATTAGTAGAGTAATTGAGCCCAATAGGCCCATTTATGAATCCCATGGGCCCATAAATCCCTTCCCTCCGGTGGGACCACCAGATGAACGCTTCCCTGGCACGTGAATTAGTAGGCTGGGCCACGCATTGTCCGAGGGCTATGCAAGGCCCAAATGGGCCCAATTATAACCCTAAATAATCCACGTTCTATTATGTATGCTCCATTCGCGATTTCGACCTTTCCCGACGAACGTTGGGAGAGCGGCTGCTCCCTCCCTCCCGCCTTCTCCCCTGAGCGCTGGCAGTGGCGCGGAGACGGCGCAGGGCATTGTCCGATCATCCCGCCGATCGTTCTCCCCTCCCCTCCCAGAAGCAGTCTCGATGGACGTCGTGCTAGCTTCATCTCCGGTGGAGGCGGGTGTGGAGTGTTGGGACCTGCGGACAGGGGCGGAGCAACTCCGATATCGTAATTGCGCGTCCGCCCCCCATGGGCTTGTCTCGGTCGCCGGACGCTTCATCGCCGCCTCTCAGCTCAGGGACAGCTCCTCGTCTTCGGGCTCCGTACTCTACTGGTCATGGGACAAGGTTAGTTTTGCACCTTGGTGCATTGAATTTACTCTCCGCGCCTTGTGGATCCCAAGAACACACAATCGGGGGCAGTCCTTTTACACTTCCCTTGGTAAGCGACCTGTTTTAAAGCATGTGAATTCAGTTCCGGGAAATCCTATAACATTCCTGTTTTTCATTCACTTAAATGGACGGCGAACACCCAAACCATCTCCACATGTGACTCGGTTGTGTTCCACATTTTCTAATGATTTCCCGCGTTAAATATGTCGTAATGCATGGGACAATGTCTTCTTTCCGCTCGCTCGGCTTGTGAAACGGTGGTAATCTCTTCTTTACTTTGTATGGGCACGCTAGACACCCGTTTCATGTAAGCTTGACTATGTTTCCTTCTAACATGTCTAGTCCAATTATGGCTATCTTTTGTTGTCTAAGTTGGGTAAACTGATGTTATTGGACGAAAGATTTTCACACTATTGGAAACTCATGTGTGTTACCACCAGCGAACGACGAAATTGGAATTTTTTCGTCAAACGTCTCTCTCTGTGTAAATATTTATCTTTCTGTTTTCATAAATAGACGACGTTTGTGCAAGGTTGTAGTCTGGTGTGTGTTTATAAGTGCTATTTGTATAGACGGATCTGGCCTTTCACGTGGAGCGGGGTAATATGGAATTATGTTTCAGGTCTTGTTCCGGTGAAGGTCTGCGATCCGCCTCCTTCTTAGTGCAATATATGGCATTGTCAATATGTGATCGTCCACATTGTGTCCTGTTTTCTGTCATAAAGTGCTCTCCAACCTCCAGCGCGTTCTGAGATCTATTTATACTTCATATCCTAGCAGCTGAATGTTCAATGATCTCCATCAGTACGCTTTCTTATTAATCTGGAAATACTTCACCAGATGATGGGATTACGAGCTCCAAGTTGTTGGTCTTCGCTTGAACTTGACATGACTCGATCTTCTCAGTAGTACCCCAGTTTACTGCTGAGAAGATCAGTTCCCCAGTTTAGTATCCCCAGTTTACCATTCATTTTGTTGGGATTGCCCTCCATTCATCCATCAGTAGATCAGTTCAGATTTCATGGTTCATGCAACTGATACACAACAAACAATACGCGTGGCTACTGTCACTCTCATTTGCAGAAACATCAATCAAGGCGAAACATCTGAACAAAAATATTACATAGAAGAGAATCTATCGGCATTCTCATTCACACGGTATTGCTCTCTTTTCTTCTGCAGCCCCAGGTGGAAACTAAGAGCTTTCCTGCAGAGCCCATCTTTCCTCTCGTTTCAAACTCTGATGGGAGCTATCTCCTAGGCGGAGGCTCTTCTGGAAATATTTACATCTGGGAGGTGCGTTCTGGATTCTTTGATACACCTAAACCCACAAATGTCCACTTGTTTCGCGAAGTTTTCACCATTTGCCAGGTAGACTTGATCTTGTATCGGTGTTGGTTAAAGTGATTGAATATTTCTTGTATTTCTCAAGATTCTCAGCGGTAAGTTGCTTAAAAGGTGGCAAGCTCATTACATGGCTGTCAGTTGCTTGGTGTTCTCAGACGACGAGTCTCTTATTATATCTGGATCTGATGATGGTAGTGTTAGAGTCTGGTCTCTCATGAGGTAATTTATTGCGCTCTCTTGATGTCTGTTCGACAAATATTTACGTTGATATCTAATCTTTGAGGCTATAAATGCAGACTATTTGACAAGAGGGAGAATGAAGTGGTGAAGGATCCCTTTCTTTACAGTTTCCAAGAGCACATGTTACGTGTCACTGACATTGTCTCAGGTTATGGACTATGCAACTCGATTGCAATTTCGTCATCAGAGGACCGGACATGCAAGGTACCATGGGCTGTGGTTCTCTATGAGTAATATCTGTCTGGGTCGCACATTCTAGTCATCTGCTTTGGAATATCACGTAGTACATGCGATATTTATGCATGTTGTGCTCTAGAAATGTTTATGATACAAATTATAGACAAAAGGAAAATCTTGGTCATAAAATCAAAATGTCACTGGTGATTAATTACTGTTGTTTACTGTAACATACAAAAATTTTCAACCTTTTTTTTAATTTTTCCTCGAGAGTTGTTGTTACGGAATATATGCCAAAGTGAAGTTTGGGCAGCTCGGTATTCTACCGAAACTAAAAGTTTCGTCTTCAAAAGTTTTGCGTTCCTGGTTGATTGTGACTTATATTGATTAAAATCCACTTCCTTACTGCTTGTTGAAGTGATGAAAACCCTCTTAAAGTAATGCAGTTTCTTTGGCCAATTCACATACGCATGCCATTAACGCTATGAGTTGGCACAGTATACGCGAGTTGTCACATTTACATTTAATTGGGAAACAAATAGACCCAAGTCACTTATTTGATTGTGATTTTTTATGATTCCTTTTAATGCGTTTTTTACTCGAATGTAATTGGGGTTATCATTTTATAGGATTTATTGGAAAATACTTACGACTTTGATTCTTGTCACGTATGTCCTTTTGTCATTTAAACATTAATGCAACATTTTCTTCATTGATATCTTAGGAGCATCCAGTTATACTTGTTTTTTCTCATAATGATAACTAGCAGTGACGATCTCCAGATATCTTGATTCATTTTTGGGTGGTCCATCTGTTGCTGAAAGAGTTTTACATCACATTGTACCTTATTTCAGGTTTGGAGTTTATCAAAGGGTAAAATGTTAAGGTCAATTACATTTCCATGCATCATGAATGCTATTGCATTGGATCCTGGGGAACACGTATTTTATGGCGGTGGAAGAGATGGGAAAATCTATGTTGCTGCGCTTACTGCGGATTGTACTTCTACTGGAACTTATGAGAAGCATATTGTTAGCTGTCTGAGCGAGCACAGGTTATTACTTCCACTTGTTTTGTTGATGTATTAGTTTTGACATTATGCTTTGTTTGATGACGTTTTTGTTTTTTTTTAAAAGCTGGTTCCATGCCTGTCTTCATAAGTTAAAGGTTAAGGAGGATGCGCACAAGAATATGCTAATTCTTTAGACGCTCGTCCATTGTCTCTATCCATTTCCGTTCCCCAGTCTCATCCTACATCTTCTTCTGATTCAACAAGGCTCCCTCAGCCTTTGAATATCACTCATTAATGCACACATGCATCGGTGGTTTAATCATTTTTCTTGTCCCGCTAATATTAATTTATCTTGTTTCAGGAACTCTTGTGATTAGTTTTAGCATCTACTGTGTGCGGGGGGGGGGGGTGGATACTACCGGTTTCCTGTTTTCTTGGATTTTTATTTTTTTTTGGGGGTCAATTCTAATCCTCTGATCTTCCTCACTCCTGCAGTAAGGCTGTTACATGCCTTGAGATCACCAAAGATGGAGTTACATTGGTGTCGGCATCAGAGGATGGCACTGTTAGGGTCTGGGATATTAAAAGTCAACAGGTTATCCGCGTACTAAAGCATTCAAAAGGTAATATCTATGAGCATATTTCTTAGTGTGTGAACCAGTGTAGACATTCTGATGCATCTCAGCTAAACATTAGCCATTGCATCACAGGTCCAATCAACAATATTGTTATTGTCCGGCAACCAATGGATATGCTTTCTCAGACTTCAACGAACGGAGAAATATCTTGTTCAAAGCGTCAACGTTTGTCAAACCTACCACCATTGGATAAATATGTTGATTCAACAGGAACCCCCAACGTTAGACTAGTTTCCACCATCCAGACGTCTTTTGATGAGCCACTGGAGAGTAGATATTGCAGTTCCCGCTCCATGGTGAAGCAGATCAGAGAGCTTCAGGTTTCTTCCGCCACTATTTTGACATTATTTTCCTTCAGAAAATTCATATATTTCGAAAAAGAGATTTTTCCTAGATTGTTCATCTGTTTGCGCAGAGAATTGCTTATTTAATTTATTTCGTCTTTAATTTATTGCATTCATGGTAATGCGGGGCCAATTTCTTGGGGGTGCGAAGTTCCTTAAATATTGCATTTAGTATTATCCATTTTCTTAATGTTTCAGTGATATATTTTAGACGTGGAAATCTGGAAATTATGGAAATGGATAGAAAATTGTGACGATGATAAACTGTATGACATCGCTCTCTTTTCAAAAACTGAATCAATTATAGTATTGAGAAGCATATTACAGGATGTTTCTGTTCACTAAATTTATTCACTGAATCAAATTCTATCATTCCAATTTCACTAAGTACTTTTCGAGTGAGATCTTCTTGCATCTTATTGCTCAATGTCCCCTGTTTATGGGATCGCTTACTCTGTTCTGATATTGTTTGCGGGGTTAAGTTCTACGCCATGAGTATATCTATGCTGTTCGGTGTTCGTGGTCGTTGACTTTCACCGATGCCACCCATCCGGTCTCGTCTTAGAAAAACACCCTTCTGGGTTTGTGATCGGCCCCTTATTTTTCTTACCTTCAGCAGCGGAGCTCCTCTGGCGCAGTGGAACTGGAGCTGGAGCGGCTCAGGGAAGAGCACCGGGTGTCATTGCAAATGCTCCAGCGGAGGAAGAAACTGTTTGAGGACTTGTGGAAGGTTCACGTGGACAAGCTCCTGGACGGGGACGAAGCAAGCGTTGGCCATTCGTCGTGAGAACGGTCGCAACTGGATCCATGCCATGAAACAGAGGGCAGCTTCTGTCACCAGCAACCAGCAGCAGATGGGAACATTAAGATTCAGCTGAGGATAAGTTACAGTCGTGGAATTGTAAGTTGCAGATCGCGGGCACTGCCCTCCGAAGAACGCGAACGCGGGCCTGTTCATGGCGGTCACCTTCTAGGGCAATCGATAGGTGGCATGTGGAGTCATTCTGCATCAAAAGCTTCGTCCTCATCCTCGTCCTCGTCCAAGATGTACACCAGAGCACGCTTTCTACTCGCGAACACGCATGCGACTCCTCTTGAAGCTGCCCACAAGATTCAAGGTGTCAGATGTCGCATTCTGCAGTCAATGCAATGATTCGTGCAGACAAGGAGAAGAGTTAACGACTCCCGCTTCTTTTTTTTATCAAAGAGAATATTCTCAAGGGAAGTCAAAGGGGCCATGGAGATTAGCATAAATTCGTTTTAAAATGGGGTAGTTTTTAGATTTTAGTTATAAAAGAATCGCACCACGCCCATTGACACTTGCCCGTTTATTCAACAAGAGTTGTTAAAACACTCTGAAATGACCGGAATAATTAAGTCTGGAAGGAAAAAGTCAACCAGAATCATAGCGTGGCAATCAAGTTTAGCATGATAGAGAAGCATAGTTTCTGAGGATTATGTTTTCGGAGCTGCTAGTCTTCAAGATTTGACTTTGGGATTCAAGTTTTCATGCCCCTAGGTGCAAAGATTCGCGCTGTACTAAATGTAATTTTAGGAATCTAATGCCACTCAAGGAGATAATGAAGATATTTAGGTGGTCGATAGATGTAACTTTCACAAGGCAATCGTCAAGGCAGCACATTAATAAAATTAATAAGGCAATTGAAACAGGGAATGCACTAAGTTTATAATAAAATACCAAATTAATGTACAAAACAAGCATATGAGGATTCAAGAAGATGATCTTACCACTTACTGCCAATGGGGCAGACAACGAGTGGGAAATACAGCGTAGCTTCCCACTTTCCAAGTCCAAGTCCACAGCAAAAGCCTGGCATCATAAAATAAGGATTGTTAACCAAATACCAAGGGATGGGTCAATTATCAAGAAAAAATTTCTTGAGACATGCAAACAAAGACACGGTTTTCAATAACTTTATCACATTCAAATTTAGCTACTTAGATAATAAATTTTTTTCTAAAAACTACGATGAACAATAACCGTCAAATATTTTAATTAAAAAAAAAAATCATTTCATGTGCAACAACGGTTCATTGTTCTCCTAAAAGAATGGTACTAATAGGAAATAGTATTAATGACATTGACTGCCTTTAAAATTTTCTAAAGGTTTTAAATATCCCAACTCACACCAGTTAAGAAGATCACTATTTTTTGAAACCCTATGTCAAAACTACAAGGGCCTATGCGTACAAATGGCATTGACATCGTGCATAGTGTAAACAAGATGGAATCAGACAAGTACATAGACCCTATAGAAAAGGGAATCGAATAAATGATTACATAATAGCATGTTCCTGCTCGATAGACCACAGAATGGCCAGTAGGTCACATAAACTTCCTATGACCACAGAATTCTCAAATGCTGCGATGATTCCCACGATTTCACCAGCCATTTAGGTTTTCTGACGGAATGAAAATCCATCAACGTATCAACGAGGTGTACAGAGAAAATCATACATACCCACACACAATCCCATGCTCTTCCTATGCCCACTCACCGACTCCCCTCAAAACACAAACCGCAGTTATATATATCAGAGCACTAAATATAACTCACACTAGATCTACTATCATGGTGTCAAACCCTAATCATAGAAATACTACTGTAAGACCCCTGTCTAACTTCTGTCATAAAAGCTAAAATGTAACATACGTAAGTTTCAAATGCTTAAACAACTCATATTCTGACTACTGAGCTTGCCTGTCCATCATGTACATCACATGAAGAAAACTCGGTGAGAAATTCAGCGTCAATTTAGTGACAAAGTCACGTACCTTCAACTCATGCAATTTCCAAAGGTCTTCACGTATAGATCTCGAAATAGATACAAAAGGAAGATTTTCTGTTCTAAACATCATCATGCAGGAATTTCCAGGGGTTTCAGACGTGGCTACTGTTTCATTGAGTAATAAAACGATCTGTCCATCCTGATTCAACAAACATAACTCAATACGTAATTTGGAGAATGAAAACAGAGTTTATAGTTTTCAGATGATTGGATAACTACCTTGTAGGGTGAAAGATCAATACATTCATAGTCACTGGGAACACGTATAACAATCGCTTGAAGAGAAGAAACTCCCTCCTCAGTAGTACCCGATTGAGATGAAAACCTTTTTATAATGCCTATACTATTTATCATATCCATGGAATCATCAGGTATCTTGAAGCAAATGTAATCCACCTGTCTGCCACCAGATGTATAGCAAATAGAAGTATCGACCGTTTCATCCTACAAAACATTATGGCCATCATTAGCAGAAAACCACATACAAATTAATTAATGCGTATATTCTTCAAGCAGTTTAGATAAAGACATTTTGACAGTGGTGATGATCTCTGCATCCGAAAAAGGAACGTATTAAAGGAGTATAATGGGACATGTAAATTAGGACTAGCGCCACAATGACAACTTGGAAAAAATGAGAGAGAAAGACATGAGATGCAAAATTCTGCCCCTTAAGTAAAATCTTAGAGCCTCTATACACATTCCCTCGTCACTTTAAAAAATTACAGCTCTAAGAAAATGGGGAGTGACAAAATATACTATAACCCCAAGAATAAAAAGTAACTAACCCTCTGAGTAGGGGGAAAAAAGTGTACAAAGTGTATAGAAATCTGTGCACGGATATCAATCAATCCCCTGGGTTTCTCCAACAATTTGTCACATACTGAATTCCACCAAAACTTTCTGCACAGTGCAAAGAGCTTAGTTTTAGCATAACAAAGTCACGTGACATTTTTTCACTTGGAGAACATATTTCCAGAAACAATCAAAGTAGATATCTGTGCACAGAATGAGGTATAAGCATATTACAGTCAACAATGAAAGACTTCGTGGATATCATCTTTCCAATTGAATTCAAAGTTGCGTACATGACAAACAAAAAAGGCTGAAATTCTTCCCCCAACTAAACTGCTGTCTATATTAGAGGCAGATATATATGCCAGGATGAAAAGGAAGTCTTAGACATCCTTACAGAATCTTAGGTGCTCTAGTCTGCAGGGGCCCGTAAGAGTAGCCTTTTTTCATGTTGAATGAAAAGGCAGGATTAGAGACACAGAAGAGAGCTCAAAAAGATAGGGACGAGGACGAAAAAGAAGGGTGTCAGGAGTGAGGTTAGAGAGACAGAAGAAAGAGCTCCACGAGGGAAGGTTCATGGGAGTCGGATAGACAAATGGAGAAATGGGAGAGAGAGAGATAGAGTAAAGTAATAGGTGGTGAGACTGGAAACCCAAAGAAAACAACAAGAAGAAGGATCAAAGGGAAGAAGACGGAATCACCTCTCTATCTAGGCAATGGAGAAGCAGAATTGAGAATTCAAACCCTTCACCGATTTACATAGGGCTGAGAGCACGGGTGAACTGGTGCAGAGGAGGTTGAGTACAAGGAAGAATGGAGAGGAGGCGCTACTACAACAGTGGCTGGTGTTGTGTAACAATAGCTGTACACAATCTCCTCACACACAAACACCTTCCTTTCTCCAACATTTTGGCGAAAATGCGGCTTCATAAGTAGCCTGCTCTTCTACAAAAACAGCTACAACATGAAGACTGGTTGCTATAGCAGCTGATCACCACGTCAGCCATTTCTGGCAAGGAGGGAGATGGGAGGATGCAGAAGCACATATAGACAGGCTACACTGATTAAAATACTTAACGTTAATAGGTAAGTGAGACTACACAATAATGAAGAATTTGGAGAAATGTCCCCTCGAAGAAGATTATCACTTTAACGAAGGTAATTTAGGAAAAGATTTCTGGAAAGCTCAAAATACATCAGCAGTAGCGCAGATGATAGAGAATACCTTGACGTAGGATACTGATGCTGGCGGATTTAAGGAGGTCACAGCATAAGGAGAAGAAATGGGATACAATGGTAAGAAGTCCTCACAGCATATCCTTCTTGAAATGGTAGAAAATGGCATAGAAAAAGCCTCTTTGAGACTGCAAATATAAATAGAAAAGTTACATGCGTCTGTTAAACGACAAGAAAGCAGCTAGACCATGAGGAAAAACCGAATGGACACAAATATGAAAAAGAGATGAAATTAATTTCTTGAACAAAATAAATGGATTCATCTCACTTTCTTTTATCATTCGCTTGAATCTAGGCAAAGTGAACCACTTGATTTATGAAACAATGACACTGATGACAGTTTCATTACTGCCGCTCTTGGGTTCTGCTTCTTTGAAGCATTAAGGCAAAGCATGAATATGATGAAATGACATAGAAGGAAATGAGGAACGTTCCCCTGTCTGCAATCCGCAGGTGATGATGGTTCGAAACGAGGGAGAGAGTGCTTCACGAATGTGATAAGGTGTCGAATATGAATGTGCCTACACTCCAGACCTGATTCAATACCTAATTAGAAGATACTTTACACCTTGTGTCCATATTTCCTCTTGAAATCATTTTATAATAGAAAATAACTCAAATTTTCATACCAAGCTACAAACTACAGGTCATTCAGAACACAAACTACAAATAAAATAAAATACAATAACATTCATCCTTTTTCCAAATTTACACACTGATAACTATCCAAACAGGGAAATGATCTAGGAATTGCTGCCACCGAAACTGGAAAAAATGACATTGCAGAGTGTTAGTAAGAGTGGGGAGGATTCTAAATTTTCCTGATCGCCAAAAGGTAGTGACTCTAACATTCTCAAAATCATAAACACAGGATTCAACTGTACTTCCTCAAAATCGAATGACATAAATCAAATTATGACAATGGTAAGCTAATGCAACCTAGAAAAAAACAGTCAGCATCCACAGAAGTATTAAAGCCATCATATGGTTGTGGGTAGGCACTGACGACAGGTAACTTGGTACAATTATTTGTGATGAGAAGCAAATTGATGACTCATTGATGTTGGAAAGTCCAAAGTTTTGAAACTTCACAGGGTTCCAATTTGGAATTTCCATCTACTTTTGTGCATAATTGATCTTGTAGTAATTGCACTCGATACAAAAAATTGACCAATACAAAAAAGCATAATCTGACAAGAAGAGTAGAAGAATAGAGTAGTATAAAAACCCGAATCCTGATGGTTGTTCTTGAGAACTCTCGTCCTAGGCATACCCATGGATTAGGGTATTTGTTTATCCCCATCATGTACACAATGAACATAATGCCCTCGCATAACAACATTTGGGAATACGGATATAAATAGGGAGTGAAGAGTGATGAAGACCTGAGATGGATTCTCCAATTTTCCATCAACGGTTACAAGAAGAGAGCTGTTAAAGGCAACTGCTTTAACCACTTTCGGCCTAGCTAACCCCGACCTTTTCACTGACTTTATTAAAAATGCTAGGCCGAGTTTGCGTTTCACATAACCCAGCATGTCCCAGTCCACTGGCATTCCTATTTCTAAGAACTGATGTACCATTAGAAAGGAAAATTACAAAATATTATCAAATAATTTTTCTCTTGAGACAAGCCGTTGAAGAAATTATAAAAGTTCTCTCCTCCAGGAGCAATAAAATAATTAAGCATATCGGCAATATGGCATCCACTAATGGCATTATGTCGCATGTTAATGGCAATAATATCTCCATCAACACAACCACACAATGCAGAAGAAAAAAAAATCGCTATTAACTTTGTGAGATGTCATCAACTTCTGATAAAAGTAGAAATACCTGTTCTCTAGTTCACCAAATTCCTTCGTCAATGTCCTTCTTAAGTAACCAGTATCCAGAAACCCCCCAAATGCTCTAAGTTCCTCAATCCTTCGCATTGTATCTCTGGTTATGCATGAGATATTTTACATCAAATTCTAACAAAATCAATAAATTCTTCTAGTTAAAATATAGAGTGAAAACATAAAAAAGAAGATATATGATTGGTCAACCATTGTATGAGCATTTACTCATTTCATTCAAGCCAGAAGATTTCAAAGCGTCACATCTGGTTTTGAAACAAAAAACTAGTGGCATTCCACCATCAAAATCGATAATTGTTCAGCGTAGGATGTGATACAATGGAGGAAGTTAAGTCAAAGAGGTTACACATCAACTTCGATGTCATGAAGGACTTCAGATCCTTCCAAAAGTTGCTTCACAGGGTCACAGTTGTAATGAAACTTCAAGAATGTGATGATAAGTTCACTGCAAGGACCAAAATAATATTATCACATACACCATACATATGAAAAGCAACTAATAGACTAGATAGGATCGGAGCCAAACATGTTCGGTAGAGAGACCGGAGTAGCTGACTCAGACATGAGTAACTTTATACACCTCATAAGCCAACTAAAGAAATTCTGAAGCTGTTAAAAAAAAACAGCAAACGCAATTCAGGATCAGCGAGAAGCCCATAATATTTTATGTTAGGCTGCATTACCTTTCAGAAGAATGTTGAGGCAGTTATTAATGCACATCATGAGAAATATACATCCAATGGCCAACCAGAAAAGCAGTATTCAAAGACAAAAAAAGAAAGGTTGTCATACAAGGCAACGTGAAGTCACAAACTCAGGTGGAAAAGATGACATTCTCTACCATTATGCACTTATGGATCAACCGCATTGAGCTAAACTATTTGCATTCTCAGTCATTTTTTATCTACTTTCTTCTAAACGTAGCAATTCAAAAACGCAAATTTCGGGAGAATTAGTCCGAACGTTTGTGGTACAACATCAAAGAATATAGAGCTCCACAAAGGAAAATGAGTCGTATTAATGATAAAACAAAATAAACAATTACTTGGGGCGTGCACTTTACATACCTTGACATCCTAAAAGAATAATTTAATTACCATAAGACAATCATTTATGGCATCTGATTTAGTCTAATAAGAAAAATAAAACTTTACAGCAATAATCAGCTGTATTATTCTCCATTACTTTTTCTTCTTTAACTTTGTCTAATTGAATTTATTGAGACAGGCTACACTATCCTCTACGTCACTTCCACTGCATAAGTTTATCATTTTTATGCAGAAGCATGCTGACTTGGGGAATAATCTGCCGGGCTTAAGCTCAATTACCTATCTCGTGCAATATTTAAGTGGTCATGACCTACCATGTGCCTAGCATGTGATTTTGTAAACAATCATGTGTCCAGGATGTGATTTTTAAGACTAGTCTGTTAACAGGCTAAACTAATTAATCTTAGGGAGTTTTAAGGCTCTTAGGATCCTCAGAATTATACAAATGTTTCTGGAGACTGCTGGAAAAATTCATTACAAAACTGAGTTTTTCTTTTAAATTAAAAACCTTGAAGGGTCTCTATCCTTGCCATCTCCTGAAGAGAATTAAGTTCTTCTGCTGCTCCAAGGATTTTCTATCAACTCTCCCTTCCCCTCCCCCCCAACCTTCTCATCTCCACTTCGAATATTAACAGGTTCTATAGGACATAAATCCCTTCCAGTTGAGATCCAGGACATAAATTCTGCCTTGCTACTCCATACGCATTATAAGGTATCAGGAGAAAACGGGAGTAGACGATCTGTGAGATAATAATGGTGCGTTTTCAATAACTAGATGCTCATTTAAATGTATGCATTTATAGTTTAATATATACACACATTTTAAACGTCTAAAAAACAAAAAAAATCATAGAATAAAATTTGAAAAATCATATAAGTGGCATGGCCCTAAAAGTACACAGGAGAAAAATAACGTAACTCTCAGTTAATAATAGTACGATAAATGAAGCAAAACATGCCTCATGTATGACAATTGCTAGAACCCTCAAGAAGCGTTCAACTTGAACAAGCAGTATTCCAGCTCTTTCTGTTGCATTATCAATGAGCTTCTCATCTAGCCCTACACTATGATAACGTGATCGCCATCTTGAAAGACCTCGCAATTCTCCAATCCTAAATCCTATGATTTCTGCAGCAGGCTACAAAATGAAACATTGAAAATATATTTAATTAGATTTTTACGTCTCCAAAATGGAATACTTGAGATCAGAGGGAAGAATCCAAATACCAATGGAAGAGGATAATTGGAATTCGAACATGAAGGCACTGATAAAAATACTCTCAGATTACCAGTTAAACCTTCTCATACGAAATGATGGTGGATCAATTTAAAGAGATAATAAATGAACTAATTAACCAGGATTACATAAACATGATAAAGTAAAGGAAATGAAGATCTAGGAAAGCTATGAACATTAAGCTGAACTTGTGAATCATCTAAGAGTTACTAACTTACGTATGTGACACCATAGTTAATATGTAAATCCTATCCAAGTGCACAATTGGGTTTCTCCTTGTTCATAAGATGTATATACATTGAGAAAAACATGCCAATCTAATTTTCTGGAGACAAAGCTATTACAACAGTCAACAATGGAACTCAGTCATGCATTTGGTTGGTGAGACACTACGGAATAATAGAAAAACTCCGCAGAAAAACTTTGACCGGAAAAATGTAGTGCAGGAAGGAATATCAGCCTCATTTTTCTTCATTTCGAAGAGAAGCTGAAATAGTAGCAACCATATTCATAATATCCAACCATAGGATTATATATCTCAGCAGTACTTCAGCGGCACGGAGGCAGACTGATCATGTTCAAAACTGGTCCAGATAAACCATAACCAGGGAAAAAAAACAGTCTCTCCGGGCAATTTGGTTAATACAAGACTCTGAGTCCATGAACAACGATTACAGTGAAGGGGAGGTAGATAGAGGGGATTAAAAAACCATATTTTCCACATAATTTCAAGCTCAGGCTGCTTTTTTTCTACTGACTGAATAGTCCGAAGCATATTTAGGCCTGATTTCTCTTTCCCACCAACTTTTATTGTCTGATTTTTCATTTTTTTTTGCTAAAGAATGGATTTGTATCCCTAGTATGGAATTGGTGGGGAAATATGACTGTCCCATGATCACCATTTTGGAAAACCGTGAAGAAAATACGTGATTTGCAAAAAGCCACCAACTATTGGACCTAATCAAAATATTATTCCAGATTCCACTTGAGTAGGTTCGCCACTACAAAAGAACAGATTCAACAATTATAAACCATTATCCTCTGAATTTAAAGCATTTACCTTTTAATGACTTCCCAAGTGTTCAACATAACTCTTACAACTGAATTAGCCAAATCTAGCAGCTACCAATGACTGTACCCCATTAGCAGCAGACTCTGACCAGAAACAACAATCATAACGCCAAATTTTCTAGTAAATACCATTGCCACAATTATCATGGAAATCAAGAATGGTTTATGACATAAGAATACATCTTCCTTATTTTACTTATGTATGCGTCTACATATTCCTTCTTGCATTTGACTGTTCTCTAACTGGAAAACAAGGAAAGCATAAACAAGCAAAGAAAAGGAAAGAGACACAAATATGCATACTTGAAGATGTTCACGGATTATCAAGTTAAGCTCTTTGCCAGCACCATCAACAGCTTTGATGACACGTTTCAGACCCTGTCCCACCAAACCTGGTAAATAAACTACAATAAAAAAAAATTCCAACCAAAATACCCTCATCATACCACTTCACCAAGAGAATTGACTAAAAACTGATGGAGTGGTGGACTTGATCTAGCCCCAAGTAAGAGAGACAGAAACTCCTCTTCAGGACTTGAGTCGAGACCTGCAATTAAAGAAATAAGTTGCAAAACTCTCACAGGTACGCCTCAATTTGATCAGTGAATTAGGTAGAAGATATCAAAACTACCATGGTCAATTATTAAAGAAGCAAGTGAGTCGCACTTCTCATAAAATGTGCTCATTGCATCAGACCACTGTTTGTACATTACTGACAATGAAGCACGGATGACCTCAATTAAATCCTCAATGCTTGATGCTTGCAGGGCCACCTGATAGAGCTCGTTTCTTCTGTTAAACGAATGAAAAGAACGAAAATGGATTTGACACCCAGTGACAGCAACAAAAAACTAAACAGAACGCAACACAGTAAAATCAAAATATAATTCATTAGAAACACTAAAACTGATCATGGTAAATCACTCAAGCAGCGAGACAACTATTCTTGATGTGACATTTTGTAAAGATCAGCCGTTTTTGTTTGTGGATAATGTTTTCAAGGTTCACACGGGAAATTTGTCTCAACCATGCCTTAAACAGATACTACATCTAGGCGGCCTATTATCTACGCCAATCATTAGGCTGTCGAGAATTTTACAAATTGCACAAGAATTTCCGCACCCTCTAGAAAGATTTTTGAAAAAAGCAATAACACTCCTCGACAACAAACATCAGAAGATGGCCAATATATTGATTCTAAGAAAAAAACAAATTTACAAGCTACTAGCTATCACATTGAAATTGGAATGTTAACACGGATTGACAACAAGCACAAGAGGATTTCATTCCAGAAATCTAGAAGTAAATGATAGAATTTGAATAAAATTATCCAAAAATGAAGAATCAAAACTGCTGATTTCCCGCACTGACAGAAGAGTTTAGATTAAGGGACCCCTGAGGGGGACCGCTCTACCAAAGTAGTGAAAGGGACCTCGTTGGACGAGGGGTTTCCTCTCTCAGGTTCACCTCCCGGGTATGGAGTTCTAAATGAAGATTTTATGGAGTTTGGAGTTTGGAGTGAGGCTTCGCTGACTGAGACTAGAAGAAAAAAGAGGATGGAGATGAAACACGATATCCAAAATGCACACAGGCAGCAAGTTCTGTGGAGTCTGGTTTTTCATAGATGAAATCGTGATCGTCAAATCTGTTGCTATGTCACGTTATTTTGTCTTTATTTGAAACATTTATAGTTATATTTCTGTCGTAGTTCAGTTTCAATGAGGCATCTTGATTCAAATTTCCCAAAGGAGATTTCTGAGTCATATAACTTATGGTACCAGAATACTGCCAAACCTCCGCACATCTTCATTGTATCTAATACATACAAAATGCTTCTTGATCATCCAAGTCACTACGTTGTTGTATCAATAAGAAAAGTATTGTCTAATAGATCTTCTCTCATCATGAGATCGAACCCAATCAGCATCTACATCTCCTTTAATTAGGATTTATTGAGTTTTAGAGAAAAAAATTAGGTTCCTCCTGAGAACTTGATATAATAGAGAACCTAATCCAAAACTTTAATGTCATAATTTGGTGACTGCACATTAATTTATCATACCCATAACGATGGTGATATATGATCCATTGACAACTAAGAAGAAAAACTTACCTTCTGGCCTTTGACATTTTATCTTATAACCACAAGACAAGCTCCTCTTCTTGTCCATTCCAACAGGGATTTACTTAAATTCGCGTCAGACTTACCCTAACTTTTGCATTCCTTTGGCAGAAAAGACATGCAAATTTGCACTGACAGATATAAACACAATGTATTTCCGATAGAAGTTTTGTTTATATATGTACAAGAGATTCTGTTCATGTTGATTTGCCTTTTACACGCGGATGAGTTATTGGGGTCTAAGACCCAATGGTTATTACTGTTGCAAATCAATATAACATGAATGCAAAATACTATGGGACTATTCTCCACATCCTCTTATGACTTTCTCTCTAGAACTACCAATTTCGCTATCACAACCCTTGTCCATCTAAATTGTCATCTTTTGTCGAGACTCATGCATTACACCTTTTTCCTTTTCTTCTCATTATTACTGTAGTTGCTTGATATCAGGCTCATTTAAGTCGGCCCATGTTATCTCAATTAGTAATCACCCAGACCGGTTCAGCCCATTATGGTTTAGACTGGTCTGGTTCTCTCTGTAACTAATGGGACCAGTTTAAAACCTGGTCCCAATCCCTCTTTGAACCTAATACTAAATTACGGCTCCGGCCATTCTTTCTTTCAATCTCTAGTGGCTCTGTATCTCCATCTCTCAATCGAAGAGTTTTTGAAGGTTGGAGGTGGAGCGGCTGTGACTATCCAACGTACAAGTTCTAACATGGTATCAGAGCTTCATTTACAAGTGTAATCCACCCTATATCCTCTCTTTCCTTCGTCAGATGTCTCTATTCGCCTTTCATTGACAATGACAAATACAAACAATTGATCCGTGCCTCATCGACTGCCATTATTTACAACGGTGTGTGAAGGCACGCTATTATCTTCTAGAGAGCTTTTTTATGGACAGATTGTCTGTTCTACACCATATTGTTCTGAGGTCGAGTCCGGCCTACACAGCACTGGCAGATCATCTCGGGACTATTTTTCTCTGTTTACTTTGATTGATATTGGAGAATTTCGGGTTGGTGAGATTACAGTACAAGTTATTACTTTTAATTTCACTTGACAATGTCAGAAGTCAGCTCACACACAGAGAGTAATCCAACATAGGGTTAGATCAAAAACTTACATAATCTAAACTATCTTTAATTTTACAAGCAGATCATTTAGATAGCAGAAATTACTTTGGATGGTCACAACAACTTAGAGTTGTATTGAAAAACAAAGGACTTATGAGTCACTTAGTAAATTCAAGCCCACAGGTTAATGATCCCAATTTTGGGATATGGGATTAAGTAGACTCGAAAATTATGGCTATAATAGACTACAATGACCACATAAATTAGAAGAACTTGTTTATATCTTACCACAACCAGGGATATTGGGCAAAACTTACATCAAACAAAATCATTAAGAGTTACAATCATCTCGCCTCATGTAATCAAAATCTGATAAGATTAGTTGGGTCCAATATGTACACTTCGTTCATGGTGATCAAATTGGGTCTTATGCAGAGCTGGCTCTAGTAGGCAAGTTCAAAACAAATGAGCATAAAAACCCAACGTAGGCCTCAGGTCTAATATCTAGGATTTATTAAGATCACAAGTAAATCTTATGTAAACCTTGTACCAAACAATCAATCTTAATGCACATGAACCAAATAAAACCTTCTAATAGCCTTGTTCCAAGTGTATAAACCTAAATTAAAATCTTACATTGAGCTTCTGTTTAACAATATAATACAATGCAAATGGACTTAAAATTTGCTAAACAAGCACCACACCATAAACTAACAAATGATACGAAGCCTCATTATACAAACTTATCAAACATGTCTCACCCCATAGGTTTACAAATGAGCTTAATCTTATAAATTGATCATGTGGGTTTCATCCCAAAGGTTCACAAAATGACATCAACCTAAAGCTTCAAAAATAGGCTCAATCCCATAAATTTATAAATGGAATCATCCCATGAATAATTCTTCTTCCTATGGGCCTCAACACAAACATTTCTTAAATGGGAGCCTATGGGAATGACTGAGCAAACCATAATAAAAGAGCCGAACTCTTTCAAAAATGATTATGAAGAAGTCCAAATAATTGAACCTTAAAAAAAAATATAATTGAAAAACAGAGATATTATGATTTTTAATATCTGTCAAGTGTATCACAAATTACTCTGGCAAAACTAAAAAAATTGATCAATCTCAGGTAGCCTTCAGATAAATCATAAATCCTGAGCATGAATAATTGAGCTAATTTGTCTTTCATGAACACCAGTTACTACATTCTGTGTCACTTAAAAAGAAACATGTTATGAACCTCTCAAGATTTGGGGCGAAATCTTCACCCTAATCTTACCTTAGATGAGGTTCACTCAAGGAATCAGTTTTCTGTATATAGAAGAACCAGATTGAACAATTGAAAATGACATTGGAAAGACAATAGAGGTTCGCAGACAGTAGGGTGAGTTCTTGATGTCGGATTGATCCTCAGGAACAGGAGAGCCCGAATCGGACCTCTCCAAGGACAGATCTCCCCCTCCCACTCTCTGTTTTCTCCCCCTCACCCATATTTCGACCTCTTCTATATTTATAGGCCTCAGTACCTTATTCTGTTGTGGTCCCCCCTCCACATGGGGGTCTACATCGTCTTGTGTAGATGACAATTGGCTTTGTAACATTACTCCCCCCCATGAGTTTCAATTTGTCCACAAGGTGAGATGTAGGAAATTGTCACAAGAATGTTGATACTATCATCCATGATGATTCAAACTCTGGAAGATTTTTCCATGAAACTAAAATCTCTGTCTTGAGGGATCGACTTGTGAGTTTTTATGCCATCTAGAATGAGTATCCATTCTTGTTCTTCTCATAGTGTCGGGGGAATTGGTTGGCTTCTGTTGTCTGTTCTTAGTGTCTTCCTAAATTAGGATATATGGAACACCAGATGAACAGCTGAATGGTCAAACAATTGGAGTTTATATGCCACTAGTCCAATTCTTTCGATAATAAGATACGGACCAAAATAGCGAGGGTTTAACTTCTCGTTTTCCTTTTTTGCCAGAGATTTCATCTTGTATGGTTTGATCTTGGAAAGACCAAATCACCCACCTCTAATTCCACTTCTCTACGATGATTATTTATATTAAATTTCATCCTCACTTGTGCCTTGTGCAAGTTGAATTTCAAAATCTTAAGGATAGCATCTTGTTCTGTGAGTAGTTGATCGATGGCATCAAGTGGTGAAGGATATATTCCATGTTTGATAAGTTGCAGTGGGTCCCTGCCATATACTGTTCCAAAAGGAGTCATTTTAGTGGAAGAACGATAAGAAGTGTTGTAACTATATTCTGCCCAATGAAGTCATAATTTCCATTGCTTTGGTTTATCAAATACTGCACATCTCAAGTAATTTTCCATGCACCTGTTCACGACTTCAATTTGTCCATCTGTTTGAGGGTGGTAAGAGGAGCTGAATTTGAGTTTAGTTCCTTGTAGTGTGTGTAGTTCATGCCAAAATGTACCTAAGAATATTCGTCCCTATCAACGGCCACTGTCTTTGGAAACCCATTGAGCCTTACAATTTCCTTGATGAATAATTGAGCGACCTCCTTGGCTGAGAATGGATGATGTAGGGCAATGAAATAACTATACTTACTTAATCTATCCACTACTACTAATATGGCATTCGACCCATGTGATTTAGGTAAGCCTTCAATAAAATCTATTCAAAGGTTTTCCCAAATTTGGGTAGGTATAGGCAATGTCTGCAAAAGTCCTACTAGTGATAGTGAAGAAGATTTGCACTGTAAACAAGTAAGACAATTGTTGATATATGCCTTTATATCTCTCTTCATTCCTTGTCAATAGAATTGTTGCAAAATTCTATGATGTCTTCTGAAATCTAGAATGGCCCCCTACCAGGCTATCATGAAATAATTGTAACACTCTGGTAATTAAAGGGGAATGTGTTGGTAGAACCAACCTTTCTCTATATAACAAGGATCCATTCTTCAAAGAATATAATTCATTTATTGTATCTCTTTTAGACAAGGAAGCTTTAATCTCTGCAAGCTTAGTGTCTTGGTCCACTGCTAGATGGACAACTTTGAGATCAATGGCGTGATGTGCTATTGCCTAGTTTAGTTCAACTTGCAATAATGATGGACATCGGGATAATACATCTGCGGCTTGATTGTTCTTCCCTTTCTTATATTTAATTTCAAAACTATAGCCCATCGATTTCACCAACCATTTATGACATTTAGCATGGATTTTCTTCTGTTCAAGTAAGAATTTAAGACTGTACTGGTATGTTTTGATGATAAAACACTGACACATAAGATAATGCCTCCATTTCCTTACTGCGAACACTATAGCCATCAACTCTCATTCATAGGCCGATTTTAATTTGGCTCTTTTTGGAAGTGTTTGACTGAAATAAGCTATCAAGCACCCTTGTTGCATGAGAACAACCCAACACTTGATCCAAAAGCATCAATTTTCACAATAAATTCTTGCGAAAAATTTGGTAATGCTAATACCGGAGCCATAGTCATTGCTTGTTTAAGGGTCGAGAAGGCTGCTTGTGCTTCTCTTGACCAACAAAATGCATATTTTCTTAGTAATTGTGTCAGTGGCCATGCGATTGAAGCATAGTTGGCAATAAATTTCCTACAATATCTAATGAGCCTTAGGAACCCACAAAGTTCCTTAAGATTTCTAAGAATTAGCCAATTAGTCTTAGCATATATCTTCTCCTTATCAACTTCTACTCTTTCTGCCAACACCCAATGGCCCAAATACTCTAGTTTGCTTTCTCCAAATTTGCATTTCTTGGCATTAATATGAAGAGAATTTGTTGAGAGAATGAAAAATACCTTCCTCATATGCTGCAGGTTGTCATAGTGACGTTGTACACAAGTATATCATCAAAGAAAACTAGTATGAATTGCCTCAATTGACGTTGAAAATACTTGGTTCATTAGCAATTGAAAGGTTGCATGTGCATTTGATAATCCAAAAGGCATTACTTTAAATTCATAATGGCCATAATGAGTCTTGAATGTAGTCTTAGGTACAACTTCTTTTTTCATTCTGATCTAATAATATCTTGATTTTAAATCCAGTTTTGAAAAAACTGATTTCCCATATAATTCATCTAGCAACTGATCTACAACTAGAATGGGGTAACAATCAAGAACTGTAGCTCAGTTCAATGCTCTATAATCTATACAAAATCTTCATCCACCATCTTTCTTCTTGACTAATAATGTAGGGCTCGCATAAGGACATTGTGAAGGGTTCTTGGACAAGTGTCTCAATTTCGTTTTTCTAGAAATGAGAGTATTTGTAAAGCCTCAGGTTAATAGCTTTTGTTCCTAGTGATAGATGTATGGCATGATCAATAGGGCACTTAGGTGGCATTCTAGTCAATACTTCAAAAATCTTGAGAAATTCTTTTTTCAGACTAATTTCTAAATCATTGGGTACATTAGGGTCTCTATGTGAGTGAATATGATGTAATTCAACCATATATGTCCTGCTACTCTTAAGTTCCCTCCTTGATCTTCTTGGTGACATGCTGAGTTTTGTAATACTAGGATCCCCTTTGAAGATGTTGCCTCCCATCTTGAACCTCATTATGAACTTCTCATAATTGAAAAAGATCCACCCTAAAGTTCTCAACCACTGTATGCCTAGGATCACATCCATGCCACTCAACTCTAGTGGTAAAAAATCTTGCACTATCAAAACACCTTGCGCCTGAAGAGGAATAGACTTGCAAATTGCTGCACCTGCCATTGTGTTGCCATTGCTCATAACTATGATGTAGCCATTTAACTTCTTCATTTGTAAGGATAAGTTATCAATTATTTTGGTGCACAAGAAATTGTGAGTTGCCCCACTGTCAATGAGTATTGACAACTCGATGTCATAAATTTTGCCCCAAAGTTTCATAGTCCCTTGTTAAGTAATTCCCGTGACTGACTTTAAAGATACATGTGCAGTGAAAGCCTTCTCATTCATGTTGGATATGGCTTGGTCGAATAGTTCCCATCCTTTATCAGTGTTGTCAACTTATGCACTCTTTTGGTCTTCATCTACAATAATATTCAACTCCTTTTTACAGTGCTGCCTTGGAGCGAGTTTTTCATTGCAGTAGTAGCATAATCCCTTATCTCTTCTCTTCTAAAATTCCTGATCCGTCAACTTGAGTATCTTACGGTTACTCAAAGGTGGCTTGGATGTCACAGAATTTCCTTTTGATGTGCCTTCAGCTGAATCCTAATAACCTTTCCTATAATTATCTCTGTTTTTTGTATTTTGGAATTCTCTTTTGTAATAGTCATAACGAGGTTGGGGTGGTTCAGGCTTTGTAATCCCTTGTTTCCCAAAGAATTCATTTCTGCTATTTCAGATTTCCCGAAGATGAGTCTCAACTTGGATTGATAGATCCATTATTTCTCTGAGTTCCAAGGGCTTTTGCATTGCCAATTCTGATCTGATGGCCAGTTTCAAGCCCCACACGTATGCATCTTCTAATACTTCAGTGTTTATATGAGGTAGAAAGGCTGCAATTCGTTCAAATTCGGCCATATATTCTCTTACTAATTTGGCTTGTTGTAAGCTCATTAGTTGTTGCAATGAACTCCAATTGACTCTTGAAGTCATGCCAATCTCGGAATGGGAACCCATCTTCCATCCAGAGATACTATTCCAGAGCTTCTCCCTCCATACCCAACATGATTTGCTTGAGTCTATCATGCTCTGATATAGGGTTTAGGTGAAAATATCTCTCAACTCGCTTGATCCATCCCTCAGGGTTATCTCTTTGGAAAACTGATAACTCTATTCTCTAATCATCTGTGCTCGGCTATCTTGTGAAGCTTGGCTTGAATGAGTGGTGCCATTATAAGGTTGCGTTGGTTCTTCCCTTGAACCTTCATTTGGATGCGAACTGGAGTGTGGATCCCTTGTGGATAATTTCGGAAGAATCTAGTTGAGGATTTCTCTTTGCTCGATTAGGAATTGTTCCTACTTAGCATAACCCTGTTTCAGAGATGCAACCTCTTCTTCTAACGAAATCATCCGATGTGCCTTTGACCTGGTGAGCATCCGCCGATCAAGATAGGTTCCAGACTATACTGGATGATCGTTCTTCTTGCTGTAAATCTGTCAATCTTCTTCCAACATTCTCACTTTGTGGAATTATGGTCGCACGAATTCGTTGTGAGAATTACCTTCGTTTCTTGGATTTGTTGTAGTTTGGACTTGGAAAGAATTCTGCTTCAGCCTTGCTAATTCGATCCTTATTATGGTGCGAACAGAATTTTGCTCTTGTGATCTTGCACTTGCTGAAATATCTCCGAGTTCTTGCAAAAAAAGACCAGGATATCTGCTCTAATACCAGTGTTACGAACCTCTCAAGATTTGGGGCCAAATTTTCACCCTAATCTTACCTTAGACGAGGCTCACTCAAGGAAGCAGATCTCTATGTATAGAAGAACCAGGTTGAACAATTGAAAATGAAATTGGAAAGACAATAGAGGTTTGCAGACAGTAGGGTGAGTTCCTGAGGTCAGATTGATCCTCAGGAACAGGAGAGCCCGAATCGGACCTCTCTAGGGACAGATCTCCCCCTCCCACTCTCTGTTTTCTCCCCTCTCTTATTTCGGCCTCTTCTATATTTCTAGGCCTCAGTACATTATTCTGATGTGGTCCCCCCTCCACGTGGGGGTCTAGGTTGTCTTGTGCAGATGACGGTTGGCTTCATAACAAAACACCCCGACACACCACGAACTATAAGCTAAAATAACTAATTTCTTACCTGGAACGAAAAATGGAGGTATCTAAACGAAGACAGTGTAATCCAACATGAGAGTCCTTCAGGTGCAAGTATTTATCTTTCAGCTCAGCATGATCCTTTTTCTGCAGAACGGAGCCTCCATTTTCATCTTCAGACAAACCCCCGAATGCTAAAACAGTCAATTGACAGAGGTTCCTGGACAAAGACAACTAGCGACAAACAAACAAATATGTCAATGTATAAACAGGTTTAAACACAGGTCGAATGCAGACATAATACTCAAACCAAAACGTTGCTGCCGAATCTAATTATTACCAAAGAGATGAAGAAATAGATTAGCTTAGTTGCCTAGAGTACAGTTGATAAATCAGTATTCCTCTCAAGCTTGGTATAGCTAGAACTAGTGAACTAGGAATGCCACTGAGCCAGGAAAGCCCAAACTCAGCCTAGTTTGAGCCAAATCTCGTAAAGGTTGGGCCCTGTCTGAGGTAGGGGCCACTTCAGAAACCCAGAATGCCAGGAGATATCCCACTTGGATGCATCCGATGCCTCTTGAAGAACTGCCCAATCCATCTCTATCACTATTCCTATTGTCGAAATGAGTTGTATTTTTCCCCTTGCTGTATTGTACCTTTCTTTATTACGTAAGCGTTGAACCAGTCAGATTCAGCCTCGTTCAGTCCGGTTCAACCTCTTTACTATGGGCTATTCCTTCCTCCAATATCTCTATTTTTATTTTTTTTTCCTTCTGGCCATTGAGTCTCTTCTCATTTTCTAGTTTTGCGACATGAATGGTTTCGTGCGTATTCCTTCCTCTCCTCATATGTGCATTGGAGGTGAGAAAACAGCCTAGAGTTGTAGGCTAGAAATTGATTCACTCGGCCCTGAATATGAACACCAGGAACTTATGTAGGCTCTCACATGTCTGAAAAACTTCTACATCTAGATCTTCATTGTCAAGGGTTCGAACAAACGCAACTAGACAGGGGGTTGCTGAACATCTAATTATCATGCAGATTGAATGAGAAAAAAAATCTTAATTGGTTCTAAAAAGAAGGAATGCTATATGAATTTCCATGTGTTAATACACCACAATAAGATGGAGAAGCCAAGACGAAAATGGTCATCTCCTCAAGGTAACTAGACCCTTCTTGTTCAAAATAATATACTCAAATCCTTTTGGAGAGAGGAAGCTGACTACTCATCTCAACAATCATCTACCATCTAGAGTCTTATGAGTCAAAAGTCCAATGAAAATATTTTCATCTTTTTATCTTGATGTCACACTAAAAATTAATCTTCTGTCTAAAATATTTGGGCGTGTAGTATTTGTTCGTGTTCATGACTAGCATGAGACAAATTGGATCTTAGGGCATTAAAGTATATCTTCATTAGATATTCTCAAACTCAAAAAGGATATAAATACTATTATCCTCCATCAAACACAATCTTCATTTCAATTGACATCAACTTCCAAGAAAATGAATCCTGCTTTATTCCACCTTATCTTCAAGGGGAGAATCAAGCTGATGAAAATAATGATGAGAATTTTCTACACCCCATTACATTGCCTACACTAGCACCTATTTATAACTCTGCTCTTGAATAACTATTTTAACTCCATTCCCAACTCTACCCTAAAAAAAGAAACAAGATTTGGCAAAGTCTATTCAAGGAAGAAGACAGATGTCTCGAAATTTATAAAAGTCTAGGAACCACACAGATGTTGAAAACGAGGTATCAACTCTTCCCTCTTCACTTCAACTTAAAACTGAATGCCATATCAGCAAGAAAAATGGAATCTACCAATTGGCATTAGAAAAGGAACCAAAGAAGGCACTAAAGGACCCCTTATGTTCTTGCACATTTTTTTCTTATGAACGTCTTCATCTCATAGAATTGTCCTTTCTTATGGAATCTACCTATCCCTACCATTGTATATGAGAATTTCTCTAATTAAAAATAGAAACATGTTATGAGTGAAGAGATGAACACTTTATAGAAGAATAAAACTTAAGAATTAGTGAGGTTTCAAATAGGAAAGAGAACCATTGATTGTAAATGGCTTTCGACAGTGAAATATCAACCAAATGATTGATAGAGAGACACAAGGCCTGATTAGTTGCCAAAGGATTTACTCAAACCTGTGGGCTTGATTGCCTAGAAACTTTTGATAATAGGGCAAAAATAAATACTGTCAAAAATGTTGTTGTATTAGTGGCTAATTATGACTGCAATCTACAACATTTCATATTAAGAAATTATTTTTGCATGGAGATTATAAGAATAAATATATATGGAAGTCCTGCAAGATATGGAAAGAATTTGTTTGTCAATACAACATGAAAATTGAAGAAAGCCTCTTATGGGCTTAAACAATCACCTCCCGCCTAATTAGATATAGTTACAAGAGCCCATGATTGTGATAAGATACAAACAAAGTCAAAAAAAATTACACATTATTTGTTAAACACTCAATTTCAGGGGAAATTACAATGCTATTAGTATATGTTGATGGCATAATTGTAAGTGAAAATAAAGAAATAAAAGAAGAATATCTAAGTTAGTCTCACTAAATAATTTGAAATCAAAAAAACCAAGAAGGTTGAAATACTTCCTTGGAATCAAAGTAGCCCACCCAAGGAAAGTCATTTTTATCTCCCAACAAAGGTTTATTATGAATCTTCTAAGGAAACATGCAAAACCATATGTAAATCAGCAACTTGCGATAGATCCAAATCCGAACCATGGTGGAGAAAAAGAGGATGTTTTTGTAGATAGGGAGATGGATCAACAATTGGTCAAACTATTAATTTTATCTGTCTCATACATGACCATGAAGCTCATTGAGTACTGGATGGTCATGTATAGCCAGTGAGGGTGATTATTCAATTTATGCATAATCCAAAACAAGTACACCTATATGCAACTCACCGAGTGCTATATTATCTCAAAGGACACCATGGATGATATTTTGTACAAGAGTAATAGAGGATTGGTACTTGAAGTATATATTGATGTTGATTATGTAGGATCTGTAATAGAAATGAGTTATATTTTGAAGTATTCCACTTTCTATGGTGGAAATCTTATAGCATGGTAGAACATGAAGAAAAATTTGCTACTAAAGTCAAACATAGAAGCAGAATTCTAACCCATGGCTCAAGATATATATAAATTGTTTTGGGTGAAAATTATGTTAGAAGATTTGAAAATTAAGAGGGATGGACCAATGATATTATACTATAACAAGTCAACAATCAACATACCACACGATCTAATTCAGCACTTCATCAAATAGAAGCTAAAGAGGGGACTGACCTGTACACCATATGTGTCTATAAATTATCAAAATGTAGACATACTTACGAAAGGCTTGAACAACACAGTATTTCAACATCTTGTGTCCAATCTGGAAATAAATAATGTTGAACTTTCTAGGACTGTTTTCCCTTTCTATCTATTTCTTTTCCATTGTATATCCGCTTTCTTGTAATTCCCAGTGTAAAGTGAATCCGATAGACTATTAACGGATCCATTTAAAGACTAATGTAATGAGCCTGGCCCATTAACTCGTGTAAATCGTACTTAAGCAAGAAATCATGATAATTGATGCATTCATTTTGGATTGAGGAATCCCTGGTCAAGAAGTGGTGATGGGTTCATCTTTATGGAAGTGGAGGATCATGAAGACTGACTCCTTTCATTCTCCAAGTTGCACGGACCTCAATCAAGATCAATTGTCAACATAATATCAGAGCAGTGCTGATTCTAGTGGGATCAGATACTTCTCATTTCTTGTTTCTTGAATCTTGTTTTTATTTTCATGTCAGAGCAACACCAAGGAAGAAAGAACCTCCTGCAAGTAGTGAACTGAGGCATTCTGGAAAGTATGAAGGAGAAGACTTTCAGAATGCATTAAGGAGAAAGCTCTTCGTCATCCATGGAACTTGCATCATCTCCATCAACGACAGGCGAAAGGGAGAGACTATATCATACTCTTTCAAATATCTTAAAAAAACTTAGATTCAATGGGAGTAATTTGTTGACCTGGCACTTCTTGGGAGAGGCTTAACAGATCACCTTATAGAAGAACTATTGAAGCAATCAGATCCAAAATATATAAGATGGAAATAAGACGATGCTATTATCAATATGTGGCTGTTAAGTACAATGACACCAGAGATGTATAAGAATTTCCTATTCATGTACTCGGTGAAGGAATTGTGAAATCAAATTCACAAAAGTTGCCCAAAGAAACACAATGATTTGAGGATTTATAACTTGGTGAGCTAAGGCAACACATTTAGTGCAAGAAAGTAAATTTGTTATGAAATATTCGTGTGAATTAAAGGTTATATGGAGGGAGATTGATCACTATTGGCCAATAAAGAATCCCAATTTTGAGGAGTACATGTATACATTCCTAATGGGACTGAACTCTGATTATGAAAGCCTCAAGGGTAGGTCAAATTTTCCATCATGAGAAGGTACCTGAGCTGGATGAAACTATTCAGATTGTTCTTAAAGAAGAGAGTAGATTAAGTTTAATCAATATTTGGAAGAATGAGTCAACAACCTTCGCCTCCAGCAAGCAAGATCAATCAATTCATTCTAAAGAATTGCCCAATCAGGGAAATCAATTAGAGAAAAAAGAGTGCAATAAAAAAAAAAGTGCTGGAAGCTACATGGACGACCACCTTAATAGGGGAGGGTGCACGTGGCTACTTCCCAACCAACAGAGACTACAGAAGGTCAATCTGCGATGAAAGAACCTCGTAATCCTAGTAATCAACAGAAGGATGATGAATTTGAAAAACCGAGGGAGGAAGTAGAGAAACTCAAAAATATGCTACACTCTACATCCTTGGTTCAGTCAGGTAAGAATAAACTTTTTTCAAAATCATATGCATTCAACAATTTTTCTGAATTGTCTTGGATACTTGACTCTAGTGCCACGGATCATATGACCTCAAATATATGCAAATTTGATGATTATGCGAAATGTGATGGGCAAAGGAAAGTTATTACTGCTGGCAGTGAGATTCTACTGGTGGAAGGGATTATGAACTTCAAAATAGATCATTATGCACTTTAAGAAATGTTTTGCATGTGCCTAAATTAAAGACTCATTATTTCATCGTAGAAACTTGTTAAAGATATTAATTGTCGTTCATTCTTGAGGACGATGGATGTTCATTGTGTGACAAGGTCTCGGGCCTGAAGATTGGACATGTTAAAGAAGGAGATGGCTTGTTCTAGTGAGAAGAGGATGATCGTGCACTGATGTCTATATAGCAGTCACCTTGGAGTGGAGGAGTCAAGGAACACAAAAAGAATAATATACTGTTACAACACTGCCATGTTGGGCATCCTTCTTTCGATCTCTTAAAAACATGGTTTCCTTCTATGTTTGAAGGTGTTGATGTTAAAGCTCTAGTGTGTGACGCTTGCCAATTGGTCAAACACAAATGCTCCTCATTTGAAAATGTTGGTGAACATAGTACAATCCCTTTATATCATATACATAGTGATATCTAAGGGCCATGACCTATGACTAGCCTGTTTGGATGCAAGTCCTTTATCTTATTTGTTGATGACTGGACCAGATTTACTTGAGTTTACCCACTAAAATCAAAATCAGATGCCACCCAAGAGGTGAAATCTTTTTGTAAAATAATTTATAATTAGTTCGGAACTGTTGTCAAGAGTTTTAGATCAGACAATGCTAGAGATTATTTAAATTCGACTATGTCTTCTTACTTTGATCAGAAAGGGATAATTCATGGGTCATCATGTGTCAATACAGCCCAGTAAAATAGGGTGGCTGAGAGAAAAATTAGACACTTACTAGATACAGCTAGAGCTCTTTTGTTTCAACAACAAGTTCCGAGGCAATATTGGGGTGAAGCTGTCCTCGCTAATACTTATCTTATCAATAGGATTCCAACTAAAACTCTAGAATATCAAAGCCCTATGGAACTGTTGAGTAGATTCTATCCTCATGTGAAACTAAAGACTCACCTTTGTCCAAAGGTATTTGGATGTACTGTCTATGTTCATACTCAAGACAACTACTGGAAAAACTAGATCCACCCAATCTATAAGATGTATATTTTTTGGGTACTCAACTACACATAAAGGTTATAAATGTTATAATTCCGCTTCTAAAAAAATCTTCATATCAACTAGTGTGACTTTTAATGAGTTGAAGTCATATTATGGGGTGAAAAATCTAGAAGAGACAGAACTCGATTGCCGACCCTGAGTTATAGGACAAATGAATTCATGATTCAGGAGACACCCATTCCTAGAATCAAAGAAGTACAAGTGTATAAGAGACGACCTAGAGTGGAGACACAAAATATGCCAATAGAAATTAATGATTTACCTGCAGAGAGAACTAGTAAGAGAAACTAGTCCAAGTACAAGAGACATTTAAAATTGGTAATACCGACCAAGAAGATGACCACCAATTCACTAAAACCAATGATGAGGAACAACTAGGTTGGCCCATTACTCTATGCAAAGGGAAGAGAAGTTGTATAAAAAAACCACTATGTCCTATGGTCAACTATCTATCATACGATAGGTTAGCACCATCGTACAAGGCTTTTCTCATGAACCTAAAGACAATTATTATCCCCAAGACAATAGAAGAAGCTCTATCACACAAAGAATGGAGTCATGATATGGATGAAGAGATTGAAGCACTAGAGGAGAACTGTACATAGGACTTAGTCCTTTTACCTTCAGGAAAAAAGATGATTGGATGTAAGTGGATGTATACCCCCAAATATAAAGCTGATGGAACATTAGAAAGATACAAGAAAAAATTGGTGGCTAAAGGCTATTAACAATTTTATGGAATCGATTATGTTGAAACATTTGCTCCTGTTGCAAAGTTGAATACTATCCGGATACTCATAGCATTGATAGTAAATCTAAGATGGGAAAATGCATCAATTTGATGTGAAAAATGCATTTCTTCACGAAAATTTAGAGGAAGAAGTATACATGAATGTACATCCAGGTTACACATTTACTCATCAAAATAATATTATTTGCAGGTCAAAGAACTCTCTATATGGCTTGAAACAATCACCCCGAGCCTAGTTTGAGAAATTCACTCAAGCTATGAAGGGATTCAGGTACATACAAAGCAACGGGGATCACATTCTCTTAATTAAGCATGATGCCCTAAACAAGGTTACAACTTTAATTGTGTATGTATATGATATTATCATAACAAGAGATGATACTGAAGAGATTAAATGCCTTGGTCAAAATCTTAGGGAATTTGATTTCAAATCTCTCGGAAGACTAAAATCTTTCTTAGGAATTAAGGTTGCATGCTCTAAGGAAGGGGTATTTTTTCACAACACAAATATATTTTGGATTTCATTCAAGAGACTGGAAAAAATTAGAGTGTAAACCTGTTGACACTCCGGTTGATCCCAGCCTGAGTTTAGGAAAAGATAAAGACTCTGATCAAGTGGACAAAAGCTCATATCAACGATTGATTTGGAGGTTGATATATCTAAATCATACATGTTCAGATATAACATTTGCAGTGAATGTACTCAAACAACATATGAATGAGCCAAGGGAGATACACCTACATACAACATATCGAGTGTTGGCATATTTAAAGACAACAACAGAACAAGGCATTATATTCACAAAAGGAAGGAATCCTTCTACTGAAATCTACACCGATACAAATTATGTATGATCTGTCACAGACCGCATATCAACATCTGATTATTGTACATCTGTTTATGGAAATCTTGTGACCTGGACAAGTAAGAAGCAACAAGTAGTCACATGATCTAGTGCTGAAACAGAATTCAGAGCATTGGCCTAAGGGATATGTGAAAGTTTATGGAGTCGAAGCCTGCTGACCAAATTAAAAATCAACCAATCAAATCATATGAAAAAAAATTATGACAACAAGTCAGCAATGGCTACTGCCCGAAATCCTGTACAACATGACAAGACTAAATACATTGAGGTTGATCGACATTTTATCAAAGAAAAAGTAGAAACTATAGATGAAGATCTGATATATGTTGTGCCATCAGAATAGGTTGCTGACATATTCACAAAGGGACTCTCAAGACCAGTATTTCAAAAGATGGTGTTCAAGTTTGGCCTGGAAAACATCCATACCCAACTTGAGAGGGGGTGTTGAACTTTCTAAGATTGTTTTTCCTTTCTATCTGTTTCTTTTCCATTGTATTTTCGTCCTTTCCTGTCATTCCCTATGTTAAGTGGATCTATTAGACTATTAATGGATCCACTTAAGACTAATGTAATGGGCCTGACCCATTAACTCATAACTCATACTTAAGCAGGAAACCATGATAATTGACGCATTCATTTCGGATTGAGGAAACCCTGCTCCAAGAAGTGGTGATTGGTTCATCTTCTTGGAAGAGGAGAATTGTGAAGATCGGCTCCTTTCATTCTCCAAGTTGCACAAATCTCAATCGAGATCAATTGTCAATAGATAATATCCATTCACCAACTTGAGTGGGAGCATCAGAATAAGTTGTATTTTTCATTTTTTTTCCTTTTATTGTAATTTTTCTTTATTAATTGGGTGTTGAACCACATCAAACCGAACCGATTCAAACCCTATACTAAGGTTCTGGTATAAATATCAGATCCAAATGTTAATCAATGCTAAGAGCATCTTATCTTCCGCCTTCCTATTCGGCATTAGGCTTTTGGGGGTTTCAGCGCTTGTGAAACAGCACTCAACACCATTCAGCAATACACATAGAAAAAGGAAGGTTAATCATCCATAATATATTAAATATAAAAGAATGCAGTGGTCTCCAACACAAACAACTTATAATCATGGAACATTATAATGAAAATAGGCAAACCTTGTGCAAAGAAGCATTCATAAGTTGACAAGTGAAGATCTCGTTCATGGATGGAGTACAAATGGCCACTTTACAGATATTCTGAAATATGGCAAGGAAGATACAATAAAGCATCAAAGTTATAACTTGAAATGCGTAACAAGAAAAATAAAACAACCACAATAAATAATTAAACCTACAAAAAATGGAAACAAATCATGACAGTCATCTGCTTAACCAAGAAACATGTCACTTGACCCCAGCACAGTGAGTCCTTTATTCAGTGCCAAAGTGTGTTTGGCAGTACCAAGGGCTAGCACCCTGCATATCTCGTGATAAATTCCCTAGTATAGAAAATCCCATAGAATGAAAGCAAAATTTAATATGCTCTTAAGCCTTCACAATCTTAACACAAAGTATTAAACAATGGATGCACATTGAATCTTTTTCTTCAGAAGACCACTAATTTCATTTACTCGTCTCAGCTACTTTCTCCCAACACGATAATTACTCTTCACCATTCACCAGTTATAGCCATGAAAATGTCACCTGGTGTCATTTCCACTCTCATTTGTTTGCTTATCCTTGAGCATAAATTTCACAATTATACTATCATATCCATCAAGTTGTACAAGAAGAGATATTAATGTACCAATTGGGACTTCCTAAAGTTAAATAGCTCATAAAGTCATTAGCTTATTCATGAAACACGAGTCAAGCAGTGGACCAATGGTCTTCACATCTGTTTCTTTACCTGATTTCAGAAAAGATATCAGATGGAGTTTAGTACATGATGGCGGTTTGGAGTTGCCTACGGGACGTTTTGGTGTAGTATTGTGATGCCAAATAAGCCAACCAACTAAAATCATAACTTAGCACAAAAAATTCAAGAAAAGTGCAGAATTTAAAAACTTGAGAACTAAAGCAAGAAATTTTCACATAAATCGAGCTTATCACGAACAAAATATCTGACTGAAGGAAAAATGCATGCACAACATTTCCATCATGAATTCTAAAAGTAATTTGCATATCAGATGCCACCATAGGAACCAGATATAATACAAAAGTGGAAAGGACAAGTGATTTTATCTGAGCATGGTACATGACTTACAATCTTTCCTATTGAAAAAATTCCAAATATACTAAAGCAAATATCTCCATCATTGTCTCCACTGCACAAGATGTTAAAACGCTTATGTGAATTATATGATAATTCCCCAAAAGTATCTTCAAGATCATCGTTGAGCCCTGCATCCCCAGAACTCAGACCAGGCATCTGAGGAATTCTTGGAGCAGGAGGGAAAAAGCGTGGTGTACGATCTTCATAAGGAGAGACGTTGCTTTCCTCCCTCTGAATTCAAGATAGCGCAAAATGAAAAATGGGTAACTGTGGCGCTTTAGGCATGAAAATCACAGGATGATTCAGTGATGATGTAATCTATCAAATGTAATCGCACAAAATAAAATGCATTGGGCAGGATTTTAGATCAGTTTTACAAAAAATATCACATCCATACAATTGCATGTCAAATGGAACTTAGAATAAGTTATCAAGAAAAAAGGGACTTGTTATCTAAGAATTAAAGCATTCCATGCCACTAGTTCCGCTATTATTAGTACAATCGGATGATTCAAAGTCAATTAAGATCCACCATAAGTTGAGATATTAAGTTAACGATAGAGAAAATACAAATCTACATGAACGTATCAAACAGGAAGATTTAGAGGTCACAACTGAATGAATAAAACAAGTTGAAATTTTTCTATGCAAATCTAAGGGTCCTTCACAAAAGTAATCATGACTCTACAAGTTGAAAATTTTCATGCAAATCTATGCAAATCAATTAAGTTAGTTGTGTACTTAGATATTCTCGACCTTTGACTTTCAAAGGAAATAAAGTTCAATTTATGGACAGAAACGTGCTTCTCAACAATATGGAAAACGTCCAGAGAACATAACATGAAAAACGGCGAGAAAATTCTAAAAGAAGGTAGCCATTTGACTCTACACTTCGTTTGAAGGCTGAATTCTGAGCAACACAACTAGGACACAAAATCCGTGGATTGGCTGGATGGATTCCCACATATAAACACACATGAGCGTGGGTTTGTACTGTCTAAAGACCAATATTGAGTGCAAAAGACAGCCATACTCTGGGATGTCAAATGGTCTATGGTGAGAGGCTTTGTAATTTACTGAGGAATTGATAACAAAAGGAAAGTTATATACTGCACTGGAGAAGACAACATGTAATCCCAACACACAGAAAAAAAAAACAAAATCAATCGCAGCAGTGAATCTAGATGGTAAAATGACCAAGAGCAAATCGTACCCCTATTGGTTGAGCATCTTCTTCCCAATTTAGACAAACAACAGCAGCATCATGGGACTTAATACTTCTCAGCAATTTCCCATTCTGCAGTTGAGTAAAAAATATATTAGACAATACACTTCCCACCATGGATACACATGAATCACAGAAAGATTACACAATCCATGACAATAAATATGCATCCAGATACAGAGTTCAATAAAGGCATGGTCCTTAACAAGTGTTACCCCGACCAACAAAAACATAATACGAAAATTAAAAATGAATGCAGACAAAAAATCCAATCATGACAAAAAAATTAAGCGAAGGTACGACCATATTGGCCTCCAATTCGTGTGGAAAAATAACATGAATGTGAATCCAGTGTAAGCAGAGTTTACCAGACAACCTCCTACGTGTTTCAACTAACATGGGATGGCCTCATAGACAAATGTCTCCACACCAACAAGAAAATGCTGCTAAAGATGCAACGAGAACTAAAGAGCTAATGACCACAGAAAACTAGCTGAATTATCAGGAAACCTACCTACGACTGTTCAGGTCAAATTTCTAAGGTGGCAACTGGTGAAGCTCAAGTTGCTGAATTGCGATAGTCCTGAAACCCCCATCCCCACGCTGCATAGGATATTTATTTATGATTATATGAAATGAGGTTATCAGGTGCTATGTTTCAAGCAATGCATTTTAGCCTATCGGTTGACAAATTTTTCTAGCCAAAATTTCTAAGTCCATAAAAATACATGATTAATAAAGGAGTATGTGATAGTATTAACACAATGGAAAATGGATGAGCCTCAGGATTTTTTCAATTACGGAGCAACTACAATAACAAGGAATACCATGAAGTCATGGAAAAGACCGCTAGATATAAAACCTACACCAAAGAAGATTATGGCAACACAACTTAGATTGATGTCATCATGATCAATCTCCCAACCTAGTCAAAAAAAAAAATCGCCGAAGGAAGAATAGCCCTTTTTGTCATTTTTATCCATCTGAGAAAAGTTTAGAGATAAAATCTCAATGAATATTATTTGCTGGATGAATAAAAATTAGATTTTAAAGTAGTTTTATATACGCCAGTATGCATAAAGGAGCAAAACTAGAGAAACAGGGATATCATTACTATGGACAGCTCCTGGCCAATTACGGATCTCATCACCAATTATATAACACTAGGTCCAAACGATTGAGATTTTTTTGTAATGAGAAAGGAGTTACATCTGTTAATCGGGAAACAGGAATGTTTCACTTCTACTTTGGAGTGTAGACCCTGTTCATGAATTAGAGACCTTCGTAAGAGCTTATGGGTTGCGCTCCCATGCCTGCTCACTTTGTTTATAATATAACAATCACATGGTGCTACCCATGTATCAGAAAAATATAAAGGGCTAATGGCTACTGTGACGACAATCACCAAAAAAGCATATGATTTGTCAATTACTGTTGGTTTTACATTGGAAAATAGATTTTGACCATATATTTTCTATCTTTATTATGGATGAGAGTATCCCATGTCTCCAAGAAGCATTGATTTCTACCATTTCAAGACCATACGGTTCTACTGGATAAAACTAAGAACAGACGAGTGCAATTTTATGTCCCAGAGACAATGAATTCAAAAATTGATGATGCCAAGCCAGAATGTATAGGCATACTCTCAACGAAACAAATAACAAATAAAAACAATCAATTTAAAATATATTTATTTTTTTCATTTCAATTGCTTTGCTAAGTTATTAATGTATAAAAAAATACTATAAGTGATATTAGCAAGGGTGTAGGCAGAGAGAAACAAGTCCACATGTCTAGGCTGCTGACAAAAATTAAAAAAATGACTTTTAGATCAATCAGATTTATTTCTAATGCATATGACAAGATGATGGTCTCTCAATAAAATTCAGAGTGAAAAGAGAAGAGTTGTCGAGATGAGTATCTTGACCTGGTTAAATCTGAAGGAACTAAGAAAGGGTAATAATAATGACTCTGATCATAGGGATTGAAGACGTCAATGATAAGAGGCGTAACCAATGAAGTCTTTAGAAATATTTTGAAATAACTTCGGTGCATGCAAAAAAGATAGCTAATTAACTTAATGTATACGGGCTGATCATTGTTGTGAAGGTTCTCTAACAAGGAAAATGGAAGGTCACAAGTGCTTTGCATGAATATAGTAAATAAACATGTAGATATGCATGTCAATTGCTCATGGAATAAATGATACAGTAATATGCCAAAAGAGAATTGCTTTCGCACAACAACTAGTCGGGACACTTTGTATATTACGATGACAATGACACTGATTATAGCAGTCACGAATTTGGAAACCATTTCCACCATGCTCAATATACGCTCGTAGTGAATCTTATATCTAAAAATATGAGATTCAGAGAGGGACATTTATTTTATAAACCACAGTATGGATGACAAGGAAATTTTATCAAGTTAGAAGGAGAGATACCAATGCAATTACTAAGAAGAATCCAGGGAGGATAATATTTTTGGACAACCACCGTAACAAAAATTCAATATTCAACACTTGTAATATCGGCAAGAAAAAAAAGGTCAGTAGAATAGAAAAATGCAGCATCCAGAGTAAACTTTTACACCATACACAACTTGACTGCAGAAAAGAAAATTAATGAAATTATATCAGAACAATGAAATGAATACCAGGAAATCAATTTCATAAAATATCTCGCAAGGTGAGAAAATTTAAAAATTCAATGAAGAGAGAGCCGCAAAGGAAGTTTCAGAGATAAAAGTAATTAGAGTTACATCCTCGACATGAAAAAACTCATCTCGTAAAAATGATCACCTCAACATCATGTAGTGCAATAGAGCCATCCTCGAGTCCAACAGCAATCATTTTGCCATCTGGCCGCCAACATAAAGACGTAATGCATTTCCCTGGCCAAGGCATGTGAGCGGTAAGGTAAAAAGATGAGAAAGAAGACGCAAAGAAGGTGATGAAAGGTGATGAACCGATAAACAAAATTTGTCACTAAGCATTTGCTATGATGCAAATGATAGAGAGACACAAGGAGAAGAAACAGGGCTCAGCCCTTAGATGAATTCTTCCAGTATCACACTCCGTAGTCTGTGTGAGACAAAAGGAAAAAAATGAATGTAAAAGCGTGAAAAACTCACTACCGCAATCTCACGTTAATTTAGAATTCTCAAACCATGCGACAATCAGTACATTCATAGGAAAAAACAGGATAGCATGCTACAAACCCGATGAAGATGAGGAGATGTGATGGCAAGGGTGCTAAAGTCTCAGAAAGCTAGAAAAGGCGTGCACTTCTTAAACATCAAGAATAGCATCAAGAGAATAGTCTATCTCACTTGAGAAGGTAGGATAATGCCAATTGGAGAAAGAAAGGTATCACAGTTCCTGCATACCACTTGTTGGACCAAAAAATTAGTGTTCATTAGGTTTCCATGTCAAACCTTTGTACCAAAAGGCAATAATGGTAATACCTAGCTTCGAAAAACTTAAGTGCTACTCCAATGATTTAGCAAGTTATCAAATTTTTCCGGTGAACATTGACTTATTCGCTCGATTTATCACCACCGAGGAATCCAACCAAATGATCCTCACTATCATCCAAACCATCTATCAAAAGAGATTCCATGAACACGAACTTAGGGTGCTTACGATATAACGATCCTTGTGCCAACCGAAGCATCTACCTGGAAAGAACGATTCATCTATTGCGTAGCATGAGTTCGTGGAGAAAAAGTTACACACAGAGAGGATCACATACCTGGAGAGACGGTCCAGAGCCTCTGCCAGTTAAAACGGTGCAGGAAAATCTTCGAGTCCTCCGTGACCATAGCGAGCAGATCCTTCTCCGGATTCCATTCAGCAATTCTGATCTGTAAAATAAATAAACATAAACCGCACCTGTGGCCATCTATGAGTTGAAATCAGGCCAACATCATATCGCGTAAAAGATGACCACGTCTGCGTTCCGATACAACGCATAGACAACCCTCAAATCACGAAAAGATGACAAAAATGAGAGGAGAAAGCGAGGGGGGGAGAACAATGAAGAAAATAATAAATTAAGGTATTCCAGGGACACACCTGCGAGGGAATGGGCTTGTCGAGCTGGAGCTGAAAATGAACCGCTGCCGCTGTCGGGGAGTGAGCTTCCTCCTCGGTGTCCATTTCCACTTCCTCCCCCGGATCCATACACGCCTACTCGACAGGCACCGAAGCGACCGCCTCCGCGTCGAGCGAAGAAGAACAGGAGAGATGACCGCCGGCGGGAAAACGAGAGGAAACCAGAAGGCCCGGCGAGGGCAAGCCCCTCTCGAAGCGCGCAGGGCGGGAATACGGCCACAGAGGAGAACAGTTAAATCCAAGCCGTCCATCCAGAGCCGACCATTTTTATACCAGAGCCGCATCCCTTAATTCAGTACTAAACCAGATATTTACGGGATTAATTCATTTTAATTTTTTTCGTCGCTCTCAAAAAATAGATCATAAAAAATAGATCATAATAATTTTTGTAATCCATCGGACGGTTGGTTCCTCGACGATGGGAATCGGACCGCTCGACTATTTTTGTGCGATCTTTTTTTATAATTGGTACATGATGTTGGGAATATTGGGTTTTAACTAACCTCTGGCAAACCGTCAGAATTAGTGATGGGTCCCTCTAATTTTTCGGTTGTATTTTTTGGCCCTCGAATACCTTTGTACTTCGTTAGTATTTGTCCGCATACGGAGTTTCGTACTTGGCATCTTCGTTAATAGAGTGAACCATCGTCGTACTCTGTTCTCCGCTGCCCGTCAGTGACGGTGGTTACTTGGTGGGTCCACATCTCTCTCTCTCTCTCTCTCTTTCTCTCTCTCCCTAGGCTCCACCTCACCGACGTCATTTCTTTGTCCACCGACCAGTTTCTCAAGACAAAAGTGTGGCGTTGGGAATGGGCCCGAGGGTCCTTTCTCTCTCTTATTTCCCTGTCAAGTTCATCTTCCCTCATCTTTCTGCTGTTTTCACCTTGCTGCGCAGGATGAAGAGAGGAGGGGGTGAGGGACGGGCATGCAGAGACGGTCAACCTTGTCTCTCCATCGGGCCGCCCACTGTAGAACCACCAGCCAGCCAAGCTGACGGAGAAAGAGAGAGAGAGAGAGGGATCATTCTGCGTGATTGTGCGTATTAAAGATACTCAATGAGATCGAAGAACTGAGAAGTAAATTCTGGGGGAACTTATCTTCACCAAGTTTCGAGCGTCCTCTCTTTGTGCCCGGACAATGCCCATCTTTATAGTCTCTGCATGTTAATAACCGACAGCATGGGACAGACGTTTTCCATGAGGGCTAGTACTTGGCCGTCCTTCTGCCCCCTCTAACGGGAGCTTCTGCAGTCCTGCCCCCTGCTCACGGCCACCTCTCTACCTCACCGCCGGAGATGCTCGAGCTCCGCCATAACTTAACTTCGATTGTTGGTGGACGGGGCCACGCGGAGGTGTGCACCACGTGTCCTCCCCGTCCTGCCCCCGGCGTGGTTTGTCTCGAGCTGCCCGGAAGCAGTAAGCGGACAAGGAATAACGGCGTGACGTGAGGAGATGCAAAGAGAAGCTGTTCTGAGTTCAAACTGAACAGGGTTTCCTACCCTGGATAGAGATCCGATGGGAGTGGAGGAGAGAAGGAAGTCCGCTTCGGCGGATGTTCTTGGCGCATAAAGCCTCCGGAGGAAGAACTGTGGGGAGGGGGAGGACGAGTGAACGGTCGTATGTGACCCGATGGATATTCGCCTGGGTTTACCGTCTCTCTTAGCCGTCGTCTAGAAAGTATTTTCTCTCTCTAGACATGTAGCGGGAGAATCTTAACTCTTCATGAAACGACGTTGGATGTTGCAGTTCTGACGGGAGCCAACTTGCACCATCTCTGCGCTCTGGCGAGGTAAACCACGGTAATGGCGACCAGGAGCGACCCAGCCAGGAGGGGAAGCCGGAGCCGCCGCAAGGCGAGCTAGATTCGATCTCGATATTACAGTACTCCATCGGCAACCATTAATTGGCTCTTGATTCCGATGGATCCTTCCAAGTGGGGACAACTTCCTATCATGAGGAAGTAATTAGAACCATGCGGCTTTGAATGTGTGATTATGCTATGACAAAGAGGTTGAGGCTTCCGATAAGATTTCCTTCGTGGCGGTCTGAAAGACTGTTCCGGGGGAGATTTCCAAGAGACGAAACCTTCGCAGAAGATAGAAGGAATTAATGAACGATGCATTGGTCTTTTCATTCTTTCGAGAAATAAACCGAAAAACATGAGAGTAAACGGCACCAACTCCGTTCCGATGGTCTCATTAGGGGGAGGGGGGATCGCGAACGATCCGAGTCTCCTCGTAAGAAACATTGAGCAGAGGGGGCGGTGCAATCTCTCCATCACATCCTGTTCGCAAAACTCAATCCTAAGAACACAAAAAGTTGACAAGGTGGGGGTTTCAAGATGCGCTCGGACTCCTCAGAACCTGAGACGCAGGTCGAACTCCTCTTTATCTTCCGAGACGCCACAGCTCCCCGTCCACGCCCTCACCGGCCGCGCTCCACCCGGAGAAAGGCCGACGCTTTCTCTCCCGTCGAACATCGCCGCGTCATTGAAGACCTCCATGCCGCGTCCCGTGAAAAAGAAAGTGCGCCTCCGGCTGCACCCGCCGTTCGCAGCAGCGTGGCCGGCGCCCCTCCCCCGCAGCTCGCGAATCCTCTTTGCTAAGCTGCGCTCGCGCTTGTGCGCATTCTGGTGCCCGCCTAGCGCCTGCGAGCTTACGAACTTCCGATGGCAGTAGTTGCAGGAGTAGATGCGAGTAGGGCTTTGCTTGGCAGGCTGGACGCCGAGGTGCAGTTCCAGGTCGGTGACGGAGAGCGTGAGATCTAGGAACCCGTTGTGCTCGAGCTCCATGTCCTAGGCACCACCCGGATGGTCTGAGAAAGGAAAAGTGTACAGTCGCCCATGTAAATAGGGGAAGGCTCAACGTGTATGGTTTCTTGAGACGACATCGTAGAGACAAGAGAGTGGCCCGAGGAAGAGACCGTCGAGCACTGGAGAATGAGAGGATGTTACTGGGATAATACTCTCGGGGTAGGTGTAACTTTTTTCCTGTTCCCACGCCCTTCAGATAGTGGACTTTTCTAACCGTCTATCTGGTCTTCCACGTTGTTCAACATGCCAGCTCATCAGCGGTGCCCCGAGAACGTCCACGTGGAGTAACACGTGGGCAAAAGTAGTAACCGGGACAGGTCGATCTGGTGACAGAGATTCCTGTCCTGGGGCCCGACGAAAGAGCCAAATCACTGCATCTAAGCTGAACGCTCAACGTAGCTCCCCGGGGAATGCTTCATGAATTGTCTCCATCCACGTCAACCAACAAGCGCTATGATTGTTTTCGCTGAACCTCGCTGAGCAAAATGATTTTCTAATACGATTGCAGTCGAGACCGCCAGACGTTGGAAGCCCCTACGAGGTCGACTAGATTCAAAATAAAACTTAGGGTAGAACCACATACATTATATACAGATGTAGAGAGAGGAGAGAGAGAGAGAGGGGCAAGCTGAGATGTGAGGGATCGCACTAGCCACATGGTTTTACGGGGGTAGGACCCCAAACCCTCGAGTTGAGGCATGGAGAAACACCAACTGAAGTGGGGAAAAGTCCTGACCATCTTACGTACATACTTGTGTTTGACTCCGACATCAAATCCACGGCAAACACGAAGATCGAGTATTCAACGAGCATGAAAATCGAGCAATACCTGGTCCGACAGACAAGATGACAGAGAAGACCACAGACGGGCAGTGGGCGATGATGCACTCACGACCAGGTCCCAAATAGGCCATGCAACAATTTGGGCGATCTTACTCAGTCTTTTAGACTAGTCTAAGAAGCCGGCGTACGAATGAGAGCCCGAATTGGTGAGGTCTTGCCGTACTTTGGGGCAAACCCAAGCCCGTGGGGGTCTTAGAAAAGAAACGAGAGTAACCGATATGAATCTTCCCCAGGGGAATCTGAACGAGAAGTAGAGGCCAAGCTCATCCCGTGAAAGAGCGCTGGCATCTTGGATGGATTGTGCTCGAGCATGGGCGTCCTTTTAAGTTGTATGTAATCATCGGGTAAGTAGCAGAAAGCCCTAAAAGATAGTCGTTGGATTGGATCTTGCGGAATTTAAGGCTATTTAAGGCTATTCGACCTTATTATGCACACGTTGGAGTCCGTCGGAGAGAAAACCTGACCGCGAAGACTTCAAACCCGGACGCTACGACGGCATTCCATGACTGCTGATTAGGCCAGTTGGCTTCACTGTTCAAGATTCCGACACTCTGCCCATCTAAACAGAACTTCGGACGACGAAGACTGGCAGATCGGCTGAGTCACGGGTTACACAAAGTTCGGGAGCTTATTCGGCGAGAGCTGCTCCGATCTGAATAGCGACTGTACCATTAAAACTCTCTCTCTCGTTCTCTACTCATCTCTCCCACCTCGTCATGAGTGCCTTTCCAAGCAACATGCAGGTAGACGGTCAGAAATCTTTTACAGGGCCGTATCCCGTCCGGGCATGGGGGGAGAGAATGCGACTGCGAGGAACCTGGCCCCAGTCTCTGCCGAAGATGGAGCCATGCGGGCGTCGTGATCTCCCAAGTGAGGACATCCGGCGCCGTATACGTTCGCGGGAGACGAATCTGAGCTGGAAGGCCATCCGCGTGAGACATCAAAGTTTGATATATCGTTGTTGATCACAGGGGGGTGGTGGGAGGTGGGGTTCTTCAGAGAAGGTCGAGGAAAGTGTGAATGAGCTGGGCGGCAGTTGCACGAGAGCAGAAAGGGTTTCTGCGAATCCGACGGGTCGACAGCAAGTAGAATAAACTCACAGGTCGTGACATGTCAATTACGAAGGAATGTACTTCACTATAATTATAATTAGTCAAAGTTAATTTGACAGGTGTTAAGAAGAATATATCAAGAGTTAGACGGCTTTTATGAAAGTGTAGGGAGACGCCGATACTCTAATCTATTTGCTGAGATCTAAAAATAAAAATAGAGAAATTACATGTGCAGTTAATAGATAAATAGATAGGCACAGAGAGAGAGAGAGAGAGAGAGAGAGAGAGAGAGAGAGAGGGAGAGGGAGAGGGAGAGGGAGAGGGAGAGGGAGAGGGAGAGAGAGAGGGAGGCAGTAGACCGAAAGCACAAAGGCCACCCGGTTCTCAAGACCAAACAAAGGGAAAACAGAAAGTCACCATTCCCATGAGCTCGTAATTTGCACGTGTTTCACTCAAAAGGGCTGTTTATTTGATTGCACGAAAAGTTTCACTTGTGTCCCAGTAGTCCCAGCACCAAGTAAAGCGCTTTTCGTTCCATATTTGGTCAGGAATCTTCTCCCGCTCTTACCTAGACCCAGCTGGAATTCACTAGTTAGCTGCAAATGCTGACCTCCAATTGTATATGTCGATGTACGTCCCTATTCTGGCTCATTCGAATCCCCATCGTCGGACGAATCTTTCTGACAAGACTGTCATCTCCACCCGCGTCCGTTGGACAGCCAGATGTGGGGGAAGGGCTCAATTCCGGGAGGCGCCGGCGAAGCCATCTGCGAGGATCGCTCTAAGATTCTTCCTAAGAATCTTCCCCGACGGCGCCTTGGGGATGGCCTCCACGAAGAAGACCCGGTTAATCCTCTTGTAGAACACCACCTGCCGGAGGAAAAGGTGTGACCTGGTTAGAAACACAAGCCCGCGCGGGCTTTGCGACGAGACAGTCGGCGGTATAAACCTCACCTGCGCAGAAATAAACTCCATGATCCCGTTCTCCGAGACGGCTGAGCTTCCTGACCTCACGACGAAGGCCACCGGGACCTCCCCGGCTGCTTCATCTTTCATCCTGAAAAGGGATCAGGGATTTCAGGCTACGCCTTCTCGGGGGCGCAGTTCGGGGAGGAGGAGACATGCAGAAGAGGCGTACGGGACGACGGCGGCGTCGGCGATGCCAGGGTGAGCGACGAGCATGGCTTCGAGCTCGGCGGGAGCAACTTGGAATCCTTTGTACTTGATGAGTTCCTTGAGCCTGTCGACGATGAAGATCTCGTCGTCGTCGTCCACGTAGCCGACGTCTCCAGTGTGTAGCCAGCCCTCCCCGTCTATCGTCCTCGCCGTGGCCTCCGGGTCGTTGAGATAGCCTGGAAGATCAAGACGGTGTCGAAGACACTGAGAAAGAATCTCTTGAACCTAATCATTCCGTGCAGCAGCGCCAAGAACCATCTACTACCTTCCAATCTGAATGTTCTCGTACCATTCAACAGTTTTAAAGAAGATAATTTAAGAAATTTCTGATAGAACTGTTAGTTTTGGCTTTTTTTCATCGCGTCGTCCAATCCAATCATGATTTTTAATGGCCGTCATCAGCGGCCTGTGTTGGTAACCGCCGTACTCATCTTATCATATAAACCTTGGTCCCCGTCAACCTCACCTACGACTCACTAGAAGGTGAATACCGATGGAGTCGGTCAACTAGTATGAACCCGAATTTATACGCATCCTTGCCCCGGTCAACTGCCGTCGAATAGACAGGCCAGAGACTAGTGGAGTTGCCTACGTGACCGCTCAACTGCGGCGTTGTGGCGTTGTCGGGCCGCGGCTAGATCTAGTGGGCCGGCGGTCTGTATCTGATGATCTAGTGTGAGAATTAGCCCGCGTTCCCCACAGCGAGGGTGCCGCGTCTTCATTCTCTCCCCTCTCTAGAGCGATCCTACGGTAGTTTTTCTGTCTCAGATATTCGCCATTATATTAGCGATATCTCAGACTACGTTAATGGGAAGAGAGAGAGAGAGAGGAGTGAGTTACCTATCATAATCTGAGCTCCTCTGATGCAAATCTCTCCCGCTTGGTTCCTGGGGAGGGATTCTCCTGTGTTGGGGTCGATGATCTTTAGCTCGGCGTTCCTAACGACAGACCCGCACGATCCCGACTTGACCTTGAAAGGCTCTTTGGCGAAGGCCAGGCACATGGAGAGCACCGGCCCGGCCTCCGTCATTCCGTAGCCCTGCAAGTTGTCCAAAGATTCGCCTCAACACCTCCCGAGTTTTGTCTGTGGATCTCTGGAAAACGAAAGTAGAGTACCTGGCCGACTTTGGCGGCGGGAAGCTTGGCGCTAAGGGCTTCCTCGAGGTCCTTCCCCATGGGGGCCGCCCCGGACATTACAATGCGGATTGATGAGAGATCGTAGCTGCCGAGGTCGGGCCTCTTGGCGAGGGCCAGCAAGATAGGCGGCACTAGGGGGGCAACGGTTACTCTGTGGCGCTGAATCAGATCCAGAAGAACCACCGCGTCGAACTTCGGCACTATGAGGATGGCCGATCCCGCGCGAAGCCCGCCTAAAAGAACCGAGTTCAGAGCGTAGATGTGGAACAAGGGAAGCACGCACAGCACCACGTCGTCTCTCCGCAACCACAGGTTCGGGTTGGCTCCGTCGACCTGCTGCGCCACGCTGGTCACCTGCCCACGGTGCGTCAGCTTCACCCCCTTCGGCATTCCCGTCGTCCCCGACGAGTATGGTAGTGCGACGACGTCGTCAGGCCATATCTCTACCTCGGCCATTTCTCCTGTGTTGGCCGCAGCCAGCGTCGAGAAGTGTAGGCAGCCCTCGATGTGGGCATCGGTACACACAATGGTGACTCCGGCGAGCCGCACCAGCTCTCGGACTTTGCCGACGTAGGCTGATTGTGTCACCACGAGCCGCGCCCTCGCGGCCTGTGCCTGCTTCTGGATCTCGGCGGTGGTGCAGAAAGGATTGGCGGTGGTGATGATAGCGCCTCTGAAGGACGCCCCGAGGAAGGTGAACACAAATTCGGAAGAGTTGGGCAGCAGCGCGATGATGACGTCGCCCTTGCGGATGCCGAGCCGGTTGAGCCCGGCGGCGACCCGGCGGGCGGTGAGCTCCACCTCGGCGTAGGTAAAGACATCCCCCGTTTCCCCATGGATGATGCAGGGGCGATCGGCGACGGCGGAGAGGTTCTCGAAGCAGTAGTCGTGCACCGGAAGATGGTCGGGGATGTCGATGTCCGGGAGCTTGGAGCGGTAAATGATCTCCTCACAGGGTTGAGCTGCTATACCCATCGAACCCATTCTCTGACTGACGATCATTCCTTCGTAAGTCAACGGGAAAACGCTGCAAGAACCCAAGAATGAGGAGGATAGAGCGGCCCTTTTCTTTATGTTGCGCTTCCCTATAGGCAAACGTGGGCCGATAGTCCGGTAATCTACCGTTGGTGGAGCGGTGGGGTGTCAGTGGAGTTGGCAGGAGATTTCATCCATAATCATTGAATATGGATTATATCTTACGCAGATGATTCGTTGGCGGAGGTGGGGAGTCGGTGGAGTTGGCAGGAGAACTCATCCATAAGAATTGGATATGGATTATATCTTAGCAGATGATTCGTTTGTGGTGTCTGTGTTTTTTTCTTCGAACAGTGACCGGACGACGGTGGTGGTGGCCCCGTCTGGTTGCAGTCGATCTGCAACCGTGCGCGACGGTGGGCACGTTGGTGTGATGGTGGTGAGTTGGCAGAACAACCGTTCACCAACACGGCGGCTCAAGTGGCGAGCAGCCACGTCTGGTGCTTCCTACGATCATCCAATATGACCTCACATTTTGCAACAACTGGTGACGAGTCAGAATCCACGTTTGATGGATGGAGAAAATATCCAAGAAGGGGCCTTGTCTGCAAGGTTTTCAGAGTCCCATGGAAGAGGCGTGCAGCTCAGGAAACGACGCGCTGGAGGACCTTACGGTGTCCCCGAGCCTGTGGCTGGGCTGTCGAGGAAATTCTCTCCTACGTTGCTCTCTCGCTCTCTTCTCGGCCAACGGGATCAACGAAAGAACACTTGGGGATGGGACCACTTTAGAGTCAACCTTGGCGGAGTTGCATCGTGGAAATCACATAATTCAAGTCGAGCTGTGTTCAGAAGTGGGGAAAAACCAGTATTTGCTAGTTTTTCCAGACGGATTCGTGTGAACTCGGCGGAATCTCAGTCACATAAAATTATACAATGCTCTTTGCAAGAAGTGGTGAAGTAGACGTCTTAGTAATATGCTACCTACTAACTAAGGATGTGCTTAAAGAATAAAAAAGACTTAGCTTCTTTATTTAACACTATGTTGAGCATGTCTTCTTTTTTAAGGTGGTGTGCTCAAAATAAATCTCTCAATTGTGAATGAAACTAATCCACTTAACACGTTGGGATGTGTGGAAAAATAATCATCTTATATCTACAGTGAAAATGTGAATCTAACTCCATGGTAAATTAGTGGGAGATCTAAGGGAGTATGCCCCCATATCAAAATTTGAAGTAGAGGTAATGATATCTTTTTTTCTTATTTAGTCGTCTTAACTACATGTTACAAATATAGGATTTCCATTCTCCCATCTTAGAGGTCTTTTGAGGGTTTGTCTAAGAAGTAAGCACTGCTTCAGTCATCAATAAGTGGTATCAGACTTGGGAGAACAATATAATTGGACAAAAAATCACTTCAATAAGTTGGAACTTTGCTCACAAGAGTAGACTCACAATGGAGAGGACGACCATGGAGGAGTTGGAAACCACAACATTGCTAGGACATAACACCTTCAAGAGGGCATGACTCACAATGGCTACTAGCTTACTTCTATGATGTATGGAACCTCATAAACAATCTGAAGCTATGTGATGGGTGTTGTCCAATGTGGATTTTTTTTAGAAAGAGATGTAATTTGTCTCCTTTCAAATATTTTTTTGTGAGGGTCACCTCTCAAGTCTATAAATAAAAGCCCTTGTGTGGGGGACAATAGTTAGATGTAAAAAGGAAAAGAGATTTTATGCACATGCTAAAACCCCTATATAATCAAAATTGTGTTGATAAAGATAGTGAGTTTTTCAATTTCTGTTCTTTTTGAATATCCACACTTTCTTGAATTTTTAATATTATTAGTAAAGGAAGAGAGAGAGAGAGCTATTTGGCTCTCGATTATCTCTTTTTGCCTCAAGAACTATTATCAAAGCTTCAAGTTGAGGTCTTTGGCTTGAGTCTTCCCATATTTGGAGGAGTTCTAGTTTCAAAGAAAGAGTGGGAGTTATGGCTATCAAAGAGGGAAAAAGCAAAAATTGAAAATTTTGACAAGATGAATTTCAAATTTTAGATAATACAAGTAGAAGATCACTCATATTAGAAGAAGCCCCATCAGCCTCTATCTAGAGTGAAGTATGAGGGAATGTCTCAAGTTGATTAGGAGTTATTGGATATAAAAGCTTTAAGAGTCATTAGACTAAGTTTATCCAAAGACATCACATGCAATACATTGAATGAAAAGACTATAATATGTTTGATGTCTGCCCTATCCAACATTTAAGAAAAATCATATGCAACAAATGAGGTTTATTTGATAAGTCATTTGTTTAATTTGAAGATGAGTAAAGTTGTCTTTATTTAAAACTATAAAAATGAATTTAATGTAATAATTAGTCAACTTAGTTTTTTTGACATTCATTTTGATGATGAGTTCAAAACTTTAATCATATTATTTTCATTACCTAAGAGTTGGGTGCCATTGTGACTATTGTGAGTAGTATAGACAAAACTAAGAAATTAATTTTAGATGAGATCTGATATTTTATTCTTCATGAAGATAATCAAATAAAAGAACTAGAAGAAAAATCTATTCATATTTTGATGTGTAGGAAGAACAATTTTTCAGGACCTTAGGATTGACATACAAGCATCAGAGCCCAAGAGGCACATGCCCATAGGACCAGCCCAATAAGGAAAAAGGGGGCTCTGGTTAAGGGGAGGAGGGCACTAGAGGAAGAGGTTATTGAAAGATCAGAACTAGAGGAGGCAGGGTGCCTCTCTTCCCCCTTTCCCCCCTTCTTCTCTAGTGAAATCCTATGTATGGGAGGATTACATCCTTGTTATCCTCATCCTCACTATTCTTAAGGTTAGTTTTGTTACACAATCTAGTGAAGTCATGAGTCTACTAGAGGAAGTTGAGTAAGTTCAAGATAAGAAATGACAAATGTTGGCAATGTGAAAAACATGACAGAATAAAAAAATACTACAAACAAAAGACATCTAAATCAAAATCAGAGGACATATGATAATTCAACAAACTCAACATCAGCAGAATTAGATGATGTATGGATTTTTAGTGTAGACAATCATCTAGAACCTTGAATTTTAGATTCAAGTATATCATTTCACTAAACTTCTTGCAAGAAGTAAATGACTTATTTTGTTGTATGAAATTTTGGCAAGATGTATTATGCCGATGACAAACCCTTAGACATTGTTGGCAAAGAGAATATACAAATCAAGACTTAGAATGATATACTATGGAAGTTGTCAAATCCAAAGAGAAATATAATTTCTTTAGGACAATTAAATAGTAAAAGTTATGTGACAATCTTTACAAATGATTTTTGAAAATGACCAAATGAGTCATGATAATTGCAAGAGGCTAAAAAAATGACAGATTATACATGACCTCATGTAGTAGAGATAATATTGTTTTGATTATTCCAAAGAGTGAACCAAGATTTGGCATCATAACCTAGGACATGAGTGCAAGAAAGGATGAAAATCATGCTTGCAAAAGGTAAATTACAAGACATGAAGTTAGTGAATTTGAATTTCCATGAAGATTATATCATATGCAAACAAAAAAGAGTATCATTATCCAAACTTGCAAGAGTACCAAAATCTGATAAGTCATAATTGGTGCCCACTAATGTATGGGGGCCTACGTATGTTTCATCTCTTGGAGACCAAAATACTATGTGACCTTCATTGATGATATAAGTCAAAAGGTATTAGTTTATTTTCACAAAAATAAATGTGATGTTTTGATGACTTTCAAGAAATGAAAGAATTAAGTTGAGCTTAAGTCTAATTTTAAGATTAAATACTAACATTTGAAAATGGTAGAGAGTGACAATCAATAATTAAAAAAAAATGTTCAAAACATGGGATTCAGACGAAGGAAACAATATGAGACACACTCAGAAAAATGAAATTACTATGCATATGTATAATAATTTAAATAAATGAGCTAAGAGCAAAAAAATATATGATAGGTTTTCAAAGATGTTTGGGCAAAAGTCATTAACATAACTCTCCATTTGATAAATGGGAGAACATCAATACCTTTGAATTATTAATTGTTAGAGGAATGTTGGACTAAAAAGAAAGTAAATCTATCATATTTATGAGAGTTTTAATGGTTCTTGTATGTTCTTATTGATTATAATTGTATGGATAAATTAGATGCAAAGTCTAAAAAATATTATTTCATTATATATGGAGCTTATGGCTTTGACTATTGATTTTGGGATAGTCAAAATTAAAATATTTTGAGCTAAAATGTGATATTCAATAAAGAGATCATGATAAAGATATATAATTAAAAAATAGGCAGAGCTAGAAAAAATATTGAAAGAAGATTTACTAGAAAGGATTGAGGACAATCTTAAAGTGAGTGTTGGAGATGATGTAGATGAATCTATATCTTAATTAATAAGATCTATTAGAACATTAATTAAAAAGAATGCTTTAATTCTTTATATTCTTTGCTACTAATAGATAGAGGTGAACATGAGTTGTATATAGAGACTTATATATGTGAAGGATTCGATGAAGTGGGAGTCAACAATGCATGAAGAGATGAACTCCTTGCATAAAATCAAATATGGGAGCTGATTAAACTACAAGAATGAAAGAAAGTTATTCATAATAAATGGGTGTATCATATCAAGGAGGAAGTTGATGACAGTAAGAGATACAAATTCAAACTAGTTGTAAGGGTTTCAATTACAAGAAAGTATAAATTATACCAATTTATTTCTCATGTTGTAAAGCTCACTACAATGAGATTGATGCTGTGTTGTAGCTACGAAGAGTCTTTGCTTAAAACAATTTAATGTCAAGATAGTTTTATTCAAGATAAGTTGGAATGAGAGATCTATATGATGCAACCTTAAGAATTTATTATTCAAGACAAGGAAGGTCAAATTTTCAAGTTAAAAAGAGTGTATATGGGTTGAAGTATGCACCAAGATAATGGTACAGAGATTTGACATTTTCATGATCATAAATAATCTCACTAGATGTCAAATAGATCATTGTAGTTATCTTAAAAAAATTAAAAGTGGGTATATCATTTTACTATTTTATGTAGATGATATATTAATTATTGAAATTAATATGTAGGTAATCAACAAGTTGAAATAACTTTTGATAAATTAATTTGCTATGACAGACTTGAGAGTTGTAAGAAAATTCTCAAAATGAGAATTACACATGACATAACTACTAGTCTATTGAGACTCTCTCAAAAAATATATATTAAAAAAGTTATTTGCAAATACAATATGCAAAGTACAAATCATTTAAACACACCTTTACTTGGACATTTTAGACTCTCCAATAATAAATCACCTATGACAACAAAAGAGGAAATGGAGAGCATTTCATATGTTTCAATTGTTGTAAAGTTAATATACACTATGGTATGTAACAGACTAGATATAATACATGTAGTGAGAATTGTAAATAAGTTCATGGCAAATCTAGTAAAAGATCATTAGATTGTAGTGTAATGGATCTTTTGATACTTGAAAGCCGCTTCAAGTATGAGTCTCTACTTTATAAGTGGACAATTAAACTTATGTGGCTGCATATCTTGGTGGTAATATTGATACTTGGAAAGTACCATTAGATATATCTACCTCTTGGCAACATTATTGTAAATTGGGTTTCATAATTATAAAAAATAGTTTATTAAAAGATAGGAAGGTAACACTTGTAGATTAAAAAACATGATGACGAAGGCTACTATCACATAGAAAGTGAGGTTGTGTAAATCCTCAAAGTTAACCTCTTGATGATATCACACTAGCTTAAACTTTTTCTTTCTAAGTGAGAGATTGATGTCGTATATGGAAAGAAAAATTACGAAAAGATATGGTTAGTCTCATATTGAATAGTTTATTGTGGGAGCTGCCTCTTATGTCTATAAATAAAGAGTCCTTGTATAGGGACAATAATTTGATGTACTTGTACTAAAACCTTTGTATTGTTAAAACTATTTCACTACAGACTAAGTTTTTCATTTCTTACTCTTTTTTACCATATATATATATATATATATATTTGAAATCTTTCATTGTTAGTAAATGAAGAGAGAGAACTATTGCACTCTCAATTTTCTTTTCTTGCCACAAGAATGTGCAGTGCATCCACATGTGGTGGGGCACACATCACAATAAAGCAACATGCACAAAGGCACTTCATGTAGGTATGTACATCACCAACACAAGGGACTGTGTGAAAATGACACAAGTATAGCAGCCCCATATTCAAATAGCATGCATCATCCTGTGTTGGTGGAATGTGCACATATCATGCACAAGGAGCCCAGCCATCCCCCTATTTGGACTGTAGACATATGGCATGCATTTGAAAAGTGCAGATTAGCACAGCACACAAAGCACCCCCATTTGGACTACATGTAAGTAATGTGCATTCATATGGTGTAACACCATGCACATAGAGTCTCCAATTCAAACAACACATGAGCAACATATGTGTGTATGGTGCAGATCAATGTCAATATGGGAAGAACTTTATTTGAACTGCATGCAAACAAAGTGCATTGGTTTGATGTGGATGTACATAAGTGATGCACTATTGCAACTTTCATGCAATGGAACCTCTGTCGTAATGCACAAGGGTGACAATGTGGCATAGCAAGGACATGAGAATGTGCACTAGTATACTTGTACATATTGTTGGGATGAGAAAATGATCAAACTTCAAGTGAAAGAATGTTGGGATATGTGGAGAATGATCATCCTAGAGCTATGACATATATGTTGGGCAAGCCGCACTCGTCTCTCTTTCAGAGGAAAACTTGAACTAAAGATAATTCTATTTTTTGTTTATTTGAACATTCTATAAGGATAGAAATAGCCTAACATATTTAAAAGTAGACAATAATCATAGAATTGCTCAATTTCATTGGTTTTTTTTTATCAATTAGAGTATTCTAAAATTTGAAACCACTTAACTAGGCCATTACAATAGCTGAAGAAAATGGGAGTAAGTTATAATGGACCCCCATCTCTCTCTCTCTCTCTCTCTCTCTCTCTCTCTCTCTCTCTCTCTCTCTCTCTCTCTCGCTCTCTCTCTCTCTCTCTCTCTCTCCATTTTCCTCTATTGAAAAAGGAGGGGCGTAAGAAAATTTAGAGGTATTGTGGAGAGATGGAGAGGTGGCTAGACTTGGTGAGAGAGAAGGGGTAAGATTGCTACTTTTATTTTGATATTTCTTTATTTTCTACTTAAAGAGAAATGGATTCAACATTGAGTCGGATGAGAAGCATTCAAACCTTTTGTAGGACTCTCTTTCTATGTGTTATTCCACCAAAGAAATATCTCTATCTCCTTCTCCGTGGAAATGGAAGGATTTCCTCAAATTACATAAATCTTGGCATATCAAACCATGCTGACTTTTCTTTTATATAAAAACTTATTATAGCTATTATCTTTACTTTGATATTTTAGACACATCATTATTTACCGGGTAACACATTTACGATTTATTTTCAGACGTAGTTATTTGTTCCATTTTGTTTTTATAATAACATGGAAGTCACGTAATGAATTATCAAGTGACAAAAATGAAAATTTCAACTTTATAGACGAAAGAGCGTGTTTGATTCTGCTTATTCTCAATGTTAAAGTATCTTTCTTAATTCATCAAGCTTGTAAATAAACACTGCTGATTTTGCTCGAAGGATCAATAGCAAACGACCCTCATAAATTGTGATTTGATGTATAGAACAATCATCACCTCGCAGCAGTTGTTTCACGAAAGTGCGTACTATATCCGCTTTAAAAACTCAAACAGTCTGTTACCAGCTCAGGATTTTCACTATTATTATTATTTTGCAGTTGAAGTCTGGATTGTGCAGACTTTTCTATCGTCTGGTAGATATTAGCACTCCGTCCTGAGAGAAAGTTCCCATGGGTTCGCCATTCTAAAGGAAACTCTGAAGTTGTGTGGGACGTCCATGACTTGGTTTTTATCGGATGATTGTTTTAGAACAGCTTTTATTTTCGTCAAGCTGATTTTCTCGAGCATTGTGTGTGGCTATGAAATGAGCAGCCGAATAGTTGGTCTTGAGGACTGATATCTACTGGTAGATATTCTCTCTCTCTCTCTCTCTCTCTCTCTCTCTCTCTCTCTCTCTCTCTCTCTCTCTCTCTCTCTCTCCCTCTCTCTCTCTCTCTCTCTCTCTCTCTCTCTCTCTCTCTCTCTCTCGCTCTCTCTCTCTCTCTCTCTCTCGCTCTCTCTCTCTCTCTCTCTCTCTCGCTCTCTCTCTCTCTCTCTCTCTCTCTCTCTCTCTCTCTCTCTCTCTCTCTCGCTCTCTCTCTCTCTCTCTCTCTCTCTCTCTCTCGCTCTCTCTCTCTCTCTCTCTCTCGCTCTCTCTCTCTCTCTCTCGCTCTCTCTCTCTCTCTCTCTCTCTCTCTCTCGCTCTCTCTCTCTCTCTCTCTCTCTCTCTCTCTCTCTCTCTCTCTCGCTCTCTCTCTCTCTCTCTCTCTCTCTCTCTCTCTCTCTCTCTCTCTCTCTCTCTCTCTCTCTCTCTCTCTCTCTCTCTCTCTCTCTCTCTCTCTCTCTCTCTCTCTCTCTCTCTCTCTCTCTCTCTCTCTCTCGCTGTGCACCCAGTTTTTGCCATTCATCCGAGCTTTAGAACTTGACAGCCCATCACAGATGTCCTTCAGCAAAGGTTCAGACCCTCTGCGAGAGGGGTGGAACCTCCTCAAGCTCCTCACGAGCGACTTGCTCCTCTCTAGCTTATCTGATCTGCAATCTCATTGTCCCCCACGGAGCCCCCCATAAAAAAAAGCCCGTATCTGATCTGCGAAAGAAGGAAAGTTTTCGATCCATCGAAAGGATCGAAAGTTTCAAAATCCAAGAGACCCTCCACTCATTCCGCGGATCTTGGAAGGCGGGTCAGGTCTGCTAGTCATCCGAATTCGCGGGTTCGGAGTTTCCAAGGCTTTCACCTTTCCGCCGTTTCGCAGACCAGAGGGGGGGTGGGTGCTCTCCTCCTCCCCTTCTCCTCTCTCTCTCTCTCTCTCTCTCTCTCTCTCTCTCTCTTTCACTCTAGTCATTTGAACGATGCTATACATCCCACTACCCGTCTCAACTCTATTCAACGCAAACAGGTCTACTCGACCCCCCTGCGCATGGTGGCTCGTCGGGATGGGGATAATGATGGGGGCAGCTCGCAAATGAAGACCCAACATGATTCTGCAGAGCAGCAAGAGACAGAGACAGAGAACCTTGGGCGAAGAGCGTCGGCCGGGGGAGAATGATGATGATGGGGGTGATATCATCTCCAGGCGATTTGATTTGAATGACCTTGGTCGCAGCAGCTAATATCTGTAGCCCCTAACTACTGACGAATTTCTTTTCCAGCACAAGCATTTTGACTTTCGTGGCCGGCCCTGCACGCGCTGCAACTTCTTGGCCCTGCGCTCCGATGCTACCCTGACTGATCGATACTGTGATGGGTCCAGAGACTAGATAGATTGTATGTGATGCCCCAGGCTTTGCTTTGCCTTTAACTTCCCCCTTTGGTTGTTATCGATCCTCATTAATGTCGCTGCCCATTATATGAGTAAATCAGTAAATAGACGAATAAATAAATCAGTAAAGATATCTCGATAGATGCGCTAAGATTGAGCGCAAATGAAGTCTACCTGTTTCTTGTTGCTGCTCATAGTACCCTCATCTGCTGGGTCTGATTGAACCAGGAAGAAGCCTGAGCGGGGGTGACTGACTCGGAAACGGGGAGGGGGAGAGGGTTGAGCGAAACTGGGAGAGCCCAGATACTGCAGAAGGGAAAGCGACAAGAGCCTGAAGCCCGGAAGGTGCGTAGGGTTGGGTTGGGTATCAAGAGAAGGGAGACGCTTTCCCTCACGGTGCACCACCTTCTCTGTGGGCTGGTCCTCCTGTGCTGTCTGATTTCTCGTCCGTCTTCTTCCATCTTTCGCCCTTTCTTCTGCAAGCCCACATGCTCGCACCTCTGTCAGAGCCCGAGCAAGATAGAGAGAGAGAGAGAGAGAGGTTGGAGATTCTTGTTTCATAGTAACACAACACGTAGCTCCACTGGAGCTGCGACGCGTCCACTGTCTTCCCTGCTCTAGGCCCCGAGATCACTCAAGATCTTCAGGAAGGAAAAGCGAGGAGCTGCGGGGATCTCGTCTATAAATGCGAGTCTCGAACGAGGGCTCTCCAGCGGCTCTCCCACTTCCTCCCCACTCGAACCTCGAGCCGTCTCTCCCCGTCTCCCCCGTCTCTTCTTCGCTCGCCCTGCAGGGCTCATAGTCTCCTCGACCGGCTCCCACGCTTCTTCTTCCGAAACCCGTAAGCGCTCTCCCCTTCCGTAGAGGAGTGGGGGTTCTCCGGAGGGGCAGCGGAGGAGATGAAGGAGCTCTGGACCTCTCTGGCCGCCCTGGTGGGGGTCTTCGCCTTCTTCCAGAGCCTCCTCCACGCCATATTCCCCCCTGAGCTGCGGTTCTTGGCGGTGAAGCTCTTCCACCGCGTTTTCTGCTTCTTCTCTTCTTACTGCTACTTCGACATCACCGAGATAGACGGCGTCAACACCAATGAGCTCTACAACGCCGTCCAGCTCTACCTTAGCAGCTCAGCCTCCGTCTCCGGCAGCCGCCTCAGCCTCAGCCGGCCCCTCAACTCCTCAGCCTTCACCTTCGGCCTCTCCAACAACGACCGCCTCGTTGACACTTTCAATGGCGCCACCGCCACCTGGGAGCACGTCGTCACGCAGTGGCATCCCCAATCCTTCTCCTGGCGGCCCCTCCCACAGGAGAAGAGGGGCTTCACCCTCCGCGTGCGGAAGAAGGATAAGCCCCTCATCCTCCATTCCTACCTCGATCACATTATGGAGAGAGCCAACGACATCCGTCGCCGGAACCAGGACCGCCTCCTCTACACCAACTCCCGCGGCGGCGCTCTGGACGCTCGTGGGCACCCCTGGGAATCGGTCCCCTTCAAGCATCCCAGCACCTTCGAGACCCTGGCAATGAATCCAGAGAGGAAGGAGGAGATCATGGCCGATCTCCGGGACTTCGCTGACGGCCAAACCTTCTACCAGAAGACTGGCCGTGCGTGGAAGCGCGGGTACCTCCTCTACGGCCCTCCGGGGACCGGCAAGTCCAGCATGATCGCCGCCATGGCGAATTACCTTGGCTACGATATATACGACCTCGAGCTCACGGAGGTGCACACCAACTCTGAGCTCCGCAAGCTGCTGATGAAGACCACTTCGAAGTCGATCATCGTCATCGAGGACATCGACTGCTCTATCCAACTCACGAACAGGAACGGAGCTGCCGTGAAGAAATCCTCCGGGCTGAGCAGTTTCTCCGACCCGTCGTCGGAGTTGTGCCCGATGGTGGGGCCGGAGGAGACAACCAAGTCGATCACGCTTTCGGGCTTGTTGAATTTCACAGACGGGCTTTGGTCCTGCTGCGGGAGCGAGAGGATATTCGTTTTCACGACGAACCACATCGAGAAGCTCGACCCGGCTCTTCTCCGGTCGGGGAGGATGGACATGCACATCTTCATGAGCTTCTGCTCCTTCCCGGCCTTGAAGATTCTGATGAAGAACTACTTGGGCTTTGAGGAGGCCCTGGCGGGGGGCGAGGAAAAGAGACTCCTGGGGGAGTTGCAGGTGGTGATGGGCACGGCACAGATGACCCCGGCCGACGTCAGCGAGGTACTGATCAAGAACCGGACGAAGGAGAGGAGCAAGGCTGTGGCGGAGCTGCTGGAGGTTCTGAGGAGCCGGGTCGAGGTAAGGAAGGCCGCAAGGAATCTCTCAACGATGGAGAGCAACCCGAACGGGGAATTGGAGGAAGAGCAGGAGAAACGAGCCCTGGAGAGCCCAAAACAGGCCGATGAAGCAGTAGGAGAAGAGGCAGAGGATCCCAACGCTGAGAAGAACAAGTGTGACGAGAATTCCGCGGAGGATTAAAAAACTTATCTCCTCGTTTTGTTCTTCTGTTGTTGCTGATGGACTGGCATGTGTGTGAGAGAGAGAGAGAAGAAAGAAGCGTTTTTTCCTCCTTTCGGCAATCCCGTTATCTGTGAAGACGGAGGCCTCGTCGTTCTCTCTTGCTACGTCTGCGCTCCACTCCGCTTATCCCTTCCCTCTTTCCTTATGCGGTTAAGTCCCTGTTCTTAAAATATTTCGTATAATCTGCCGCGTGCCCTGCTCCGTCGTGTCCACTGTTCGAAGACCCTCGCGGTAACAAGGACGACGCGTTCACTCAGGAAGACGACACGCATAAAACACAAATAACAGACTGAAACATTCGAGCCCTGGCTTGGGAAACGAGTCGTCGTCTTCCTCCCCCCCCCCCGCAGCAGTCCTCGTTGGGGCCACGTGTGTGAATCGCAGCTGGGGGGCGGCTAAAGCACGAGCCTTTCTCTGTACCCCGTCTTCTCTGCGCCTGTAGGCTTTGTGAGAGTGGCCAGGGGGAGATCAGTATACGACAGATAAAGTGCCGGTGGTCGACCGCAGTGGACTTCGCCGACCGGGATATGCTCGACCGTCCACAGCCCGGCTCTCGGAACGGGCTCCCGCCACCATTAATACCTCGGAGGTCACCACTAATCCCCAGTCGTTTGCATGCATGCGCATTCCAGAAGCCTCCTCGTCACTTCCTGGGTTCTCTGCAAAAGATCCCGGGGAAGGAGTAACGGAATTCAGCGTTCTAGAACCGACGTAGGGCTAGGGCTTGGAAGATCGCAATTGGCTTCCTTCTTCAGTCGAGAGTCCCCACACCATATTAACCCCTTATTATCTCTGACATTAAGATACTGTCCTGGTATGATCCCTTGGTGTGATGTAATTTTTCCCATTTGCATGCTTAGCCGATTCTGCGGAGCTCCCCCGTGATCCGAGTATGACGCTAATGGCGGCGCCTTTTCGGCTTTCACCTTAGAGTGTTAGTCCCCGCAGCTTGTAGACCTGGATGAGTTCTTTCAGAGCTTCTGCTCGAGATCGGAGTCAATATGCGGGGGGGCTGGATCTTCTATCTAAAGCTTCCGATCGAAAATGGCTCAATAGGTTCCCCCTCTCCTTTTTTTAAAAATGATGACACGAATATGCTCGGCGATCAGACGTTGAGGCGAGGCCAGGGCTGTTCTTCAGCCTGTCTGGAGATTCCAATGATCTCTCTTCCTGCAAGAAAGCTCAGCTTGCGGAGGAGGCTGCCCAATGGGAAACCGGATGAGCAAGACCAGCGAGCCAGCAGTAGCTCTTCGGCAGCATATGAACAGTGAAGCGATACTCTAGCCCAGATGGGTCAACCCATCGACACTACTCATCCTTTCCCAAGTTGATCCGAGCCACGCTGAATAAGCCAACCCGTATATCAAGAGTCAATCGTCTCTGGCCAGGCCTTGTCGTCTTCTCGCCCACCCTGCCGGATCATACGCTGTAAGACACCGACGAGCGCCGAAAAAACCTAAACTAGGGGAGATGAGAGAAGAACTAGCGAAGATCACCAGTAAGCTCGTGTAGAGAAAATGATGGCCTCCAGCGGAAGAATCTCTCCTGCCTGATAAAGGGTCCGATAAAGCTAGCCGCCCTCGTCAGACCCATACCACCCTCTCCACAGAACGGCTCGGAGCAACCCCCCCGTTGCTTCACCATGATTACGCTCACTGGATCTCACTCGGCTCTGTTCTTCACCTTCAGAGCTCCGACGAGGCTCCCCGGCGGAGGACAGCGGCCTAAGAGAGCACCGCAGCGCCAGGGGAAGAGATAAAACCCAGATCCCTGGATTTCCCCGGAGGATCCTCCTGTCGGCGTCGAGCTTTCCAAAATGCCCATGAATGGCTCCATCTATTGCTCCGGCTCGATTTCCGGGGAGGACTCTAATCATTGCACCATGATTCCCTCTCCCCCTTTCCCCGTCGAAGACGACGACGATGGCCGGGCCGATCGTCATCTTTCCACTTGCCATCAGAGCGCTTAATGGGCTGCTACTGCGGCTCGGCTGAGCCCACTTACCTAAAAAAGAGAATTCCGGAGTGAGTGGGCCCACCATATATGGCCCATTTGGGATGCTCGCTCGATGATCAATAGGCCCATATATTACAGACGAGGTGTGGACTAAATTGGGCCGGTTGAAAATTGGGCCGGCGTGAGGCGGTGAAGATCCTCTCTATAAATTTATTAGATGAACCTCGAGTTAAGTATAAGATAAGATGAAATCCCATATATATTTTAATTTCATTCATATCCTTTTATTTTGGCATTTTCTCCCCACGCCTTGCTTCCGGTTTCGACGAGATTGGTGGCGTGCTCGAGTCCCATTGAATGTTATGGAATATTCTTGGAATATCCCGCTTGTTTAATCATCTGACACGTTTTGGAGATATTAGCATTTAAAAAATAATAATGGGCTAGTAGCTAATCCATGCTATTTGCGGGGGCTGAAACGAAAGAACGAACGCCTATTTATTAACCATGGAAAAAAGGAGATTACTCGGGTAAATCGTAATTTATTAGAAAAAACTAATATAGTCCCGGGACCACAACACCACGCTCTTCATTCCCCACTGACGTTGATTTCCACTAAAAGTCCCATTGACCGTTTGATGGGAAAGACCAGTATCAACTGTTGTCGATAAAAGTAGGTTGAACGATCATTCAATATAGAAAGGTCGCAGTTGACTTTGGTTATTATCTCCTCACCAAACTATGCAATATATATATATACCTAACGTATGCATGGACGTGGCTGTCGAAATCATCAACTTGGCAGATAAATAATCTATCTTCATCCCGTGCTCTCTCTCTCTCTCTCTCTCTCTCTCTCTCTCTCTCTCTCTCTCTCTAAAATAGGTCTAAAACGATAGTCTGGTCGGGGAAAGGCTCGAATGGCTTCACCCCGGAGGGCCATCCCCTGGGGCCTGTCCAGACAAGGGTAAGTCATAGGAGAGAGGAGGGGGAGGGGGGGAAGCTGGGAGAGCTTGGGCCACCTCCCGGGGAGTAAACCAGTGTTAACACTCTTAACCCTCCGTCGCTTTCTACCTTTCTCCTTCCCACCCTCACGGAAAGATCGAGGGGACTCCACTTGTTGCAGCAGATCAGTACAGCGTCGGAAGGGCCTCACTAGAGGTGGTAGAACTTGGAGGGCTTGAACCCGGCGGTCACATTGAAGTATCTCAGCGTCTCCGCCAGCTTATCGTCATCCTTGAGCCGGTGGACGGAGATGGTGTTGGGGACGAAGGTGTACGGCGGGTAAGGGTAGTCGTACGATACCGGCTTCGTGTCGAAGTTCAGGTGGGGAGCTCTCGTGCTGCGAACGTTCTTTCCCCTGCCGCCGTCGCGCAGCCACTCTCCGACGACGGTGTCCTCCGGCCCCACGGTGTGGTTCTTCACGGTCTCGGAGGAGGCGATCCACTCTACCAGGTCCCAGCTGAGGACGTACGCCATGCCGGCCATGAATAGCGGCAGGCCGTTGGCGGCGGGAACGAGGTGGCCCCAGTAGAGGTCCTCCCTCGGCTGGATCCTCAGCGACTCCACCAGCTTGGGGAACATGAAGATGGTGTCGTCGTCTGCCTTCATCACGAAGTCGTAGGGCCTCCCGCTCCCGTTTGCGCCGCCGCCGAAGAGCCCGGGGAGGCTGGAGAAGAAGCTGTAGGTCTTGCCACCGTTCATGTTCTCCTTGCAGTTGAGGATGAGGATGTCGTCGTAGAGCATGACCTCCAGCGCTACCAGCGTCTTCTCGTCGTCCCGGGAGAGGTTACAGAGGACGAACTTGACGTCGATCTGGGCCGCCACCGGCGGCTGCAGGGCATGGAGCATGCGCAGGCGGTGGCGGGGCAAGTAGCGGTTCCCCAGCGTCAGTATGCCCATGAGCAGGCGGAATTCGGGCCCCGGCGGAGGAGCGGCGGCGCTCTGGCCGTCGGGGGTGGGGGAGGTGAAGGCTGACAGTCGGAGATTGCCCCGGCTCAAGAGGTGGAACTCGCCGGAGAAGTTGAGAGCGAAGATGAGCGCCGCCAAGAACACCGGCACGAGCAGGAGGGCCACCTTCTCGAGCGTTCTCATCTGGGGCAACGCGGATGGAGGCGGCGAGAGCGCCATCTTCCTCTGATGGGGGGAGATCTAGGGAGCGGGGTAGGGTTCCCGTTTTCGCGTATTAATACTCGATCGAAGATCTGAAGAAGTCTCTGTAGATCTGTGGCATTGAATGAAGAAGCACCGTTGACTATCGAGCAGAACCGAACCACGGTTACTTACTCTCTACCCTGATTACGCGGGGAATCGAGTTAAACGCTACTGTGGTTTTTTTCTTCTTCTTCGAATGTGTTAAAGAGAAGAATGTGGCCAGACCCTAGTGGCGTTCTCAATTTTAAGAAAAAAAAAACTATTAGAGATTTCCCGCATGTCTTTCTCTCTCTCTCTCTCTCTCTCTCTCTCTCGCTCATAGGATGGACTGGGTACCAAGTATCCGTTCCGAATATCACTCATCTCTCTCTCTCTCTCGGTCTTATAGGATGCACTGGGTACCGCCGTCGGAGCTTACCGGAGCCAATCCAGGGAAGGAAATGACCTGATCCAGGGTCCGTTTCCTGACCCGGGCTCGGTCCAAGGACTGCAGTGGACCGTACATCACCAGACTCCGTGGCGGGTGGGATGATAGTCTTCTTCGGTCCTTTATTCGTGAGCGTGGAGATCTTGGATCCGGTGCCTCTTCTTCGGTCCTCATTTCCCTTGCCCACTCACTCTCCAAATATGTTTCTAGAGCGAGAGATAGAGGAGGAGAGAAAGAGAGAGAGAGAGAGAGATCACGTCAAGAAGCCAGAGGTCGTCTTAAAGGTCCAGAGAAAATTTAATTGTCCCTCGTTCACGGAGCTATTTAGAGCAGTAGGTTGGAGCTCTATCTCTCTCTCTCTCTCTCTACCTCCGAGCAGCTTGCCGTCGGATGCCATCAGGGGCGGAGCGGCGGAAGCGGCGATAGAGCTCCAACCGTGAGCACGGGGTCTTCACGACCAACCCAACCGGGGCGACGAGACCTCACAACTAACCCTACTTGGAGGACGGGGTCTTCACGACCAGCACCAGGCGACGGAGACTCAACGAAGGTAATCTATTCTTCCAACTCTACTTTCTCCCTAAGACGATGGGATGTACCTTGCCTTACAAACCAAAACAAAGCAAATAAAATAAAGGAAAACTCACTAAGAGAGAACGCGCTAATAATAAAATAAATCTTCAGATCCTGAGCGGGTGCGTCAGTGTCGAGATCTCCGGTGGCTTTCTAGGCCTGATGCTGTATTGGCTGAGCTTGAGTCCTTTGGTGGGCCCGCTAAGTCTGAATTGGCCCCCCTTTCTGCATCAATTAGCTAATTGAAATGGACGAAGAGAGGGATTGAGTTTTGGAGATCACTTTTGAGAGAGAGAGAGAAGCCAATGGGTGGACTGGTAATTGCATGTTTGGAAGTGAGAGGTTGACTTAAAGACCTTGACGAATTTGACATTGTCCTCTTCTATCAGCGGGACGTCGTTGACTTACTAGCACGTGTTCATCGAGCTGCCCACCAGCGGATGGTGCGCGATGGTAGTTCTATTAAAAGTTTAACTTTTTGATGTCCCTCTGCCTTCCGAGCTCTCTCTCTCTCTCTCTCTCTCTCTCTCTCTCTCTCTCTCTCTCTCTCTCTCTCTCTCTCTATCTATCTATCTATCTCCTCTACCTCCGACGAATTGGGCAGCCGGTCTCACGTGCTCCCTCAACTCACCCTGCCCGATGGGCTTCATGCATTCAAATAATCGACTAGCTCCCTTGATGGCCCAAATCATAGACGGGCCTTGTTTGGGCTTGGGCATTCCACAATGACCCGGGATAACAGGGTCTTCAGTGCGTATTCTTTTAGTCTCTCGAGGTTGGTGCGGAAATTTTAGAAATAACATTATTACCCTCTTCTTAATAAAACTTAAGGTTGTAGAGTTCAATTTTGTTAAAAAATAAATAGTCCAAGACCTAGCTAAACCCTCCCTTCTCCTGTATCATCAACTAATCATATCAGTAGATCGTTCTTATTCCTCTCTCTTGGAACAGGGCCTCACCACCGTTAATACCTTGGAGGTCATCATTAATCCCAATGGTTACATGCATGCGCATTCTAGATGCCTCCTCATCACTTCTTGAGTTTTTTGTTTGAAGATCCTAGTGGAGTGACTGAGCTCAATGCTCTAGAACCCACGTAGAGCTATTGCTTGGAAGATTATAGTGTAAGTTCCTTCTTCAGTTGAGATTCCCCACACCATGTACTACTGCCCCTCGTTATCATTGACATTAAGATATTATCCTGATATGATCTCTTGATGTGGTGTAATTATTTCAATTTGAAAGCTTTGTTGATTCCACAGAGCTCCCCGATGATTTAAGTATGATACTAATGGCAATGCCTTTTTGGATTTCAACATGAAGTGTTAGTCTCTACAGCTTCTTAATGTAGCCCAAAACATAAGTTGAAGTTTCAACTTCAAATTTAGTCTCAATTATCTTAAATTTAGGCCATAAAATGAAAAGTGTTGAAAAAGGCCCCACATGTATCACCAATGGCCTTGAGGTATAAAAATTAATATTTTATTTCTTACTTTATGTCAATTTTCTTCTATATGTGGTTTTAAATATTGTTCAAAGTATGTACTTAAGATTTATTAAGGATCTTTACTTTTACGAGTTTATTTCAAGTCAATTTAGAGTTAGTCAAAGTTTGTCCAAATGATCTATTTAAAATGTCAGTCTATCAAAATATGTTTTTAGTCATTTTAGAGTCAATTAGACTATGTCCTCAAGATCTATTTAGGATCCTTTTTTTGGGAGTACCCCACCTCATTTCTAGACCTACATAAAGTCAATCATTGTAACTTCAACAATATATTTTTTAAGTTGAATCAGTTCTCTTTATTGTGAGAGTTCTCTCCTATTGCTTGTAGATTTATACACTTTCTTGGAGATTCAAGGATTGAAGACTCTTAATTTGTGAATTTAAAAGTTAGTTTATTCTCCAATTAAAATTTTGTGGATTGTCTTGTATCTTATTTATCTTCCATGTTACTACTATGTCAATTGGTATCAAAAGAAGTCAATATTCCATATCAAGGTTTAAAAATGTCATGAGGTAAATCTAGTCATATTAGTGATGATGATTCTCTTAAAATATATCTTTTCTCAAAATTAGATTTCATTATATTTTAAAAATAAATAAATCAAAATTTGATGATTTAGTGATACTTAGAAATAATTTTTGACAAGAATTAGTATATTAAAGAGTTATTAATGTCCTCATATATATCATGAAACTATATATCTTCAAAAAGTCACTCATGTTGAATCTATATTAGATACTTACTTTACTTTTTGTTTTACAAGTTCTAAATCAAGATTTGAAGAATATATTTTTTGAATTTTTTTGTATGAAGATTGACTTATTATGTTTTAATTCACATATGAAGATTGAAGAGTTGCTAGATTGATTAATTGAAGTACAACATTTTTTTTAGTATGTAAAATTTATATAAAAAAATAAGTAAAGACTTATGAGTTGAAGGTTTAAACTTCTATTTAGTAACATCAATTACATATCACATGTATGAAGTCAAGCAAAGAATATGTACAATCATGAGATAAAATAAATAAACTGTTGAAATCTCATTTTAGTTTCTCATATTATGAACATATTCTATATCAATAATATTAACATATATACATGAAAAATATATTTATTTCTAATTACACTTAAGAATTTTATTATTTATCTTCTTGAATCGACTTTACATAATCTAAGTCATATATGATTTTGAGATTTAAATGTGGTCTTAGATGGAAAATCAAAGATAGTAACTTTACAATCACTTTTTAAACTTAATGATATTGTAATGGTTGTAGAGTGTGCTGAAATATTATTAGAGAAAGAAAAAAATAGAGTTCAAAATTTTAGAAGTTGAAGTTCAACTCTTCAACTAGATAGAGAAAGATCAATTATTGTTTCCTCTACATCACAAAAGAGACAGCATAATCAAACTTCTATTAGTCAAGTGAAGAAAATATTTCTACCTAAGTTTCTATTAACATAATGTTTATACTTGTAATATCATTCATAAATGCTACAAGTGTTGAGAATATAGACACAAATTAAATTTTTATTCAAAATATGACACAATAAATTTTACAAGTTCAATTGAAGATAAAGTAGAATTGAAGAGCTAGAAATTAAAAGTGAGGTAGAAGAAAACATTATCAAAATTTGATATTGAAAATGTACTATCACACTCACTTGTAGTGAGCAGATTAATATATGTATTGAAAAAGGAAGAAAATTCATGACACCATAACATCTTCAAAATAAGGTGCATTATGGATTCTAAGGTATATGGTATTATTATTAATAGTGGTAATAGTGAGATATTTTCTTCAATAATGGTTTGAAAATTAAACTTGAAGACAAGCCCACATCCTCATTCAATTGATTGGATCAAGAAGTAAACATAAAACTAGAGTTTCTCAAGCCTATTGAGTCAATTTTTTTATTGGTAAGATTTATTTTGATGAAATGTAATGTGCCATTATTGAAATGTATGCATGTCACATGATATCAAACATATCATGATAGTTTGATGTTGATGTTATACATTGAGGTAAAAATATAATTATAAAAATAATAAAATAATTAGTTTAGTTCTAATACAAGACTTCAATTTTTAAAAAAGAAAAAAAGATAAAAAAAGTAATACTCATCAACTAAAAATAGTTGATTAATAAATTTAATATTACTACGAAATTATTTTGTGATTGTTCAAAAGTTTGATTCAAATGTCAAAATAATTGATGTGATATAAAAAAATATTAAATACTTGATATCTGAATTTTATGTAATTCAAGATGTACTTACTCATCTTCTACCAATGTGAGATGTACAACATCATATTAATCTTAGATTTTGAACTAGCTTATTTAATCTTCCACATTATAAGATGACCTCAAAAAAAAAACAAATTCTTCAAGAACAAGTTGAAGAGTTATTACGTGACGTATTAATAAGAAAAAGTATGAACCTATGTTCTATGTCTACTCTACTAATTCAAAGAATGATAGAAGTTGGTGAATGTTTGTCGACAAAAAAACTATCAACAAGATAATAATTAATAATAGATTCTCAATTTTATACCTAGATGACATGTTTGATATGTTTTGTGATTCTAATTTGTTCTCAAAAGTTAATTTAAAGAGCATATATCATCAAATCCAAATTAGACCAAGAGATGAGTGAAATACTATTTTAATATTAAAGTAAGTCTTTATAAATAATTAATCATGTCTTTTGGCTTATTCAACGCCCTTAGTACACATGAGGGTAATGAAAAAAGTTATGAAATCTTTCATTGATAAATTTATTATTTTTACTTTGATGACATTCTTATTTACAATACTATAAAATAAAAACACATTAAACATCTCATATCAACATTTAAAGTGTTACAATAAACTAAATTATATATTAATATAAAAAAATATGATTTTATGACAACTAATTTACTATTTTTGAGATACATTATAAGTGTAGATTGAATCTATTGACACGAGAAACAAAAACCTTGAAATCTATATAATCTCAAAAGATAAAATACATGACTCCTATATAAGAGAGAGGAGAGATAGATAATGGGCCTTAGTAGGCCGAAAGTTTGATATGATTATTGAACACTCCTCTTTAAGTTGAAGCATATTAGTCGAATATGTCCAACTTGGTACATATGGTGTCATAGGAGATGCCGACTAGAGACTCTTGTGAAGACGTTTGCAAGTTGATGAGATGATGCCACATAAGGAGTAAAGATAAATCTAGACATAACCTTATCTCAAATGTAGTGACAATTGATCTCAATATACTTCGTATACTTATGAAAGGTGAGATTGTCAGTAATGAAGATGATGACTTAATTGTCTTAATGTATGAGTATTAGAGAGAAAGAAGTAATATCGAGATCGTCGAGAAGTGATCAAAGTTATATCATTTCCCACATTGTCTCAACTATGGCTTGATACTCAGATTTCGTGCTAGAGTAGGACACCACCCTCTATTTTTAGGAGTGTGAGGTGACTAAGTTATCGCCAACATATGTGTAATAACTCATAGTAAACTTTTGATCACCCTTGTCACATATATATTTGACGTCAAAGTAGGCTGCAATGTAGAGATAGGACGTGTCGCTAATAGATGAGCCCTTTCCCTAGATATTGCTTGATGTAAGTGAAGACTCGTAGAGCTCCCTCTCAATAAATTCATCAAGACTTCCACATGAACTGACTCAAGACATTAATCATGTACACGATGTTAGGACGAGTGATGGTGAGATATATGAACTTGCCCAACAATCGTCGATACCAATTAGCATCCTCGAGTAAAGGAGATGAATTGTCTCAGAATTACAAGTGAGTTTCTATGAACGAAGTCTCTAGCTTGCACCCAAAGAGGCCTATCTCCTGAAGTATATTGAGGGCATACTTTCATTGAGTGAGGGCAAACTTCCCGTTTTTATATGCAAACTCAATCATAAAGAAATATTACAGAATCTCTAAGTCACGAATGTTGAGGTCCTATTACAAGTAAGCTTTGGTAATAGAGATGACTCTTTTTGAGCAACATACCTAAGAGATTGCTCCATAAAGATTTGTTTCGTGAGATCATTATAGAAAAAGGTATTAGAAACATCTAACTAGTGGAGAGACCATGTTTGATTTATAGCGAGAGAGAGGAGCACGTGAATAGAGTTGAGGGTAGATGACAAGAGAGAATGTCTTAATGTAGTTGATCTCATATGCCTACGTGAAGTTTTGAGCAATTAGACAAGCTTTGTGACGAGCAATGGAACCATCTAAGTAATACTTGATGGTAAACACCTACTTACACATCACAATATTAGTATCGTTTGGGCACGGAACCAAATCTCAAGTCCCCCGAGCAAGCAATGCAACTACTTTCGAATCTATGGCCGCCTTCTATGTAGGTACTTATGTAGCCTCAACATACGACTATGGAAGCAGCTTAGAGGCCACAAAGAGGGCAAAGGTACAAAAAGAAGGAGAAAGACGGTCATAGGAGACAAACTAGGAGATGAGATGGTGGGTGCAAGTGCGTGTACCTTTACGGAGGGCAATAGAGAAATGAAGGTTATCAAGTAAAGTAATGATTGAAGCCGTGGAAGGGATCATAGGAAAGGAAGAGAAGGGTACTACATACAGATCAAGAGGAGCCATGGGAGACATAGGTGGAAGAGAGGCGAATGTAAGTAATGACTCCAAAGAGAGTGTACAAGAGGGAAGAGAAGAGAGAGGGTCCACAGGAACCACCAAGAGAGAGAACCCAAGTGGAAGAGACGTAGCAGCCCAAAGGAGAGGATGAGTGATAAGTCTTCATTATCATGAGTTAATAATTAGTAAATAATATAGTTTTAGCCTTAACTCATGATAAATAGACTTATATTTGTGTTAAAGAATGATTTTTGGTTTTCAATTGATTAACGTGAATTTTTGGGTAACTATGTGATTTTATACGATTTTTACAGTCTTACTTTTGAGATAAATGAAGAACAAGAAATAAAAATAAAAATATTGCGAAAATGAGGGGACCCGCCGGCTAGCCGTGCCCGCGAGCGGGTCGGAAGCACAGTCGGGGAGTAAGCCGCGAGCAGGGGCTCGAGCGGCTTGGCTTTGGGACCAACAGGCACGCGTACGCCACTGCCCTACCACATCACTGGTGGCCAGCCGGCTGTGGGGCAAGGAGTGGTCGTACACGCGAGAGAAGGGACTTTACTCACAAAGCTAACATTACTATATATTCGCCCGAAAACTCGGCATACAACTGATGTGGGACTAAACCCACACCTTCCTCAGAAGAGGCGGGGGCGACCGGCACGGGTTCGAATCCTCCTAGAGTCAAAATTCATATATTTTTATCTGATTATCGCGACTTTCCTGCAGATCGCCGGTGAAGGATTAAGCAATGAGAATCGCTGGATCATCGGCGAAAATCTCGTCAACGCAATTCGCAAAGCATTGCTACTAAAATTGCTGAACGATTCGCGATAAAAAGATCGCGAATCCATCGAGTAAATCATCTCCGATTGATCGACGAACAAGCCGTCGTCGGGAAGAGGACGATCCGCCGGGAGACCAGTCGCCACCTCCTGAGAGCGTACTAAATGCGATGAAGAGCCTCCTCTTGCTGCACAGACTTGAGGATGAAGCTCCCTAACACGCGCCCCACCTCCATCCAGCTCCTCTCCGTCAGGTGACAGCCGCCGGAGAGCCGCAAAGTCGCCGTTTTTCCGCTCCGCCGGGTGACAGCCGCCGGAGACGATTCGACGACCCACTTCATTGGTCTCTAGACTTCGCGAGAAGATCTAGAGATTGTCCATGTCGTCTTTGTCCAAGGAGAGCCTTCGAGGCCGTGGACACTGCACGACGATCCTCCCGAACGCTTAGGATTCCGGTGCATCGCCGACGCATCGCCGTCGCGACGCCGGAACTCTGTTTTCTTGCTTTCAATTTAATTTATGCTTCATTTAGTGATACTTTGTTGATTTTAATTTACCAAACTATACTTCGTTCAATTAAGATTTTTCTGGCTTTTACAGATCTTAATTTGATTAATTGAGTCGTCTGTAATCGCCTACGTAAGAATCGCCGGGAGGAACTCTGTTTCCGCCTGATTCGCGTTCGCCGGGCGCTGACGTCATCCTGACGTCCGCACCCTTATTTCCTTTTTTTCGTGAATTTTAAATATATTTCCTTTTTATTTCCTAGTATAAAATTTGTAAGAAAATCATACTCATTGAGAAAAATTCTGAATAATTACCAGATATTATATTACATCCCTGTGATCGACTTGGAAAATTACCGCTATTTTTGGAATTTTTATTGAATTATAATTGATATATTTATTTAGAAATACTTCTAAATATCCGAAAATTCGTATTTTCTAGTTTTATAAATTTTATATTTGCGTGATTTAACATACAACGACTGAGTCACGTCAATGAGTCAAAATAGGAGAGAAGAAATGATATTCTTCATGAAAAGTGATATTAGTCGAGGTCACATAGTGACGAGTATCAAGAAAGTAGACTTGATAGCCCTTTTACATGCGAGAGTAGTCGACAAAGACCCTTTGAAGAGCACGAAGGACGAATTTAGAAAGAGATGGAGAAGAATGTCTCCCCCTAAGAAGAGTGGAGGGAAGTCAATTCTAAAAAGTAAATGGTAGTCAGAATGATGTTAGCCCAAAGATAGTAGGAGACATTCATCTCAAGAAGTGTGTGACTGATGTCAAAGAACTAATAATGTTTGCACTCACTAACATTATTTTACTACGAAGTGTGAGAACATGTGGTATGACGGAGGACGTTATGATCATCGCAGAAGGTGTAAAGAGATATTTAGACAAACTCAAGAACATTCTTAGTCTAAAGAATCTTGAGTGTAGTTGTGCACTAGGTGATAACTTCAGTAATGAAGTAGGTAACCATGATGATAAACTCAAAGCGGTCGTAGAAGAGGTAAATTCAACTCACACGAGTGTAGTCATTAACAAAAATGATGTAATAGTGATGGCCTGAGATAGAGGAAGTACGAGATAAACTTCATATATCACAATAGAAAAGATCAAAAGGAACAGAAGAACAAATGTCATCACGACTAACAAAAAAAGTACAATAATATTTGCTCAATTAACAAGACTTGCACATAAACTTAGATAGAGAAAGTCATGATAAGATTTTTTATAATTTAGAGAAATAAGGATAGCCTAAACAGTAATGTCACAAAAGAGAAGAAGTAGTCATAGAGGTGACAAAAAAGACCCGAAGGCCAAATGAGGGTTTGTCAAAAATGAGTTTGTAGACACTCCGTTTATTTTCATGACCTAAATCAATCCTCTATTCAGTATGTAGATCTTGAAAAGTACAGTGAAAGAAAAAGAATGTGATTGTACAAAAAAAGACACTAGTAATAACATTGATGGAAAGAAGATTAGTAAGAAAATTGAGAACATAGAGAACTTAGGTAAGGTGAATGGAGGGAGTAATCTACATTATAGAAGATGAAGAATATCATCTCAAGCTCGGGGAGCAGCAATGATAGGAGTTGAAGGAGTACAGGTGGTGCCTAAAAAAGAAGAAGAGGAGTGGACGAATGTACTAATGGTGACCCGAAGGGCTGTCGAGAAGATGGAGGTGAGGTCAAACACACGATCCTTAGAGAGAATAACCCCCTAAATCTAAGATGTGATGACAGACTCAATAAAACTCATGACGATAGCACTAGAGGGTCAAGAGGTCGATAGTAAGGGGTTGATAGATATCAACCTCTTAGATGAGGGCATGGATGCAATTATAGTGGACATGAAGAGAGAGATCACCTTATTTGTAGGAGAAAAGAGACTCAAAGATCTCTAAAACTCGACTAATGTTCGTTCGGTTAACATGGTTTTTATAATGAATCATAAGAGACGTGTCAAAGTGATGTGCACTAGTGGCTTGACAATGTTGGGCTCGATGCTCGGAAACATCTATGTGATGATAATTGAATTGAGTTGTGACTATGTCACATACGAGGGGTCCTAAAGGGCGGGTGGGTCTTTCAAGAGATGATGGAGGAGATTGTGAGATCTAAGGAAGAATTCAAAACTAAATGCCCATGACACATAATTATGACTATTGAAGATGTATTCCGGTTAAATAAATTATGCTGTTATAGAGTGGCAAGCCAGAAGAATCATTGGAGAAAGGAGAACACCAGTTGGAAGAAGCTCAAAGGACTCAAAGGCAGACGACAGAGGGGGGGTGAGATGACGCCATGAGGCCAGTGAGTCTGGGCCGAAGGGGCAAGTGGTGGGATGAGTAGATTGAGGCTCGACGGGCCAATCTAAAGGGGTTTAGGTAGAGCCGGAGGGGAAGGTAGAGTTGGCGGGGGCCGGCTGGGCCCAGCTGGGCCAGCTGGGCCTGCAGATCTGCACGGGGCTGGCATGTTCAGCTGGGTCGGTCTCGAGTGGGCCAGTCCGGAAGTGGGACGGGTGCACTGGTGAGAGAGAGAGAGAGAGAGAGAGAGAGAGAGAGAGAGAGAGAGAGAGAGAGAGAGAAGCGACGGGTGCACTGGTGAGATCAAGTCCAGAAGTGGGAGGTCGCCTAAAATGCCCCGAGAAAATTTAATTGTCTCTCGTTCAAAAAGCTGTTCAGTGCAGCAGAGTTACCGTAAATTAAGGAATGAAACTGGCCATGATCTCTCTCACTCCTCTCTCTCTCTCTCTTTTCTTTATCTATCTATCGGTCTCCTCTAGCCCCGACGAACTGGGCGGCCGGCGTCAGGTGCTGGGGCAGCTCTGCGATCCCCCCGCAACTCACCCCGCCTGATGGGCTTCAAGCAGGCAGATAATGGGCAAACTCCCCTGATGGCCCAAATCGTAGACGGGTCCGGTTTTGGTTTGGGCATATTACAAAATGGGCCGGGTGCCGAAATTTCTGAAGTAACAGTATTACCCTCTTCTTAATAAAAATTAATGCTGTAGACTTTAAGTTTATTAAAAAATCCAGGTCATATTTTTTTTAAATGGAGCCCAAGCCCTGGCAAAGCCCTCTCCCCTCCATCCCTTAGCTTCTCACGCCAGTGGATTCCTGTTCATCTCTCTCCAGAGCATGGGGGAATGCGCGACTGTTCGGCTGTGTCTACCGTCTCTCGCCGACGATGACCCCCTCTTCTCGAAAAAGATGGTTCCTCTTTTCCTCTCTCTCTCTCCCTCCCTCCCAACATCCCTCTACATATGCCTTTTTGTTGAGATTGGGGGAGGTTTATCGTGTGTAACTCGCCTTGCAGAAGCTGCTCTCGGCAAGGAACCTAAGTTCGGAGCTCCAGTTGAGGCAGGGTTTAACCAAGGAAGAGGTGCTCATTGGACTGGGTCGGCTGGTCCAGTGTGCTAGAATTCTTCTTTTGGATGAGGTGAGATGATTGCTCTCAATCTTCTTCCTATCCCGTTTCTGTTGCCAGAGGGCTGATGACTGTGGTCATCGGTGTCTGGCCTTTTGGAGGCGATGAATGATACTTTTATTGATTAATACGTGCAGGTAGAGATCTACTTCGTGGAGGGCGATGACTCTGGTCCTTTTAGCCCGAGAAACGAGATCGAGTCTCTCAATTTGGTTCTCTCGGCAATAGACGATTCTTTTGAAGGTACCCTTGGCGTCGCGGTGGAAGTATTAAAATTTTTGAAGGAGGCTACCCTCGAAATGATCGGCAAGATTGGGGCTCAATGTACCGACTACGTGATCAGTGAGGAGTCTAATTCTACTGTCGAAGAGTTGCTGATTAAATGGGGAAAGGAGCAGGGTGTAAAGACGAAACTAAGGATATTTCGTGAGTCCCCTCGCACGTTTCAACTGGTCCATTGAATTTTCCTTGATGCTTTCTTGATCATTCATTTGTCGATCATTGATTTTTCTATCCAACGACATGATATTTTTCGATGACCTCATTAAACATTCCTTATTTGTTTCTAAAACGTCCATATATTTTCTATCATTTTCATTAAATATTGTCTGTTGTAGATTTCGAAGGAGCTGGACGAGGAGCAGTGGCATCACGCGATCTTGATGTTGGGGATATCGCATTGGAGATCCCTGCTTCTCTCATTATCTGTGAGGAGCTGGTTTATGAATCTGAGATGGTAATCCTCTGGAGTCATGCCTGCAGCTGTCGGTGTGAATTAATTCAACTTCTTTCCAATGATAAATCTTAGAGACCTTTCTTTGGTTTAAATATCATAGCATGCCTTCGTATGACAAATACCTACTGTTAAATCTTCTGACAACTGTAATGCTTCCTTGAAAACATTGCCTTAGTTACATACATGTTTTTTTTTTTCGGTCGAATGATTCATAGATTCTCATTTCTCTCCTTCCTTGTGCTTCATATTGTTGCCGCATCATTAGGCTCGAAAGCCATTTTTCGAAATTAATGTATTGTCTTCTTTTTAGTAATTAAAAACTCAATCAGCGAAGATATGCTCTCACTTTTGGAAACATTTGCGCTGTAAATTTAAAATTTAGCTAACTTATACTTAACGTGGAGGCTATGTCCTTTCACAAAGCAGATAAAAAGGATTGATCATTTCGATATTGTATGCAGATTTAGTTGATTCATTGACAGGACAAATACGTTCAGAGAGTAAGATTTTTCTTCACTTGAAGTAGGGCCATCATCAAGAGAATGTCGAGTCTTTACCTTGGAAACCAGAAGGATTTGAGACCCCTTGATTCGTTTTCCTTGGCGGAAGGAAATTACACAACTGATTCATATTTCCTTTTTTGTGATAAAATCTTGACATGTTCAAAAATTGATTTAAGATAGAAGTGTTCATAACCATCTGGTTTGTTGCAACTAAGGGCGTGAAGAGTTTTACGATTATAGTTTTCTGTCCCCAACCTGATCTATATATATATATATATATATATATTGGATTGTGCCTCTATCCTCCGAGTGCTCATGCCAGATGTTGAGTAATGCTTCAATTATCAACACATTAACTTCTCTCGCCACTTGGGTATCCTGTAGTTTGGCATACTAAAGAACTTGGACGGCATCTCTTCTGAAACAATGATGTTATTGTGGACCATGAAGGAGAGGCACAATCCAGATTCGAGATTCAAGGTCTACTTTGATACGCTTCCCACGGAATTTAGAACAGGTGATGGTATAAACTCGGCCATTTATATCCTCTTATGAACGATCGATCTTTTCTTAATCCCCAAAGAGAGTCGTGTGTATTTCTTCGTCTCAGTGGCGAATATTCTCTCATCTTTACTATGTTTGGAAGCTAAACGACACAAATAACTCGTTCATAAGATCATTCGAGTTTTTTTTTTTTTCCGCCGAAAATATTTGGTAGTAATCCCATTCGCATTTAACACATTAGAGATTGCCCTTTTAACCTTACAGGATTGAGCTTTGGAATCCACGCTCTTGCTGCATTAGAGGGAACCATGCTCTTCGAGGAACTAGTTCAGGCAAAAGAGGTTGACCCGGCCCCCCCCTCTCTCTCTCTCTATCTGTGTTCTCACATCGGGGGATTCTCTCTGCTCATCTTCTTCCATCTCTGTCTTTCAGCACTTGCGCCACCAATACGATGCATTATGCCCCGCATTATGCGCTGATCATCCCAATGTTTTTCAATCAGACATGTATACATGGGATCAGTTCGTCTGGGCATGTGAGCTCTGGTACTCAAACAGCATGAAAATCGTATTCTCTGATGGCAAGCTGAGGACTTGCTTGGTTCCCATCGCGGGCTTCCTCAATCACTCGGTACATGCCATCTTACTCACTAGCAAGTGGATGACTATTTACGTTGGTTTTAGGCTCCCCAATTCAGAATCCTTCCTGCTCTGCAGCTCTACCCTCACGTGACCCGATATGGAAAGGTTGACCCGGCATCGGATTCTCTGAGACTGATCTTATCGAGACCATGCGACAGAGGGGAGCAGTGCTTTCTCAGCTATGGGAGCTTTCCTAGTTCTCACCTGGTCACTTTCTACGGCTTTCTCCCGCGAGATATGCACCGGAACCCGTATGACGTCATCCCTCTGGGTATATACTCCTGCTCTTTCCTTATTCGGGTGTCTGAATCGATGGGTAAGTGCCCAAGGAATGTCTTCTTCTTCCCTGTGCCTGTCGTAGATTTTGAGGATCTTGTGGACAAGGAGGGCGACCAAGGGCCCGGAGTTGACGGCGGCTGGTCAACCCACATGGTCCGCGGCACGTGGTTGTCCAAGAGCAAGGCCCCCCCCAACTACGGACTGCCGCCGCCGCTGCTGGATCATCTCCGATCAGTTCTCAGAGCCGAGGTCAACGGTGAAACCGAGAGGGCGGTCCTTGAAGCGGCCCTGTCCATATTTAGTCCTATGTTGGAGGGGATCGGAGCGGACGATATAGACAGGTTTTGGGCTTCTTTCGGACGACCCACGTGGCTTGCACACGTGGAAACTGCGCCGCCATTCCCTTCTCTCCCATGGTGTCTCTGACGACGCTCTTTCCTCCACAGGGACGGAGCTAGCTGGGACGTGAAGCTGGCCCTGGATTTCGTTGACTTGCAGAGGAAGATCATCTCTTCGGTCGTGGCCTCTTCGTCCCTCGCCCTCCAGTCACTGGGACCTCTATAGTCAACGACGCCATCCTTACATATGTTTTTTCCCAAAGTCAACGACCGCGCAGACGGTTGGTTCTTGTGGTATAACCTGTATGCGCCAGGTCTGACTCAGAGGATCGATAGTCTTTCCAGGAGGGAAGGCGTGGGTGAACAACGCCCATCGCTGAGCTACCGCCTACTCAGCTACCACCTGCTCCACTAACTCAGATGAGAGCGGGAGTCAAAAGCCCCAGCTGCGGACACGGAGGTAAACGGTCTCGGGCCGATGTGGCTGGCAAATGCGGGCTCGGACCTGTAATTCGGGCCCCGAGAATTGGCCCAGTCTGATCGAGTCTCGAAGGGCACGTTGTTTGGAGCCCGCCAAGAACATTCTCGATAAATTTATTCTCCACGGTCATGTATCCCGAAGGAGTTTCCACCGTCCGATCCTGGCTGTTGATTCCCCTCCGAGTTCGAACCGTCGATCAGGTGAACCATCTAGGGGGAAGATATTAATAATATGGACGCGGCGGTTGGGCTACAGCTAGTGGGGCCCACGCCTCGGCTGTCGACTGGACGGCGGCCGACGCCCGAAGGTGGGGTCCACTGGCGCCGGCGAGTGGGCAGTCCACTTGCCCCATCGTGCCCCGCCAACAGCCGGCGTAGAATAAAAAAAAAAGAGAAAAAAAGTAAAAAAAACTGTTCTTCCCCCATTCGATCTTCCTCTTGCAGAGGTCAGAGCAGAAGAAGTGCCTGTGACGGAGAGATTTCTAAATACAGGAAGAGAGGGAGAAGGAAGCGGACTGCGAGAAAGAGGGAGAAGGAGAAGGAGAAGGTGAGGGTTCCGTGTACGGTTCTCTCTCTCTCTCTCTCCTTCATCTCTCTTTTGTTCTTCCATTCCTGCTTGCTTCGCTGGGGGTGTTCACTTCTGCCTTCAAGCGAAGGGAAGGATTGAGCGAAAAGTTGTACGGAGAGCCCCGGCTTGCTCGCCGCTCCCCGGGGGGGACGGACGAATTCGTCGAGGCGGTTGCGGAAGCGGAGATTGTCTCGCAGATGGCAGCCGGCAACAGTTTCGATCAATGGCAGAAGGATGTCTTCTTCTCCGCCGCCGAGGAGGTCCAGGACTCCGCAGATGTGTACGTTTCGTCGTTCGCTTTCGATGTCACCGAAGATTTATGTGCTCGTCGTCCATCGATGTGCTCTTCTATTCGGAGGATTTGATTTTCTTCGCCGTCTGCCACAATCGGCTGTAAATCTGGTCTTCTGTGGGGTGTTTCAATTGCCTCTTCCGTTTTTTCCTTCATCTTTTGCTGCGCCGTGTTCCTGGTTGATGAATTCGAAACCTGGATGCTTCGCTCTTCGTTCCAGAATGGAGTCGATGTACAGGATGTGGCTTAGAGCGCAGAGCGAGGGACATCACACCGATGTCTTCATTGAGCTCCGAAGAGAGCTCCAAACGGCCTTGGGCACTGCAAAGTGGCAGGTTCGTTCGTAAACCTAATCCTCACCCGTTTCCTGGTTCTTAGTATTTGGTCTCCATGGCCAAGCGTATGAGGAAGCATCTGTAGCCAAGGGTGTTCGTGTTCCTTGAACAGTTGGAAGAGTTTGAAAGAGCCGTCAGAGAGAGCCACAGACGCAAGCCGCTCGATAAAAGTGCCGTCATCAGGCACAATCAGTTCATTCTGGCGATGGAAGACCAAATTGTTCAGGTAGAGAAGGCACTGGGACAGTCGCTCGTCGAGGAAGGGAAGGAACCGCTCCAATGGATCCAACTTGACGAGGAAGAGCGAAATGATCTGGCTCTGTTTCTCTGTACGGCTCCCTCCGCTTCAACGCGAGGGGAAGTCGATTCTGCTCGAGACAGGGGTGTGCCCAGCTCTATAACGAGTTTCAGGGAGGTCATATCCTTCAATATCGACTCTAAATTGGTAGTCGAGGTGGAAGCGAAGGAGAAGACCTCCTCCAAGAGAAGAGACGAGATGCCCGACCAGGGCAACCCGAACAACGGGAAAAGAAGGGCATCCAGCTCACCGGATATCGGCGCCTGGAAGATTGTGATTGCCGACGAGGAGAGCAAAGAGAGGAAACCCCCGGAAACCTGGGCAGAGTCACTATCACCAGCTCGAGCACACGGTTTCCTCAATTTTATGAAGGTTGCAGAACTCGCAGCCAAGGTGAAATGGTCGAGCTTTGGGAAGGTGAAGAACGCAGATGGTCGCCCAATCGAGCAAGGGACATCTAGTTTCTTTGGCTGTAAGGGCATCACTCGCGTTTCTCAGGTGAGGATTCCTTCCATGTTAGCGATAGAACGAGCCATGGCAGCTCCATTGATTTCCTTATCGGGGGTAATCCGCCTTCACATCGGCTGAATTCATCTACCCTGAACAGAGACTGAAAGCAATGGGTGAAAGAAGTGGCGGCTGCCTGAGCGATTGCAGGGAGGGTGTGATCTCTCATCTTGCCGAATCTCAGCGCCATGGACCAGGCCTTTACATGCAGCTTAAACGACCAGCTCGAGTCACCGTACTGCTCGCCCTCACCATGCTTCTCGTCGGTGAGTTCATCCTCCACGGATTAACATCGTGAAGATCTTTCTCTCTCCATCGCATGTTGATGAAGATGAGTGAACCAGCTCCTCAGCAGATTAGCTGCTAAGATTGTCGGCAGAATCTAACATGAATAAGACCCATTGTGATTATCGATCTTGCATCGACTTCGGCATCCCTGTAGATAACTTCTGGAAGGCCCTCACCTCCGTGATTTCTTCTTTGCAGTTCCTTTCGTGCTCTTTTCAACGTAAGCAGGCGGAGCTCATCGAAAGGTCCCTCCTTTATCCCTCTGTTTTATTATTAAGGCAGATTGTGACACTTGGACACGTTTATTTACCTCAGATTTCTCCTTGTCAGCTTCGGACACGGCGGAGAACCACAGGTTTCGGGTCCCCATACGAAACGTGCTTGTATAAAAGCTTACTTTTTAAGGCGGGCTGATGGGTCGGATTTACCCAACCGGTTAATAGATCAGATCCGTTTAAAAGCTCGGAGTATCCTCCACGTTTTTTGCGAGAATCATGCTTCTCTCTCTTCGATCCCTCTAGCTAATCTTCGTTGGAACGGTGGAGATTGCACGGCTTAAATTAAATGATGGCTCCCTCGCCGGATCCCGGTTGCGTCCGACCGCCGGCGCCCGAGGTGGCCGCGGTATAAGACCGCTGGGGGAGGCGGGAAGATACAGATTCCGGCGAGCAGGAACGGGAGGGAGGAGGTCGCCATGTCGGGGAGAGGGAAAGGAGGGAAGGGGCTGGGGAAGGGAGGCGCGAAGCGCCACCGGAAGGTGCTGAGGGACAACATCCAGGGCATCACAAAGCCGGCGATCCGCCGCCTGGCCAGGCGCGGCGGCGTGAAGCGCATCAGCGGGATGATCTACGAGGAGACGAGGGGCGTACTGAAGATCCTCCTCGAGAACGTCATCCGCGACGCCGTGACCTACACGGAGCACACCAGGCGCAAGACCGTCACCGCCATGGACGTCGTCTACGCACTCAAGCGTCAGGGCCGCACGCTCTACGGCTTCGGCGGATGAGGGAGCTCTCTCCGGCGTCCCGCGGGATGTACAGTAGGCAGGGTTGGGGTTTTGGTGGATATGACCTGGATGTCTTTTCTTCCTTTCTCAGCACGGAGGATAGGAACCGTTCGAAGCCATTACTGATCCTTCCCCTTGTCGGCTTTCTCCCACTGTGATGTTGAGTGGTGCTCCGCTCGAGATTCTCCTTCTATCTCTCTATCTTTCCGATCTCGTGGTTGGTGCGACGACGACATCGCGGGGGGGGGTGGGGAGGGGGGGGTGCTTCCTGCACTCCGGATAATCCGACTGGGGTGACGTGATCGGTACGAGATGAGCGGATCAGCGACCGGCTTCTGCTTATTTTTCTCTCTCTTATGGTGTTGAGAGAGAGAGAGAGAGATATTCTGTGATATCAAGGGTAGAAAGGTTAGGGCAGGAGCCAGGATGACGAAACGTGTCGTATATACAGAAGAGGGGGCCAGATGATGTGGGAGAATCTACGCCACGAGCTGTGCATCCACGACGTCCTCAACATCACCCTTGCAACTCAAGGATCGGATCAGCTTCCACTTCCCGCCGCCGCCGCCGCCGCCGCCGTCGCCAGCCCTCCCCTCCTTGCCGGCTGAGCCCGCCGCTCCGCGGCCGCTGCTCACCCTCCTCTGCCTCCTCAGGCGACTCTTCATGTCCCTCAAGCTCATCTCCGCCGGAAGGCTGACCGAGCCGAAGGCAATCATGTACCACCTGGGCCGCGTCGACACCTCCGAGATTTGCCTCGTTCCCGCCGCCGTCCGCAGCTTCTGGTAACCCGGAGACCCTCCGCCCATTCCCTTCCAGTAGCGCCCGTCGAGGGACTCCGCTCTCTGAAGCAGGTCGGGAGACCTCTCGTGATGAGAGAGCCATCTCCTCTGTTCTCGACCCCTCTGGGCCTTCGGAGAAGGGAGCGCGTAGGGGAGGAGCTGCCCGCAGAGGAAGATGTCCTCGGCGGCGCACATATCAGAGCCAATGATGGGAAAGAACTCGAACGACTCCGCCGGTGGTGAGTGGTCCTCCACTCGCCCCATCGTGACAGGGAAGTCGCCGAAAGAGAGGGCTTCCTCCTGGTTCGCGGCGGCGGCGGCGGCGTGGAGATGCTGCACCGTCGTCCTCGTCATCTGGGTCGACTTCGGCAAGGAGGATGGTGCTTATAATGGGGCAGTAGGGAGAATTGTGGAAAGAGGCTGAGATCTGCAAAACTTGCGTTCGTGGTTTCTTCCGCGCGTTGGGACTTCTAGAAAAAGGTATGTAGACTAAGGCGTACACAGAGGACGGATTCCACGGAGTTGAATCTTCTCCTCCAACACAACTCTTGGAGGGGTCTAGAGAGAGAGAGACAGACAGACAGACAGAGACAGAGACAGAGACAGAGGATCGTGTCATCCGGAGATGGAAGGACCTCTCTCAGGAGGAAATGTCGTACGCCGTTCGCCTTCTCCAGTTAGTCAGCATGAATGACATGGGCCCACAAATAGCTATGAGGCCACGTGGACCCACACGGCCGTCTTTCTAGAACCGCGGACCAAAAAAAGAATAAATATGAACTAAAATCCATTTTTGTATTGCTTTAAAGTTTCACTACGATGATAAAAAACTACTTTTGACCCGCATCTGATGGTGTCACAGTGGGCATGTTAGAGAGAGAGTCGGAAACCAGACACGTGGACATGTGGCCCACACTTCGAATGGAGGTCAGTCAGGGTTTTTAAGGCGGCCTCTTAACGTCAACGAGCCCCGTCCGCTCTTACTTTCTGCGTGGGAGATCGGCTCAGGATTGGGATCCTCCCTTTTAACGTCAACGAGCAAGGAAAAGGCGCGCAGGAGGGGGAGGACTCGGGTCCGCTCTTCCTTAGGCTGTACGAGAAAAAGGGAAGATCCGATTCTAGACGAGCTCGTTTCGAACTTCTTGAGACGATCTAGAAGTCCGACGCCAAGTCTGTTCAACGGATCGACATCGAAGAGCAGAATCACAACGCGCGATCGATCATCGATCAGCTGAAGGGTCCCGAGAATCCGGCATTTGGGGCCCCGGATATTGATTACCTGGCCTTGCATCAGAATCCATAGCTTCAGTCAGTCGAGTTCGAGGACGATGCGAAGAAGTTGGAATTGGGGATGCTCTACGACTGTTAGAAACTCGCCGGAGAGACACGGCAGTTAAGACGTCGCCGGCGAGATCACCTCACGAGTCACAGGAAAAACCCAGCAGGAGGAACAAGGAAGACTATCTCGCTCATGAAAACCTCTTACAGCCCTCTTTAAATAAGGGAGCAAAAAGGGGGGAAAAGGAATAACCGTAAGCAATAAGCAACCTCTTACAGCCCTCTTACAGCTCTAGGCAGGTGTGCCTAGAGACCTGCAAGGCCTATGCCGTTACGCGAAAAGACGTGCAAGGCTCCCCGTTCACGACAACGACGATGTCCGCTCCAGTCAGAGGGAAAGTTAAACAGTTGGATAATGCCAATTTACAGAGATTCTTCTCCGGGATCCATCCGGAAGGCTTTGGGGTTGCGCTCCTACTTCGCAAAACCCTAAGATTCACCTCGTGAATGAATTGTTGCAGCGAGGGGAGATCAGAGACATCTGAAGATCTAACTAACCCTAGAAGTATAGAAACTCAGCGACGCGGCTCCACTTCCCCCCCCTGCTTCATCCACCGAAGCCGTAGAGCGTCCGTCCCTGACGCTTGAGTGCGTAGACGACGTCCATGGCGGTGACGGTCTTGCGCCTGGCGTGCTCCGTGTAGGTCACGGCGTCGCGGATGACGTTCTCGAGGAAGATCTTCAGGACGCCCCTCGTCTCCTCGTAGATCAGCCCGCTGATGCGCTTCACGCCGCCGCGCCTGGCCAGCCGGCGGATCGCCGGCTTTGTGATGCCCTGGATGTTGTCCCTCAGTACCTTCCGGTGGCGCTTTGCGCCTCCCTTCCCCAGCCCCTTCCCTCCTTTCCCTCTCCCTGACATGGCGACCTTCTTCTCCCCCTCAGAAACAAACAGGATGCCGACTATGCAACATTTCCAGCCGGAGGCTATTTATTCAAATCTCGGATGAAAGCCCGGTCTCGGGAGATGAAATCGTGATCGTTGGATTCGCTCACGATCTGTGTTCTCTCAATTCTTCATTCTCATTGGGTATCTTCAATCTCTGCGGATGGACCGAAGTCTCCTCCCAACGGTGTAATAGGGCTTAAGCTGTTCCGAGAGACACGTTACTCGACTCGGCGGATGTGAAAGTGCTGCGTTGTTTCTTCTCTTCACGGATCTCGGGCCAGTGCCCGGGGGGGGATCTGCTGGCAATGGCGGGGGTGGCAGCGCCGGCGTGGAGCAACGGGACGGCTGGCGCTGCGACCAGAGGCTCCGTCACTCACGTCATCTTTGACATGGACGGGCTCCTTCTCGGTAAATCTCGATTCTTTTCTGGCGGCGATCTCCAGTTGAAAGAAAATGTTGGCCCGTCTGATCCGCCGCCGGCGACGTGTTGCTGTGGCGGGGGATGCAGACACGGAAGGTTTCTATACGTTGGTTCAGGAGAGGATTCTGGCCAGGTACGGGAAGACGTTCGACTGGTCCTTGAAGGCGAAGATGATGGGGAAGAAGGCTATCGAAGCCGCCCGAGTTTTCGTGGAGGAGATGGATCTGGCCGACGTCCTGACACCCGAGGCCTTCCTCGAGGAGAGAGAGGGGATGCTACAGCAGCTCTTCACGACCACCGAGCTCATGCCAGGTCCGCCTATCAGGGCCTAATTTTCTGGTCATCATCCAGTAATTCACCAGGTTACGGGATTTCAGTCCGCACGTCATTTGAATTTGTTTCCGATCATTTTTTAACGGTACGTTTTGTTTTCATCAATATTACGGCTACGCTCTCGGTGGGGCAACTTCACACTCAAACAAATATAATCTCCACGGCATACATTAATTGCCGAGAAACTTACTCGACGGGAGCATTCTTCTTTCTTATCCTCGTCAATCTGCCCGAAGACTTGTCGACAATCAAATTCTCCATTAATTTTTTATCAGTTTTTTCACTTCTGCGCTGCGATTCAAGGGTTCCCATTGGCTCATTGTTGTGTACTGGGCTTCTTTTAAACATGGCATAGCACGTATGCATGGAAGTTTCGTGAACAAGCTTCTCGCATATTTCTCCGTCAATGGCATACTTGCATCTGTAGATATTCAGCACATCGAAGACCCCACATACCCCCTGTCCTCCATATCCTCCATGTCCCCCAACCACGGATTTAACTTTAGGCTGGGTGCTCAAATTTTTTGCAAGATTGGTACGTCTACTGCTCTTTATTACCTAACTATTTCCTAAAATAATCTTTTTTGGATAGGTGCGAAACGCTTAATTGATCATCTTCATGCAAAGGGAGTACCAATATGTGTTGCAACAGGGTATTTTTTATTTTCCTGAATGCAACATTACTTGTGATCGATGATCTTGGGTATCTCACTCCTATCATCTCTTCATGGATGATCCTCGTTATGAATTCAGATTAGACTTATCCTTGGTTTAGAGCAAAGGGGTTTGCTACGACCTATTTCGAGCGAGTCCAGTCATCAAGATCAATAAAGGGGTGTTTGGGACGCACCTTCCTTCGGGAAACTTAATGCGCTCCCTTGATCCCAAATACAGCTAAATCCACAGGAAAATGCTCATCTCAAGACGCTGACTGACATCTTTTGTTACTTTATTTCCTCCTGGAAAGGCTGATTTTCGGGGTTTCCAAACGGGGATACTCAATGAGGGTTTGTAGCAACGAAAAATGCAAAAGTGTTCATTCTAATTGGATCAGCCCCCGCAATGCCAATCAAAAGAAAGAAAGATGATTATTACTTTAAAAGATGTACTGAAGAAGCACAAACAGTTTTATCATTTTTTGAATATTTTTCAGATCACACAGACGCCATTTTCAATTGAAAACACAGAATCACAGTGATGTCTTTGCGTTAATGCATCATATAGTCGTCGGTGATGATCCTGAAGTGAGGAACGGTAAACCTTCTCCTGATATATTTCTCGCTGCAGCAAAGAGATTTGAGGTACCACATACATCAACCTCAAGAAATTCATAGCCTCATTCTTTTTTCTTGACCATACCTCTTTAGTTTGGAATATTACATTGTTGAAGATTCATATGTATTTCAACTTTATGCCATTCCAGGGTAACGTTGACCTAAGTAAAGTCCTGGTGTTTGAGGATGCACCATCAGGAGTTGCTGCAGCAAAGAATGCGGGGATGTAAGTTGATTCTATAGCATATCCCTATAAATTTCTTTTTTTCATGGACTCTTTGGTATATTTCTTTAATTATCGAACACATTTTTCCGAAAACAAGAGCCCCTATGAAAGCTACGCTAACTCGGAAGAAGACTCGTGTATCATATTGCTATTCTTAATGACAAGTAGTCTCACAGAAGAGCTAGCATTATCGTGCTATGCTATTGGTGTAGACAAAAAAAGGAGTTGGCACGAGAGGGTGGTGATTAAAAAGTATTCTTGCTTAGGACAACAGAATTTCACCTATGACGCACACGAACATAGACCACCCATTCTCCAATGTGCAACGTTGCTTTTGTATCTTCTCCAACTCTATAGTGCATGCACCTGAAATGCTTACATCGGAGCTAACTCTATGACTTTCATAAATTCACTTTAGAATGAGTATCAAATTGGGCCTTATCTCGTTCGTCCCGTTATCTTCGACCTGCTTCTTTGTCGAATTGGGTTTTTTCTCGAGGATGGGCGTGATTAAGAAGCTGATTCAACCTCCTTCAGTTTGTTTTTGCTTCAACCTGCTTCGTTGCCGACTGACACAATAAAGTGTTGGAGCAAGTTTTCACCTCACATCTTTTTGACAGAACTTCTCAGAGCAGTTTCCATGTGAGAGCTTCCCTTCTATGAGTGCTTTTGAAACCTGGAGGTTCTTTGCTGCATGTGGCCTACCCTTGAGGAAATCATTCCTGTAGTAATACTAATTTATTTGTTAACCACTTGAGAACAGAGCCCTTGAAGGCAGGTGATTGTGAGATTTGGATTTCACCTTCATGTTTCCCTGAACGGGCATCATTTATATTTATGTGAAAACCAGAATTTCTTGATTCTGCTCTTGGAATGTGAACTTTTTTACTGAATAGGCTTATGCCATCGAGCTGGTTGGTGTAGTAGGAATTGATTCCCTGTACCCGGTCAAGTGATTAAGGAATTCACTTCTCTGACTCCCCCCCCGAAATTCTTTCCGATCCCTCTTCTCGATCCATGGTCGTTCAACTTGTCGTCTTCAGATGCTATGATATGGTTGATGAACTGCCTTCTTCCTCATCATTTCGTTTTTTTTTTTTTTTTAAAGTCACTTTCGATACTCTGTGCGAAAATCCCTGGAGTCACTGAATACTTAACCCGCACTTGAGCTTCAGATTCTTTCTCTATACCGTTCACACTCCTGAACTAAACTCAGAACCACACCACCTTTTCCAAGGAGGCTGCATTTTCTTTATCCACATTATCTTTATTCGGGTTACTATAATTATCATGGGATATATTGCTCGCAGGAAGCCACCGACCATCTATTATATATATATGCATTATTTTGGTCAAATTTTTTATCTTCATCGTCGTCGTCGTCCTCATTCGATGGGTCCTTTTGTTTCAGTGATCTGAGGCTCTTTCTATTTGGACAGGTTGGCGGTGATGGTTCCGGACCCGAGACTAGATGCTTCCTACCACGAAGGCGCAGACCAAGTTCTGGGCTCTCTCTCGGATTTCGATCCGGCCGTCTGGGGCCTCCCTCCATTCGAAGATCTCTCCCTCTGAGCCGTTGAGTAGCCCTCGCAGCCACCTTCTTTACTTTATTCAGCAACTTCTACTGTCGGAGCTTCGTCCCACCAAATTCATGCTCATTCATCCCATCAGACTGGGAATCGGATGCCCTCTAAAGAATCTAGAGAGAGAGAGAGAGAGAAAGAGAGAGAAGGGGCACTGCGAGGCCCGCCAGTTCTCGGCCCACTTGGTTCAGAAACTTTTGGACGCCCTGCGTCACCTTCCTTGTCCGCTATTTCTTCTCTCTTCTCAGAACCCCTTGAACGGATTTCATCGGTGCCGGATGGCGGCATATCGGAGGAGCAGAAAGGGATAGGACCGTATTACTCTTGAGCCCCCTCCATAGCTTGGGATGCAATCACGCCTTCTCCCCGTTTCAGAGCAACCGTTAAAGATAATAGTTTGGTGCCTGGGTGATTCCGGGGTTGGCAGGACGAACGACGAGTCTATCCACGTTCTGTGACGACCAGGTGGGCTCTCCTCAGGCAGGGTAAAATGGTCCGTCTCTCTCTCACTAACCTATGGGGCGTTGGGTAAAATGGTCCGTCTTTCCTTTCTCTCTCTAACCTATGGGACGTTGGGTACCTTTCTCATGGTCAGAGAAAGGTAGAAGACGGACCATGAGAACATTGCACGTCATATATTGCACGTATTATTAGTGGCACGTACCTTTCTCTCTCTAACATTGTTCTCAGGGCATAAACGAAGGAAAGAACATTGCACGTCATATATTTTGGGGAGGGAGTGAAAGTCAAATGGTGGAACTTATGAAGGGTTTGAGGACAGTCAACTCTCACCAAGCCTATTCCAATATCAACCTCACACGAGCCAATACAGGACTAATTGAAAGGAAGAAGAAGACTTTGACTTCTCTCTATCTCTCTCTCTCTCCCTCTCCCCAACGAATAGACTTTAATACGAGCATCCACCTTATAATATATATATAACACAGGAAGATAAATCCGAGTTAGGGAAAAAAGAATCACGTCACCGGGGAAAGCCTCGGTCTTGAAGACGGGGTTCGCGTGTAGTCGGCTACCAGGGGGATCCGGCGGCTTTCAGAGGCGACGACGAGGACGGCGTTGAACGAGCTCAATTGCCAAGTCCGCAGCTTTGACCTCCTCCGTCCCACTCGCCCCGCCGCAGCGGGGGCCCAGTCAATGGGATCACCAGACGTCGCGCAGGTACCTCCCTTCCATCTGCAGGCTCTTCACGAAGCTTTCCGCCTTGGAGCTGTCCAGAGAGCCCTGAAGCAAAGGGGGAGAAAGACTCTCAGCCAAGCCGCCGCCAAGGGCCATGGTGTCGATTCTTGCCATTTCAGGATACGTACCTGTTCCCGGGCTATAGTGTGGAGGACCCGGTGGACGTCCCTGGCCATGCCCTTGGCGTCGCCGCAGACGTAGATGTAGCCGCCATTGGCGGAGATGATGTCCCAGATCTCCGAGGCCTGTCGGAGGCACAGACAAGAGCGGCGGGATTCAGAGATCAGTGAGATGAGCAGGGCCGTTGTTTGACCCACCAGCAATATAGCAGATCAGAGGGGAGAAGACGGTCTGACCTTCTCGGCCATCTTGTGCTGCACGTATTCCTTCGCCGGCCCCTCGCGGGAGAAGGCCAAGATCAGCTCAGAAAGCGCGCCGGACTCAGTGTACTTGTTCAACTCATCCTCGTAAATGAAATCCTGCAAGAGTTCCATCAGATCCCAGTCCCCAAGGGGGATCGAAGATCACCCGCAAGAGAGAGAGCAAGGAGGACATTCTCTCACCATTTTGCGGTTCCTGCATCCAAAGAAGAGCAGGGCAGTGCCCAGTTTTTCGCCGCATTCCTTCAGCGCCAACCTTTCCTGAGACACCCACAAGAAGAAGGCAGAGAGGCTCACTGACTTGGCCGCAGGGGAAAGTAAAACGAAGGAGGCCATGAACAGCGGCATGGAGAGCCTGTGGGTACCTGTAAGAAGCCCCTGAAGGGGGCCAAACCTGTCCCCGGGCCGATCATCACAATGGGCACAGAGGAATCTGAGGGTAGCTTGAAGTTCGACTGCCTGACGAAGATAGGAGCCCAGCTACAGTCTTGGCTCTCCTCCAAGGGAACAGAGTTCTAAGAGTAGAAAACAACAGTTAGTATATATTTCGGTGTAGAAAAAATGAGTAGATCCACATGTTATTTAAAAAAGGAAAAAAAAAAAGAAGCACCTTCATCCATGTTGAGCAAATCCCTCTGTGAATCCTTCCAGTCGGCATTTTCTCATGGACGAGCGCGCATGTGACGTGAATTCTAGAAGGAGACATTCTGCAGAGTAGAAGCGTTCCAGAGGGCGGAATCAGAAGCTGTTGCAAGAGGCTGCTGTTCACATTAGTCCAGCGAATCACCTTGGAGAGGACGAGATGGAGTAATATCTGGGTTGCAGGCGCGGGGAGACCGCTGCGAAGAACACCCCGAGAGGAGGCTTGGCAGAAGGAAACTCTGCCATGACCTCGAGAAGGCTTCTCTGGCTTGCAACTATCCACTGCGAGTACTCATCCTGCAAGGGGAATAGAGACATGAGGGATACGCTGGCGGTGCAGACTAAGCAAGCTCTAAAGAACCAGAAAAAGACTGACCTTGCCAGCAGGTGAAGCGAGGAACCGTAAACGTGCGGCTTCAACCGGATCAGAAGCATGGGCGGCCAACGCAACTAAGGCAGCCTACAAAAACATGTGCAAAATGCATAAACACACGATAGCTAGGAGTTGATGGGCAGGGGAATGGCAGCGGGTCATGTGAAGGAATGCGCTGACGGTACCTTTTTGGGGGAATTCAAAAGGTCGGCATATCGAGAAAGTGCATATCTCAACGTACACGGAGATGGGAAAGGTGGGGGCAGAGAGGCTCCGCTAAGTGGAGTACCATCTTCCTTGTCGGCGTGAATGGAGAATAAGGTCTCGGGTGATAACCCGAGTAGCTTCTCTGCCTCCTCCACTACATCGACAGAGTTTTCTGTGTAGACACCAACATGGTCCCCTGTTTCGTACCTGAAGAAAAAATAAAGCTGAGATCAGGCCTTCGAGACCAAGAAGATTTATGTGATATGGAATTGTGCACATAAGAAATTGCGCGGTTGGGTGAAATCAAAACCATCAAAGGTTGGACATTGTCGTGTGGTTTATGTTAAGTGCAAGAAGTGAGTCCCATTCATAATTCCAGCGGGGTCATCGTCATTTATTGAAACTATTAATTTGAAAATAAGATTGGAGGATTCTCATCCTCCAAACGAACAGATGCGTCATTCAAAACAAACAGCTGAACACCTGAGGATCTGACTCTAGCCATTTCTACAACAATGTGACACAAATGAGAGAAAATGATGCGAAAATCTTGTGCTACTAGATATTGGTCGACTTCCAATTTTCGTAAAAGATAAATATATGAAACTCACGAGAGCCCTGTGGCAGCGATATCAAATTCCAGATGGATGCACGAGCGATCAGAGGCTGGAGTATGGAGCTCCCGGCGCACAGCCACATTAGATCTTCATAGCCATTGAAAGGTGTTAGTTTGCTTGTGGACTGTAAATAATCTGGCACAAGAAATCCGAAAAAGTGGCAGTAAGTTTCTTTGAACCTGCATGGATGATGAATATCATATACTGCGTGACCATTTGCAAGGCTCAAGTTTTTGTCCAAACGAGGTACACCCAAAGGGTCAATGAGCACAACACGATACTCTGGCACAGCTGCAGTGTAAGGAGTAGATGCACCGGAATCGTCATCCTCATCGCGAAGCAGTTGATCCAACTCTGGCCATACTTGCTCCTTCCTGCATCCAAACACATAAAAGTCACAGATAAATGTCCGTTTTTCCTGTAGAGTAGGATTAACATAGCAAGACTAGCACCACAGGGGGGAAAAAAATGCAGAGAGAAAAGAAGTAGAAAAAACAAAGATTAACATAGCAAGACGGTGTCAATCTTTTTTTTTCGAGAAATAAGGACTTAAAGAATAAGAAAATCTACACACCATGCTGAGAAATCATCTTCAATACATTGGTCGTCATCCCCTAGACCCACGGGAACAAGTCGTTTTCCACCTATAACCAAAAAAAATAAAATGTATAAAGTTAACCTGCTACATCAAAATAAATATTAGGCAAAAATCCTACAGATGTTATCATCAAGATTAATGGGAATAAAGAGAAGAAAACTATCAGTGGAGCAAGTCAAATGAGCATCTTGATAATTTGCCTTTACTTGCGCAAACAGTGTAGATAACCCAAGCGAAAAAAATACTAATCACCATCCAGATTATATATGTGACCCACATGCGTTGTGGACGTAATTAATATCAGTAAACAGGAAACATGGTAACCTTTTATAGCCTGTAAGATGATAAATATTATGAGTTCCAACGACCAAGTTGAGTAAACAAGTAGACTAAGAAACTGTTCTCCTAGAAATAATAAAGCAATAATTCTAATCTACTGAATCCAATATCTTGTATTGCCGTTAGAAGAAGGGGAAAAAAAGAGAAGCGATGAAACGACGAAGATAACTGTTCAACAAGGAAGAGTAACTGAATTCAGATGAGTAATAAGACCTTAAAAAACGACGAAATATTTCTGGCAATAATCTATGAGAACACCTGGAAAACATGTAAATTCATGAGCTGCACTTTTATCCCCCATAAGTAACAAAAAAATCCAAATAGAAGCTAGCATCAGATTTTATACCTTGGTCGCTGATGATTTCATCCACGATCTTTGCTACCTTATTGAAATGTTCGTACTGCCTGTTACCAAGACCGAACACCGCGTATTGAAGATTCTGAAGCCAAGTTCCCCTCTCTTTACCCTAAATCCATTTAAGAAATTTTCAGAAGCGTCGTCCAAGTAAGCCACCAGCGAAAAACCGTACAGATTTAGAGACTCCTTACCTCTGTTATCCATTTGTAAAATCTTGCAGCGTTGTCCGTCGGTTCACCATCTCCGTACCTATTTATTCCGGAACATACTTAGCCAACAGAAATGAAACACTGCAATCTGCAGATTTTTTCTGACTCACGTTGCTAGGAAGAAGAAAGCAATTCCTTCTTTCTTCATCTTCACCTCGTACTCATCGTCATCAGCAGCGTAGTCATCCTACAGGAAAGAGAAACCGCACAATAAGCACCTAACCCGATAGCGCCGGAATGGACCGACTGCCGTTTTCCTGTTCCAAAAATCTCCTGCTTCGAAAAAGACTAACAATCACTCACCAGATCAATGACTTTGAAAGTGGCTTTCTCGTATCGAGCTTTTGCTTCGTCTGCAAGGGCCTGATGGTATTGATACGACGAGTCAAGGAAACAGAAAAAGCTAAACCTTTCCAGAGGACGAGAAGGGGAATCCTAGGGAGAGAGAAGGGAATCCTACCTTGGCAAAACCCTCAGCCGTCCCGGTCTGCGTGCCGAAAAATATGGCGACCTTTTTCTTACCGTCGTCCACTTCCTCCACTTCCACTTTCACCGTCAGAGGCTTCGGTGGCTCCTCCCCCTTGCACGGCTTCTGCTGTCGCGACAAGGACCTCCGCCACATTAGCACGAGGACGCAACCGACGAGCACCGCGATGGACGTGGTGAACACCATCAGAAGCTCCTTGTTCTCGACGATCGCAGCCAGGGCCGACTCCGCGGCGGCGCCGTCATCTCCGGCGGCCGGTTTCCCCTTGATAATGGCCATCATCAGATCCAGCGGCGAGATCTTCATCGAGCCCGACTGCATCCTCCCCGCCCTGAACCTCTCGCCCCCTTCCCTCCCTCTCCTCCTCTTCCTCCTCCCCACTACCTCAATCCACACGTGAGAGGGAGCGAGGACGAGGATCGGTGAGGATCGGTGAGACGAGCGGAGGTCGATGAGGAAAGGAGGTGGTGTGTAGAAGGAGAGTAGCGTGTGGACAGAGGCACCTATTTATTCAGAAATCACCGTCGACCCACCACCACCGCCACCGCCACCTCCACCACCACCACCACCACCGGCGACGCCTACCAAACCCGGCCAGTCAAACCGCCACCAAACACCAACTAACCCTGGTTTCATCCCCACCCCCGGTTTTACACCAGATCGGCGGCGAATGTGAAAATGACCCCAAAATTACAGTCCCTGCCATCATCGTCCACCTGTTCCAGTCTCCACCACTAGAACGGTCGTCACGTGGCAGTTTTTCTCTCCTCGACCAGTGTGGGCCGAAGCCTCTCTCTCTCTCTCTCTCTCTCTCTCTCACACACACACACACACAGGGCCGAGCCCGGGCCGACTCGTGGACACACCTACTGATTGATGAAACGAACACGTGAGAGGTCTCGGATCCACTCACACTTTAGCGGATCCGACGGTCTCCCGGCGATCGGTGGCAGCGTGCATCGTTGACTTTACCGTAGTTGACTTTACCATCGTTGACTTTAGTGGATCCATTGTTTTACGCAGCCAGATTAAATACGTTAGTAATTGGATTTCCCGTACACGTGTCTCCCGGCTGCTGACTTCACGACGACGGGGAAAGGTGGTTTTTTGCGTAAATCACGCCGGTAAAATGAGTATTTTATGGCCCTATGGACATATATACCTGGAATATGGTTGCTTTTTATCCACGTGTATCAGAGTGACTGAAGACCCGACGACCAATTGAACTCGCGGGGAATTACTAATGGTGGTCAAACTTCCAAAGTCCGCAAATAAAGGTGGCTTCAACCCAAATCCACGAAGTCTTTTTTGAAAAATCTCCTGCCCGATTCGATTTGCACACGAATAGACCTCTCCCTCTCCCTCTCTCTCTCTCTCTCTCCTCTCTATTATTCTGGCCAGCGAGAGACGGCAACGGCGTGGAAGTGGCAGCCACCCAACGGTCAGCGTGTTCTAAGGAAAACATCGCCTGCTGGGCGACGGTGAAATTGAATAGGGTAGACGAAAAGAAACCCCGTAGTTGAAACGGTGGAGAGGTTTGACCAGGTAGATTACGGTCAACGTCGCTAACCTCGAGTGTATGCAGCTCAGGTGTACCCCACTTGAATTGACCTTCTGTCGGCCATCGCACAACCACCCACGTCTCTCTCTCACACTATCACACACGTACACACACACGTGCTTGCGGGCACGCAAGTGGACATCGAGTGAGGTGTTCGTCATTTTGACGTCGTCAACGACCGAGTCGTCGCACCGAGTTCGTCAACGGTTTCTTTTTTACGGAGTTCCTAGGATTATTTTATCTTATCTGAGGCGGACCTCGTCTTCTCTCGTCGATGGACAGTCAATCCCGTGGGGGTGGATTTCTCGCGAGTGTTCTTCGGATAACCCAGTGAACGATTTGACCCAAAGTCAAATGCTGGCTTTCGAGATTGACTTGCACGCATCTTGCTCCTCATTAGCGGAGCCTATTTTAGGAATAAAAATATATAAGCCGCCGATTTGTTTTTACTCCCCCGGTTGGCGGTCGATGTTTTCCAAAGTGGGCCAGCTTTAGGTCCACATCGGGCCGAACTGTTCAATACGCGCAACAGACGAATAAATTACTTTCATCTCACAAATTCGGCCCGGTCCACGCAAGACAGCCCATTAGAGACCCCACGACCTTGCGGCGGCATCAACTCAGAGAGCAGACAACAACGACAGGACGGTAGCCCCCACGACGGCGACCCCACCGGCGCCGAGCGTTACCCTCGCAGCCGGGGATGCGTCGGCAGGACCCGGCGCTGCTCCCTGGTCGTCGTTGTCGTCGTCGGCGGCAGCGGTCGTCGGAGACGCCGCCGGAGCTGCGTCAGGGGTCTCCGGCGCCGGCGGAGACGCGTCATCGTCGACGGCGTTGGCCGGGCTCGGCGCTGTCGCCGCCGGCGATGAGGCCGGCGGGGGGGAGCTCTCCGGTGCCGGAGCAGGCTCCGGCGTCGCCGCCGCCGGTGGTGGCGGTGGTGGTGGGGGGATGGCGGTGTAGTTGGTGTTCTGGATACCGGGGGGAAAGATGACGCTGCTGACCTGCAACACGGAGATGTTGTAGGGCTGCGCCGCCACGGGTTTCACGAGCTGGGCGGCAGGGCCGGCGCCGGCGACGGCGGACCCCAAGGTCACGCCGGCGGCGGAGACGGAGACGTTGAGGAACCCCATCTGACCGGTTGCCAGCCCCGTGGACTGGAACAGCGTGGTCACCAGCGCGGTTTTCTTGTGCAGGTGCTGGAGCTTGGGGACGTCGTAGTAGTCGAGGATGACGTGGACGCTGAGCACCTTCCTGACGACGTCAAGTGGTTGACCAGAGAGGGCGGCGGCGGCGGCGTCGTCAACGGCGAGGACGGTGAGGGTCTCGCGGCGGTTGATCTCGTCGGCGAGCTCGGTTTGCGTGAGGTAGCTGTTAAAGGTACCGAAGCCCGCATTGTGCTCCAGGATGCGGGTGATGTTGAAGGCGGACGCCGCCGAAGAGGAGAGAAGGAAGGCGAGGAAGATAACGCAGCAGCAGCGGCGGCAGAAGCAGCAGCCGGAGGAGCCCATTGTCACGCCGTTCTCGCCCTGAGATCGATCCTATCTCTGACCAGTGCTGCTACACGGGGTGGAAGATATATAAAGGCCCGACCAAGACGCCTATATTAGGAGGGAAATGGAGGCCGCAGGCAGAACCTGCGGCGGGCCGTGGACGGTGGGGAAATGCCACGTGGACCTTCAAGAACACCCCTAAAAAAGGAAACCAAAAGCCATGGCGGGGATGGCGCTGATTGGGAGCTTCATGGATTGGTCTGGCATCGCATTCTTTCCCTACCATCGCTGCAGAGGAACTCTGCCGCATGAACTGGAACCAGGTTGACTTGCAGAGGAGATATTGGGGGGGGGGGGGTTACAGGTTACAATCTAGGAACAAAAACCCATCTCGATAATCGGCAAGAGATGGTCGGCAGCTGGCATCTGCCCCGGCGTTGTTCGGACGCAAGAATGGCCACTGCTCTACAGGAAATGCTGAGTATGAAGGGAACCCAGAGAGAGAGAGAGAGAGAGGTGGACGTGGAACCTGTTTAAGTTATACCACAGGGAAGGGGGCGGCCGGCAGCTTCTGATTCACAAAAAAACGTGGGTACATCAGGCGTGGCTGATTTGCTGCTCATTTGACTTTCTCGATGATGTCCGAGATGAGCGCATCCATGTCGAGCTCCCTCATGCGCGTGAATGGCCTCGGCATGTTCTGCATGGCAGTCAAACAGGGTATTAAATGAACCGCTGCGAAGGACCCTAAAGACCCTAAAGGAAATCGCCTTTGCTATGGGTTTCGGACGTTCACCAGAAGAGAAACGAAGGTTTGGCCATTTGCATCACGGATCTCAAAGCATCCCCTCCTCGGCTGAGAGCAACAAAATCAATCGAGGTGAGGAATTTCATACCACTCTAACACAGCTCAAGTGAAAAAACAGTAGAAACACACACACACACACACACACACATATATGGATGTATATGGTAATGTATTTATTTGTGCTTCGCATTCGACCCAAAATAAATAAATCAGGAGATAGTCGTACATGGTATCATCGATTCATATGATGAGTACGTCACATTCAGTCTACATGAATGGAGCAAGTGAATAATATGCTTTCACAAATAATCAAATCTTGACTTACAGGCCACATTTTCTGTGGAAGATCCGGATCGTTAACTTCCATTAGCCCACTTCATTTATCAGTCAAGCTTGTAGGCCACATCTTTTTAGCCTCCATCACTACTTAGCTACCAAGTCAAGGATTTCCACGCGCTGACCACGTTCACATGTTGACCCTGTTTTCTCACTCGTGTGCTGTGTCCCTAGTACCAACATCTCAATGAAAAAACAACACTCTTTCTTAAGCTCTGCATTTTGCGTGCCACTAATGAACATTGAGCAAATATAAGCCCGAAAAGCATTTTGGCGAACTGTTTATTTGTCATTTCAAAACAAAATGACACCTGGCTGTAGGAGTTACCTATTATACCCAATGCTTATCCATACCGAACTTTCTAGGTCCCTCCATCTCCAACGCATGAGTAGTGGATAACTTCCTATGTCATAGTGGATAACTCGGGGTACTACTTTCAGCAATATTTTTCAATTTCCAAAGTAGACTTGTATAATTTTATTATCAATCCTTGATCACATGGATTACCTTAGATGTATGTACGATGCACAAACCTTGAATGCTGGATCGAAAGACTAACAAGATAATGCTCAGCCTACAGCTCATTTTACCACTGTAAGTGCAGATCCTAGTTGTATCCATGGCAAATAACGCAAAATAGCGAATTTTGATGGGTTCTGTATACAACCCAGACCACAATTTCCAAGGTTTCCTAAAATTAAATGCTCTCAACTGGAAAGACAAATGAATCAGTTTGCTGCATGCAACTACACTGTACGTCCCCACACTATTAACTACTATTCGCATGACAGATGGATAATCATTTAAGAAGCAAATATATTAAAAATCAGGCCAATAGGCAAACGAAACAAAAATTTACTCCAAGGAATTTTTCAGAAGCAAAGATAATGGAATACAGATAACTCGTCCTCAGGCGAAACCAATTAAAATTAAAACACCTATAACAGTAATGATACATTATCCGATTATCCGTTGTGAATTCGAGTAAAACCATCCCCACGCTCTTTTTTTAAGCGAGCAGTTTAAAAAAAAAAGAGCATTCATGCATGTATGAAACATTTTGAATCATGAATTAGCATGCTGAATTTTAGTGCGAAGACGTGAGGGAAAATACATGGCGATCTTCGACTTGCTAGATAACTTTTGGTGATCGAATAATTAAAGCACAACCAGGCATCTCAGACATAAAAATCGGGCGTTCTATTTAAATTACACAACAGTTTTCCTGGCTATACATATTGCATTAAAAAAATTGAGTACAAGAGATCAGTTAATGATTGAAAACTAAAGCTGTTATTCAACAGAAAAATATACTCGCTCATAAATTAATAAAAAGCTAAAACTCTCTGCAAGAAGTCTGCAAAAAGCCCAATAGAAACAGTACTTCACACTTGTGAATAAAAAACCTTGTGTTCAGAGCACACACCTTCTCTGGATTTACAACCACGTTGATACCGGGGACACCATTTTCCAAGCCATCCTTCACCATTGAGGCTCTTTTCTTAAATTGATGACATTGTTTGCTAGGAAAAAATGAAAACCATTGATAGATTAAGTAATATAAGCTTTCTAAAATGGCGAAAATAAAATATCATGGTTTTTCATCTCATTCTGTCTCGAATATAAGATTTCACGCCACAAACACATTTAGTTACGCTTTGGACCGAGTCAAAGTCGCTAACTCGGTTAGCCACTTAGGCCCACTAACCTACATACCCTATGGAATTGGTTAGATACATAATCCCCATTTCTCAGAAATATAGCAAAAAACGGAGACCAACGACATCTCATCACATCGATACCATGAACATTAAATAGACATGAACATACGGCATACCAACAGAAAGCGAGGAGCCTTCGATCGCGAGGGAGAAATCGTACGAGTATAACTAAGCAACCCTAAAATGGTTGTCCGAGATTTTCGCTCACCAAGCTTCCACGATGATGGTCTTGGATGAGTCCTTGTCCGCAACGACCGTCTCTACGGCGAGTGCTGGCTCGCCGGACTCTTTCACCTCATCCTTCAGCTTCCCTCTAGTGGCCTTCTTCGGCTTCTTGGCCGGCGGGGGGACTTCCGGCGGCACAGCCGGTGCGCCGGCGGCGGCGGAGGAGCTCCTCGTCCTCCTGGGGGACAGTGAGGCCTTCACCGAAGGCGAGGATCGCGGAGGCGCCTTATCCTCAACCTTCCTCTTCGGAGCCATCCCAACGTCTCCTACTGTCGCAGAGACTTCGGAGACCGGTCTTAGAATGGGGACAGGAATAAAGACAGGCATGGTTTCCCGCTTCCCGCCACCGAGACGGATACCACAGAGCACGGTCGAATTAAGCGATCCACCACCGCTCTCTTTCATTTTTCGGGCCTGCAAGCTGAACTTTTCCGATCGGGCCGGCCCGAGGCTCGACTAAAAACCCGACCGCCGCCTAGTTATAATCCGAAGAAAACACAAGACCCTCATGGAGGAGCTCCAGATAAAAGCCCGGCCCGTTAAGCGATAGATTAGTTTATTGGAGGTTGACTTAACCCAGAAGTAAGTCAAAGTTGACTCTTATGTTCGTACAACGGTTATAAAAAAAAAGAAAAGAAAAAAAAACTCATAGTTTTCATCATAAGAAGGGAAACCTGAGCAGGGACTGAAGCACCTGGGAAGCAGCAGGCGGGCTCCTCAGCCTTGGGAGTTGAGGATGCCATTAATGGTCAGGACTTGGTCTGTTCCTGAGACGAACTCCTCAGAGACGGAGGGGACGACTTTCCAGACCTTCAATCTGAGAGGGTCTTCACCCGTAGCTGCAGATGGGGAAACCATAATTAAAATAAATAAATAAATAAACTTACTCGGGTCATTCATCTCACCAGATTTCTTCACGCAGATTGCCGCGTGGTGGGAAGAAGCCAGCTCGAAGAGCGCAAACTGCCAGTCAGCGGTGAGCAGCTGTGCGTCTCCAGAGGGCTCGATGCTCAGTGCTATTTCCTGGAGGAGGAGACGAAAATATACCAGAAGGGATTCTAATCATGCAGCTGCTCCCTAACTAAAATGGCAACCATAGATCACATAATCTGCTGGAGGAGACACACAGACGGAGATCCGGGGAAACGGGATGTACATCTGAGTTTGGGTCCGTTGACTCTTCTGTGGCTCCTGCTTTGAACTGGATTGCAAAGTGCCTGAATGGTGCACCCGAGAATCCCCTTCCGAGTGCTTTAACGTATGCCTCCTGCGTATTTATGGAGAGATGAATATTTCCGTATCAGATGCTCAACTTTGCCACAGGGAGGAATAGAAGAAGGGAATTGTGAAGAGGACGTTTGGCGATATCTTACTTTTAGAGTCCACAGCTTAAGAAACTCCCGTCGCCGAGTCTCCGGGTCGGTGAAGCTGGACAAGAACTCCACTTCACTGGGTGCAAAGTAACGTCTTGCAAAGGACAGTATATTGCTTTTGAGCTGGCGGTGTTTCTCTAACACGTCTAGGCCAATCTGAGATACAGGGGATGAGTTCACAATCGGATTTAATTCTTCGAAAAATATTGATTGGCCATATAAAGTGGGGTTAGTGAGAGAGTAATACGGGTATATCTGCAGTCACAGCACAGGCGATCAAGGAGGATGTATGTGAAACATTGAAATGAAGGGGTGGTGGGATCCAATTTCCATCACACGGCCATTGCACCTGTAGATGTAGAACATGTGCAGGACTGAACAACACTCGTGCTAAGAAATTCATGAAAGGTTTGATTTTTAGGCCGGGAAATAATTGATTACCTCAGGTTTTCCAAACCGGTTAATGACGAACTCCAACGATCTTGGACTGGCTTTATGGTCTGTATCTGTTCCAACATAGAAAAAAATGCAATCGGAATCTCACTTCTAGTGCAAAGGGCTGGCAGAGATTAAAAAAGAAGGATCTGTGTGGTATCTCATGACTTGTATCAGATGAAGAGACCAAATTGGCACAAACTTGCGATTCTCCGGGTATTTCTAAAAAAGAATTAAACTTGAGTATGCAATGAAGGTTTAGTTTGGATGCTGTTTATAATTAACTGCGGACAAATTATGTGATATTTCATTGGAAGCTAAGGAAGGATGTTCTTAAGAGATGATGGATCCATGGCCACATTTCAAAACTGACATAGACTATTGAATACCTGATAAAAACCTCGACCCAGAAAGAGATATTTCTTCTCATTGCCCAATAACATGAGATCAGGGTTTCTTTCTAGCATGATGCATTTATTCCATGATCAAAATAATTCAGGTACCCTACGTGTTTTAGCCACTTAAACAAAGTAAGTCTTGAACAAGCCACTTAAAGATAGTAAATCTTACATCTAGCAAGGGTAGTACGGAGCAATGTTCGAGATAACAAAGCCCCTTTCTGGAGATTGTCTCCATTCATTCGTAATGCATTATCTCTCTCTGTTGGGGAGAGGAGCTCAAGATATTGGTTTAGAAGCAACGGGCTCTTCACTTCATCAGGTAGAACATACCATAAATGCGTCTCCCTGCAGATGAAACACTCTCAAATTTTCAACCATATTGTTTTCCAACTGAAACAATAAGCAGAAATAGGCACGTAAATGTGAATCCTTGAGATACTAAATTATCAAATTGATGTATCACTTGCTAAGATGCATTGACTGAGCATTTAGTCCATCAAATCTCAAGACATGAGGTCACCTGGGAGGGTTGTACCAGTTCTCAGTAATATATATATATATATATATATATGTGTGTGTGTGTGTGTGTGTGTGTGTAACTAGTCAAAAGAGAAATTAAAGTGCTGACTTGGATGGTCCACAGATTTCTTTTGCTTGCTTGGAGAAAAATAATTATATCCCCCCTCCCGCAAGGCAAAGAAAAAAATTCTGGACGAGTAGAAGCAGTTTGTACCAACATAATCATACACCATGGGGAATAATTTGAAAGAAACATTTTTGCAACTGACAACACAGTTGATTCCAGAATTCATTCCATTACATCCAAAAAGCCTGATTTTTTCGCTTAAGAGCTAAAACGCATGTATGTTTGCACAAGCAGTTTAAACCAAGATAGCCATTCAGTGTCAAGAAAAGACCTGCACCTCGAAGAAGGGAGTGGCATTTTGGCCAGAGGTCGAGGCACGAGTAACCTCCTTGAGAAGATATCTGACTGGATCGACATAGGTCCGCGAAAGAACATGTACATGACCCGTGCTTATTTGGTCGCGATCTCCTTGCATGGAGCAAGGAGCTGCTAGAAGAGAAACTTCTTTGCATAAAATGCGGGCAGCCTCGTTTAGCTTACGACAGCTGTGCAGAGGAAAGGAAGACGACAACAGCCACCGTAAGGGTAAATTGAGTCAGGATTGAATTCATTCATAAGCGACATGGACATGAATCCAATTATTTGACCACGATTCTTTTCCCTAATTTTTCTTGCGCAGATGGAGAATAATTAGTAAAAACAGTGCAGGAAAACTAGAAAGCGCGAAATAAAATGATTACTAGATATGGGGAACATTAACGAACGTGAATGTGTTTCAACTTGGGATGCGAACATCTGAACACGAGGCGTTCTCGTGTAGCCAAGTCATCCTGGATGTCTCCAAGTGACAATTCTTCTTATCAAACATGAGTTCCCAGAATATCAGATGCTGCAATTGTAACAAAAAAATCAGAAAACAAATTGGGGAGCGCGGAGATCGGCAGATTCACGGACGTTCAGGACATTTTAGCCCTTGTCGGAATAAAAAGGCTCAAACAGGAGCGACGCACGATGACGGGAGGCCGACGAACAAGTTCGAAGGAAATCACAGAGGAACAACATACGAGAGAAATAACAAGGCCCACACAGCACCTGCCGCCCCAGTCCCCTTCGCCGTCACCGAGCCGGCCAACTTTCTCCTGGTGCAGTTTGCTTGAGGAATCTGGGGCCGGACAGCACTCCAACTGGAATTCGTCTCGAATGGGTTATCCGAGTCGTATTCTGAATCTCTCTTTTGTGCTCAGGAGAGGAATTCCCTGTCAGGCATTCCGTCGAGCATCTGTCGTGCGCTATATGATCTAAAGCGACTACGAAGAATGCCAGGTCGTTGCCGCCATCTTGGTGGGTACGGATTCGAAGGCGGAGTGACTTTAAATAAAGAGCGGGATTGCCGTACGATTGAGATCGTGGCATCAGTATTAGCCGTCCGATCGGCACGGGTTTCACGAGCATTTAACTCCACCGTCCTGGTTTAAATTTTCTGGAATCGATTTATCGGATCTCGAATCCAACCTCTTTTCCACGAAATTCCGCAGACCGCAGGAAGAACTCCCCAGTGATGTCTGCGACACTCCCGGACTTCGACCTCGGCGTGAGATTTTCTAATGCTGTTTGCCTTCTTCTTCTTCTTCCTCCTCCTCTTCATCTTCTTCTTTCTCATCTCCATTCATCTGTTTCTGCATCCGATGTCCCTGTCTGTTTAGTGCTTGTAACGTCGTTCCTGTTATGCAGGTGTCATGGCAGACGGGGCAAGGGATCGGGTTAGCAGAACACATTTCCACATCTGTTTGCAATCCCTTTACCGGCCGTGCATTTTCTTCTGTTACTGTTTGCCTGCATTATTTCGCTTAGGGTTCTAACTCGATGCAGGGAACACACTTTCGCGGATGCCGGGAACCTAGAGCACTGCGCCAAGTATCTCAACCAGACTCTGGTGACGTTCGGTTTCCCCGCCTCTCTCGACCTTTTCGCCACTGATCCGGTACACCTTTTGACCTCAATATTTTAAAAATATGTACAAATTTTGAAAAAAAAATGTGATTCTTGTTTGAAGCTGTTGTTTACACTCTAGGTTTCCATCTCTCGCACTTGTAATTGCATATATTCTCTCCTTCAACAAAGGCAGCGGGACATTGAGTTCAGGGAGTCGTCCAATGAACAGAGACAAAGGTCAGGGGATATGAGATTTTCAACTGTGATGTTTTAGGGGATTAGATGCTTCTGTCTGGTTCTCTAAAAGCTTGGGAACTGGCATAAACTCTAATGCAACTCAAAGCAGCATTCACTTCTCTTTTGTTACGCATTTGACTGTGTTCAGTCTACACGTTTCAGACGATGAAATAAGTCTGTGTTTAAAGTCCGCTATGAAGATCAAGTATGAAAACTTTTCAATCATTTATTATGGGCTGTTGCGACACGTGGTTTCCACCAAATGAAGAATATAATGCCCTCTACTAGCGAGTTAGATTATTCTTTCAATTTATTCACGTGTCACCAAAATTTTCCGGTCAAGATCGTTTTCTTACTTTTAGCTGTAGTCATCTTTCTTTCTTTTTTTTCCTTCCTACTAGTGCTTTAAAACGTCTCTTATTTTGTTCGCTACATAACTTTCTGTCAGATATGAGACACCGTAGCTTACTGGAAAAACACAGCAGGAAGATCGTCTCTGTATAGATGATGCATGAATGATGACCATTCAAGGAGTTTTCTCATACTTTGGTCGTCAATCGACATCTCGAGTTAGTATATCGGTAAACATGATTGAGTGTCCCGCTTGCTTTCTCTGTTCTCAAGAGACTGGATAATTTATAGAAAATAATAGCGTTACGCCTGGCTTATCTACGGTGGGAAATACTTCGGACTAGGTGGAAGCGGTACGATTGTACTTTGATATTTCACTTTCGAAGAACTTATCTAATATGTGAGGTAAATCATCAATGTGCAAATGGTTTATAATTATTTTCACGGTTGCATTGTTCCTAACATAAAGTCTATTTAGTGCCTTAGTGTCGTTCATCTTTTTTTTTTTCACCTCCGACAAGTTGAAAGACATCATTTTGTACCGTTGGATGGAGTGAAAAACATGTGACATCTTCATGGATATGTTATTATGCTTTCATTTTTTTAGCATGATTACTACTACTCACTGCAATTTTGGGAAATATTGCAGTCTGCATAAGTGGTGACAGTATTTATTGTTTAACCTTTTTCCTTCGTGTTTGTGTTATGTTCTTAGCTTTTTCCTTCCATTTACCTAGAGGGAGGAGGATATCGAAGTATTGAACTGCCAAGATTTGTTGATAACCTGACTGTTTTAACTTTTCATTCTACCAGTTTCGCATTGGTTGTCATAATCGCGTGAACATTGTTGCTTGGTGTGGTTAAAATAGTTTGAAACGATGTGTAACATGATGGGCATTCTTGTGATTTTTAGGTTCATATCAGACATTTCAAGGTTAGAAGCAAAGATCGAGAGGCTTGAGGCGCAGTTAGCAGCTAAAGATCGAGAAATAGCTACAATAACTCGCACGGTGCATCTCATTCGTATCCTATATTGCTGTACAGTGGATATTTGAGATCCCTTTGTTTCATGCTAATACAGTTTAATTTATCAGGAGGCTAAAGCTAAATCAGCTTTCAAGGCTCAAATTGACAAGCTTCAACAGGAGAGAGATGAATTTCAAAAAATGGTTATAGGAAATCAGGTGTAAAGACAATTCGCTGTTACTTTCTTGCTGTCTTTTCTCTTTCGTCAGTACTTGGATTGGGTATAATGTGACATGATTGAATAATTGTGACATGCATTCTCTGATTCTTTATTTTTACTTCAAAAGCAAGTTCGCACACAACAAATACATGAAATGAAGAAAAAAGAGAAGGAGTATATAAAGTTGCAGGTCTGGTATTTTCTTTCCATTTCTTACCTTTGAGGCATAATAGTCCTCGCTCAACAGACAATCGATGTAAAACATTTTTTTTTATATAGGAACGATTAAACCAAGTACTGATGGAGAAAAAGAAAGAATCTCGATCAGGCATGGAAATTATGAATTTACTTCAGGTATTGTTTATATCATTGATATATTCATAACCAATTACCAATACTGTTTGAATATTCCACTGATGGTTGTAAGGTTTAATATTTTTAACTTTTGACTAGAAAATTCACTTTGTTAATTCATGCGTTTTTCCTTGCACATATTTGTGTCTGCTTGGGATTCTGTAATTGATCTTCTACTACTATCTGATTTCTATCTTTGATTAATGTGAACAGAAAGAGGGACGTCAACGAGGTACATGGAATGGGAAGAAGGCTGACAATGATTTTTCTAAAATGATTGTACGGACGAGTAACCTTAATGCTCAATTTACATATGCTGTTGCTTGTTGCTCCTGACAGTAGTGCTGTGATAAATAGGTTGATGCGTACGAGTTAAAGATACGTGAGCTTATGCAAGAGAACACTGACCTGAGGGCCTTATTGCGGTCAATGCAGGTAACCTTATCATAAGATTATCTTCTGTAGATTTCATCCTTGTCGTACAAGGAAAACGTTTATCTCCAAATCTAATGTACTTGTGAAATTCGTGATTTCTCAGAAGAATGACGAATTCAAAATTATGGTTGTCACTGCAATTTATTTCCACTAATCTAATTTGTTAATCTTCAATTCAACTCGACTATGAAATGTATGGCCAAGATTGATCCGTCTTTCAATGCCAAATCTGGCTGAATGACGGGGTGTAGGATTTGTGGGGCCGAAGAAACTTGGAAGGTGTCCCTGAAAAATGTAGTGGAATGTCTGTAGGGCTTCTCTTTTTCGGTAACAGTCACTTCTGCATCTTTAAGCACAAACGAAGTCTATGATCTTCATTGCTTCATTCGAGCGATGATATTTCTTCTTTTTTGGTGAAGGTCGGGTAATTGTTCTATCTTTGGAAAGATGTTAAAAGTGCAGATAACTCTGTACGGGAGATTGACTTTAGTTTATGTGGAAGTTCAGTACTGCAAGGGATTGGACAGGGACAATTTAATTGGATGCTACAAGATGTGACTTGGGAAAGATTGCATGCCAAATGATACGAAACAGGCTTCCCTTAGCTGGATAAGTCTAATAGGGAAACATCATAGGAACCTATGCATCTGCGCAGAAAAAAAAATCCTCGTCAATTCAGCATGCTTTCTTGTCGTTGTCATTCCTTAGCTAGGCCTATGAACATATCATATTCATTTAAAGTCAGAAGTAAGATTGTTTCTAAGGTATTTTCATATACTCAGGTCGATATGCGTGACTTTCTAAATGCTCCTACTGCACCATCTCAACAGAATCTTTCCGTCAATGAGAACCAAAATCCAGATTCCCCCAAGTCCCCGCTGGGTGGAAGGACTGTAAGGCCATGCTCTATTTCAATTGGATGTAGTTGATTTCTCTGGGTATATTCATGGCGCATTTTTTGTTCTTGTTGTTTTTTTCGTAGTGTATGGTTGCTCTGACCATTTCATGGTTACTTCAGGATGTCTTTGATCTGCCCTTCCACATGGCTAGAGATCAAATAGAGGAGAGCCTACGTACCAAGATGGCTTCAATCAAGGTTAGTTCAAAGAACATTATTCGTTTCTAACTATAGTTTCATTGATACGTTTGACATGTATTTTTCTACATGACAGGCACGGATGGTTCAACTTCAAGATGCACAGAAAGGAGCCGACGTCTCTTCTGAAGCAAGTGAAAGAGAGTTGGAACTTGAGGCTCAACTTGTAGAAGCCAGGAGTATCATTCAGGAACAGGTTAGTTCTTGGGTGCTCGCTCGTGGCTATTGTTTAGACGAATACGAGGCAGATTTTTGTCCAATGAAGGCATTTACATGCACGATAAATTGGAATTTAAAATATTTTTATGTATCATCCGTCAGAACCAAGTTAGGATCCACACTAATTAATAAGACATGATGTATGATTGACTGGACTATTATATTCAAATCCGTGACCCAACTATATGGATTTATAGGACGACGAACAAATTCAAGCGTTTTTCTCTGAAATTCATCTGATATTTAATATATAAGAAATTCAAAGATTTGAAGTTGCTTGAAGTTTCAGATTTACATAACTTGGGTGGAACTTTGCATGGTTTGCTATTCTTGAAGCCATGAACACTATCATATCAAACTGTCTCTCCCTCTCAAAAGAGTTACTTGCCAGAACTTTCCTGCCGTAGTCATTTGATAGTACTGGTTTCAGTTCGTCACTGATGACACGAACATGTATGTTCCATTTCAGGCCTCGATACTGTCAAAACACGTCCCAAAGTCTGAAATCCCAAGGTATTGTCTTTTTATTTACATCCCACGTATAATTTTGTCTTTCGATTTATCCATACATGAAAATGACGCGGATGCGATATGGTTCTATGAATCACGCAAAAGTTTACATAAACACGTGGAAATAGTGGCGATTTTATTTCTTGAAATACCTCTGATAAACTCTTAGGAATCCTCTCGAGCTTCCTCTCCTCCACATTGCCCCCCGAATTCCCTTATCATTTCTGGCTTTTTTGTTAAGACTATCTTCCTCTATCTCCCTGATTCTGCCTTGCTGGTCGAAAGCTATTCTCATGCCATGACCTGGTTCCTGCCTGCCGATGTCACCTTGAACGATTTCCTCTTGCAGGAGTGAATAGCTGCAGATCCTGGCAGAGAACTACTCTCTTCGGCTACTTCTGGGGTATGCATCCTTGATGTGCGATACCTCCTTCTGGTCAGGCATCATTCGCCTTCATAACTCTCTTCTTGCGTGACTTTTTGCCTGCCAAAACACGAATTCTGTTTTGATTAGCAGCACATTAAAACACCAAAAAACAGATGCTCATTAGTGACTGAACCATGCTCAATGATCAATGTCGGGACCCTTTTGAGTTTTTTTTTTCTCTTTTTTTTTTTTGCGCCTTTTAAGATCTCATAATTAGTTCCTCCGGCTCCCAACATCTATTCCTTTGATCTTGATTCCAAGAACAGATAATATTTTGATCATCCTCTTGCAGATAAAAATTATGGGTCTTGGGCACACGGGGGCTGCTTCTCGGTTGAGGATGATGCATCATCTCGAGAAGAAAGCGATGGTTCCAGTGGAAAGCTCTCCATCGGCCTCGGCATCGGAAGCGGGTCACAGGCTACCGGGATTTGTGAGTATGAACGACTACTACCTAAGGTTAAAATCCTGTAATATCGATGCTTGGCCACAAGCTCCATGAAAATGCTCTGTCAGTAACCTTCGCAGAATGGATAGATCGCCATCAAACTTTTGACTGATTTGCTCCGATGATCTTCTCATGATCAGCTCCCAAGAGAGATGGATATATATATATATATATATATCTATCTGTCTAGGAGAAAAATCGTCGCCTCCGTCGTCTCTTGTGCAGACTTGGGCAACAGTGACTGGCGACGCAATGAATGCACCCCTCCCTTCATCTCGGCCTTCATAAACCCTGCGTGGACTTTTCAGTTCCGCGGGAACCAGAGGCTATAAATTCCGGCGTGGTCCTCCCGAGGAAGACGCGCTCAGGGGGGCCGTGAATTTCAAAGGCCCAGGTGCCGCCGTTTCCTCGCCTGAAGCACCGCCCGTCCGGCATGTAAAGAGGAGCTCGCTGGCGGGGCGGCGGACCACAACGGTCGTCCCCTCCCAGATAATGACGCGTGAATTGTCTCGTGGCGGCGGCGGCGGCGCTGCCGCTGGGTAGATAGAGTCGCCCTCGCCACATGCTTCGGGCTCTCCCACGTGCACGGGCCACGGCGGAGCTTCGGGTCAAACTTGATCTCCCCGGCGCTCGGACCGGAAGCCCCCCCGTATATTCGCACGGATGTCTCCTCTCCCTCCGTCCATATCTCTTCCTGCCTTCCATGACGTGGCCCCCCCTCCCCCCTTTCCTAAGCAACCCTCCTCGAGGTTATCCAGAAGCCCTTTTCAACTATCCTGCACATGCCATCTTCTCTCTCTGTGGGGAGAACTATCTCTCCTTCTACAGCCGGGTTCTCTTTTGACTGGCTCAGGAAGAACAGAGGAGTCTGCTGGGCGCCTACCAGATCGTCTCCTCGGATACCTCCCGGCGCACGGGTGCACAGCACGTGAGAACGAGGCCGAACGCCGAGTCACGTGCTGCCGTCCATCTCGGGGCTGGTCGGGGTTCCCGATGCGGCACGTGGCGCGGGAACACGTGCAGCGGGAGTGCGAGCCGGCCACGCCGCCCCGGTCCTCCTCGGGGAGGCCTGTTTTTCTATCGGCCCCCGCAGCGGCCTCGCCATTAACTAATCGGGACTTGTAGTTAGTGATCATTAATGCCGGGCACTTAGGATATTAATGCCTGGATTATCTTATTGCCCCGGTATCGGTACCCGGGTTTTCTACGCCACGGAGAACGTGCCCGAGGAATGATACTCACCAATGGCCTCCTAATACTTTTTACTTACGCTTTGACCGTGGAAAATTCCCCCCCTCCGTTTGCTCTACTCCCCTCCACTGTTTGCACTGTTTCCTTCCTCTCTCTCTCGCTACCCAGCGTCCAGCGTCTATGATCCACATCTGGCTGGGGGCATGACTGTGACGACTTGGGAAGGAACGGCTAGTATGAGTAGATCGTCGCTCTACCCCTCCCCCCCCTCCCCAATACAACCCATGGCGCCTCCTCTCTCTCTATCGCTCTAGCAGCTCGAGCAGGAATGCTACGGTAGTATGCGGCTACGGGCACCATGTGAACGAGATCAGACGCTGGCAGCTCTGGGATCCCTCCTGCTACTCACGCCTTTCCCTGTCAGTTCTCCGAAATAGATTCTCCGAACAGTGCTGCCTCCTCCCTGAGAGAGAGAGAGAGAGAGAACCGACCCACATCCTGATCCTCGACCGTTCGATCCCCATCAGACGGAGGTCCGCCACGAACTCCAGGGGCCCCGCCCGTGGTGGGCTCCACTGGAAGTCATCTCCGGCAGAACCTTGACGTTTCGCAGTGGTGCGGTCAAGAAAGCCCCGAAGCAGAAGAAGAAGCAGAAGAAGGAGGCCTTTGCATGGGACGCGCTTGCGGTGATGACAGCCACATGCGACGTGTCGGGCCTCACTAAGCTGCCAAAGCGGCTGGTGCAATGATTCCGGGGCCCTGGGCCCTCCCGCGAGTGGGGTCCCCTGTTCCCTCCTTCCCCTCTTGCTTCCTATCGTCCTTGCACCTCCCGTTCTGGGCCCCACCCCCACACTGTTCCGCTGTCCTCTCGGCACCTCCTTCCTAAATGGGCTCTCGACCAGGTGGAGGGAGAAAGAGGACAGGAGGTTGGGGGGTGTGCGTGAGGGCATCGGAGTGCCCGGGGGGATTACAGACCGGTCCGGCTTATCGTCATCGTTCTCCCTGACTGCCTTCGAGTCTCTCGGTCAAGAAGACCGCCCACTCGGCCCGTGGAAAGCTTCCACTTGCTCTCATCCTCTCTCTCCTCGCCCTCCCTCCCCCGCCTGCTCCCTCCCCACTTTATTGTTTTTTTCTTCAAATTATGACTTTTCAGACGTTTTCCTCTTCTGTTTTAAACTCTCAGTCTAGGGCCTCGTGCAGAAGACGACTCCCTCCCCCTTCTCTCTCTCTGTCTCTCTCTCTATCGGTCGCTCTCTCGCTCGGTTCGACTCTATATCTCTGTCATCTCCTTCTCCTTTCCTCTCCTGGGTTTTCTTTCCTCTGAACTGAGTCGCATCCTTTCATCTCATCGCTCCCGGAGGAGCTCAGCGACATTCTCTTTCTGCGGGGTTTCTATTCAGGCCATGGATTGGCTCACCTTCTCCCTCTCCAACCAGCAATGTCTGCTGGATGCCTTCAACGCCTCCCCGCACGACCACCACCACGGTACTCGCCGTCTACGATCTCGCATCGTGATGATCTCCCCAGGGAACTTCCTGGGATGTTTTCTCGCCCGTGTGGCCATATAACCTCTCTCTTATTGCTGCTCAATGATCGGCGTACGCGTAGGCATGGTGGCGGCGGAGGGGCGAGAGGACCTCTCCGGCGGGCCCAAGCTCGAGGACTTCCTCGGCGGCGTGGGGGAGCCGTTGGGGCGGTACTCCGGCGACAGCGCCACCACACAGCCGGAGGCCGGCGGCGGCGGCGGCGGGATCTACGACTCCGACCTGAAGACCATCGCCGCCGGATTCCTCCGCTGCCCGGCCGACCAGCTGGAGCCAGATGGCAAAACCAAGGCGGCGGGGGCAGCGGAAGCGGTGCCAGAGCAGAAGAAGGCGGTGGACACCTTCGGACAGAGAACCTCCATTTACCGCGGCGTCACCCGGTAGAAACAAGAATGAATTACCCTCTGTAGATTAAAAGTAACCGCAGCTAACCGCCGGCTTCGCTCAGTCTAAAGCTATCCTCTTTCTTCGTCTTCTCAGGCACCGGTGGACGGGGCGGTACGAGGCGCACCTGTGGGACAACAGCTGCCGGAGGGAAGGACAGAGCCGGAAGGGACGACAGGGTACTGCTTTCTTTCTCTATTTCCGCCCCCTAATTCTCCTTATTTTCTGAGTATTCCGACCTCGAGAAGCCCACAAAGGTGCACCGATGTGGATCGCCGTGGTGCAACGCCTGGTCTTGTACCCGTGTGTGCTATCGTCTAACGTCTGCTCTCCTTTTCCCAACGGCGGCCGCCGGGAATGTCCTTACCGGGCGGCGTTCGACGGGACTCGTCTTCACCTGATCGCAGTCTATCTGGGTGAGTTTCGCCGGCAGCTTTATTTCTCAGGAATTTTCTTTTATTTTCTCGCGGCTGAAGAATTTTTCTCCACCAGGCGGATATGACAAGGAGGAGAAAGCTGCGAGGGCATACGATCTTGCCGCTCTCAAGTACTGGGGGCCGACCACGACGACCAACTTTCCGGTACGCCGCCGCCTCCGCTCTTCTCCGCTGCGGCCGCCTTGTGTGGGTGTGTGTGATAATATTAACTGGTGATGACGGCGACTCCCCAGGTGTCCAACTACGAGAAGGAACTTGAGGAGATGAAGAACATGACCCGGCAAGAGTTCGTCGCCTCGCTGCGCAGGTCTGTCTGTGTGGGTGCTTCCATGGTTATTATCCTCATTCCCTGGGCGCCTCTCGCCGTTTCTAATGCCATGGTTTCTGCAGGAAGAGCAGCGGCTTCTCCAGGGGAGTCTCAATGTACAGAGGTGTGACTAGGTCAGCCTCCTCCGCTGTCCGTCCATCCTCCTACTGTGATCGGGCGATCTGATTTGTCGCGTTCTATCTTCACTAAGTTCTCGATCGTCCACTCTCAGGCACCACCAACACGGCAGATGGCAAGCACGGATCGGGAGGGTGGCCGGCAACAAAGATCTCTACTTGGGGACCTTCGGTGAGCATCACTCACTCAGGCTCGAAGATTTAATGGAGTTATCGGCCATTTTTTCCATCGAAATGGAGATTTAATGGCGAGACATGTCTGTCGATCACCGCCGCAGGCACCGAGGAGGAAGCGGCGGAGGCCTACGACATCGCGGCGATCAAGTTCCGTGGGCTGAATGCGGTGACCAACTTTGACATGAGCCGCTACGACGTGAAGAGCATCCTCGCCAGCAACCTCCCCATCGGCGGCATGTCCGGGAGGACTCCCACCAAAGCCACCGACTCCTCATCGTCCTCTTCGGACGCGTCTAAGCAGGTAGACGGCCGAGACCTTGATCTCGCCGGCGGCGGCGGCGGCTCGTCGGCGAACCAGATGTTCGCTCTTCCTCTCAGGCATGACCAGCAGCATCATCAACAGCACCATGATTACTGGTCCTTGCTGGCTCTCCACAACCAGCAGGCGCCTCCTCAGCAAGGGCAAGACATGAACTCATGCTTCGACCTCTACTCCTCCGGCGTGAACGTCGATTTCTCCTCCCCCAGTGTCTTGCTCAACGGAGGAGGGATGGTGCAACACCAGCACCAGCAGCCGCAGCTGGGCCAGAGCGCCGCCTGGTCGACGCCCCCACCCTACGCCACCGCCGCCGCCATTGGGAACGCCTATGAAGGTTCAGGGTATAGCGGAGGGTGGGTGCAGCCGGCTCCTTCTTCCTCTTCCATGCATGCCTACCAGCAGGCTGTGAAGTCGAGCATGGGGTTCTTCCAGACGCCCATCTTTGGAATCGAGTGAGAACTGAGGATGGAGAGGGGGTGATGAGGGGAGAGGATTGGAGAGAGGTTGCTGTGGGCTGACGCAGTGGGGATAGAACTCACAGGGTACTAACCAGAGATCAAGTTTTGGCCATTCTCACGTTCTTCTTTTGCTTCTACTAACACCAATCCACTGTATCACCGAACGACCATAATGGGAATATATGCTTCTTATTTCATGTCCTCGTTCCTTCGCTGTCGATCGATTTACCCTGGAGATAGCCGACGTACGTAATACATACGATGTACGATTCCGAAGCCTTCGAGATCTTTAGAGGTCCAAGAACTCAGTGCGAGGAAGATCAACCTCTCCGTCGTCCAAGCAACAGGCAAGCCATCAGATCTGACAGCACGAGAAGATAACAACGAGAGGAGTACAGTGAAAACTACGGCTGCATTGCTGCGACCGTTGGGTCACTTATCCTTCTCTGTCTTCCTTTCTCTCTCCTTTCATGTCAAGGGAGAACTTGAGGAAGACGTCTACATCAACAGTGAATCAGCCCACAAAAGCCCAGCGAAGCAAATCGGCCCAAGGGGCGGCCCCCCCCCTTTCGCCACCCCTAACCTAGAGCGAGAGAGAGAGAGAGAGTCGGTTAACTATTTACAGCAATACTAGATAGGCGTTGTTGTGTATGGCCATGACGGTCACATTCAAGTTGAGCGGATTTGGACAAGACGTCGCGCATGGGACAGTTGACAGTTGAGAGGATCGCGGAGTCCAAATGCCCACAAGAGGACAACAGCATGCCGCCCACCCCTCGCCGGCGAGAGCACCTTGCGGCGCGTCGGCTTCCTTGTCTGGCCAGTGCCCACCCTTTCTCCGGCGGCTCCTCTCTCTCTCTTCTTTCTCTCTGTGTATGTCTTGCCAGGACGAGTGAGTTCAGCGCGCTCTTTGCCACTTTATTTGACGTTCACTGTTCCTGACAGAGGAACAGATGGATGGAGGAGGAGAGGGGGAGTAGGTCCGGTCCAAGAACAGAGCGCATCGAAACGTGAGAATTCCGTATGCGAAACCCGGCATTTTAAAGTCCCCGGGGAGCGGCCTCCACGGTCACCACAGACTCCCCCGCACAGGTTCGCCGGGGCCGCCCCTCCTGTCACCTCGGCTTCTCCTACATGGGTTTCCTCGCACTGTCCAGGCGGCTCCCGACCCCTCGGCTCCTCTCTCTTTCTCTCTCTTCTCGTTGTCCTCCTCGGGGGAGGCTCGAGAAGGGAGACAGGAGGCCTTCTGTTCCCCCCTTCTCCCCTCCGGAAAATCGAAAGCCCATGCAGCCAGCAAGGGCTCTCTCTCTTTCTCTCTCTTCCCGCTGGATTCCCGAGCCCTCCCCCTCCATATTCAATTCCGGCATGGCCGCCGCCTGTTCCCGGCCGGACTGCCCGGCCGGCCGGCGTGCGCTCGGAGGAGCCCCCCGGGCCCCGCTTTGACGAGGGCTTGACTGGCCTCTACCCCTCCCCCTCCCCTCCCCCCAAGGCAGCGTATGAGAGAGAGATTCTTATTGCTGGCCGCGAGATAACAGCGGAATCGCAGCCCCTGCAGCGGCGGGGCCTTAAAAAATGGACGGGGGAGAGGAGGAGGATGGGGCTACTACTAGTCAAACAAAGACCAAGACGACCCAGGACCTGAGAGCCGAGACAAAGGCGTGGCCTTCAATGGTGTCGGCCATCTCTGTCCGCCTCTCCTCTTCCTTTCTCCTGTCAGTTTATGAACCAGGAAAAAAATAGGGTTCTTCGCGGAATCAAGGGGAGCCCCTCCTAGGTAGAGATGACGACAACAAGTAATTAATTAATTAATTAATTCATAAATAATGCCGAATGTCGGGTTTAGTCGAATAAATACAAAAATGAGTTCTTATATTTTATGCTCTTAAAAATTCCTGATCAGGGGTGAAACGAATTTACTTTACTTTGATGTGGGCTCGTGGGCCGTGAATAAGGCTCAATGATTACAGATTCGCCTGGAGCTCATGTCGGGTTGGGTTGTTGAGAAAGTGGCTGGGCAGGTCCAATAGTTATCGGGCCATCAGATCTGGCCCAAGTTACAGTACACCCATACACAACTCCAGGCGACCCGCCCCAATAACAATCAGGCCCTCGGGCGCAAATGACGTACGGCCCAATAATTACTAAATAGACCAGTACTACACAATGGGCTCGAGGGGTGGGTAGGACGCAAGCTTAGGGCCCAGTATCTGACATAATGGGCCTACAAGGTCCTTTAAGGGAAGGAGAAGAGAAGAGGAAAGAGGGTTGCAAGGCCAGGGACATAGCCCAGTACGGCACAGTGAGGTCGTGGGGTGGGTAGGACACAAGATCAGGGCCCAATATCTGACAGAATGGGCCCACAAGGCTCCTCACAGGAAGGAGAAGAGAAGAGGAAAGAGAAGGATCACAAGGTCAGGGAGCTCTGCGGCTAAGCAACCTGTATGTACAAGCAAATCGTCCCCACTAAGAGAGTAAGTACAGAGGCCGAGGCAGAGGCAGGGAAGACAACAAAAGGGAGGCGAGAAGAGAAGACGGAACTGTAATATTGTCGCATGTTCCTAGAGTAACCGGTCTACGGTACATGTCACCTACAAAGAACACACCACGCAAAAAAACACAGTGAGCCTGCTCATCACTGGGGACCATGCTTCTTCTTCTTCTTCTTCTTCGGGTTCAGGGCTTCCCAACGAATGATGATCTTTCTCAGCATGGTCATTCTGTCCGTCACCAGTCTTTACACTGCGACAGCAATCCATATCAATTTTTTTCTTCCTTTTTCTTCTTCCTTCCAATGGAGAAATGGGGGGGGAATTTTTCTAAGTCCTAGATGACTGGGAAGGGGCCTTCGGGGTGGTCCATGATGCTGCTGGCCAGGGAGAGCTCATGCAACTCGCTCAGCATCCACTCCTCCCCAGTCTGGCTGCCGAGGACGATGGCTCTGGTTCCTCCGACAACACAGGTGCTGTGGCCCCAGGCAAACCGGGGTGGTCTGCCGGGCACGTTCAGAATTCTCCACGTAGGCTTGTCCTCGCTGGGGTCCAACAGATAGAGCTGCGACGCCGAGTGGAGGCCCGCCACAGAGCCGCCGAAGATCAGAATTCTGCCGTCAGGAAGGCTCACTGCCACATGGTCCAGCCTCGGTGGCGGGCCGATCCCTGCGGGGTTTCCGGCACCGGGCATACCGCTTCCAGTGATGCACCGCCAGCAGGGTTCTTCCTCGCTCGGATCCAATGTGAATACGTCGCTGGATCGGAGACGGAGAGGGCCGCTCTTCGCCAGGCCACCGAACATCAGGATCTTCCGGCCGTCGTAGACTGACAGCGTGTGCCCCAGCCTGGATGGCGGCGTCCATGTTGCTGGGATCTCCCTCCAGACGGGTTTCTCCATTGTAACATCCAGCATGAAGGTGTCGCTGAGAAGCACGCCAGAGTCGGCGCAGCCGCCGGAAACCACCAGCTTGGTGCCGTCGAGAGTGCAGGAACTGTGCCAGGATCTTGGAAGCGGTGGTGCCAGGCCGGAGATCTCCCGCCACGCTGGGTGCTGGGCGTCTAGATCCAATATGAAGACGTCGTTGAGAAGACCCTGCCGACCGCAGCCACCAAAGACCACCAACCAAGATCCATTCAAGCAAGAGAGTGTGTGGCCCCACCGGCCTGGCGGTGGAGAGCTCACCTTGACATGTCTCCATTCTGGCTTACTGGCATTGAGATCCAGCACAAATGTGTCATTCATCGGCTGCATGTTTACTCCCTCCCCGCCAAAGAGGACCACCCGGTTACCGACGGCACACGCACTGAAGTTGCACCTGGAAGGTTCAACTGCACCTCCGACAGTCAACTTTCTCCATGCCACGGATTCAAGTGTGGTTAGCTCCCGTGCGAGCCTTCCCCAACTGAATCTTTTGGCTCCAGGTACTGCTTCTAGCGCACGAGTGGCCTCGTGGCCCCAGGCGTTTTGGCAGACCATTCTCCAGAGGTCCTCATCCTTTGATAGTGCGTAGAGTCTCTTGGATACAGAACCAATTGAGGCAATATCCCTTGGTGAGAGCCTAGACAAGATTTTATGACATAGTACCTCGTCACTTAGTTGCAGCAAGCAGCAAAGCTTCCGACTGACTTGAGTGTCCAATGCCGAAATAGGTCGGAAAAAGTGATGGTTGGTGATAGCATAGTCAGATGATTTCATAGATTCCTTGATCAACGAACCAGGAGGTGGGCCCAAGTCAACATTGGCTTCAGTGAAGACCTGGATACCAATAACGTGAGTGATAGTATCATCATCCCCGTAGATGGGTGTTAGCCTCAATCTGTTCATCAATGGAGATCCATCCTTCCGAAAATTCAAGAGGTCACCCTGAAACTCAATGCCTTCGTCAAGACACCTGTGTATCTCTGAAACAACAGAAGAATCTACCAATGGGTGTCTTCTTTGAGCAAATGGTCCTCTGTATTGTAAGAAGCGGCTGAAAGAGAAGCACAGTTTTCAGAACTTCATAATAAAATATTACGCTGGGAGATTTAAATTATTTTGGAAGGCTTCTAAAATCTGACAAACAGAAAATCAAAATGCAGGGCATTCAGCATACACAAATTTCAACTCAGCATATAAGAAGGTAAGGACGAAGACAAAAATGATGAAAATAAATATTTAGACTACTGTTGCTCGTAGACATGCTGCACATCCTCCTGCACTTTGTAAATCTCAAGGTTCCATGCTTTAGATTCAACTGATCCAACCTGTACAGGTCGAAATGAGCCAAACCAAGTAGCCAAATAATCTTTACTTGATGGTGATCCACTAAATTGTAGCGGTAAACATTGCTCTCTTTATTCCTACGTGTTTTCCATGCCCGCATCATGCATGTTTTAGGTGAAACAAATCTATACAGTCGAAGCAGAAGAATTTATAATTTCACTAATGTCAGTGAGACCATATACAGAATATATTGAATAGTGACATGTGTATGGGTTAAAACAGGCAAAACCATGTGCAGGAACCAGGATGCGAAATGGAAATTGGGAAGCGAAGAAAATAGTGTACTTATATAAGCGAGGGACAAAATCTTGATGTAAAACCGAACACTTGGCAAACTGTCTCATGATATGCTGATTTTTTTAAGACTAACAGTAATGAAGTAATAATCAATTTGTTTTATATAAAAAATGGGAGAAATAAACACACACACACACAAAGCATATGTGAGAACCGAGCCATTGAACGGTTGAAAAGGTTTTTCAAGGGAAGCGTCCCGGTTTCAACTTTTGTGCAGAAAGTTGGAACGACCTTATGTAAGGGAATCTGATCAGTCACTGAAGAAATTATTCAGGCTACTTGTGGTCCATCATAAGCCCAACTAGATAAATATTACAATACAACCAAGTCGGAACAAAAAAAAGATTGTCATGATATATTTCAAAGTTTTTGATGACAAAAAATTACCTGAATTTGGGAGGAGGAATAAGTTTTACATAAAGCAACTCGATGACAACTTCGAAAGTAAAAAACACAGTAAGATACACCCGATATTACTTTTCAGATTACAATTTGTTTTATTAGCCAGTGTCATATGTGGAACATTCAAGGAGGAATCAGAACTCAAATAGATGAATCTCCCCGGGAATCCTTTTTCTGTGAATGCAATAATGATAATCTAGCAAATGTTCCCAATAAAAAGAGAGGAAGCAATGTGAAAAGACAAGCCCTGTATAAAACTTATCTATAACTGCCTAGCCATAATAGCTGTCCTCCTGAAATTTCTATGAGGAACATTCAAGGAGGGATCAGAGCTCAAATACTGAATATTCCCTGGAATCCTTTTCCCGTGAATGCTAGTATTGATGATCCAGTAAAAGTTCCCAATAAGGAGAGAAGAAGCAAGGTGAAAAGACAAGCCCTATAAGTCACTCGTCCATCAGTTGAATGTGAATGATCAGACTATCAAAGAATCTCATGAAAAACGATGCATTAAGTCCACAGCATAATGCACACTTTTTAGGATCATACACTTCCATCTCCACGACTTACATCAGAAAAATCAACACGATATCAGAACATAAAGGAGGCAAAATTCGAGCCCATGAGCAGACACTCAGGGAGATAAACACATGTAAAGTCTAAACACAAACTACTTTTAGGATAATTTATATGCGTCTCTGTCATATGGTTGTGATCATGGTCATTCCTCCACTTACATCCAATCTTCATCAGCATAGTAAAAAATGGTTTTATTAATACGAGAATCCCCACATTGTTCGCTTGTTACTCCAAAACCTATTGCAGAATTCTATCTTTAACGACAGTTTGGATTTGCCATTAATTCGCTTCATTCCGAAGTTTTTTCTTTTATCTCTACCAGTTTTTCCTAGAAGAGCGTCATCTAGCCCATGAGTTTTGGACAAGAAGCGAAACTGTATTACATGAAAAATCATAATCTCAAATACTGCAATGAGATGGAGGTCACAGGCGTGGGAGGGAAAAATGGCGAAGGGGGGTGAAAACCCATTGATAAAATGAAGAGCAGCCCCCCTAAACCCAGTCTTTTCCACTAAAGTCGAAGAGCTCCTTCTAGCCTTATTCGTGCGTTACAGGCTGTATATAAAAAGCAAAGATAATCTTATTACTGATGTATGCAAAAATGCAAGGTAAATGAGATTTAAATCTACCAGAAGCTGAGGATCAAAGTCAATCCATATCTTGGAATATCTTCCCAAAAAAACCCCAAAGTCATTTGGCTCCATACTTGCAGACAAAGTGATGATTCATCATCCAAGGAGTAGTTCGCAGAAAAGTGATGAAAATATCGCTAGCTTGTTTACATGAAAATCAGATTCAAGGAATTGGTGCCAACCCCTAACTTTTTATGGCTTTTTTTCTTCACCACAACTGATTTGTAGTTACGGTTTTATACTATTTTAACACATCCTCATTTGCGTGTAACTTTTAGACATTTTAATAACAATAAATCTAAATGAGACATCAAGAGTACAGGCATAACGATAGGCTGCGATACTACACTAAAATTGTTAGGCCATTCAGTTTAAAAATTATTGGGACTGTGTAATGTCCAATTTATGTATGGAGATTTCCGTACTCTTCCGTTCACCGATTATCCAGAAATGAGCAAGCTACATATTAATATTTTTTTTAGACGCATTCTGCGAATGTTTATAGAAAATTTATTGCACAAGTTCAAAGAAATGAGGGATACAAGGATAAATACTGATTGCTGTCGGAGCAAGAATTCCTTGTTCTTCAGACCTCTTGTGTGAGGTCAAATGCCGAGGAAACGAGGAATAACTGACATAATATAATTTTTCCTTCGTTCCGTTTTCCCCTTACCAAACATTCCCAGGGTTTCATGTGAAATGGTCGTTAAGCATATCTTGCAGGACTACGTAGAATTAACTCGGCACAGGGACCGATTAAAACTCTTTCTGCATTTGAATGTCGAATAATTGGACCCAAGGCCCCCCAGTTCCGTACCGTGAAAGCATACCCGCAATACATGTGAAACAAAGCTGAAATATCGAGACCGGGGATAAGAGTTAGTACTGACCAATTCCTTCCGAGAACTTCCTCCGCCCGATAACCGGTAACCTTCTCGAAAACGGTGTTGACGTAAATAATAGGATGGTCGGGCTCGAGCGCGTCGGTGACCACGAACCCGCACGACGTCGACTGGAGCATACCCCCAATGCTGAAGGCGAAGGGACCCCCATCACTGAGCAGGAATCCTTCCTCCTCCTCGTCGACCAGCTCCTCCTCCGAGTCGCTATTCCACTCCATCGCTGGTGGCGGATCAATCCCCACCCGAAATCCCGCCCCGTTCATCCCATACGGCCCCCGGCGGCAGAGGAGTCGCACCGAAGAGCAGGAAGAAGAAGACGACTCCACCGGCGACAGAACCTACACCGGATGCTACGCCGGCGGCGGGATTTTTGTAGCTCTCTGATTCTCCGTTCGCCCTTTTTGCAGGTCGGTGAAGCGTGTGATGTTCCGAAGCTGATACAAATCTATCTCTCTCTCTCTCTCCCCTACTACGGGAACGATAGATAGGTCTTCCGGCCCAAAACCGTAAATAACGAGTGGATGGAGTCAGGTGGTGCGATTAGCGATCGCGATACTGTCACCGAGCCGGTACCCAGACGGCACTACTCTCGTCCCCCCGCCCCTCGATAGGGTCACCGCGCATTCCGACGGCCGTGGTAAGAGGAGCAGAGAGATGCCACGAGGTGACGGCACTCGAAATCGTTGACGACTTAATATTCCGCCTTGTGGCGCGAGAGAGAAAAAAATATCTCTCGGGCATTCCTCTCGCGGCGGGGGTGGAGGACCAATCGTGGGACGGTGACCACAATCAGGCGTTCGCGCGTGCTTGACAGTCTCACGTGCAAATGGGCGATACTTCCACGTGGCAATAAGTCCACGTGGCGATAAGTCCACGTGTCTTTTTAAAAATTGGAAGTATTGGAGTCGAAATCTCGTTGATTTTTAATTATGTCAGGTCTGATTCGGAAATTCGGCCGGGAAAGAGACACGTCGGATCGGGCTTCCCGTGACCGGACGCTAAAGTCGGCCCGGTGAGTTTTGCGTAACAATTCGGAGACTCGTCTGGTTTCGTTCGACCCGGAGACAAAAAGGCCGCGGCAATGGAACGGGAGAGGAGATGTTTCAAAACAATGGCGACTTCAGAGCTCAGACTCGCCCTCCCGAGGGACAACTTGATCAAGCTCGCAGAGCCAGTCCGCCGGCTCTTGGCTGGCACGCCGTACGAGACGCCGCCGGGAGATGCCGTCTCCGTCAAGTCCATGCTCGAATCCCTGCTTCCGCCTACAAACCTGCGGAAGGAGGCGGAAGAAAGCGGGGGCGTAGAACAGACCAGGGACTTCTGCCTGTGCTGCGCAGCCCTAGCTTCGGCAGAGGGTGAGGAGACCCCTCACTTGTACTGGATCCCGAAGGAACTTTCGCGAGCCGGTCGGTCGGCGCTAAGCGAGCTGTCCGACTACTTATCGCTGCGTGGCGACCGCGAGTTTGTGTGCGCTCTGATGCCGTCCTTGTTGCCTTCGCTAAAGACACTGATCAAGGATAGCTGCGTCGACGCCGAGGCGGATGATGTCGTGGCTTCTTCTCCTAAAACGCCGGTCATCTACGCGATCGTCTCTGCTCACCAGTTCAGGTGGTTAGTCACCCAGGTAATTCAATTTATACACCTTCAACTTGCTAATTGTCTGTGGCACCAGGTTTTATTACAGTCTAAACAAACCTATTTGCTGCTAGCTTTTCCCAGTCGACATGATCAAGCCTTTTTTAGAAACTTGCTCGAGCTTTGCTACTGGTGTACTTCGCCAAATTCTAGTCATAAAAAATCGTCGAATGGCTTCCATCTAATGCTTAACACGGGGTGCCATTTCTCCTAGAAAGGGTTTTTTTTCTTTGAGAAAATTACCATGGCGATAAAATTTTACGATTGAAGACCTGAAGCCTTAAGTCTACCTAGTTGGCTGTGAAATTCTGTAGATTATACCGTATTCAAATGGCCTGTCGTGTGTGCGTGCGTGCGTGGGTGCGTGTGTGATGTTTTTCATGGAAGTGTGTTCTCATGTTTATCATAAACGTGCACTGACATCATTCAATTGGGTTTAGGTTAGTTTCCCCTATTTGGGAGAGCTATGCCCATTGGTGATCCCCTGTGCGTTGACAACTTTGGATCATTGGTCGCCAGAAGTGAAGGTATCGACAATACACTTGTCTCCTATCTAATAAAATGAAAGAATTTAATTTTATCCTTCCCTGTGTATCTGTGTATCTTTTCAAAGTGGAGAGAGATATTCTTTATATACAGTGAAGGAACAAATGCTAATGCATGCTATAAAAAATATTTCTCTCTTTTTATTTCATTTTAGTTCAAAGAACAAATGCTTTTTGATTTTCTGAAGGTTTTGAACTGTCATTGAAATGAATATGGTCATGTGCCCTCGTGAAAGCATATCAAATATGGTATTTCTTTATTCAAAAAATATTTTTCTTAGGCATTTGTGACAGAATGTGTAAGTTGCAGCATGAACAGCTCATTCGTTTAGATTGGCTGAAAATATTGTGCATTCGCAAAAGAGATCTGTCAGAAATCATGAATTTCCATGGCGACGCCCTCAGATAGTCTTTTTATGTTCATGGTTTCTAGATTACCTTCTATTTCTTCCATTTTATTCCATCCAGGGCCCGGGGATGGTGACTTTTATTCACTTAGCAAAGAATGTGAACTCTGCTGAACTAGCATGGTATGAAGAGCCAATTCTTGATGCATGTTGTCGCAATATTGCTTCAAGCGACATACTTTGGGACCGTGTGCTTGAGATGTCGGTGCTTCTGCTCACATGTGTCCAGAGGGGAAACCCTCGTAGCCCATGGTGAGTCCTGGGCTCTTTCTTCTGGTTAGCCATTAATGCACATTTTACAGAGATTTGGAAGGTAGCAGTGGCTTTATCACTTTGCCCGCTTACAACTGATGACTCTTTTTCTCTTATTTTTATGTTATACCCTTTCAACTCAAATAAGAAATCTGATTTAGATAGCAGACCGTCGCTCCTCCGATTGAGTTTTGAACGGAAATTTTTCTATCATTTTCTCGTCACAAGTTGATTCATATGTGTTTTTAGTTGTGTGTTTTCTGAAAAAGGCTCCAGGCCTTATCCGGTGTCTGTGCTATTTTCAAGCACATGACTTCATACTTCTATTTCGGTTCGTTGCATTAATCCAGACTTTCAAATATTTTAAGGCCATGATTCAGTCATCTGGCCATCATATTCTTTGATGCTGCACATACAGATTGGACATTGTCATAATGTTTGATGCGCATGTGTCATGCACAGGTATGAACAGATTCTAAGTGAAATGCTTGGTCACTTGGAACTCCAGGCGACAAATAAGGAACGGCGAATTTCATGGCTTCTACGTATTGAGCCCGTCTTTGAAGCCATGGGGCTTCTTCTATTAGCTCATTTCAAACGCATATTCTCCCTGCTCTTCCAGTGGTTGCACGCTGACGATGATGAAACACTGGTGCTTGTATGTTCCTATCTTTGCGTGATCATGCTCTATTGCATAACTGGATCCTGGCTGGAGATCCTGCTCTGTAGTCTGTTCTCATTTCATGGGATGCATTGCTGAAATCTTATAACTCGTATTATTATTTTTGTCCCGTTAGTTTAGGAAGACATTACTTTGTTCCTGTCTGCATTATCCCATCAAGGAAGGCAAACACATTCATGTTCCACCGTTAGATTCTGTCCTGTTTATGAATGCCTGATGAACAAGTAAAGGATGACAGATTTCATGATCTGGCAGGTACTTGAACGCATTCATACGATAGCCAAAGTAACGTGGATAAGGAAGTCCCCTTTTATTCTAAGGTGAGGAGACTATCCAGATGTTACATCGGGTATGCTTCCACCCTTTTTCGCCCTTTCCCCTGGTAATGCTCGTAGACATCTGGATTTGGTCAGCACATGGCTGCAAAGGTTGACCAGCCCAGATGAAACAGTTAAAGTAGATGCTTTTACTTAAATTGGAAACTGATTTGAGAAAATATTAACTTGAAAGCGAATGTTTATTTTTCATTATTTATCTGATTCTTGACCGTCCATATTAATCAATTTGAATGAAATTGAATTTTTTTGTCTTTTTTTGATAGTTTCTTATTTTGGAAGTAAATTACTATTTTTTGAATTCACAGCAGATTAATAGACGAGCTGGTGCCCGTCTTCAAGTCTGCGGCGGTGAGAAAGGAGCGGGAAGCAATTCGAAGTCGCATTCTTCAGATATTCAGCTTGCTACGAGCGTAAGCCGTGATCTAGATTCCTTCATAAAAATTCCACCCCCACCCCCCGACGTTATCCAACCCTTAACGGCCATGTCTCCGTAGGTGCCACGTGTCGCAATTTGACGCTGCTTGGGAGAGGCACAGTGATGATCCTGACTTGGCAGACATAAATCCATTCGTATAAGGTATCGCCGTCGGCTGTCCAGTCAGCCACGACGAATGGAAATGCCCAGAGTTTCTCCCCCTTTCATTTTACTATTATTAGTATTATTATTGTTTAGACAAGGATGGGGCCTTTGGGCGGGACGGCGCCGGGCCTGACAGAAACGGAGTTTTAAAGGCCGTCTATAGTGGGCCCGGGCCAGAGGTCATTAAAAGGCACTGGGCCTATTTATAAATTGTGGGTCAGACCGGCCCATTGGGTTCTCGAAGAAACATAATTACGCCGTGAGATTCCGCCGTTAGCCCCGCCGTTACGAGTTTCGTGGCCGGTGAGTGATAACGCTGCTGACGTGGAGGGTGGGAAGTGCGAGAGGCATTTATGGCAATTGCGGCCGGGTCCAAAAATCCCCGTCGCTCGCGACATGCCGCTCGTCGAAGGTGGTGACGTTGCTGGGGGTTAACGGCTTCCCCTTTCCTTTCCCTCTTCTCCTCCCCTTCTCACTGTAGCAGATCTCTCTCTCTCTCTCCCTCTCTCTCGCTCCTGCTTGCCATGTTCTCTCCCTTCCGAGGGCGTCGGGTGGAGGAGCCGGGGGCCGGAGGGAAGGTACTCCGGAGTAGGCGGCGGGCGGTGTCGGCGTCGCCCTACGCTCGGCCGGAGAATTCGCCCCCGCCGCCGGTGCCGCAGAGTGGAAACCCTAAGTGGTTCTCCGGCATCATCTCCGGCGCGGGGAGGCTGATCTCGTCGGTGTTCCGGTCCGACAGCGGCGAGTCTTCGTCGTCGTCGTCTTCGGATGCAGACGAAGGCGACCGCGACAGCTCCGGTGTGTTTTTCTCTCCCTTTGTCTTGACTTCTGCACTCGAACTCGTAGGAGCGCGACACGTCTATTATTATGTAGTTCTCGTCTTGAAGTCTATGGACCTCAAACTCACAAAAGTTTTGTTCAGTAGAGAATCGTTTGCATCAGAAACCGAAATTTGTTTGTGACAAGTGAAATTTGTCACAAAACTTTCCTCCAGCTCAATGATTTCTCTCGCCTTAGCTTTCTAGAACTTTTTCTCCACGATTTTTGGGGATTATTGGTGCGCGTTTACCTTCTGGCATGTCACAGTACTCTCGTAATTAATACCAGAAGAAAATGTATCCGCCGTGCACGAAAATACAACGGACAATGTCGTGATTTCTGTAACGGAGTTTACGGTATATTTCTTTCGTATGAGATGGATTCGAATTTTTTTATTCAACTACCCTCCATCTAATCGATTTTGTCCCTCTTAAATCTCCGATTTCATTAACTCTATTACTGTTGGTGATGAATTTTGAGTACAGAATCTTTCTTTTCAACTGTTAGGCTTACCTTTGGTGTATGGTCCTATAACCTTTTAGACAGTCACACATCATTCTCAAATACTTTAGCATGCCTGCAACCATGCGGTTCGACTAAACAACTATGCCTATCGCATATTAATGAGAATCTGTAGTTTTTATGAATTTATCCAACCAAGAGACAGATCAGGCTTACCATAAATTAAAACAGGTGATATACCAATTTTTAATCACCATTGCCACGAGTATGCGGATCCACACAATTTGAAGGTAGCAGGAGTCACAAACCATTCAGAAAGTGTTTCTATCATCAGAAAGCAAGTTCCTTCCACACGAATAGAATCCCAAACCTAAACAGGTTTGAAGCTGTGATCAAGCAAGATGCTTATGCAGCTGGATTGTGGATCACCCTTGATTCACCCTCTCGTTAGGAAATAAAGGCAACCTGTCCTTTGATACTTTTCCATGGCTGCGAGTTGCCCTTTATGTTTGGTTTCGATGGAGTTGATTAATTGTTGTCTGAGATCACTTTCCAGACATCATCAGATTTTTTTCTGAAGTTCTGAGAATATCTTTCCCTGCTATTCTCCTCGTATAGTCAGTAGCATTCGTGAGAACGACAAGGACTACCTTTCTGTCTTCCTCATTCACACTGTCCTTCCACAAGGATGCTGATTCTTATTTGGTTTTTAAAGGAGATAGATCGTACGCTTTCCTGTACTTCTCTTTTATACTGTACCCTATCTGGAGAGAGTTTTGTCCTTCTACCCGTCTAGTCTGGTGTGCCATTTTCTTTATATTTTTTAAATTTACCATCTCATTTTGGTACGCTAAAAATACTAAATCGGCAATTCAGAACTTTTGCCCTGGATTTTTCTGACAATTGGTTTTTTGACTCTCTTTATCCAGAACGTACTGCTTTCTTTGGGAAAGTTAGCTTTTTAGCGACGGTTTTGCTGATCTGGCCATTTTTGATCTAGTTCGGGCCAGGGGTATCAATTGTCCTCGCAATTTTTTTAAGAGAACAATGAAGGAAATCAACTAATCTGGATTGAAGCGGTCAATTTGGACCAGAACGGGCATTCTTTCTAGAAGTTGGAGATTGTACGTTACTTTCAAGAAAAAGTTGTCGGTTGTGACTGCTGTTCATAGTCCTGTATAGTTGTCAGGTGAAGCAAAATATAATGATGAAATGAAGATAGTAGTTGGCGTAATGCTGAATCGGGTGGGAAAGTACCCCTCATATGTAACACTCCAACTGCCATTACACACTTTACACTAGCAGGCACAACCGTTCCTTTACCACAAGTTCCAAGACTCCTCCTTTTTCTTCCCCACCTGATGTCAGCGGCTTGGGGTTGGGATGAAGGCAACGAAGTAAACCAAAGGTTTTGATAACTTACTGTTTTTGAATAAACTATAATTAAAATATCTATAAATTCATTTTTGCAAATGGTGAAAGTGATATTTTATTGTTAGAACTTAGCGATCCAATTTGATCTGAATTGAGATCATATCCGAATTCAACTGCAGTGGGTCTTATTCTACTAGCGTTCTTTAGATGTACATAGTCATATTGATATTCTCTAGTTGCTAGAAAGCTACTATTCACAAAGCCTAAAAAACCAGCCAGAAATCAATTGATTACACTTTGATTTACCAATTTTCTGTGGAATTGGCCTCTTTAAGTGTTACTGGGGTAAGGAATATGTCAATGATGTGTTGTATCCACTACTGTAAGATGGAGGGCAAAGATGCCACCATCTCTTAGTTAGAACCCTTCTATTTCTCTCGTGAAAATGGGGAATATAGAGCATGGGGAAGGGAGAAGGGTATTTTAAAAAAAAGTGTGTTTTTGTTATATCCATTTAGTCAAGCTTCATTTTAGTAGTATTGCCCTTTTACCTAAAGAATATTTAATATTTTTTAAAAAAATTAAGGTAAAGGTTTCAAATTTCGTGACAATGTTTCAAATTAAGGGAATCTGAAGCTATATTGAATATTGTGTAAGCTCCCTAGGCTCATTGTAGATAACTTTCTGGACAATTATTGCAGATGGAGATGAGAATGGCGATGATTATACCAAAGAATTGCAGACGTTGGACGAGGTAATTTATAAAACCTTATTATCATAAAAATATTTTGGTACCATAATCCTGGAACCAGCTCATGAAATTGATTGATTAACAACATGCTATTTTCTCCGTATCGTTGGTAAATGACAGAAGAATATATTTAGTTTATGTGCATGCTTTTATGCCTTGCCCAAGTGTATAGATAAACCACTAATGTGATTTTCCCTAATATGCAAATGTGCATTCCTGTTATCTGATATAGTTGTTGCAAAAATAATGTACATTTAAAGAGGTAAGAAATTAGGAATTTGTCTGATATATGCAAATAATTACTTTGTCTCCTCACTTCACCAGATTGTAGTGCCAGCAGTGGGAATATATTCTTGCTGTACTTTTTATACTTGTCTTGCTCCCTATGTAATACACAAACAGATCTTCTAGATTTCCCTTTCTTTGTGATATTATCAAAGGCCACTAACTTGTAAATCATTTCTGAAGTTCTTTGATGCATATTAGTCTGTAATATTATTCAGTCCTTTGTGTCGAATCGTTTCTTCTTTTGCAAGGAATAAGAAATAAAAAAGGTGGTAGTTCTGCCTTAGAGTTTGAAAGAGGGCGACAATCTTCTACTTGGTGGAATAACTCACCATCGTACTATTGAAATGTGAATGTACAAAAATCAGGGTAGCCATTTTCAGTTCAAGAAACAGATGGAGGCAAAGTTGTAGAACTACCGCAATGCTTATTTGGAGGATGTATACTGCTCAATGATTTTTGTAAGAGACATTTACAAATGTTGCCCTTTAAGTACTTTAAGGAAGATACATTTTGGGTTCATTCAGAGGTTTTGTCGCCCCATGTCATGCTGAGAATTGAGGGTAACAAAGAATGTCTTTCTACTGGAGAAGATTCATCAAGATGATTGTAAAAATTGGTTGCTCCGTTCTCAATGAAGTCAAGGAGCCAATCTAGGATGCAGCGTTCCTCAGGTTCGGTTGGATTTTCACTGGATTTCTAGGAATGTTTTTTGGGGTTTATAAAAGGATATATCATGAGAAGAATGAGAGCTTTAGGAAAGACTTCTTTTCGCAATCAGGTGCTGACTCCCCTATTGCCAGAGGTAAGATTAATCGTCTGAGCTTAGGACAGCAGACTACTTAATAGATTCTACAGGATCTTTTACTAATTGTTGGTTATTACATTGAAAGGAGTTCCAAACCAGTTGGTGGATAGAAGCCAACGAGCTTTCCTATAAGGGTGAACCATATCTGACACTTTTATTAAAAAGAGCTATGCACTTCAATTGAAATCGAAACGAAAATACTATAATTCTCGTAGGGCCTAAACATAAATAAATTAATTGTGTTGGTTATCAAGACAGAAGCTTTCAGTTATGTTGGTTGATAAATGTTAGTGGTTCATTTAGGTCTTTAGAAGCTGCAGGCAGGGGATCATGTACCACCTTTCCTACTCTTGATGAATAAGTACCTCGATCCCATGTGGAAGAAAGCATGGAGGCTAATATATCTGATAAAAAATAGGTAAATGTAACATTTCATGCTTGTGCCAATTTGTTATTACACAGTATTTTGAGGAAGAAAGTGACGGAATGGTACCTGATATTTGAAAAATATCGTTGTTATTTGTTGGGATCATGGGCAAACCAAAACATGTGATCTCTAGTTTTGGTTTTCGAAGGATAAATCGTCTACTTGCTAACCTGGTGGATTGTCAGTTACTCAATTTCCTGTTAGATATTTAGTGGTTCCAATATCAGATAATTCCATAGGACCCAGGACTGGAACAACCTTTTTACAAGGTTTACTGGAAATTAGAATGATAAAAATTCACAGCGGCCATCATTGTAATTGGACCAGATGAGCTTCCAACGAAATTGCAGGTCAATTCTTTTTCCTGTCTGTTGAAGTATTACCAGATTCGTGGACTTTATTTTGCATTTTCACATTGCAGCTGGGTTGGATGGTGTATTCGACTTTAGGAAAAGAGTGTTTTTTTTTATGTCTGTGAGTTGTCATTGGACGAAGAACAGGCTGTTCAAGCAATAATCTGGGGCTTAGCTTTGGTTTCTAAAGTTTTAGGAGGAACCGTAGCGGTTCTCTGATGCCTTGTCTATTGCGATGTCTTTATGGAATGTTGGAATGTTAGTTGATAATTATTTCCGTACAACTTTTCCTGGTAACTTTTTAAGCAAGAATAGGAGGAGAGAAAAATGGTTAAAGTCGTAATTTAAAGGACAATTCATCGAGGTGTTACCTGAAGAGAATATTACTTCTCTTTTCTACGTGTCTTACCCGATGAAATATAGCTTATCATTAGTAAGAATTGTAATTAACATATCCTTTGGCTTCATAGTATTCTTGCCATCAAATCATGGGTTATTTCGAAGCTAAAAACGCGGAGAAAATCTATTTTTTGTGTTAGATATAACACCCCGGTATTTATCTTATCACAGGTTTATATTAACTGATTACTTTAACTGACAGAATTGTTGGGCTTTTAACATTCTAACTTTGACCTCATATGATCAGACAGGGAGGAGTTATAAATCGTCTGCGGAGTGTGCCAAGGGATCACAATTGGCAAGTCAATGGAGTGAAAGGAAACTTGCCATCAAACAGTTACTTCTGCAAGAAACATTTTCAAGGTCGAACATTGATATTCTTGGTTCTGTTCATTAGGTTCTGTACTTGCTTGATGCTTTCTTTGGTTTTTTTTTCTCTTCATAAGAAGGCCTGTACCATACAATACCCGTTCTCAACTTTTGAGCGTATCCTGATCTAGAAAACAAACGTCTGATTAGTGGGCCAATTTATTTTTGAAGTTTTACATGCTCCTGCAATTTTCTGCTATCTACAAGGGAAAGCTGCTTCATGTACTCTTTAACGGGCTATGGCAAGTGGTTCTTTTAGTTTCTCCCTTGGACTTGCAGTTTCATGTTGACATCTTGTCAACTCTCTTGAACAGGGGGTAGCTTCACCTTGGGGAATCCGCTTCAGGCCACTACACTTGTCAAATCCTCTGGGACCTAAGCAGGTCTCAGCCTTCCTCCTAATAGGATAAGGCTTATGAATGATTGACTAATTTACAGCATGATCCATTTTCTTTGTTTGTTGCATTTTCTTGGAGGGCTTGTTTCTGTTTTATTTTGGTAGTGGTCTTTAAAAATCGTGTATACATGATACAAAAAGTGTTGCACGTTCTTAGATTATTTCGAAAATTATCAAGGGTAGACAAGGATTCTTACTTCGTACATTTGTCAGCCTTTTTTGCCATTGTGTCAGACAAGTTATCATAATCTTCCCGAATTCCTGTAAGATTGAAAGGAATCTACCCATCGTGCCTTACTAACTTTTAGGTAACCTTTCCCCTCCTTTCTTCTGGGATTATAGATTGGAACAATAAATAAGACGCTTTGACCAGATAGTGGTCCATTAAGATTTTCCCTTGCTCTTTAAAAATTTTCCTTTTCTACCTTTCAAAAGCTATTCAATACCTACTCATTACTGATATTCGGTTATGTTTGAAGTGAGCCCTATGATGGGATTGCCAGTACCAAAGCACGAGAGCTTTGGCCTAACCTTTTTTCAGCCCGATTTTATTTGACCTTTAGACATCCAAATTTCATGGTAGCTAACTGGTTGAGTTAGAGACCATAGAAGAAAGTTTAATCAGCACCGGTGCACCATATATAAGGCAAGGAGTTATAAAGAATCGTCGTCATGATGCTGTAGATTTGTGAGACAGCATCATGCGCTATCTTTTTCCCTTTTTGGGGGATATTGAGTAAATTCAAGCGTTTCTGGGGAAAGAAGCACGTTTTATTTGCTGAATCTTTTATATGTCATGAGTAAACGATTATTTATTATGTACTATCGGAAGTGTAATTCTTTTCACAAACCAGATCACATCCCAAGACATATGGCATAAATTACGTTAATATAATTACGGAAATACAATGTCCGTTTTCTGAATCATATTATTGTTTATCCCACGATCTGCAAAGAATGCGGACGGGACAGAACTCTGAAAGTAAATCTAAGAAATAATACAGCCAAGGAAACGCATGTTTTCTTCTGTCCTTATGCCAAGGTTCAGGCATTTCAGGAAAATTGGATTACTGACACTTCAAATCCAGTTCTGCTCAGTTCAGCCTCTCAATCATGAACAGCTAATACTTTGAACCGTATTGTTGAGCATGTCTCTTTTTGCGCTACTGGTAACCTTATGTGCAACATCTACGAGAATAATTTTGCCTGTATGTTTATTTCTGTACTCCTATGTCATAGGCTTCCTGCAAACACAGGCTGCTTAGAATAACGTGCTGTACAATTTCTCTTTATTATTAAATGTGGTTCAGTTGGTTGTTGTTGATGCAGACGCAGATTTTTTTCCTTTTTAATTTGTATCTCTATTTGTATTGTTGGTTACCTTTGATCAGGATGCAGATTTTCTTATTCTGTTATTGTTTTTGCATTCCTGTTTGCCTTTTATAACTGCTGACGGTGTGATTTTCTGCCCTCTTTTAGGGATGAAAGTGATATACTAATAAAGATAATCCAATCACGGGTTGTAGATGCCACTGAAGTTGTAAGATTGGGGGAACAAACAGAGGTTCCTGAGAAAACTGTTTATAGTGATTTGACTTTCTTAGGAACTTGGAGGTCGCTGAATAGGGGAAGGAAGTTTCCTGAGGGACTTCCATATTCTTCCAACCATCTGAATGATCTTTCTTTGGGGACGTCGCTTCTTCATGGCTACACCCAAGATCTGTGTGACAAAGCTGTAATGGAGGCGAAGCAATGGCTGGACAAGAAAAAACTGGAGTCAGCGTCAAAATCTGAACGAGATTTTGGCCCTTGCACGTTGAACACAGACGTGAGTCAATATGTCAGTTCTTCCTTGTTTTGGCTTTTCGAAAAAGAAAGTTCCTTTATCATCGAGCTCAACGCTTAGCTGTAGTGGTGCACTGCTTTTGTTTTCATTGTCTGATACATTTCTTTATAATTATATACGACAGTTGATAGTTTGCCGTGGTGTACCAATGTGTTTCCAGATAATTGCAATGATATTACTGTGTTGTTGTATAACTTTTTGACTGTCTTGTGTTATACTGTATTGTATTCAAACGCGCATATCTACAATTATGTATTTTTGGTGAATCGGTCTTTCAGTGGTTTAGATTGAAAGGGATGAAAACCTGTCTGACAGGACTACCATTGAACATTTGTGCACCTATGATAACTGAATGCAGTTCAATTTAAGGATCGTGTCCCAAAATGTACAATTTTTTATCAAATATCAGCATCATCATAAATTGTTAGGGTCTACTCTTTCTCCATCATCAATGTGAACCGCCTGTCTTCCCAAAGAAGATATTTTCGTAGTATCTCTTTACCTTTAGGAGGCACCCTCAGTTCTCCTTGGAGACCTGTCTCAATAGCTTAATCCTAGTGTTTTTATGCAACTCTGCTGTACAGAGTATCAATTACTATTTTGCCACATGGTCCTCTAGACTTGTGCTTATGTAAGGTTGGTACTTTTTTCAGCAACTGGAAGATGATGCGGGTTCACCTGTAGACATTGCTAAAACATATATGCGAGCCCGGCCTCCATGGCAGTCACCAATATTGAGCAGCATTGGATTCAAGACTCCGCCTACCGGAATGCTTCTTTTCAAAGATGAAACACCATCCATTATTAGAGCCGATTTGTCGTCTGCATCTCAGGTAAATTATTTTCTCAGGAAAAATTAGCATCCGTGATTCAATTTCTCATAGCATGATAGAAATTACTCTCAGAAATGCGAATGTAAGTATGAAGAATTTGCGAGAATTATTTGATCTTTTTTTCGACTTTGGTCCCGTTGATGATCGGTATCATACCAGATTATATGTTTGGTAATATTTGTTGATATCAATGATGAATGGTCTGTCCTTCTGAAGTTTAGTTGTATTCATGTGTAAGGTTATTCATAAATATGTGAACAAAAGGGTTGGTTGGTTAGTGGAGAGCTTCTGCTCATAGTTTCTTCTCACATTATTCCTTTCAATAAACTTGCTGAAGTGGATTTGCCGTGCATTTATTCGTCCCCTCTCCGCACTGAATTTCGACCAAGAAATTTGTTAAAGGGGGTCTAAAAATGCATGAATGGATATATTCAGATGTATTTGCCAAGATACGCTAACCCTTGATTTTGGTTTCTCATGATCTCAACATTTTCAAGTAACCGATTAAGTCCTCAGAGCATTGCCTTTCATCCATGGTACCATTGGCAACAAACACTACACTCGAATGGGTTCCTAACATGAATATTTCTTTGTTCCAGTGCCTTTCTAATCTACTCGCCCTTGTTTGTGGATTTTGGGGCCTGAGAACTCGGTCTTGACAACTTAAAAAACTACTTTATATAACAATATTGTTATACAGTTTCCTCTGGTAATTGTAATGAATGGATGGAATGTCTCAGAATGCTGTCGCAGTTCAAAGCGAAGTCATTGAAACAATTTTCCAAATGGAGACATATGATATGTATTTTTAGATAATTTTCCTGGGCTGTCAATCTTTTAGTTTTTCAATCAATGCCAACATTTGGAATGATGTAGTAGAGATCAAGCACAAGGATTCAATGTTTATCAGAATCTGTTATCAATCAGAGAACCAAAGCTGTGAATGTCATCCAAAGTAAAATCATCTGGTATTATTTTAATATGAACAGTCTTGGACATACTAAGGGCGAATTACACAGTATACCATGGTTTTACGCATATTCATCAAGCATTAAGTTAGTTCAATAGGTCCGCCTTGAATGGGAGGAATATCTATGTTTTTATCTTCGCCTCGGGGATAGATAAGAGAGGAGACCTAGAGGTGGCTAGATATTGGGATTTGACTTGTTTGATCACAATTTATGTCATTCTTGCATGTGTATGTCAGAACTAATGCGTCCAGAAAATGAAGAATGGTTTCGTGTTTTTCTGTATGCTTATTTATAAAGCTGTTTATGGAGGACACTTACATAAAGTAAGAAAATCATATTAAAGCACATTTTTAAGTATAATGCGCCCCAATTGATTCATTCTCCGAATATGCCTTTTCAGGACATGAAAAGGAGCTATCTTCCCCCTGTTATTGATGATTCTCTTAGTCTGCGTCTGATGTCAACGGAGAACACACCGGACCGAAGTATGCTCCATCTAGATGAGAGTATATTAGAGCATGAAACTCACCAAACCGCTGATGAAAGTGATCCAACAGAGGCTACCGTAAATCACAGTGATGAGCCATTATCAGCTATTGAAACATTGAAGGCACTAGATGCATCAAGCACGCCTGAAAACTTGTCTGTGGAACTAAGCTACCCTGACATAGTCTTCAGCTCCCCCAGCCAACGGGCAGTTGAAATAAATACTTCAACTTCTTTGCCATCGCCAGAGGCACCAAAGCCATTTGGTTCATCTGCAATCGTGCCTGTAAATTTGTGTGTGGAAGATGATTGCCCTGAAGAATTTCCCAGTTCGCGTGGTTCAAAAACATTTGTTGTTGACCATTCATCAAATGGCGAGGTCAACACCGAGGCTGAAATGAAAAATGAGGTTATCAATCTCTGTTCTACTAATCTTATTCCGGATCCTGAAGACGACATTAACGTGATGGATTTCAAGGATGAAAGACCAGCAAGAACTATATCACCACAAGCAACAGAGACTGTGTTGGAATCTTTATCTATTAGCCCTCAGCCTTCGGATGTAGGGCTTATTGGAGATGGAACGTATTCGCCTTTTGGTGCTGATGCCAGTGATATCCTCATTATTGACTCAAGCCAGGTTATCATTTACTCCCTTGTTTTCTGCCCCTTGTCAACATTTTTGTCTCTTAATGGGCGCCTATCTTTTTGGTAAAGCCTGCCCTTCTCTGTGGCTATCCAACACACAAGAGAGGGGGGAGATCTGTAGAACTTACATTGCCTGGAAAATAATTAGACTTAATTTTTGAAGGACTTTGAGGAGACTCAACGAATGGAGAAACAAGTCGACCGCATGTCAATTGATGATGAATTTCTTCGTCCAGAACCTGCCGTGGGTCACAGTGGTAAGAACATATTGCTAAAGTCAATGTCCATTTTACCAGTAGCATTGCGGATACAGTTCTTAGCCGCTAACTATTTCGGGCTATGAATTCCAGATGCTAGAGGTTCTGTTAAGGAGTTGTCAAGCATTGAACGTGAAGAACTTGCATTGGAGGCTGCTAATTCTTCATTGTTAAGGTTTCTCTACTTTCTAAAGAACTACTTTCTACGAGAAGAGTGTAGCATCCGTGTCTTTGTGTTTAGATAATCACGTAGACATAAAATTTAGTTAAAATGCTATTGCTCCCGATGAATGCATGATATCATCTCGTCATTTTATTTTTTTGCGAAATTTAAGCTAAAAATCTTGCACTATTTATTTAGGATTTCACATTTCGATCTGGGTTTTTCTGCAGCAACGCTAACCGGCCTGTGACCAGTTCAGAATCTTCCGGTGAGATAAAACCAGGCCAAAGGTTCTCAGCAAAGTTCGACTTGCTACCAGAGTCGAAGCTTGAAGATGCTCCAGTTGGTACGTATTCTGCTCCGATTATTACTCATCAAGGATCTTGGGCCTATTCATCAGAGAGCTGCATTGTCGGCCAATTTGCTCGATCCTTTTGGGCTGCTTATTATCTCGGTATTTGGGTATGATTCTCGAGTGTTGCCCATGAACTCCCGTGCTCATTTGATCTGTCTCCGTATCAGGCAGGGACCTGCGAGTTTATTTATTCATATATTTGCTTTATTCTTCTGGGCATGATTAACGAGGGCCTCCTAGCCCAGGGAAAAGGAGTATATAATTTTAGTTCTTGATGAAATCCAGAGTCTGAAGCTTCCATTCCTTCCCTGTTTTGTCTCCTGGTTCGATCAGGATGACGTTTAATACCGTGAGATATGTGGGCTTTGCAGACCCAAGATCGCAGGAAGGTAACGGCCAGGAAGGCATCCCAGCCGCCATGGTTTCCACCAATGGGAGCTCTCTCCAGCCGGGGTAAGTAATCCTTCAACCTTGGAAAAAAAGCTTGCAGCGTCCTCCTCAACCCCTCCTCCTCCTTTCTCAGGTCGTCTTCGAATCCATGGATCAGCGCCTCAGAGGAGGGCCACCATTTTCCCCCGCCGAGCAACGGGGGCGAACCCGCGGCGGCATCGGCGGAGCTCCGCCAGAAGAACCCACCTCAGAACGGGACGGTGATGAAGTCGATCGAGCAGATGCTGTCGGATAATCGGCCCGCCGCCCGGGGCGGCGGCCGAGGGAGGCGAGTGGCCGTCAAGTCCAGGAGGGGAAGGGGGAGGGGGAAGTGATGGGAGTGGAGTCGATCAGATGTTCATACTCGTGTTGTAATCTCTGATTCATTGCTTTCACGGAGCAGGGAAGAAGAAGAAGACGACGACTCTGATTTTCCTTTTACCCACCGACGGGTTGTAAAATTATTTGGGCTTTTGGTAATTTGAAATGAGCCTTTTGATGACCGTCAAACTCTCTCTCTCTCTCTCTCCTCTCTCTCTCGCGAAATAGAGGAGGAATGGGTAAGAGCTTTAGTCGCCGCTGCATCGGGAACGGGTGGCTGGGCAGTGGGAGACATCCGGAGAGGATCAGACCCTAAGCCACAGCAATGTAGAGACTCCTCGCTCCTCGGATAATATCTCTAGCTTCTCTGTCTCTCTGTTTCTCTTCCCCCCGGCGCCTTGCTCGTCCGTGCTACTCGCCATGGAGGGGAGCCTGCTACCCAATCGCCCGGCGTTCCCCGGCCCCGCGGCGAGGGTGCCCAAGAAGCCGCCGCCCCCCGCAGTGAAGCTCAACCCTATCCCGCCGCCCCTTCACTCCCCTTCTTCTTCCCAGTCGCTCCACTTGGACTCCCTCCTCCACCACCTCCTCGGTCTCTCTACGCCGCATCCGCCTCCGCCGGCCGCCGTCGACCCTCCCCAATCGCAGACCCACAATCGCCATCCCCCCTTCCCCGCTCTGCACCTCTCCTCCGCCTCCGCAGCCGATCCCCTCATCGTGGAAAAGGCCCGCAATGACGGAGAAGGGGTCGACGGCGCCCAATTGGGATTCCTGTCCAAGAAAGGCAAGTTCTTACTCAACTCCATTCTCAAGCGGCCAAAGTCTGATCTCCGACCCTACTTGGACTCTGCAAGGCAGGAGATCTTGGGGGCGGACCTGGTCGGCCTCCTCAAGGGCTTGGAATTCTCCGGGAACTGGGAGAAAGCCCTCGTCTTGTTCCAGTGGGCGGCGGCCTCCGAACCAGCAGGAGCAGCAAGGCGTAATAAAATAGATACCCAGGCGATCGAGGTCATTATCCGGGTCCTTGGCAGAGAATCCCAGCACTCGATCGCCTGCAAGCTCTTCGACTCGGTTCCACTGGAAGATCACTGCCTGGACATCCGCGCCTACACCACTCTCCTCCACGCGTTCGCCCGCACCGGGAGGTACGATAGAGCCATCGCCCTGTTCGAGCAGATCCAGGAGAAGGGCCTCTCCCCGACCCTGATCACCTACAACGTCGTTTTGGACGTGTACAAGCGGATGGGCAGGTCCTGGGACAAGATTCAGGCTCTCCTGGAGCAGATGAGGAGCAGAGGGCTGGAATTTGACGACTTCACCTGCAGCACCGTCCTCTCCGCCTGCGGCAGAGAGGGCCTGCTAGACGAGGCCCTGGAGTTCTTCCAGCAGCTCAAGTGCCGGGGGTATGTCCCCGGCACCGTCGCCTACAATTCCCTGCTCCACGTTTTTGGGAAGGCGGGGAACCATTTCGAAGTCCTGAGAATCCTCGAGGAGATGGAGCAGAGCGGCTGCCCCCCCGACTCCGTCACCTTCAACGAGCTCGTGGCGGCGTACGCGAGAGCGGGGCTCTGCAAGGAAAGCTCGGCGGTGCTAGAGGCCATGGCCCGCAGAGGCGTCAGCCCCAACGTGGTCACCTACACCACCGTGATGAACGCCTACGGCAAGGCGGGGAGGGAGGACGAAGCTCTGGGCCTGTTCAACCAGATGAAGAGCTCCGGTTGCGTGCCGAACGTGAGCACCTACAACACCATCCTCGGCATCCTGGGGAAGAAGAAGAACTCGAGGTCGGAGGAGATGCTGCAGATCCTCGCGGAGATGAAGTCCAGCGGGTGCGTCCCCAACAGGGTCACCTGGAACACGACGCTGGCCATGTGCGGGAAGAAGGGTATGCAGGAATACGTCGACAGAGTTTTCATGGAGATGAAGAACTGCGGGCACTCCCCCGACAGGGACACCTTCAACACCCTGATCAGCGCCTACGGGCGGTGCGGCTTCAGCGGGAGGGCCATGAAAATCTACGAGGAGATGATCAGGCAGGGTTTCAGCCCCTGCGTCACCACCTACAACGCCCTCCTGAATGCGCTCGCTAGGCAGGGCGACTGGGTGGCGGCGGAGGCCATTCTCGCCGAGATGAAGAACCAGGGCTTCAAGCCCAACGACCTCTCCTACTCCCTTCTTCTCCAGTGCCACGCCAGGGGAGGGAACCCCCAGGGGATACAGGCCATCGAGGGGCAGGTCTACGGCGGCGCCGGCGCCGGCGCCGGCGGGATCTTCCCCAGCTGGGTCATCCTCAGGAGCCTGGTGATCGCCAACTTCAAGTGCCGGGTCCTCAGCGGCATGGAGAGGGCCTTAGAGGAGATCAGGAGAAAAGGGTACAACCCCGACCTGGTCATCTACAACTCTATGCTCTCCATCTACGCGAGGAACATGATGTACGACAACGCCCACGAGGTGTTCTACGAAATCCACCAGAGGGGGCTGAAGCCCGACCTCATCACCTACAACACCATGATGGACGTCTACGCCAGGATCGGAGACTGCGCGAGGGCGGAGGACCTCTTGAAGGAGGTGCAGAGTTCAGGCGGGCAACCGGATCTCATCTCCTACAACACCGTGATCAAGGCCTTCTGCAGGCAGGGGCTCGTGAAGGAGGCCCTGCGGGTTGTCTCGGACATGGGGGCGGCGAATATCCAGCCCTGCATCGTCACCTACAACACCTTGATCGGTGGGTACGTCAATAATGGGATGTTTGAGGAGGCAGAAGAGACTCTCGGCCAAATGCTGCAGAGGGGCTGCAAGCCCACCGAGCTCACGTACAAGCTCGTTCTTGACGGGTACTGTAAATCGAGTAGGTACGAGGAGGGGGCGAGGTTTCTGTCCAGAACCAGGGAGATCGATCCATCTTTCGACGGCGATTCCCTGCAGAAGCTGACCACTCGGCTACTGGACAACGCCAGCTCGTAGCCATCGCCTGTGGTTTTTTTCTTTTTTGGGAGCCTGTTGGAAGAGCTTTGTTCGGTGAAGTCTCAGCGAAGAAGGCCGGCGTCCCTGATTATCTGAATAAAGCTCATAAAATGGGTAGGTCCCGAGTTGAAATTTTGATATAGACTGAAGAGAAGTCCCAAACCTCAGACCTGGGGAGCTCACACGCAGACAGGCTCGGTTCATGGAAGTGCTTCTTGCTCGTGAAGATGTAAGTGGGGAACAAAAAAATGTACAAGGAGCAGAGGTGGAAGAATGGCCTTCAGTTCGCCTGGACGATCATGGGCTCCTTCGGGAGGGCAGGGCCTCCCCCTCCCATCAAGGTTCGATCATGGGCTCCGGAGCTGGCGAGCTTGTCGTGTTCGTCCGTCTCCAGTTGGCAGGGCGTGTGGAATTGAAAAGGGTGTCCTTAATGACCTTATAAGTAGAAAAAAAATCAGGGAAGAGTTGGAAATGATAGATGACGGGAGCAATAATAATGTTTGATATGTCGGCATCTTCTCCGAAGGATAACTCACCTGCGACATAAGTCCATGAACCTGCTCCACGGTGATCTTTGAACTGTCCCTGGCTATCTTTGCTAGCTGAGATTCTTCCTGCGCCACAGAGGAACGGTTGCATGAGGTCTTGGAGAAGACAGGTTGGATAAAAACTGTGAAAAAGTTTTAGAAAGATGATCTCACCAAATTAATGGTTGGATTAAATTTGTTACCGGCTAAGTTTTTTCCAGTAGAAAGACGACAATACTGTTTGACAACTCTTTCGCTGTCCAAGAGGTTCTACCAGCCAGTATGGTCCAACTCCCAATGGGGATACTAATTTGAATAAAAAAAGCGAAAAAAAATAATCTCAGGAGCACCGCACACTGAGAATGCCAGATTTGAAAGATTTGTTCTGGAAAGCACTGGAGGGAGACGAGGTTCATAAATGGGTTGCATAGTATCATTGCCCCAAGGGTTAATCCTAACAGCTCACTGAAACTGCGGCCTAAATCAGGGTGGATCGGCATTGGTTATGGCTGGACAAGCATCATTAGGAATCTCAAGATTAAGATATAATTTCCCATACGAGCCTACAATCTGAGAGCAATAACAACAAGAAAAAAAAAAAATCAAGACAATCACCCCAGTTTTCTTATATCTTATCTTCTTCAGCTTACCGAGATTAGAATGAAATTGCAAATAGCTAGATTGAAAAATGTTGCCAGTGGAAAATGACATTTACTTTTCTACAAGAGTGTGGAAAAATCTAAATTTCACACGGGCGCCAACCAGAGATGTCGCACTGAACAACATCCTTGATATTGAATCCCTTCATTGGAGTGGCAATAACCGTGGTAGTCCAAGAATGTGTAGTGCAACATAACAACGACAATAGAGCCCTTGTCCAACATACCATCAATAAAATGAGGATTCTCGGACAAACGCTTGCAACCGTATACGGAAAAAGAAAAAGAAAATAAGTCTATAGACGGGATTATGCTTTTCTACGGAGAAAAAAAGGCGGCTGTGCGACCAGTTACATGTATTAAAGAGAGGTGCATTACGATAGGATATCGAAGTGTACCTCAAGACAAATCATATAAAAATTAAGAATTAGGAACTCAGTTAGACTGGTCAGCGCAAAGCAGCAGAAAATGTCCATTATGCGGAAATTTCACTTCTTTACTTCCCTAACACATTTGTGAGGCCCTGCTCATTGGGCGCCCAAACATGTGATCGTACGATCTAGACCGTCTCATGTTGCTGTTATTTGCTTCCGGCCATAGATTCTAAAATATGAGCACCTCAGAAAAGGGAAATAGTATAATGGCCAGGAGGAAGGAAAGTTGAGGCGAGAAAGGTGAAATCTTGTTTCAGATAAAACATAGTTAGAAATGAAGGGAAATTCTATTTGATAAAAATACTGAAGGATATCAGCAATTAATAGAGTAAAAACAGAGGATACCCACTTTCCTGCTCCTTTAACATTTGAGAAAACACATTTTTGCATTCCTCGTTATTCTTATATGACATAGATATCATAATAAAAACCATCAGAGATATATGCACACGGACCCCCCAAAAGAAGAAACAAAAAAGAAGGCATAACAAGGAGTTCAACTTTTCCTTGCTGAGGCTTTATGAGGTCTTTTAAAATGTTTAAATAGAAGCAACAGTAATATATTCTGAGGTGATTTTCAAAGATCGAAGAGTAAATCAAACATTAAAATAGAAAACAAGTCTCAAAGGCTCCTAACAAATTAATTGAAACTGTAAATATCTGAATAGCATGTTTGTGATGCTCATAAATTCCATAACCGTGTAACAATGCATCACTATTCACACTTCTTTCCCCCCAATAAAGGAAACACTGTCCAGTCGGCTCTATGAGGAAAAATACCCAAAGACAGTATTTACATGTCTCAAAATTACAACACTGAAACAGAATATTGGCCAGAAATAAAGGAGCACGATAAAATAATAATAATTATAACTCTGACCTAATCATATGCCTTAAAAGAGAAATTAACGACTAAATTTGGAAAAACTTTAGACTTACCTCTTTTTTTTTTTGCGATGCAAGTATAAAAGATCCCAGACGCATGTGAGACAGCTGGTTCTCTGCTTGCTCCAGTTTCTCCGCTGCAGAAAAGTGCAATAATATATATGTCAAAAAACAAATTGTATGAACTCAAACGTAATAGTTTAGTTTATGGGGGGAAAACGTGATGTTTCCTTCGAAATCACATCCGACAAAACATAAAAAAGTTCATGAAAAAAAAATAACACCGAATCCTTCCGCGAACATACAAACAGCTCACCTAGATCAGAAATCTGTCCTGCAACGTAGTCTCTATTCCCAAGGAGAGGCGAGGAAGAAAGGGTGTTCACCCAATACTTGTTCCACAGCAGATCCAGGAGGTGGGAATCCAGAGAAGACTTGAAATATGTGATGTCCAGGGCATAATACTGAACCAAACAACATGGATTAAGTAATAGGGAAAAAAAATTAAATAAAACAAAACCCAGCTACCTGTTTGCAATGAACACCAAAGTCTTCGATTTTGTTGAGAGGGATCGTCTGGTATTCTGATACGGGATCATCAGGCGGTTTATATCCCTCGGGATATGCCCTGAATGCCCCGATGTCAACCTTTCCAGCAGAAACCGTCCTTGTTGGATCAATCACTAGAGCGAAAAAGGGATCCTGGTACTGCTGGTTAAGCATCTGTGTTGACACGTCAATGCCAGAAAGCCAACAACCATAACCTGGGTGTGAATGGTACCAACCAACCAGGTTCTCCAATCTTCCAGCCTATATTCCAATAACAAACCAGCTCAAGAACTATACTTCGTCCACAATGAGCCCAAATCACTGAGACGATAAAATCCATTAAGACAAAGCACAAGAAACCGGAAAAATTGGCAGGACAGGAATGACACGAACGGGAGGAGTTTATGAACCCCAACGCGTTTCATTTGTTATCGTCAAGAATTCCCATCCCGGACAAAAAGTAAAGTCTGTAGAAGCCCCGCACGAGGTTGTAATCCCCATCCCGGACTATATGCACACGATTGTTTCCTAAATTTGGCAACATTCCCCTAGACTACTATGTCTTCCCTCTAACAACATAACTCGATGTATATGTCTACATATGCTCTTCCGATTTTCGAAGTTTCTCGGTCTCCAAAAAAACTCGACAGCGGACCCAAAAACAGCCACGACTGGGAGGTGACTTGAGAATCGCAGAAAAAGCATCAAAACAACAAAGAAAGCTCGTCGGATACCTATCCCTCCCCGTCTAACTCTGAAATAATCATATTCCTACCAGCTTGTTTGCCTGAGAATATTCCACCATGTACTCATAGGCGTCGGCCTGCGCATTGACACGCGTCTCGGTGCCCTCAACGGGGAGCGCGATGGCGTCCATGACGATGAAGGTGTCGCCGTCGATCTTCCCCTGCATCACCCCCATAATCTCGATCGTCCCTCCGGAGCGAGCATGGACCACCATCTTCAGTAGAGCGAGCGCGGAGACCTTCACTCGCCGGAAGTAGTGCGGGTCGTTCATCCAGGGCTTCTCCTGCTGCACCTTGCTCTGTGCCGCCTCGTTGTAGAAGTAGATCCCGTCGGGGTCCGTTCCCTCCACGGAGACAATGTTGTTCTCCAGTTCCCACGTCTTCCGCGCTATCTCCGCGGACGAAGATGGCTCCATCACTGGCAATCTCCGCTCCCGCTCCTCACTCTCCTCTTCTTCCCCTCCCTCTCTCCCCCCCTCTCTTACTTATACCTTTTCTTTTAATGATAGAGATTAGTAGATAATAACTACATTATCCACTAATCTTTATCATTAAAAGAAAAGTCGGTATTGTACAGTCACAGAGATTCTTACGCAGAAACGCTCTGGGCTCCGGTTCATCGACAGGCGGCGTCAGACCCGACTCAAACGGCAAATCTCTCTCTCTCTCTCTCTCTCTCTTCATCCCTCCCTCCCTCTCTGACGGCCGAAGCTGCCGTCTAGATAAATGGGTCAGACCGCAAGAAAGGGGGTCCGCTGGCCCACTTGATCCTGGGCATATCGGATTCTAGGCCTCCGTGTGAGAACGAGAGAGAAAGAGAGAGATTTAATTAATAAAGAAGGCTATCTAGAAACTAAGCTTTACCGCCGTTCTCGATGTACATACATGGCACGGAGGTGCAACTCTTCTCGTCTCTCTGCATCGGAGAAGGATCAGACCGGTACGAGGGGCTGATCTCGACGGAGCCGCAGTACAGGAGCTCCTCGATCATCTCCTCGATGCACTCGTCATCGTCGTCGTCGCATTTCCCCTCGCCGCCGCCGCCGCCGCCGCCGCCGGCCTCCGGGGGTGCCTTCTTCTCCGGCTTCGGGGACCCTTCCTGGAGCTGCGAGGCCATGCAGCACTTCTCCAGCTTGGCCACGAGGCTCGCGGACAGCGCCGCCGCCGGCGCGGCGGCGCCACCGGTGCCGAGGGGAAAGTTGGTCCTCGCCCGCGGCCCGCACATCAGCCGCGCCGCCTCGTCATAGGCCCGCGCCGCGTCCTCTGCCGTCTCGAACGTCCCCAGCCAGATCCTCGTCTTCCTGCAACATCCAACCCCCGTTGGTGAGGGAAAGAAAGAGAGAGAGAGAGGGAGAGAGAGAGCTTATTACAGCAGAGGGTGTCTGATCTCGGAGACCCAGGAGCCCCAGTGGCGCTGCCTCACGCCCCTGTACCTCTGCAACCTCGGCATGGCGTAGCGAAGTAGCTAGCAGTGTGATAATACAAGACCCAGGACCCTCTAGGGATTCTGGACATGCTGGGGAGGAAGGAGGAGGGAGGGAGGGAGAGTGGGGAGGGGAGGGGCCTCCTTATATCCTAACTAAGCTCTGATGTCAATGAAGGTCGCCTTATGGGCTGTGGGCCTGGCAGTGGGTGACATCACCAGCGGCCTTGTCTGAAGCGCCGGGAGAGGAGGAACATCAGCCCTGGGCTATTTCTAGTTACCTTGGGAATCCTCATGGGGGCTGTGTCAGAGCAGTCCCCTCCCCAGTTCCTGTCCACATCCCCTCCCCGGTGAGCTCGCTGACGGAGTAATTAAGCTAAGCTCGGGCATGGCGGAGTTGATGCTGCCGGCGGCGAGCGGGGCAGCCCTTTTGTTACGTAGCGGGGCGAGTCCTTCCTCGGAAACGCCCGCCGCCGGCATTAATGGACGACGGAGCTGTCGCCGTGGGAATTGCAGGGGAGCCATCGGCGGCGCGACAGTGAGGAACGTGAGAGTTGAGGGATGCCCGGAGAGGGTGAGCAGGGGGCGGCACCTCACATGGCGGCCCATTTGTCGAGCACATGAGCAGCTAGCCGGAGAGGGTCCCATGGATGGCTTTCATTCAAGACTTGGGTCGAACACCTGCGAGTCGTACTGTCGCGGAATGGGTCGTCATCGTCTTCTGCTCCTCCGAGATGATGGAATGGAAGAACGGAGATTGAGCCTTGCGGCTCCGGCCATGGCAGTCGGAGAACAAGAGGGTCCACAAGCGACAGTGGGGTGGGGGCCAAGAAGGCGACGGCCATCTCTCTCCCCCTCTTCCTCCTTCCCGGTGTCGGGTGGAGTTCGGCTAAACAGGGGGGCGTGGCACCCACCTCCGCCATTAATAAGGCTGTCCTCAGCTGCCGCCGTCTTCCTCTCCCTTAAACAATCTCTCGCCTTCGAGAACACGTCGACAGGACGAAGCGGACGATGCAACAAGGCACGTGAAGGAAGACGCTTGGTGAAAGTAACATGTACAGTGGGGGAAGGGGGGTGGCGGGGGAGGGGACTTGGTCTCGTCCCGCTGACCGAGCTAGGAAGAGGACGAACAGATAGTGAGCTTTCTTGGGATCTCCGACCTCCCCGAATTCCCCTCTTCGGGCTTCGCTCTTCTTTTTCCGACGTATCGACGTCATCCACGAGACAGAGAAGACGAAACAAAGAGAGAAGCTCGACGAACACAGAGAGGCGGAGAGAGCGGAGCACGGGGGGAACAGCAATAGGCCCGATTTACGCCCAATACCATCGCTAGATCCTACGCCACGGGGAGACCCCCCTCCGGAAATTCTCCCCGGTGGTTTCGCTCCTCTTTCGTGGGGAATCGACCCTTGATCCCGACCTCGTAGGCCCAGACAGAGCAGGAAGAACACAGAGAAGCTCGATGAGCAATGGTTTCGAAAGAGCCCGGAACGGGACAGCATCGAGAACTCGAATGGCCTAGGAATCTTCCTGAACTTTTTTCTCTCTCTACAAGGGAGAGCCAGCTTCTCCACCTAAAATCTTCGGAGCGCCCTCAAGAGGGTTCCAAGAACTGACCGCAGATGGCTTTGGGTTATATGCTAATTATGTTTAAGACTCGATTAGACAGAAAATTATTGATACACCTTCAATCATTAGTGATGGAAATTTGTGCATTTATTATTTTAAATTTTATTTAACCTATATTAAAGATATCGTATATTTAAATTATTCCTGGTATTTTAGTAGCGCCCTGATTTAGATTGGGCCAAAGGCACACGGGCGGAGAAGAAAAAGCGATTCGTGATTGGGCCGCAAGTATGGGCCCAGCCGACGCTACCCTTCCGTGTCCTCGGCTTTCCGTCGAGGTCATGCCGACACGTGTCGCATCTAAGACGTGTTAAATGTGCATATTGACTAGTATATGTGTCAAATCAATTTCTGTCAGATTCGTAGATCGACCGTCGAATTTTCCATCTTTTGTAGGAGGAGGGTGTCATTTGACAAGGGCACTATCCTATTTGCTAGTAGACGTGTCAGATCACTCTCCATCAGATATGTCCCGCACTGGATCGCAACCGTCGAATTTCATCGTCCGAGGAGGACAAGAGTCTCTCTCATCCAACCGACGCTCGGATCAATCAACCATCTGACCCGTTGATTTGGTCATCACGTGTGATCTTTCGGCCACGTGGAGATTTTTCCCCTGCACAGGTGGAGATTTTCCACGGTCGAAGCGTGCACATTTCGTTTTTCCCGCTGCCAGCTACCGGCAAAGCACTGCGAGAGCGGGCCCCACTCTCGCATCTACTCCCTCGCAAGATACTAGAGATGAGAAAAGTCTACCGTTTTTGGGCCGTCGATCACAGATCGCATGTGTGAGACCAGTCTGGGCATGGCGTGCGCATTTGGTCCTGCGGCTCATTGGACTTTGCTTCTGCAGATCACTGTTTTTTGACTATTTCTGCTGTTCTGCAATCGTCTAGCTCTCTCATCTTTGCTTTGGTGAGCTCCAGTTCCGCCGACATGCCCATCGGAGCTTCTGGGCGTGGGGCGCAGGCGAAGGTGGCCTACCTCTTGACATCCCCTTGAGCTGGGCCTACTGCCACTGCGGCTGATTGTCCGTCGTTTCTGGAGCGGGAAGGCACTATGGATTCTTTGCTCCTCGGCACCTCCGCCCCTCTCCATCTTCGGAAATCTCCTTCCCTCCGAAGTGCGTGAGACTCACTTTCTGTTCTAGACGCGGGAATGCTTAGTTTTGAATTCGTAATGGCTTAGTGGTAGGAGTAAACGCATTGATGGAACGGCCGAAGGTCGCTCGGAGAAAATGAGCATAGTCCCTTCCGGGTGGGCGCGGTTACGACTGATTTGTGCTGAACAAGTCCCTTTAATCCGTGGATATAAAAAGTGTGTTCGCAGCTTCGGCGTGCCAGCTTTCCTCCTCAACTCATCGGAACTGGTTTACGCTTTTAAAATTTCACCGATCTCGAAACACTTGACCTATTGGAACAATCTCTTTATTTTCACCTTATTTTCGTTTGTTCTTGCATGCATAGCCAGCCACCCGTCTTCTAGTCAGAGGTAGTTGGGAGAAAATGTCGATCGATAAAGTTGGAGAGAGAATACCTAGAATAGATGTTGCCCACTATATTGTTGTCTGAACTTTCTTTGTCTTCATTCAAAATAAGGCCCTATTTTGGTTCCAACACAGAGTGTTACTTCTGAAGAGTCTTTGTTATTCCAAGAATGCCAACTGTCAATGGAGCATACTGATATGATACCTAAAAATTATGCAATTTCTCAATTTAGGAAGCCGCCATCCACCACAGGAAAACCTTAGCTGGACACCTGAGGAAGTGTCAGATACTCGAGTCATATGTGCCTTTTTTCTTGTTGTGAATTGAGATTACATGCTACTTTTCGATCACATGTGTATATGTGCGCGAATAATTGTTTCTATCTGAAAAATATATTTCTTTTCCTCCATATCACGTTATAACTCTGCATTTTACAGGCCTCTTTTCATTCCCATGTATTTCTATCGGCAAAGAACCCATGGAAGTTGACAGATGGGGCAGCGTAAGATATCAGGGACGTTTTACGGGTCATCCTCACAAGTTCATAGATAGGAGTCGGGCATTACATAGCAGACCTAATAAGCTATTTCGTACAAGTGCTGCATCAGGATCTGAGCCTGAAGTTTTTAGCTCCAAGAGCACACCGCCGTATCTGAACCTGGATGCTTTCTATAGGTTTTCACGGCCTCATACTGTTATTGGTACAGTTAAGTGATGATCAAGTGGAATGGTTATCATTGTTGATCTTACTATCTATCGATCCGTCATCTTTGGTGCAGGCTTATCACTGAACATGGCATCCTTGCTTTCTTTTTCCATGAGAGAACTGTGACTCATCCAAGTTTTGTTTGGTCAGGTTTTGAGCATAATTTCGGTTTCATTACTAGCTGTTGAAACGGTCTCTGACATCTCCCCATTGTTTTTTACTGGATTACTGGAGGTAATGGCTCGAAGTTCTTCTCCCCGTTCACTTGGTTTGATGTATATAAACTCACATCTTACTGTGTACATTACAGGCTGTGGTTCCTGCACTTTTCATGAATATCTACATTGTTGGCCTGAACCAGTTGTATGACATTGAAATTGACAAGGTATATCTTTCAGATACGATGGTGTGCAAATTATCTTTAGACTATCTTTTCCCTAGAACCTTTAAAGTACATGCCTGTGTGACTATGTCAATGACCAAGTATTGCTTCCATATTAATTCGTTCATGGTTGATTTTCTTTGAGCTCCCTTATCTCATGTCATCCTTTGGAAATGCATCTTCATTATGGTTCTCCAGACAACTTCTCTATGATGTTATTTACGTTATTTAGGACTTTCTATTTAAGTGTCTATGTGAAGCCTGATTTTTACTGGTTGTGGTCGAATCTAAACATTGGGAGAGTTTTCACCTTTCAGGTAAACAAGCCAAACCTTCCACTTGCGTCTGGGGAGTATTCTCTCAGGACTGGGACGGCAATTATTGCGGGTTTCGCTTTTATGGTATTCAACCTTAATTTTATTGAAAAGTAGTGCAGTTTTGTTTATGGTGGAGTCCCTGCTCTTGAAGAAATTCTGTGCGCAAACAGTAAAAGAGGACGGAGAGAAGAATATCATATGTCAGTAAGACGGGAAAAGCATTTACGAAGTAGCTAAGACATTAACGTTAGAAGAAGGGCATTCGACATTTCAGATGACATTAAAAGCCATTTATAAAGTGTAAAACCAGGCTGCAGAGAGGATGAAGGCCGGAGCAGCCGAACCAGAGACAACTGCTCCGTGTTAAGAATTGGATATTCCACTAATGCATAAAACTGCTCTTTGCATTTCCTTTTAGATGCTAGAGTAGTTGGCGCATGCCTTGGGTCAGGGACGATGCTTGTCATTTCAGCTTTTCCATTGTTCGTTTTCTTTCATACGCTGACTTCATTCACTTTCTACATCAAACTCCTGTAAGTATCACGCTAATGTAGTGTAGAATGTTTTGCATGGCCAATGCACAATGAACTTATCTCTAAGGCTGTTCCAATGTGAAAGTTCACAACACAGTACGGGCATTAGTCCTGATTAATTAATGATCTGATCTATGATGGGATGTTATGTAAAATAATTTTGAAGCTCAGTTGGGATTGAATTTATCTTTAATATTTTGTATGTGGTACATGTATTTCAAGTTTTTATTTGTTGAAAGTTGAAATTTCATTTCGAGTCTCACTAATGCAGAGTTTCTTCACCGGGTGGTTTGTTGGCTCTTGGCCATTGTTTTGGGCACTCTTCATCAGTTTCATTCTGGGAACTGCGTACTCAATTAATGTAAGTTCAGATTTTGTGTCTATTTAAATAGCTCTGTCTGCTGATTGCCGTAAAGAAATGCCACTCCTGTGCTGTGATTCTTCATTTTTCATTCGTTTTCTTCTTAAAGTCGTTTGGTTGCAGAGATCCTTCATCATGTAACCAGTCCTATTTAACATAATTCACATTGTTTTCTGCATAACTGGAAACTTTGGCAGCTCAGTTCTCTTTCTACTATTTGATGAAAATTACTTCATTGCTGTAACCTGGTTCTTTTCCATTTCTCTGAGAAAAATAAAACAGCTCAGTATCTTATGATGTCACTTGCCTATTTATGATGAATCTAAGTGATATTTATTCGTCCACAGAGCATGCTACCATACAGCTATCATTCATGCAATGTTTTTTCTTGTTTATTTTAGTGGTTATGTTATTTTGATTATGACTGTATTATGAACCATTCAGCTGCCGTTCTTAAGATGGAAGAGATTTGCAGTGGTCGCAGCAATCTGCATCCTGGCCGTTCGGGCAGTGATTGTTCAAATGTGTTTTTTCCTTCATATGCAGGTTTATCTCAGTAACCTATTTTTATGATCAGATGGTTTTCCTCTTAGTATCCGTAAATGGTTGTTGAAATATTATAGCTCATACTTCACTTCTGCACCATGATGCCTTACGATCATAATTTTCAGACATTTGTTTTCAGAAGACCCGTCATCTTGTCAAGGCCGTTGATCTTTGCAACTGCATTCATGAGCTTCTTTTCAGTTGTTATAGCTCTATTCAAGGTAACGAACTTTGCTCAGAAATGTCTGGCCGTCTATCTCATGTGATGTTATAATTTTCAGTTTCATGAAGCTACATGACTAAGTGTTGAATGCATTTTGAGTAAAATAATTTTGAGCTTCCATGATGGTGAGAGTAGAGGTATAGAAAGAATCCGGGAACTAGGCATGACATATGATAAGCATGGTTTGATATGAAGGAAATAGAGGCTTGGGTCAAATTCGATTATCGACCAATGAATATTGACCGAAGAGTTAAAGAGGAAACCAAGATGAAATGAATAATTATCTCGGTGCGGTCATTGAAAAGCAGGCATGTAAGCATTTCATGGATTAAGATAAGGGCGGTTGAGGAACAGGACTTAAAATCTAGGTGATAATAAACTTCTATGAGAATTTATTCAAAGACGAGGTGTATGTAGAGATGGTACATATAATCCAATCAGGCTGCTAATTAAAGGGGAAATATAAAGAACAGTCAAAGTGTTTCCTACAAAAGTGTCTTCGAGCTATTGAAATGAGTTGGATGACGTGAAATAGTATGGGAAAATTCAGATACTCTTCTGTGGAGAATACCTCACAAGGGTTCCCGTGGCCCATGACTTCAGAGGTTTGTTTCACTGAGGGATCTATCTCAATCAAGCAATTTGAAATCATCTCTTCGATTTACGTGTGTTCTTGGCACTTTGTGAGGTGTGCTAACGTGGATAATTCTGCAGGATATACCTGATATTGAGGGAGATCGGATATTTGGCATTAGGTCCTTCAGTGTACGCCTGGGCCAGCAGAAGGTCAGTCATTACTGACATGAAATTTCCTCCTCGGAAATGGGAGCACGACCCATCGAATGAACCAATATTTTATGCAACAGGTCTTCTGGATTTGTGTGTATCTTCTTCAGATAGCCTACGGCGCTGCTGTGGTTACTGGAGCCTTTTCGCCATTTGTTTGGAGCAGATACGTTACCGTACGTCCTCAACTTTTCTTTTAGCTCGCTGAATCTGATGCAGCACAGACTTATAAAGTAGAAAATTCACCAAGGCCATGCGAACCCATTATTTAATCTCAGAATTTTCTTCAGCTATATAGAAATACTCCAAAGTTCTGAATGTGGATACAGCATCAAGCTTGTTTCACCGTCTTTCAGGTTTTAGGCCACGTAGTTCTCGCTTCCGTCCTCTGGACGCAGGCCAAGTCTCTTGATCTGAAGAGCAAATCGTCAATAACATCCTTTTACATGTTCATCTGGAAGGTAAAGTTTCAGAAAAATTATGGGCAGACGATCGAAATAAATAAATGATTTTCAATTATTCTCTACCTTTCCATGGCATTAATCTTTTCTGCCTACTTTTGTCCAAGATTCCGTTCTCATTTTCTCATCCTGTGCTTGCTTTCCTATGGACAGCTCTTTTATGCCGAGTACTTACTCATCCCGCTTGTAAGGTGAAGACAGATGCTTTGGAGGTAAGGATCAAATCAATCCTTGTCCCATGCCCTTGGCACGAGCAGAATGCTCTCTCTCTCTCTCTCTCTCTCTCTCTCTACAGACACACACAGTGGTTAAGGTAAATAAGACAATTTTAGTCTATATTTCCAGAGTGCCTTGACCAAGTCTTATTTTTCAGTTTTAGAGATCTATGTTATGTGAACTCAGAGAGGCTGCGTAGAGGATCACCCATGGACAGCCAGAGAAGAGCTTTTGGGAGAGAGAGAGAGAGAAACAGAGAGCTGCAATCTAGCCCAGTCGACAAGCTGCTTGTGACAATGCCCCCCACCCGTTTGAGCTGCCGCAGTCATTCATAACTGGAAAGACGAGACACATTTTCTGCGGATCCCGTTGTCAAATATGTAGAAATACCCATCCTTTATTCCGTATAAAGATTGCATGAGATGTTTCCGGACTCACCGAAGATCCGTCATGGTGGAACTCGTCAAGGGTCGTACTCGGGCTTCCCTTCGTAGGTCTCCAGCTTCATGAGCCTAGACGCTGGGATGGCGACCCCCGGCATGTGCCGGTACCGGTAGACGGGCTCGTCCACGCGGAAGCGGCCCTCCCCGTGGGCGGCGCCGCTCGGCCGGCGCATGATTGGCGGCAGCTTCCCCGCCCCCGCCGCTGCCGTGGCCTCCTTCGCTGTGCCCCCCACGGCCAGGCCCAGCAGCACCAGCAGTAGTACGCCCATGGCGGAGGCCTGCCTCGTTGCGCTCGCCATTTTCGCCTGGCTTTTGCCTTTGTGAGCTGTTATTTTGTGTACAGAGAGAGGGAGAGAGAGAGGTGTAGGGGGGTTTAAGGTGGACGTGTTGTCGTAGAGAGCGTAAATAGGATGTGGGAGCGGTTGGGAGGGGATGGTGGGCCCTGGCTGGGAAATGTGGACCCCACGAATCTAACGACTCCGCAACGAAGATGAGCGACCAGGTTTCTTCCTGCGCCCTGTGGGCCACGCGGATTCGAGATGGGCCGTCTTCAGTGTACCAAATTAAGTTGGGCCGTTAGGCCCAAAAGGCAGGAACCTCTTTCTTATCGTCTCTGATTTTGTGGCTTTTGTGAGAGCGTTTGATTTGGTGGGCACGTGCGATTGGGCAGTCACGTGCATCATCGCCGGCGCGGCCCATTGAAGGCAGATTTGGCGATGGGAAACAGACCAGCGGACCAGATCGTCGGTTTTTTTATCTTCTGCAGTAGGAGAGCCTCGGAAGGTCAAGTCCTCGGAGGTCCATGGCGACGGCGACAAGTGGCCAGTGGACGGATGAGAGCGCCGTAGGCAGAAGAGAGAGAGAGAACTCACCGGCGGCCATAGCCATAGCCATAGACATATCCATCTTTGTTCGCCGAAAAGAAAGGTTCTCCCTTTCTCTCTGTCCTCGGTCGGGGTCCTCCTCCCACCCGGGTTTCATCCACGAAGGTTCCTCCAGCGGCTGTCCGCTCTCTCTCTCTCTCCCTCTCTCTAGTTCTTACTTACCCTCAGTCACGGGAGATCTATCCAGAGAGGGAGCAGGGACAAGAGGGCTCTCCCTTCCTGTGTGGACAATCCGGGCCATCCAATCACTTCTGTGTCCCTGGAAGAAGCCGCGAAGTCTGATGTCGATGAATCGCAATGAGTTCACTGGTTGACAAGGATTTCCTCCGATAAAATGACGAACAACTGTCTCTGAGCAGTCTCCTTCCCCTCTCTCTCTCTTTCTCACTCTCTCGTCAGGTCAAAAGGATAAGGCCCCAGATCTTGCGAGCAACAGGGATCTCCATTACAGGGGAACTTCCGTACAGAGATCGGACAATGCATCTCTTACTACCACCACATGATGGTCGCTCTCTCGTGTGGTGGTGCGGCGTCGTCTGGAAGGGAAGAAAGGAGGAGGGACAGAACCAGTGTGACTTGCAGGGTGAACTAGACGGGCCCCGAGATCGGCTTTCTCTACCGCATGCGACAAAGCTCAAGATTTGCACCTCACACTCCATGTAAAGAAAGGAGAGAAGATAAAGAGAAGAAAGAGAGAGAGAGAGAGAGAGAGGACCCGTTTACACTGCATTCTCGCTCTCTTCCTCTGAAAGTTTTTTGTCGATTCGATTCAGAGGGAGCCATCGCGAGTCTCCCCTCCTCAGAAGGAACCTGCAGAGAGGGAGAAGGGGCATCGGAAGTCGTCATCCTCCACACCACCGGCCCACTAGAAATCCTCCGTCGTCATCCGGCCGGCGGCGGAATCCGACGTCTACGGCGGCCCCTCTTCGGAGGTCCAGCAAGTGGGCCCTCCTCGTGGGTGCTCCGTGAGTAGGATGGCACCGAGCGGGGGATGTCAATAATTCTGCGCCGCTGCAGTCCCTCGACAAAGCCAAAAGCTTTCTTAATCGACCGGCCGCCAAGCCACTCAGTCGCCATATTTTATGCTTCGTTTCGGCCCTCGGTGCACTCTCCATCCTTTAATAATTGCTTAGAATAATCAAGATTTCAAGGGAAGGAGCGACCTCCCTCTCCATCACGCGGAGGGTCGCCACGGAAAGCGTCTTCACCTCGTCATAATACACCATCGCAGATTAGCAGCATACCTCTCTTCCCCACACACACGTAGCGAAAGAGAGAGAGAAACGGAAGGGACGTCACCTCCATCCTCCCCGCCGCATAAGACGGCTGGTGAAGCTGCAGGGGGGGGGGGGGAGGCCGTCCGTGAGAGAACAGAGGGATCTTCTGGGTGGCGTTTTGGATGATGGAGAGGAGTTTTTGTCTCTGGTTCTTGTAAGCTTGCGGTGGCCGTCTGATTCTTCGTCTCCCTGCCCTGGAAGCACATAGGAGACGAAGCTGACGACAGATCAGGGCGACTGCTGTGCTGCTCCACCTTGACTTTTTTTTCGGCGCTGGATATTAATTACTAAGCAACCAAAATAAATGCAAATAACCGATAACATCCGGCATTTTTAGATTTATATGAAGTCCACACTTTTTCTATACTTACATAATCAACCCCGAAATCCTTTCTGACGACCGCCGGAGCAGAAAGCAACAGGAACCCGACTGACTACTCTCTCGATCCCTCTCTCTCTCATCCGAGTTGGAGAGGTTTCTCTCACTGGCGCCGCCCATGCGCAAACAGGAAAGAGTGCAACTTGGGTAATCATCGAGGCCCATAAGATATAGTTGTTGGAACGACTATAGTTTGATCTCGTGGAATAATTAAAAGCTGCGATCGTCGTCCATGGAGCCCATGTGCCTCGACTGGAAGCCGTCGGGAGGGGTCCTTATGGCGGTGACGCGCCGTTTTCTTATTCCCTGGGTTGGGTCGTTGCCCACGCATCGTGTTCGATGATTGGCCATTAAACTACGTCTCATGCACATGCATAGACTCTCTCTCTCTCTCTCTACCCTTCTCTCTCTGTATAATTATATGTATATACAACGCATTATTGCTAGGATTCGGTCAGAATATTAACCCGGAAAGGCCACGTAACGGTAGACATGGTGGGTTGGGAATGTCGTCAAGACGGAGCCCACCTGTTCCAGATGAACCGCCACTGCACACGAGAACCCTCCATTGCGGTTGTTCCCCTTCTCGGACATTGCTTTAGGTGTTGACCCTCTCCTAGAGAGAGAGAGCAAGAGAGAGAGAGAGAGAGAGGGCATGGGGAGGAGTGCCACGGGGACGAAATGGCCCCAGGTGGAGATGGGCCAGCAGCAAAATGGTCACCGGTTTAAAGTCAGCTAACCTGAATTTGGTAACCTTATCCAGGCCCATTATTACCGGTGCCATTTGCCGGTTAAACCGAACCCACAGTCCAACACGTCGAGCGATGTGATTGGTTGAGCCGTGACAGTCGATCTTAGCCCCGAGCAATCCAATCGTCGCGCCACGGGGACGCTGGACCCGACACGTATCCCTCCGGGAATGACAGCGGACCCATTTCCTACCCCGCTCCTCCCACAGGATCACATGCATTGACGGCGGGGAAGGGGGAGCTCCGTTTAGAAAAATAATTAACACATTTAGTAAGCGCCCGGTTCTGAAAATACGAGCCATTTTTTTAATGCGATCCAAAACTCGTAGCCTAATAAATAAGGATATAATTATATAATAAATTCGAAGGGCAGATTGGAAATATTTTTCCTGTATGATTGAAGATACACGGAATTCCATTTAAAGATTTTTTTTTAATTAAATCGCGGCTGGGAATTTCCTTTTGACGGCAGAGCGAAAGGAAACTCTAAAGGGGCCAGCTAGGATTGACCTGACCGGACACTTGCGAAAGGAAGGGGGTGGAGGGGGTGACGCCAGCGAATTAAAGTGCGGATTACGGTGACCCCTCGCGAACAAAATCAGTCAATCGTACTCCGCAGGTGGAATAATTGGTGGGCCCCAGATGAATCCGACTATAAAATGGGAAGACGGGTGAGTCGCATCCCCGGCACCTTTTGCGTCTCTCTCTCTCTGGTTCTTCTCCCCGCTGCTGCTCAGAAGAGGAGAGGGTAGGGGAGAGAGTAGGCCGACGGCGATGAAAGGGGACAACGCGATGAGCCTGGAGGACATCAAGAACGAGACCGTCGATCTGGTAATCTGCAGTCCAGCCCCATTCTCTTTTGACCATAATTTCTGCTGTTCTTTGTTTTTTTCTCCTCCGTGCGGGGATTTCCGGCTGGTTTCTGTCCAGTAGGAATCGCTGTTCTTCGGCAGATTTCGTCTCGTTATTTTTGCCTTTGTTTTCGTTGCTGATCGTCCGGGAGTGTGAGAACGGGAAGTGTGAATAACATTTGTTTTCGTTCTCCGCACCATGGTCTCGTCGAGGAAGAGAACCGGCCGCGCCTCTTCGTTTTTCTTTTGGGGTTCACAGTAGCATGCTTAGAAATGATAAGAGAGTCCATGATATATATATATATATATGAAAATATACACGCATTTACAGGAGTATTCGTATATGACTACTGTTCACTAATTAATTTTCCGGGGGGAAGGAACGCCTTCGTCTCCGAAAGCCGGCCGTGGGTTTGGTTTCTGTAACTTTCCATACTTTCTCTCTCGCTCAGCCCCCCCAACCCTTGTTACTCTCGACTAGCGAAAGATCGTGATAATAAGCTTTGTCTTGTCTCGATTTATCAGCGAAAGCCTGTACACAAGATGTGCCCATGAATTCAGCTTTACAATGTTGAGAGAGTGTGAAAAACCTATTGAGCCTTCTGCATGTAGCTCTTTCTTCTCCTTCCCTTTTTACAGTCGACGAAGCCGCCGCTATGTGCGAGGAAACGGAAACTCTCTCTCTCTCACCCCCTACGCCGCTGATCTTGACCTCCTATCCTTTCCTTGTTTTGGACTGCCGTAAACGTCTGTCGATCCATTTTTGTGCTGGCGTAAAACGTGAGGGATGTCATGCTGTGTCCGTACCGATTGACTTGTGCGGAAATTAATATAATAATATAACAGAAATAGAAAATAAACATTTTCCCTTTTTCTTGTTTGCAAAAAAAATCTCTATTTTTTGCCGTCAATACATATCAGATGCGCTTCATTTCGTCCTAAGTTTATCTTGACTAATTTTTAATCACCTTCTCCGCCACAATATCATATCATCATTCTTATTGGGTGCTTCCCAGAAACTAACCTTCTCGATTCCAGTCAGTGGAGAGAGCCCCGTGACAGATGCCATACGAACAATATACGATCACTTTTTCTCTTTTGAGATATTACTTTTTCTTTTTTTATTAAAAATATACTGACAGAACCGTCACTGCTTGCCGTAGCCGATAAATCCGTCTTCTGCCTTTGATCCAATACACATCGTGACAGATTAGCAGATCATCGTACTCTTTTTCCGCTATTTTTGTTATTAAAATATCTGCGTTCCTCTGCCCTCCGCCGTGAGGTATTCTTGCTGACGACATGTAATGGTGTCTTCGTTCAACTGTCAGGAGCAAATCCCCATAGAGGAGGTGTTCCAACAGCTGAAATGTTCGAGGGAGGGTCTCTCTCAGCAGGAGGGAGAGAACCGGCTCCAGCTCTTTGGGCCCAACAAGCTCGAGGAGAAGAAGGTATGGCAAACGGGGTCTCTCTTGGAACGATGAGTTCTTCCCGGTGAAGGGTTCGTTCCCGCAAAAGGTGGTAGATTTAACGCATTTGAAACTTGTGGTCAACAGGAAAGCAAAATTCTCAAGTTCCTGGGATTTATGTGGAATCCTCTCTCATGGGTCATGGAAATGGCTGCTCTAATGGCTATCGTCTTAGCCAACGGCGACGGGAAGCCTCCGGACTGGCAGGACTTCGTCGGGATTGTTGTGTTGCTGGTGATCAACTCCACCATTAGCTTCATCGAGGAAAACAACGCGGGAAACGCTGCGGCCGCCCTCATGGCCGGACTTGCTCCGAAAACAAAGGTTCTGCCCCGTTCATGACTGAACTATGGAAATTTCTGTTTAGTCCCAATGAAGTGTTGATGGTTCCTCATCTCTATTCTCTCCCTTTTTCGGGTATCAAGGTTCTCCGAGACGGGCGATGGAGCGAGCAGGACGCTTCAATTCTAGTTCCGGGGGATATCATCAGCATTAAATTGGGTGATATCGTCCCTGCCGATGCCCGTCTTCTTGAGGGCGATCCCTTAAAGATTGACCAGTCTGCGCTTACTGGAGAATCCCTTCCGGTGACCAAGAATCCAGGGGACGAGGTCTTCTCTGGTTCCACCTGCAAGCAGGGTGAAATTGAGGCGGTCGTCATTGCCACCGGTGTTCACACTTTCTTCGGAAAGGCTGCCCATCTGGTGGATAGTACGAACCAGGTGGGTCATTTCCAGAAAGTCCTGACGGCAATCGGTAACTTCTGTATCTGCTCAATTGCTGTCGGCATGGTTGTTGAGATCATTGTCATGTATCCGATCCAAAGGCGCAAGTACAGGGATGGGATCGACAACCTCCTGGTCCTCCTGATTGGAGGTATACCGATTGCTATGCCGACCGTCCTGTCTGTCACCATGGCCATTGGTTCCCACAGGCTATCCCAGCAAGGTGCCATAACGAAGAGAATGACGGCTATCGAGGAGATGGCTGGCATGGATGTGCTTTGCAGCGACAAAACAGGAACCTTAACTCTCAATAAGCTGAGTGTGGATAAAAATCTCATCGAGGTGTTCGCCAAGGGGGTGGAAAAGGATCATGTGATCCTGTTGGCAGCTAGAGCTTCAAGGACTGAGAACCAGGATGCTATTGATGCAGCTATGGTGGGCATGCTTGCAGATCCCAAGGAGGTACTGCTCGGAGATAGAATTCGGTTTTAAAGAAATATCTCTTCGATGACAAATTGTTAATCTAACCTCCTTTTTGTTCTCAAAATCAACGATAGGCGAGGGCTGGCATCAGGGAAGTGCATTTCTTCCCTTTCAACCCTGTTGACAAACGAACTGCGTTGACGTATGTTGACTACGATGGTCATTGGCATCGGGCCAGCAAAGGAGCTCCAGAGCAGGTGCGGCGACTCTTCTCGCTTTCTTTTGTGTTCTCCTTGTCTAGCTTCTGTCATATTGACCCGGCCTGGTGGATTGCTGAAAAAAATAGATTCTGAGTCTCTGCAACTGCAAGGAGGATGTCAGAAGGAAGGTTCATTCGGTGATTGAGAAGTACGCCGAACGTGGCCTCCGGTCCTTGGCCGTCGCTCGCCAGGAAGTTCCTGAGAGGTCAAAGGAGAGCCTTGGTGGCCCCTGGCAGTTTGTTGGCCTTCTGCCTCTGTTCGACCCCCCAAGGCACGACAGTGCAGAGACCATCCGCAGGGCTCTGAATCTTGGAGTGAATGTGAAGATGATCACTGGTAAGCTGTGCAGAAGTTACCGCAATACTTGGCTTCCTCTCGACAGCTTTACTGAACTTTAACTTTTGTATCCTTAGGGGATCAGCTTGCCATCGCGAAGGAGACAGGACGCAGGCTCGGTATGGGAACTAACATGTATCCTTCCTCTTCGTTGCTCGGTCAAGACAAGGATTCATCCATTGCGTCTCTCCCTGTGGATGAGTTGATTGAGAAGGCTGATGGATTTGCTGGAGTATTTCCTGGTGGGTTTAATGTCCATATATCTTATTATATGCACTCCTAATTCTGGAAAATTAATTTTTTTCCACAGAGTAAACATGACCTTAATGCTTTTCAACTCCATGCAGAGCACAAATATGAAATCGTCAAGAAGTTGCAGGAGAAGAAGCATATCTGTGGAATGACAGGAGATGGTGTGAATGATGCGCCAGCTTTGAAGAAGGCTGACATTGGTATTGCTGTTGCTGATGCCACTGATGCTGCTAGAAGCGCATCCGACATTGTGTTGACTGAGCCTGGTCTGAGTGTCATCATCAGTGCCGTCCTTACCAGCAGAGCAATTTTCCAGAGAATGAAGAACTACACGGTAGTTCATCTCTCCATATAGTAACTTTCGTTAATAATAATAAGGCTCATAATTTTTTTGATACGGATATGCCTCATTTTTCGTTCTTTTGTTTTTTCTTTGCCAGATTTATGCAGTCTCAATCACCATTCGTATTGTGGTAAGCATCTGATCATTGGAATCCTAATCGAGTTCATATGCACCCTCCCACCCATTGGTCAAACTCTCGATCTGATTCGGGTCATTCAGCTGCTCTCTGACCTCTCTCTTCTTCCAAAATTTTCAGCTTGGTTTTCTGCTCATTGCCTTAATATGGAAGTTTGACTTTTCACCCTTCATGGTTCTGATCATAGCCATCCTAAATGACGGTAAGTTGCACCTAAGATAAGGAAATTAGTCCTTAGATACTTTTGAGTAATGATACTTTATCGCTACCGTCTCTTTTAATTTATTTTTTTTCTTATTATATAGGCACAATCATGACAATATCCAAGGACAGAGTGAAACCATCACCTCTGCCTGACAGCTGGAAACTCAAAGAAATCTTCGCAACTGGAGTAGTTTTGGGCAGCTATCTGGCATTGATGACGGTTATTTTCTTCTGGGGAATGAAAGAAACTAACTTCTTCTCGGTGCGCAATTATATCTCCTCCATGCAATCTTTCCCGAGCGATTAATTTCGCTTCTTCCTCGTGATTAATTATGGAGGATTGGAATCTGAAGGCTCTGCAGCCTGGCGTACTATAAATTGGTCACTCACGTGAAATTTGGTACCTTGATGCAGAAGAAATTCGGTGTGAGGTCACTGAGGAACAGTGAAGACGAAATGATGGCTGCCCTGTACCTACAAGTCAGCATCGTGAGTCAGGCTCTCATCTTCGTAACTCGATCTCGCAGCTGGTTCTTCGTTGAACGCCCCGGGCTTCTCCTCGTCACGGCCTTCGCCGTCGCTCAACTGGTAATCTCCTCAGATTATTTTAATCACGAAGTAAAACTTGAGCATGGATGAGTAATTGGACAAAAGAGATTAAATGCCGAAGATAAATGCATTTTGACTTTGTTCTTGATGTGAGACAAGAACGCAGCTGGGTGCAAAATTGCGTGAAAGTCAGCGCGGAAACCTATTATTCATCTCTTGCTCCATCCATGGCTGAACCTTCGTATGTTTCTCGCAGGTGGCCACTCTTGTAGCCGTCTACGCGGACTGGGGTTTTGCGAGGATCAAAGGGATCGGGTGGGGCTGGGCTGGAGTCATCTGGCTCTACAGCATCGTCACCTTCTTCCCTCTTGACTGGCTCAAGTTCTTGATCCGCTACGTACTTAGCGGAAAGGCGTGGGATAATCTCCTAGATAACAGGGTATGGCTTCTCCCACCTCCGCTTCCAGTTCTCCACACCCAGGAAGATGATTAATTCTCTCTCTCTCTCTCTGTCTATTTGCAGATTGCCTTCACCACTAAGAAGGACTACGGTATAGAGGAAAGGGAGGCTCAGTGGGCCACAGCCCAGAGAACCCTCCACGGCCTCCAGAACCCACAAACGGCCACCCTCTTCTCCGACAAGAGCAGCTACCGAGAGCTCTCAGAGATCGCCGAGCAGGCCAAGAGGCGAGCCGAGATCGCAAGGTCTGTGCTTTTCTTCTTCCAATTAGACTGATCAACCCATAACCACCATGACAATCCCGAATCCCGCCTCAATAGTCAACGACCGCCCGCTCATTAACCACCATAGAATCGCTCCCAAGAAGCAGTCAACGACTTTCCTTCCGTGCTGATCTTTCCAGGCTTCGGGAGCTGAACACTCTTAAGGGCCACGTGGAATCAGTGGTGAAGCTGAAGGGGCTCGACATTGACACCATCCAGCAGCACTACACGGTGTGACCCGGAGCAGGAGGTCCAGATGAACCAGTGTGGAGTAATCAGGGCCATGGCGGTGGAACCCTGGGGGAAGGGAAGAGGGCTCTTCTAAGGCCGTTGCCCTAGTGCTTGGATTTCCATTTTGTTCTCTACTTTCTCGCCGGAGCTGGTGGAGGTTGCTCTCTCTGTCCGCTCAGACAGGCGCCTTTAAACCCAGAATAACACGAAATAGTTGTTGTTCTCCAACTCTTGTTCCCGTTCTTCGGAAACTCTACCATGATGCTGATAATAGGCCTTTGGCCGCACAGTTTTGCTCCCTCTTAAGGGATTTACATCCGCTGGTCAACTCTTCGGGATCTTTCTTTACGAAAAACTTGAAGTAAGCGAGCTCATCCTCGCCTCTTTCTTAGTGAGTTCACCGTCTTGGTTCTGAGATCGAAAATAATGAAGATAAAGTTTGAGATTGGAGCTTCTCTCTCTCTCTCTCTCTCCCTCCCTCCCTCTCTCACTAATACACACACACACACACATTGAGATGGAGACGGCGTCCGGGGAAAGTTAAGTTTACGGCGATGCCGATTCTCCGGAGGACCCATCAGGCCTTCTGCGTTCTGGATTCTCCTAATTAGTCAACTATTTGAAGACTATTGGAGAAGAGAGATCGAGAGCAAGGAGGAGAGAAGAAATGCCCGATGGAAAGGAGGGGTGGGGATCTCCACACTGGCAAGCCGACAAAGCAGAGCTGGGATCGGCCCGCGTGCAACTGCTGCCCCCACGTGCGCCTGTCATCCCCTCTGCGCCGGCGTGCGTGGGCAGCTGGAGAGTCGTCATGTCCGGGAACAGTCGCCCGGCGCCGGCCATCTTCTCCGACTTGATCAGGCATCTGCAAGGATGAGAACAAAGGAGCCCCTCTGCGGCGAGCTTGGTTCATGGACGGGCGGCGCCACTTTGGCGGGTTCCGAAGAGGAGATGTACGCCAGTGGAGGAGACCCACAAGCTTCCGACCTCCAATCGTTGGATGAATTGTCCATGTCGGTATTTCTCTGCGAAAGAGTCCTCTGATTTTCTCTTCTCCTTGCTCCTCTTCTTAGTTTGACCGCCGCGACACGTCCCGTTGGGTCCTAATTGGAACGGACAAGATGAACAACAGTTGCTCTTGTATAGGACAAAACAGTGAAGAAGATCTCTCTCTCTCTCTCTCTCTCTCTCTCTCTATCTATCTATCTATCTATCTATCTATCTATCTATCTATCTATCTATCTATCTCTTTATCTGTCTATCCCCCTCCCTCTCGTCATGTCTGCCCGCATCCATCACTATTCTTCGCAGACGAGCAAAGTCAGCACTGTACGAACAGCTGTATGAGTATCGGCATTCTTAGTGGTGGGAAACGGTGGCTCCTTGGCTCGTCCAAGGGCTCGGTCAGATGGTTTCGGGGTCTGATCCAGATTAACAACGCTCAAGAAAGACCCCGTCACTGTTACTCCAATCCCCACGATCCACATGACAGTGGCCAGCCGTTTCTGAGATACTCTTATCGATAAGGTCAAACAGGTCCAGAGGGGATCACGTGGACTCTTCCTCTCCCTCATTCTCATCCTTCCACAGAACTTGGATCGGCATGTCCTATGAAGAAGAGCCCGCGAAACCCAGTGCCCGAAACGAGGGATGTCTTCTGGAATTCAATCTTCATATCGGTAAGATGCACAGCATTTAGTCTAGATAATGTGATGACCGTATGTTCCCGTACCAGAAGGTCAGCGGGACGAAGCCGTAGGGAAGTTACTGCTCTGACGTTAATGGCCAGATGAAGCCGCACAAGTGTGAGAGGGTGAGAGAGAGAGAGATGACGGGGTACGTGTCCGTGTCTTCTTGCTCTTGTTTTTCAGATTGGTATTTTTATGGCCTGTCCTATAGTTTGATCCTCTCGGTACCGTGTACAGTACGGACCAGCTAGGAGACAAATCCCAGATAGACAGCCATGGCGGGAACACCAATAGCGACAAGTCCGCCCTAAACCCTCCTTCGGGCATCCGATTAGTTCCGTTCTGTCACACACATGGCCTGCTTCTTCACGGGATGGGCTCGCCTCCATTGGACATGTTCAAACTTCTGGAAACCACCTGAATTGCGTGTGTCTGCGGCTATACTTCCTCTAATGTCGTAATGAATCAAGGAAGCTTGTCACCTGCCCATCCCTTCGATCTTACGCTCGTTTTCTGCTAGAATATCGTAGAATTATCTGCAGAAATGAGAGATTGGAAAGCTGGGGCACCACCCTTGAGAACCGCCCATGTGCTCCGTCTTAGCCTTTCTTCTTCTTCCTCCTCGCTAAGCTCCAGATCTTGATCGATGCTCTGAAAACTGAGAGTCGAGAATAGGTGGAAGGAAGCCAACAAAATGAAGATCTGTGTTTTGACATCAGGGAGATGAGGATGGCCCAGCTCCCTCTTTGTTTCATCGATAGCGACAGGGGTTCTCATCTACTTCTGGAAATCTCCAAGGGTACCACGGACGGCGGGATAAACGGCGACCTCGATTCTCAATTACTTATACGCAGTCACTGCTGTTTTTTTCCCCTCGTCTGCCTGCTTAATGAGCGAGATGGCCGCATCTCTTGGTCAGCGTCTGGTTGTCTTTGGATGGTGTAGTGGCTATGAATTATGGGCATGGGCCTTATTCAGGTCACCCTGTTAATGCAGGTTAGTTACATCTCGTCCAAGGCGATCACAATCTCTTGAGAAGGGATTGACTTATCTGACTTGGGGAGGGCCAATGAGACGTCAGATCTTTTGCTCAACGGTACGAGTTCATAGGTTGGGAGGATGAACGCACGATTGGCTGATCCAGACACCAACTGGTCCATGGCTCGTACTTTGTGAAAGCACTGTAAATGCGAAGAATTCACGTGGGTCTAGCGAAACCTCCAACATGTAGCTCACGGCCCTTCACCAAATCATCGAGCCTGTGTCGTCTCTTATGCGGCCATCTTGCTGCCAGCGGTACCTCACTAATCTTTCTCGCCTTTGTGGGCATGGCGTAGGAAACCTAGGCCTGCCCACCCTCTTCATTGCCCAGAGAGCTTTGTGGGTCTGCCATGGGACTCCTCCTAAGCCGCAGAATGAGAGATCAGTGGCCACCTTATAGGAAGGTGATATCATTGTACCTGAGGGCCAAATGGAGACTAGGATGGGAGGAAGAGGAGGTAAAGAGAAGACAGTGTGTGCGGGTCTTGCGAGCAAAAGATAGCTGGAGGTTTCTAAACGCGTGAACCGGAAGACAAAAAACTCAGGACGACGCGTCCGTATGAGAGATCCAGACAGTCCCACGGGAATCTATATATTTCTACCCTTCCTCGATCTATCTCCTCTGCTTCGCTTTTTATCAGTAGCCTCCTCCCTTCCGATTGCCTTTAAAGAAACTGTGTGCGCGTATTTAAGGCCATGGCCTGTTCAGCAAAAGAGACCTTTCCCTTGCAGCACCATCTAACATGTTCCTTTGCAGCCTATGTCTACTCTAACATGGGTAGACCTCTTTAGGCCTTCACACGGGTGCAACGCAAACGGAGTGAGCCATTGCCTACGCTGGCGGGCACTAATTCAGAGAAGAGCTACGGCATCGTGCAGAGGGCTGAACCATGGCCAGACCAGATGAGAACGGCCACTTCGAGGGAGGGTGATCCTCATGGAGCTCCTCTGGGTTGGCGTCTCGTGATTGCACTCATAGAGGCTTCCTTGTCGTCTTCGCTAGAGCACATGGGGAAGGAGGGAGACACCTCCCTCTCGTTGGTAGGTGCGAGGGGGAGCGGAGGCCGCATGTGCCGCCATGTGCTCCTCCCCTACTTACACTTCGGTTTCCCCTTCGTTTACTGCATGGTTTAAATTGTTCTCCGCCAGCACCTCCTTAGAAAGGACCTCTACCCTTTCCCCGCTATCTTGTCTCCTTCTGAGTCCATTCTCCACTAATATCTCTGTAATATCTCTATAGTTTGTAAAAGTTCCAATGCCTCGTTCATACATACGTTCACCATTCAATGGCTTCCCCCTGTCAACATCGAGAGTCGGATTCAAATGGTGAATCTCAACAGTGTTCTTTAGCTGAACAGTGGATGGAGGCGATCTTGTATATATTTCCCCCTCGCCGTAGAGCCACATCTCAACTCGACGCTCTAGGTGGTGCTCAGTGCCGCCGCAAGGTGACTGCCGCTCGGTTCGGTTCGTCAGGCCCTGGAAGCTGAAAGGTATCATCCATCAAATAGGCCTTCTACTCTTCTTCTCTTCTCAAGTGCTTCATTTCAATTCGAACCCGCATGCTCTGACTGAGTTATGTAATAGGATATGAGATCTTGGAGTGTGTATTGACTGACCATGGTTCACCGTCTGGTGAGACATCTGTCTGCTTGTATTGTTGCGGTTGTATTAGTCGAAATCTTTCTCTAGTTTATCCCTCCAGAAGCCAGGCTTCTTAACGTAGTCGCCGGCTGCTTATCGATAGCCGACGTCCGGGCAAGGAAGAAATGCTATCATCAGCGTTATAATTCCCCATGTTTCTGTTCTACCGGGGACATTCTGGCGGCAGTGGCGAGTTTCTCCGTCGTCTTTTTTCCTTGCGTAGTTTCTTCTGCGAAGGCTTCTTTTTTTGCTGGGCTCTCATTTTCTACTTCGCTCACTCCAGGCCCTTCCGTCGACTGTTTCATTGATGGAGGAGACGGAGGGAAGTAAAAGACTTGCCAGCTTCTCCCACAAATTCATGGCGTACCTGCTGCCGGCTCTTTTCAAGGTTGTGACGACAAGAACTTGTCGAGGGAGCAAGGAGAGGGAAATCGAGAAGATTGTGAGATATGAAGTTGACATGGCGCTGGTTGTATCAGCGAGTGGCTTCTCATGGAGCTGCGCCCTAAAGGAGAAGCTAGAGCGAGGAAACAAGGATCCGTTCAGCATGGTCGAGTTGTTTTACGGGCTCTGGGCCTGTCCTTTAATCACCAGGCCGTTGACTCCGGCGAACTGCCCCATGGACGCTGACCTTGAGCTCGGCATGCACGAGCTTGTCGAGTCGAGGGGAGCCGGGTCGGTCCCAAGCAAGGAGTGGAAGCTGGCCGGAGGAGACGAGGAAGTGCAATACTTCGTAAGGACTCTGAGGAGTATCCTACCCGGTGGCGAGGAGATGGGAGTGGGAGAGTTGGTCTCTGAGGTGGAGAGCTATGTCGTTTGCCTGAAGATGCAGGTGAGTCTTCTCCAGTCTCTCCTCGACGTCCAGCTCGGCTACTCCGATATCTGCGACTCCTGAGGGATATGATCAAGGGGGAGAAGACTACTTGCAGCTGCCATGGCCGATTCCATCGCTGCTACACGAGTAGATCCTAGTGAGAGCACATCCCCTTCTTAGGATGAGCAGGTTCTTTGGGAACATCCAAGCATGTGGGAATCACCGTCGAGACTTTAGCAGGATGCAGAGATAGAACTATATGTAATTCGACATACTAGGGTTGTATGGTTTGGCTGGAGAGGCTCTTCAGTCAGCTGAAAAAACCGCGTGTAAGGTTTAGGTGTGTTGTGCGATCGTCACCGCCTGTTGTGGGCGTGTAGAGACCCATACTCGAGACCTCCTGTCTGAGGTGCTTGGGTAAGTCTCTGAAGAACGATTCAGCGTGCTGCCGCTTGTCTCCTATTTCAATCACTTAGACTCCGCCCGAAGTTAGTGCTTACGTGTTTATGCGCATCTAGATGGATGGTCTTCCGTCGTTGGAGCTATAGTTCATGAAAAAATGCAGATGAATGTGCATCCATAACCCGGTTCAACGTCTCGTGGTGAGATCGTAACCGCCGAACACTCACCACCTGCCGTGAAATCTTAATCTTAAGGTGTGTGCATAGCGTACGATTACAAGAATAATAGGAGTGTTAATGGTATGTCGTCGTTCATCTAACCATTGTTGACTGCGCATATCGACCTTGATGGTCATATGCGCATACGTATACACGCGTACGAGCGCTAACGTTCGCTCCGCTGAGGTCTTCCTCACTAGTTGCTCAGCGTGGGAAACTGGTTCGCATAGCCCATACGAGTAGCACGAGGTTCTGGGATCGTCGATGTCCTCAGTCAGAGTTGTAATGGCGGATATTGCTTGACCATTTGGCAAGTCAACTTTGGCTAGATTAATTAGTTTCGGAAGGTCGTTCCTCTCCTTGTATTGTTCTTCCCACGTCTCGGAGACCCCCTCTGTTGTTCATTCAGTTTGTGCTCGCCGGCCTTGGAGTTCCTAGGCTCCTCGAGTAGGTTCGGCTGGCTTCTGAATTTTGTAAATGACCGTGAATGGGTTGACCAGAAGTTTTTCTTGGTTGTTGCTTGATGTCGAAGATTCCCAGTCACCGTTGACTAAATTCCTGGGGACCCATACGGTTGATCTGAAGTGGCCAAAGCCGAACCAAGTGGGCCGATTGAACCCTAGCAGCACGGATCCGAACGAAATCAGAACAAACCAGATCAAATTTCAACCCCAGGATCTGATTTTCTGATGAGCCAAAGTCTTAGATACCAGGGTGTCTCAGAAATCGGCGCGACCCTAATACGTTGATCCTTCATGGGCAAGAAATGTATGGTACCAAAATGGGCCTTATTGACTTGCCAAGAAGGCCCATAAACTGAAATTGACGGCAATCGTGAGAAGTCAACCATTGGCAACCGTCGCCAACGGTCGACGGTCTCCCACGCTCCTCCCTCATGGGCAAAGTCCCCCCTGGTCTACCTCATGGGTCTCTCTGACCGACAAATGGTGCCTCGTCCTCACCTGAACACCATCGCCGTCACCATCCCCACCGCTCGTCTGCCGATACCCTGCACCGCTTCCCGCTGCTCCTCCCCATACATCCACCAAGCCGCCGCAGAATCCCAACTCATCTCTGCCATTGATGCCTCCAACGGCCTTCTCCACGCCCGGGAGACCCATGCCCGTCTCCTCCGTCTCGGCTTCCGCGATAGCAGCTTCCTTCTCGCGAAGCTCCTCCGCCGCCTCGCCGAGCACGGGATCCCCATGGATCCCTACCCGCGTCTCGTCTTCTCCCAGGTCCGCCACCCCAACTCCTTCCTCTGGACCTCCCTCATCCGCGGCTACTCCCTCCGAGGGCAATTACAGCAGGCCCTCCTCCACTTTGCTTCCATGAGGCGACATGAGGTGCCTCCCCTCTCGTTCACCTTCTCCGCCCTCTTTAAGTCCTGCGGTGCGGCGAAGTCCCTTGGCTCGGGAACACAGCTCCACGCCCAGACAATCTTCATCGGGGGTTTCAACTCCGATCTCTACGTCCAGAACACACTAATCGGAATGTACGTCGAATGCGGTGAGCTAGCTTTGGCGCACAAGGTGTTCGACAAAATGAGTGTAAGAGATGTAATCTCTTGGACTTCACTGATCGTGGCTTACTCGAGGAGCGGCAACATGGGTCTGGCAGGGGAGCTGTTCGAACAGGCTCCTGAGAAGGATACGGTGGCATGGACGGCGATGGTCTCCGGTTTCGCTCAGAATGCTCGGCCGAGAGACTCTCTGACTTTCTTCCGGAGGATGAAGGAGGAAGGTGTGGAGACCGACGATGTCACCCTGGTCGGCGTGATCTCCGCGTGCGCGCAGTTAGGGGCCGTTATGGAGGCCAAGAAGATCTCCGACGATCTCCACAGAAGGGGCTCCCACAGGGGCCTCGTTGTAGGGTCAGCCCTCGTCGACATGTTTGGAAAGTGTGGGCTCATCGACGAGGCACGGAGGGTGTTCGACGCCATGGAGGAGAAGAATGTGTACACTTACAGTGCAATGATAGTAGGCCTGGCGGCTCATGGGCAAGCCAAGGATGCGCTCAAACTGTTCGAGGAAATGGTGACGAAGAGTTCTGTGAAGCCGAATAGGGTCACCTTCATCGGGGTGCTAACTGCCTGCAGCCACGCAGGACTGGTCGAGGAGGGCCACTATTACTTTGAAACCATGTGGGATAGACACGCGATCGTACCATCCGCTGACCACTATGCCTGTATGGTTGACCTGCTAGGTCGGGTAGGCTTATTGGAGGAAGCTCACGCCCTGGTCAACTCCATGCCGGGGGAGCCTCATGGAGGCGTGTGGGGCGCACTTCTTGGCGCCTGTAGGATCCACGGGAACGCCGAAATCGCCGAAGTTGCAGCAGAATCTCTCTTCAAGCTCGAACCGCACGCCATTGGGAACTACATCGTGCTCTCTAACGTGTATGCGCAGGCGGGCATGTGGGAGAAGGTGTTGAAGGTGAGGGGGTTGATGAGAGAGAGAGGCTTGAGGAAGAATCCGGGCTGTAGCTTGATGGAGACCAAGGACGGGGTCCTCCATGAGTTCTTTGCGGGGGATGTCTCCCATCCGAGGACGAATGAGATAAAGGCTGCCCTTGAGGAGCTTCTCGGAAAGCTGAAGGTCGCCGGGTACGTGCCGAATCTGAGCTCTGTTCACTACGACGTCAGCGACGGCGAGAAGGAGAGGCTGTTGAAGGGTCACAGCGAGAAGCTCGCTCTGGCGTTCGGGATTCTGACCACTGGGGTCGGGCAGACAATCAGGATCGTGAAGAACCTCCGCGTGTGCGACGACTGCCATTCGGTCATGTGCTTCGCCTCTTCTGTTGCAGAGAGAAAGATCGTGATTAGGGATAACCTGAGATTCCACCACTTCCAAGACGGAGTGTGTTCGTGTGGCGGGTTTTGGTAGGTCTGAATTATAGCACCAGATGTATATTTTACCCCGATGAGTAAAATAAATAGAAGGGTATTATTGTCTGCATCCTGCCGAAGATCATGCACACCATTCATTAATTACTACGGGAGGTTCATCGAGCCATCTCTTCCGTGCAAATCTAACTTGCTAACGAGGAATAACCCATCTCTCTTCTTTGGGTCTTGGCGGTCGGGAAGATGGGGAATGACACGAAATGCCCTCCTCCCCATCTGCTTGGACGAGCCAGCCCGCCGGATGAGGGATGACGCGACACTGTTTGATGAAATGCCCGAAGCAGAATGCCCGACGGGAACCCACGTGCGAGGCTTCGATCCCAGTGGAACAGGCCGAAATCCATTGGTCCGCCAGACGAGTCCTGACTCCGGCAGCGGCGACTGTGCCCGGCGGCGGCTTGTCTGGAAGGAGACACGCCGACACACCGCCGCCGGCGAAAATCTGTCCGGTGCCGGTGAAGCTTGTTTTGACCGCAGCTCTCTAGGGCGGCGCGGACAGTAATGCAGAGAGATTTTGACGGACCGATGCTGATGCAATGGTTCGAGATCCTCTGACCCGTTCGGATCGCCTTCGTACGCGTGCCACTGTGCGCGATAGAGACGCTGCTGTTAAATGCGTCTCGCTGGTTTACTGTTTTACATGCCCGCATTGCACCTACCCACACGGATCAAACGGAGGCGAGACCGTTTGAAGCATAGAAAGACAAAAAACTCTCGTTTGTAAGGCCCCCGACGCAGTCGTCTCGATACTTTCACGCCGGGCATCGCCTTATTAGTTCTCGCAGTCCTGTCGCCGGCAATGAGGGAGAGGCGGCCTTGCCTCGGGCCGTTGTGGGTTGGTGAGGGAAGATGGAGCCACCAACATGGATGATTCACACATTTGGAAAGCTGGTTTCTTCCGGTTAAGCACTACACACTTCGTATGATTCGGTGCCCTAGAACTCGCGTATCCCATGGCTCTCTCTCTCTCTCTCTCTCGCTACGTTGTGAACAGTAGGGCACCCACTGTAAAGAGAGGGCAGTGACAAGATGGAACCCTCCGAATGGTTAGAACTGATAAAGAGGACGTTCAAAACGGAGACCCATGCAGAGGGGGTGTAGGCAGAAGCACTCATATCACGGCCCACTCGGGCACCGGATGACTGTAGAATCGTCCGATTCAAGAAAGCCGACGAGAAGAGCGACCCCGCCTGTGGGTAGTATGAGTCCGTCAGGTGACCACGCCGTTGCGTTTCCGTGTCTCCCACTGTTTGTCGATCCACAGATCTCTCTCGGACGAGAGGGGAGGGGGGGGGGATGAGGCTGACGTCCTACCCATACCGGATCGCGCGCCGGTGGGCAGAGGAGGGGCCGTGCAAGGAGCCATCACTGCTTCTTCGCCGGCATCGCGCCATGCAGAAGACACCAAGATCGAAGCCCCAATCGTTCCAACGACTAGAATGATGGTGCGAAAGAGAGCGTCGCGCGGTACCCAACATGAAGCAGTGATGGAGCCGCAGGAGGACGGACGGCTTCCATCGTTCATCTTGCTCGGTACGTGTGGAGTAGCGATACACTCCACCCATGTAGAGACGATTTCGTCAGTAGCGGCGAAGCTTCGTCGTCACGGATCCACCACTTGGGTGATTCACAGAAGGTCGGCGATGGAGCTTGTCCGCCTTTCGAATGGCAGGTCGGATGGTGGTAATCTCGTTCGGAGACATTCTACGTAAGGAATTTGTGGGGAGAAGGGGATGGAGGGTAAAGGGGAGCCCGCAGTCCAAGCATAGAGTTACTGTTTCTCGGGGACGGGAAGGGAGTTCGAGGGGCTACTGTGCCGGGCGCAGCGGATCGCGACTTGTCCTGTTGCCGGATGGGGGAAGCGTTTAAGAACAAGAAGCAAGAATACCGTTGGATCCACCCAATGTCTCCTCCCTTCCACTCACTCCATCTCTCTTCCCTCTATCTATCTCTATCTCGATCGCTTTCTCCTGCAGACAAATATGACATATCTCACTCTCTGACCATCGATGACAGTTCTGACAGCGAGACTGGGAAAGGAGAATTCGGCCCCATGCAGTAATTCCACTCTCTTTCTCTCTCTCAAGCAATTAACTAGATAACAGGGTGGCCTCTTAGGGAGCATCAAGTTATCCGTGGAAAATACGTTGACCGACTCCGAACAGGTAACTAGAGGAGGCCCGTCAACCACGTCGCCCCGCTCGGCGCGCGCTCCTTCGTAATCATAGGTGTCAATGGGACGACTGCATCTCTACTTACGTTGCAAGAGGTTGCGTATTAGCTAGGCGCCTCCTCTCTTTGAGCAGTTGGGGTGCAGGTTCCATAGGAGGCGTACCCACAGAGAGCGAGCAAGAGAGAGAGAGAGGACTTGATTTTCCACTTCTCCGAAGACGGGAGGGAGGGCTTTGTTTTATCATTTCTCTGGTCCTCTCTCTTGCATAGGGCGCCTGTTTCCCCGGATGGGAAGAAGATGAACAGCTTCAACCCGACCATGGGAGCGTACGACCCCCCCCCTCGGATCATGTCCTTTGTTGGGTTGGAAAGCGGCGGCCGCGGCGGCGGCGACAGGAACGAAAAGCAGCAACACCTCTGGGACTGGGAGCCCTCCGTTCACCCGTCCAGCGAGATCGCCCACTACTACCAGTTTCCACCCTTCTTCGAAAGCGCCGCCATCCCAAACGCCTCCTTCTATGATTGCGCCGCCTCTTCTTTCCCGCCCTTGGCGGCGGCGAGCAGCACCACGGGCGGCGGGTGTCCTCTCTACTCCGTTGTCCCCGGAGACTACCGCGGGGGACCTGTCAAGCATGAAGACGACTGGGGCGCCGGGGGGATCGGCCTCAACTTGGGCCACAGGATGTACTTCCCCACAAGTGACGCGCTTGGCGTCGAGCGGCTCTTCCAGAGATCAACAGCGATCTACCAGGTGAGCACCCACGTACCGCAGTGCCAGGTAGAAGGGTGCAAGGCCGACCTGACGAGGGCGAAGAATTACCACCGCCGGCACAAAGTCTGCGAGTTCCACTCCAAGTCCGCTGTGGTGATCATCGGCGGGATGCACCAGAGGTTCTGCCAGCAATGTAGCAGGTAAGGAGATGGTCGTGGTAGGAACAGATTCACCATTAAACAGATGATGGTTCTGCTCGATTAGCCTTCTTTGAAAGCATCTTCGATATGGAATTTCTCGCTTTGCGGAACCCTGGGAACCTCATGGACATGATCCTCTCCAAGAGTGAAGCGTTTATTGGGCTCGGAAAGACTAGATCTTCCCCATAGATTGAGCTCTTCCTTTCCTAGGGCTTAATGGTTTGAGTCCACCTCATCTGTGTTAATCCAGCGCGGTCGAATTTCTTCCTTTCGGACATCGATGATCGGCAGCAGAAGATTGACAGTGAGGGTTTGTCCCTGCATTCCTTCCAACGAAGTTCATCCCAATTCGTTCGACATCTCATCCAGATGGTGCCCTCGATTTTTATTATTCTTGTCCATCTCGTCTCCTCATCTGGATTCCAACGCGGACCTCCCAATATCCTCATGGGAGATCAGACTGTTCACCCCCTCTCCCTTCTCTCTCTCCCTCTCTCTCTCTCTCACACACACACACACATTTTTGACCTAGAAACTATTATAACCAGAAAAAGTCATTTTTTTCCTTTCGTTTTATATGTGACACTCGAACTGTTCAGAGATGCATACCGACAACCTTTTCCACAGGAAGATCGAATAACATACGTTCAGACAAGGAAATTATTCTACTATTCCTCGGCGTGGGTTCCAGTCGAACGAGTAAAGAAGTCTTTTTTCTCTCGTTTTGCATACATTGGATCGATCGCACCATGTTACATCTGTTCCAAAATCTTCAGAGCCCTCCTGAATAGACAAATCCCCAATTGTCAGCGCCTGTTTAAGGGCGGCATCTCAGCTGCTTCATAGAAATTGTAACTCTATGTTTTTTGGTCAGATTTCATGTCCTGTCAGAGTTTGACGAGACCAAGAGGAGCTGCAGGAAACGTCTGGCCGACCATAACCGCCGGAGAAGGAAGCCTCGGCAACCTCCGCCAACCTCCGTCGCAACCAGTAACCCTCCAGCCCTCCAGGACTCCAGATCTGCCGTTGGGACCTCAAGGAACCTTGGTAACTCTCTGTGTCTGTCTGTCCGTCTCTCTCTCTCTCTCTCTCTCTCTCTCTCTCTCTCTCTCTTTCTCTTTCTCTTTCTCTTTCTCTTTCTCTCTCTCTCTCTATCTATCTATATATATTTCTATCCATCTGTCTCTTTCTCTATCTCTACCTATCGACCCATCTCTCAAAACCACACTAACTCGAGCTTACAGATACACGAGGGCTTGGACTGCGACAAGAAGGCAAGCTGCTTGATGACCGTTCATGCGCTCTCTCGTGGAGTTGATGAAGGCGCTTCTTCGGGTTCCATGGTCGATCGCACTATCATCCCGTCGTCTTTTTCTAACTCGATCGACTTCTTGCACCCTAAACAACTCCTGCAGCAGTTTCAGGTCTTCCTCTAATCCGGCTGGTCCGAACAGAAACCACCGTAGCCTTCACCTGCACCATGTCCAGTCTTGTTTTAACGAGATTTCATGCGAGGAAATAATTGAGCTGTCTTCATGCATACTAGAAATCTTCCCGTTTCCCATCTGCTTTCCTTTAATCAGATATGCCGCTACGTTCCCCGAAGAACAAGTGAGAATTAGAGGGGAAAAACGTACCTATTGGCTGGTAATTGGTCTTCCAAACTGCTTTCCTCTCACATATTGAGAGAGAGTCGGAGAGGACCTCTCACTAGGTCTGTAGACACGGAACGTTTGTGACGTGTCGATCCGCGGCCCGGCAAACGGGCAACTCGCGATTCCAACGACGACTCACCGGAGTAATTAATAGTTGACAGCGACTCGATTAACCTGTCAACGACAGACACGTAAGAAGGAGACTCGTTAGGAGAATCGCTAGATGCGAGGGCGAACTCGGTTTTCGTGATTGAGCTGGACCAGTCTACTAATTCTGCTCGTCTAATGCGTTTCAGAAGAAGATAAAAACATCAGGAGGTGTGATTTTCCTGGCTCTCCCTGGAGCACACAATCTCTTCTGAAGACAGTAATCAAAATTCAAACTTTACATAGTGAAGGATTCCAAATCGCGTTATGTCCTGTCCGGAAGAAGATCCTGGGAAACCCAGGTCAACACCTACAAAGAGGCCCGGCGGCCGCTCCTGGGTCTGAACTCGCCGGAGCAAACGCCGCCCTTCGGCCGGTGCTGTTAGCAGACGATTCCGGGCAGCACCCAAATTTGGTGTCTGAACGGGAGCCACTCCTTGCTTCCTTCTTGCCACCGCCGAGTCCGATGCTCAGCGTCAAGTCAAGGTCGCACTCCTCGTCGGAGCATGAAGGCAAGCTCTCGGCGCTCAGTTTGTCGTTTGACTGGGTAGAGGAGAATAACCCCACGAGGCCACCCTGCCGCTGCTGGCTCATCAGCAGCTTCTGAATTCTATATACCCGATGAAGTTCTCGAACCTGAGAGCACCCCAATGAATGAGCAGAAGTCAGAATTAACTGGCAGCAGTTAGGAGCCCAGAAACCTCTCGCTGTTCAAGAAAAAATAGAGCTGAATATGTGGCATAACTAGGGGGCCACTAGTTCTATATTTATGTCAAAATAATAAGCTTTAATGGGATTATGGGAACCCCGAGGGGCGAGGAGGGAGTGGGAAGTTCGGCGAAGACCTCACCTGATCTCTGAATATCTTTTCATGCTCCAGCATGGTCTTCTTCAAGGAGTCTTTGACGCATCCAAGCCCATCCATGGGCGGCTGCGGGCGGGGGTACTCCTTCCGACGGACGTCCCTGAGAGACGGACGATCATCAGGAGTCTCAAAAGTCACGGTCAACGGGCTGCCGTGGCTCCTGGGCAAGGAGGCGAAGAAGTTCCGGGAGTACTGAAGCTCTGTTCCCATACCTGCAACCGCGAGGATATCTCCGTAAGGGTCTCAAAAGATTGAACAGAGCTCTAAGAAGCTAATTTTACAATCCTACATTTCGAAATATACCTCAAAAATAAGCTTGGGAATTCATTCGTAGTAGAAAAAAACTTCTGAAATCGTAACGAAAAAATTAGAATTGTTTCAGTGAATCAACTCGACTGAAGCTTCGTTCTTTGACAAATAAATCACCGAGTCGATGAATAAAGAGAAACAATCCGACGTTTTCCATCTGACAGAAAATCCTGCTGTAACGCGTTATCTGGGTGAAGCTTTCATTATTGGAGCAGGGCAAGATTTCCCCGGTCGATTCAGCGGCATCCACAAAGCCAATCAGACTGCTAGAAGAGGGAACTTGCCGTTCACGGAAAAGAACGGCGTTCGCCGGAAAACAAGCTGAAAGATGAACTCGGTTAGATGAGAATATGGTTTCCGATGATGATCTCGACGGTTCGAAGTTCCTCACTAGGTTTTGATCAAAACTCAAGGAGAGATGGAAAAAAAATTGCGGAATTGACGGAGTGTTGGACAATCTACAGATCATTCGCAAGAGTTTACGGTTTATCCCTTATCATCCCCATGGAAGGAAGATTACCCTGTTCTCTCTCTCCCTCTCCCACCCTCCTGAAAGCCAACCAATAAAAAAAACTGTGAGAAGAACACTGTAGCTCGAAACAACTTGACGGCTTTTCAATTGCAGAGGACACATGGGATCGGAATGACTAAATTCACGAGCGCCACCGAGTCACATTAATCCGGACAGATCAAAGAGAAAACATCGTTGTCGTTAGACAAAAGAAACAAGCAGAAACAATCGAACATAACGGAAGACGCACAGCAAGAACAGAGATGAAGAACCAAGATATTGCCTCACTTGCAAGCATCGCTGAAAAGCTCAGTGACCATCCTCGTTCCGTTTACTCTCGCTCATCAATTCCCATAGCTCCTCCCCTCTCGGATTTCTACCTGGCGAACAACATTATTGATATGGCAAGCGGGGGAATCCGAGAAGCGGAGGCGGCACGATAGACAGGGACGGTGGAAATTCACCTCATTCTCCGCAGATGAAAAGCCGCACCTAAGAAAGGTGGGAGAAGGCCTAGAGAGAAGATGAGTGACACCGGGAGAGATAATGGGAAGCCGTAGAGGATAGGAGAGGGGAGGAGAGGAGGCCGAAGGTGGAGAAGACGAGAGTGAAAATCCGATGAGGGAGCGGGGAGGGGGCGGGGGGCTTCCGTATTCTGTACTGTACTGAAAGAGGGGAGAATCAGAGGTGGGAAGAGCCTAAACGGGGGAAGACATATATAAAAACAAAACTCACTTCTTCACGTAAGCCCAGGTAAGCATGTGAACAAAATATTCCAGACAGCTCTTACAAGACATGTGGATTTGAAGATGCCTTCGTGGGCCTCTCTCTCTCTCTCTCCTCCAATACCCAGAAGAAAAACCCCACTTCTCTCTCTGTTCTAGCATATTTTAGAACGCACTCATGTGGGCCTCCCACACTGAGAGGGCTCTAATCTACGGGTCTAATTTAATACAAACTCCGTTATCGGCTCGGGCTCCTTTAAAAGAACGCCCGTGTGGGTAGAGCCCGAGAACATCACCATTCCGGAGGGGAATCAGCCCCCGTGCTCTTGGAGCACAGAGTCCGTCTTTATCCTTCTTACGTTCAAAGACAGGAGAGGCCCTGATTAAAGGGTAAAAGAAAAGGATGGTCGGGAGCTTTGAATAAGATGGTAAAGCTCCTTAAATAGATCAAGCTTTGGGCGCGATCCCCACGTTTAAATGATTTTAGCCTCCTCGTTCGACCAGAATCCGCTAATCAACCCCGGCATCTATTTCCGATGAAGAAAGCATGCGGCGAATATCGCTTAGTCGCCATTCCCCTCAAGATTTCAACCCTCAACTCCGTTTGAAAAAGTACCCGCATTTCATCATTGATGTGGATTCTCTCTCTCTCTCTCTCTCTCTCTCTCATCAAATGTGTTCAATTTCTCCGTCCCGTCGAAACCCCCCAGGGAAGAGAGGGGATAGGAAGGAAAAGGGCAGGGCAGGTCACTCGATGTCCTTCCCTGCAAAGCAATCAACTCAATTAAAAGGACAAGATCAGAGGAAAAGCCCTACGGGCGTGAGTTTTGTAAACCAAAGATCACTGCATTAAGAAGAATAACCGCCGCCGCCCCATCGCTTTCATCCAAAAGCCGGCGACCCAGCCCCCGGCCACCGTAGCAAGAGGGAAATGGGTGGGGACGGGTGGCGCTCACATGGGCTGAGTTCCTGCCGCTTAAACCCGGAAGCTCCTCCTGCTAGGGATTCCTCCCCCTCCGACACTACTTCCTCTACTCACGCTGTCCGTCCAACATTATTATAGGAGTTATGATGATGCTGTAGCTGTGATGTATGGCCCGAACCGGCTACCTCACCTCAGACGTCGTTCGTGCCTCTGTCTGTGGTCCTCAGTCTCCCCCTCTCAATCAGATCCAGTCTCGTTTATAACGTCTCTGTAGATGGACATGGTCACTTAAATATTATTGAAATCTGAACTAAAGAAGTTGGATAGCAATGAAGGGGGGAAGAGGAGGGGGCAGCCAGTCACATGGCAGGGGATTGCTCTTCTGGCCGCTGGGGCGGCGGAGTTGGGATCAGATCTTTCCTCTTCTCTTGGAGTCGCAAGTTGTTTACGGTGGGCCTCTCGTACTACCATGGAAAAGTCTTCTGCTTGTAGTCTGAGGACATAGAGAGAGAGAGAGGATTCTTTGCGAAGGAGACCGGGGGGGAATTGCCGGCTTGATGAAGACGTGTCGAGTGGCGCGATGCTTGGAATCCGGACGGCTTGATGGAGGATAGCGGCCTCCTGACACGCAATCGACAAAAAATTAACCGAAAGGGAAGATTAGCGATCGACCAACTTTGCGGACGGGATGACTCTGCCCTTCGACGTCACCGGCATCTTCGATAGTCTTCATCGTCGATTACAACCGCGACGGCAGCTGAGGGAGGAGGAAGATACGTCCTCGCACGTGCGGTAGCGACAAGTACGGGAGACCACTCTCTGAGTGACATCAACGATAATAATGCAATCGTGGACCGAATTGCGCCGGAGAATATCGCCGATCTCAATTTCTACAAGTAGATTACTTCGTGGATTAGCTGACGTCATAGCTTTCGATATAGAACGTTCGAACTCTCACTCTCTCTCTCGCTCTCTCTCTCTCTCTCTTTCGCTATCAACAGCGGAAGTGGGGGAACTGTCCTTTTCGATTCGACAGTAATCCATAGTGAAACCATATAATAATGTAGTGCAGGAGAAGTGCAATCGCGGCCTCTTCTCCGCGGCCGGAGCCATCTGTTCGACGACTCGTTAGCCGACACCTATGCCAACGGTTTTCATTTATCCATGGCTGGGTCTGATGGTGCAGTCTCGGACCTATTCTTCGAATCCTCTAGCGGGTATGCACGTTCAGATGACGGGAAGGAAGTTTCACGGTCCTCTAGAAGATACGGAGATGGCACTCAATCTGATCTCGGAGGGCTTTTATTAATCGGAGAGAGAGGATGGTCTCAGAATCACCCAACAGCGGATCTCCCTCAGTCGCAGCGCCGAACGAGAGGCTTTCCTTGGGAAATCTCACTTACCATTCGTCGCTGGACCTCCGGTGATTGGGAATAAAATAAGAACGGAAAAGCTGCAGAGGGCTTGCGGAAATGAGATCCTGTCTGTCGTTTGATGCCTCCTAGTCTGTGACGATGAAATCGGATTAGATTGGGATCGCTCTCGTGGGTTCTTGCCTTTGGATTGATGCTTCGTGCCTCTCCATTTTCTTCGTAAAATTTTCTATTCTTCCAAAGATTGGGGCCTGGACTTGTTTTAATCTCCCTAGATAGGATTTTCCGAGATTATCCTTGACGCTTCGGTCTTGAGAAGATGGCGCTTTTGGACGGGCCGCCGCGGAGTCAGCTAACACGGAGGTGTCGTCCTCAAGCCGCAGCCCAAGGGCAAGGACAGAATCACCGCGGCCGGAAAACGGAGGCGGCGCTTTCGCCGCTCGCCGGACGTGGACAAGGCGGCCGGAGAACAAACTTCCCGGTGGGTCTTCGGGTGGCGTCAAACGTAATGAGTGGAGAGGTGGGATACAAGTACCGTGGAGGCTACTTTGAAGAAATCAGTTTGGTAGATGAGGGGAATTGACCTGCACAACAAGCACAACATCTGCCTCACCCAACCCCGTTGACTTGTTTAATGGTAGTAGATATAGTGGGGTAGGTAATACCAATCCGTTCACAGATCAGATGAGAGGAGGTGGATACGTTATGCTTGACAACTCTGATTGCATGCTGTCGGGGTAGAGAGAGAGAGAGAGAGAGAGAGAGAGTAGAAGATGGGTTCGATTAGTGTTATAGAATCCTGCCGCGGGGGGGGGATGGGGGGTGGGGAATTTAGTTTCCTTTGCGGCCCAGGACATTGTTTACTCGTGGATGGATCCGATGTCACGTAAGAAGAGTCCCAATTTTTTTCCAAACTCGAGGACGATGTGACCGCTCTTTCGTCTTCTTCGTTCCTTCATGAACTGTGTAAGAGTTAAGAGAGAGATAAAGAGTCGGAGGGTCCCGGAGATCACTACGACTCTCCCTTATCACCACACCTCGTCCGGTCGCGTCATTGAAAACACGCAGTCGGAATGCTTTACGTGAAGATCACGGCTCCCTCCGATGGGCAACCCGCACGGCTGAAAGTGCTGGTGGACACGTGCCGGCAGAGCTTACACGCGCGCTGGCATGGCACGCGAATGAGTGAGGGGTGACTCCATTCCACGCAGTCTCTCTCGAAGTCATTGACCACTACAGAAAAAAACCAATCTTTAGGTACGTAATTGTCTTAAATATCTGAGCATTTTTCTGACGAGGGCTCGTTAGACTTCCGAGAATCATTCACGTGGGTGACCATTCGTAAGGTTTCTGAAATCTTAGAAGAACAACATCGGACCACTCTTGATAGTATGCCTCACGTGTTATTTGACCTGAATCGGGAAGAAACTGAACCATTTATTAACCAACTTAATACGGCTTGGCAGCTGGCAACCTTGATTAATATACTATAGTGATGGGCACCCAGCTGGGCACGTACCTCTTTTCAAAAGATCTGAATTATTGCTTGTTAAGACGTCTCCACATGGACTCTATTTGGCAGTCGGCGCTCCTCTTTCTGAATGCTTTGCCTGGGATTGCGTCTGAGATCTCTGTGTCTCGCCGTGGGTTCTTGGCAGTTTCTCGATCCTATACTTAGATTTTAATATCGCCGGGGAGTGATAGTCTCCGTTCCATAAGCGGTCGTCATTCCGACAAATGATTGGGAGATATCGCAGTTAATAATTGCTCGATCGTAGCCAGGCATCGGCGTGCTCCAGTAATTTGGATTATAATACACGCTCGCGAGCGCGCATATGGAGAGAGGGATGGGAACCACTGGAGAAAATATGGTAGGAGCTTTAGCGGGCACAAAGTGCCCGTGCCTTGCCAGGTTGGAGTACAGTTTACAAGATTTGGATCTGCTTTGGAAGAGAAGAACAGGCTGAAAGACGTGTCCTTGGCCATCCCATATGATGCCCCAGTCTAGCCTTCTGGATGAATACGTTCCTGTGTGTAGAGATCTCTGGGCTAAGAAACCTACGATTTTATGATCTGAGAGTAAACAAGAACAAATTATCAACCTACGAATGACATCCACTTGAAGCTCACACCCTTCTTGACGTGCTAGGGGAGAAGATGCCGCTCATAATTTACGTGTGCAGACTCAGGGGGCGGTGATTTCTCCCAAGTATAACCCAAGCCTTACATGGGGTTTGTAGCCAGGTTCATGTGACACCCAACGCACGACTGCCTATCTATAAATATGGGAGAGAGGAGAGAGAGAGAGAGAGAGAGAGCAATTGACTTTTCCGACAAGAGCTTCGAGCAAAGGAAATCAGAGCCTGGTTTGTCAAGAGAGATCATATCAAAGCAAGATCACCTTCAGATAGGTCGTGAGAATAACGCCCAGACGTCCAAGGGCGTTATTTCATAATCTTTGAAGCGATTTAAAGACTTGAATATGGGCTTAACTGAAGCCAAGCCCCATCGTCCATGTCTTTCTGTGTGTGGTTGTGTGACACAGAGAAATTCGGACAAATATCTGACTCTGACGACAGAGAAAGGGTGTTTAAACTGGAGTGAACCTCAATCAAAGCCACGTATCTTTCTCGACGAGGACTAACCCGACTTGGGGCCTTCATTCGCACCGCGCGTCGCCTAGCACTACGCTATCGCCCCTGATCAACGAGGTTGAAAACGTCTTCCGTTTGTAGTCCAGGTGAGTGATGGGCAATTGCATCCTTGGTGGGTTTCCAATCGCGCCGATGACTACCCGAAAAGGACGGCGGCTTCTCCATTGGGTTGTCCTCATGGCCGGAGGACGTGGGCCGGGCTTCCGTCGACTGCCCGACGAGGAAATTTAATGGCCGAGTAGGAGATATAGTGGTTAGGATGAGCCCAATCTTCTCGCCCTACACGACAAGCTAGTGTGAGAGAATGAGATGGAGACAGGAACAGTCTGGAGAGATGGAAAGGAACGGAGAATGGAGCTTGATTAGATGGGCACGATTGGACTAATGGCGTGCTGGAAAAGAAAGATAAGAGTACAAAGAAGCTCGAGCACCTCCGTTCACATTTAGGAAGCACGCGTACATTCCGCAGCACGTGTTTGCAGTCGACAGAAGACTGGGGTCGCCATAGGAACGGTACTATCCGCATCTATTATCACGTATATTATATGGGAAATAAAATTATAACCACGCAAGGGCAGAGACTGGAGCCGTTCACCGTCATCTTCTTCATCCTCTCAAACCGTAGTGGCAGCCATCGTCATCCAGGAGACCTCTTCTATCGAGCCTGGGGATCTGCGCAGTCAAATGTGGTGCCTTCTCTCTCGTTCGATGGTCGCCTTATCGTAAGAAACCTCCGTCAATGCCTCCACGTCCTCCTCTTGCGACTCCTCAAAAGCCTATTCTACGAAATTCTCCCAGTGCTCCACATATATTTCTTCAAGGGCCAGCAGGCATTTGATGAACGTCGAGCGAAGTTAGGCTCATATGGAGCTGCAACACCGAGCTCCGTATCCTCTGCATGGAAACTGATCTTTCCTCAGATGACCGCACTCACTGCCGGCAATTTCCTTCGTTTGTGAAGAGGGCGCAGCTGACAAGCGAAAGATTCTCCGAGATCTCGATCGTCACCTTGATTGGAAGACGATTCAGTATACGCAATCAACCTCTAATGGGTAGACACCCTCTTTAAGGAAGCCCGTTCATGGACCTGTTGAACGCCCGCCGGGTTGATTCAGATCGATGGGAAGGTGGTGGCGGCGAGGATACGCAATGATGCTTTCTTGGCACACGCTTCCTTTTGGGCAACTCCATAATGGAGGTATCGAGGAATGATGCTGGCTCGGATGCCAGGGGGCGTCAACAGCCCGCATTTTGGGCTTGTGAAGACCAGCCCTCTGGACTATCCTAGAAAATGGGTTCCGAATGGGATTCTTATAGAACCCTATCCTGCCGAGAGAGAGAGAGAGAGAGTGAGAGAGGGCTTCCACGTTTTTGATCCGGGAACAGATACATGGCATTGGGTCTTACCGTTCAGATCCTCTCTACTCGGGATTGATTTTGAGCCCCAAGTCTAGAGAAAGGCCGAAAGCATGTATTGTAGGTCTACCCGAGTCATTGGCACCTCTAACAGCATCAGGTCTAGTTTCTTTGTGCTTATTCTAGTCTTCTTCTTAAAGCCGATGCATCCAACGGCAGTGTGCGGGGATGGCAGCAGCATCACTGATCGGAGCTTGGTGGTGACCTAGTCCTGCTTTATCATTAATGGCCTGGAGGCCTCACCGCTGAGTGGGTTGAGCACAGTTTGAGGCCTGCTCAAGTGTGACTATATAATGGGACTTGTCACATTCCACCTCTCTCTCTCGCCGTGTAAATGAATATATATATAGCTATATATATAGCGAAAGAACGCATGAAAGAGAGATGATGGCATAAAATAATTGAAGGAAAAAGATGATGCGAGTGGTAAGAATTTTATTCGGGTTTGGTTTAGTCGCCATTTATTTGAATATTAGGCAACGCTTCTATGAAAAGATGCAAATAACAGCGGCACCACCACGCCTTCCATCTCTACCTGTTGACGGAGGAGCAGTCCCGTCGAACCTCCCCCTGGCTCCCGGTCTTCAGGTCGACCCTGCCGAGCGTGATCATAGCAGCGGCGAAGGCCTCATCGAAGGCGGTCCTGTTTGTCGCGAACAGATTGACGGTCTCCCTTGACCTCGTGTCCGTGAAGAGAACCTGGTCGGACGCCAACAGGCCCATCCCCGTCTGCAGGTTCTGGAAGTAAGCGTTGTCGAAGACCTGCGGCGTGCTTAGGTCCAGGTTGACGACGACACCGGGGTCAACACCGGCGGGGCAATCCTGCCGAAGTTTCAGGGCGTAGGCATTGTTCATGGCCGGGTCCACGGCCCTCGTCTTGCTGTACCTGTAGATTCTGCTGGAGAACCTGGAACAGTGAGAGAACCCGATTGTGTGCGCCCCTGGTGATCATATGACGGCATCATGAATCAGTTGTTCTGCGAAGAAGGGGAGGACGATGGAGTTTACCTGAGAGAGCGATCATGTCCGTCTGCGAAAGGCCACGGGAGGCGAACATGGCGTTGAGCTGGTCCAGGGTGAATCCGGGGAGGGGAAGCTTATGCCTGACCCCGGCTCTGGTCGAGGTTCGGCCGTCCCGCCGGCCCAACTCGACGGGGAAGAAAGGTCCGCCAGTCTGGGAAATCACTCAAAGTCAACTGATAATGATCAGGGTAAGCTTATATACCAGATGGATTACCAGTGACACGACGTCTCTCGCAGCCAGGGCCAGTATGTCGGCGCAGGAGACCTGGTTTGTGCAGCCGGCGACTGCGTCGACGGCCGCCTTCGCTTTGACCACGGTGTCGAAGCCATCTCCGGCGAGAGAAATGTCGTCGGAGCTGTGTCTCTCGTCGTTACCCTTGGAATCGCTGATCATCACCGAAGCGTCGCACCCCTGCCCGTTAACCCAAGAAATAACCCGTCACTGGAACGATAATCCCTGCTGATCCTACCAGTCACAGTCGAGTGTCGAAGGGACGCACTCGGACGAAGCAGTCGTGGAAGAACAGTCGGAGGGTTCCCGGAGCAGCGATGAACGTCTGCTGTAGCTTCCGTTCGACGGCGCCGCGCACGATGTCCTCCACGCCGGGGCAGACACTGCTGTAGTAGTTCTGCCGGAGCTGAGCCGAAGCCATCGCCAAGAGTGTCATCTGAAAGGCGGCGAGACGAAGAAGGTTGTGAGTGCTCTCCATGGCCGCAGATGAGAGAGGGAAGAGTGGTAGGGAGAGAAAGAGAGGGGCATCCATTGATGTATCGTCTGAATTTATTAAATGGGCAAACCAAAGGTTCTCCCTGTACAAGGTGGAAGCTGGGTATGACAGCGTTATGGAGAAATTTCCATCTTCGCAGCGAAACCCAAAGCTTTATCGGATCCTATCCAGCTGGGTACGACGAGCCAGTAGACCGGGTGCCACGCTCGACAATTGGGCCATGAAAGGCAGACTATAAATGGGCCACACATTTCTGGGCCGTAACTCCATGGTTTCTGCTCAAATTGTGCTGTATCAAACTGGGCCTCTATGTGTCGAATCGACAGGTGGATCAGGTCCGCCAGAAGAAAGAGGATAACTTGACACGTGGCGTGCAGTGGGAGCGATGCGGGGCCCACAAAAATATTGGCCGTCGAAAGCGTGTAGTCTCCATCTGGCCGTCCAAAAGACGGGACAATGCGGCTAGATCTGCGTTAGATTCACCCCTCCACTATCCCCCCCAGGTGTCTAGTCACCGGGATTGTTGGTCAGGTTATTCGCGGTATTGTTCGGGAGGTGTTGGTTATGGTATCCAAGTGCGTTTTGCTGAGGATCTATCCTCTCTCTCCCTCTCGCCCTGTTTCTCTCTCACACTTCCCGACCCAGTGAGGTCTCTCCATCCTCGTCCACTATAAATTACGGGAGGCTCCGGTTTAGAGTTGGTTTTTTGCGTCTCTCCTTTCTTTCCGTTCCGTTCGTCGCGAGCTAGCAGGTCTGGGCGGACAGAGAGAGATAGAGAGAGAGAGAGGGAGAGAAGGTGGAGAAGTGAAGGATTAGGTCTTCTCTGTTATGGGATTTGAGAGATGGCGGACGCAGCGGATGATTTCAAGTACGTGGAGCTCTGCAAGGGCATCAACGGTCTCGACAAGGTTGTCCTCAGGGAGGTCCGCGGGAGCTCGGCTGAGGTTTGTCCTGATCTCGTTTTCTGTTCCCACTGTTTGTCGCCTAAGTTTGTCACGACAATGTTGTTTACGGCGTGGAATTCTCTTCTCGGATCGATTTTTTTAGTTGCCGTCTAGCAATTCTCGAGATTGTTTTACTCCTTTTGGTTCTGCGTTTTCTTGGATCTGATGTGTTCTTTCGTCCATCGAGAGTTATATCTTATGTCTTCTGGATCCTCGAGAATCTCTTGTTTCTGCCTTTGTTTTTTTACGGGGACGTACTACGAAGCTTGCTGTAATCTGGAAATCTGTCGGGACATGGCGCACCGGGATTTCACACAATATGCATGCGGTCTGTGGTGTCAGGTCTTTCATGATTAGGTTTCCGTTAATAGATTGAATGCGTATCTTCTTATTTTATTTTCCCGTTGTACGGGATCTTGCACTCGCCCATTAATCGTTCTTTCCTCCTTCTTTGATGTACTAAAAAATTTGTTTCAGAACTCCTGATTCAATCTTGATTCGTGTATATTTTCTTGTTTTCTCTGGTTGATCGTTTGTTGAACACTTTCAACAGAGAGTCGCCGTCTGGAACCGGTGAAATGTCTTTTGATGTCCAAAGTCATTAGCTAATGCTATCAGAGACCCAAAAATGAATCGTTGGTTGGGATGCTTTGTTATCCTGTTTGTCTCATTAGTATGTGATAGATTGCTATTTGGCTATAAATTTCTCTCCGTCAACTGTTTTCTTCTGCTGAATAATTTTAATTGATATTGGAAATGTCATTTTTCTCGTTCTTACACTCTCTTCTATGTTCTATTTCGAGCCTGGTAGTATTGCATTCTGAGGTACCAGCTGATAGTTATTTCAAGTCAGTCTGCGTTGCTGTGCCTGCTGCATTTTCTTCTCATTTGTTTTCTTATTGCTTTGCAGTTAGTCATGAGATTTGATTTTTTTACGATTCTTGATAGTGCTTCTGATTATTATGACACCCTGTTGGAAATGGCCTCATGCACTTTCTGCCTAGGTTTTCTTGCATTCTTCACAATATTGTTTGCGTGTTGGCGTAAATTAGCTAACAGAGGTGTATGGGCACTATTTGTTTGGTGATGAAAATGATTTTCGGAAAAATAACTAAGATTCCTACTATAATTGTAGCATGTTTTTTCTTGGATCTAAATGCTAATCCTTTTTTATACCATTTTCTACGACTCCATTAATTGGTGCATAGCAGGCTTTCTTATCCAATCCATAATATGTTAACCGTGCCTTCCTTTTTATCTCTTCGTATCAGTATCTTGTTGAAATTATATATGTATTTTTTAATTTTTTTTCTAACTGAAGGTCTACTTGTACGGGGCTCATGTGACATCTTGGAAAAATGACCATGGGGACGAACTGCTTTTCGTGAGTAGCAAGGTACTGGAAAATATATTTTAGAATATTCATTCTATGGTTTAATCGCGCATAAATTCGTTTGCATTTCAACTTATGGCATTGCCGACTATAGATAATAGGATATATTACTGTAGATCAAGGTCCATAAGTAGGAATGTTAGTCAGCTTGGCTTCAGCTGGTGTGGCATCAGCCTAATCTTGATTAGACTAGGTTGCCCTCTGGTGAGCCGTGCCCAAATACATCCTACCAAAATAAAAAATTATATTCTGTGCCGAATTATTCTGTAAATAAATAGTGTCAAATAATCATTAACACAAAAAAGAGATATTGTGCAACCTTTTGCATTTTAAACTCTTGAAAAACCTTCCTTCATCTTAGTTGCTTCTAGGACGGAGAAAAGGACACAAACAATACCAAATCGCATAATCACCTTCTTTCTCATCCCACAAGAATCTTACCCACTCTTTCATTGTCAGAAACCCGTATAAAACACTATAAATTGTTGAACTTTAATTTTAAAAAAATATGCTTGTTTCTCTCCGTCCAAACAGCTTAGAGAGATCAATGCAAAAATGCCACCAAATCTTGTGATCCAGCTTCCTTTTCCAATGTTGAATGCACCGTTGACGGAGCTTTTTGATATTATTTGAGTGTTGCGACCTTAGGAATATTTTAATGTATAAAAATTGCCTATTCTTCATAATGGATTACCTTTTAAGGTACTAAAAAGTTTTCACGTCCTCCCACGTCTAATGTGTGGGCGACAGCATCCTCATGTTTAGTTGAATGACATACCCTCCTTGACCGAACATCTAGGTGTAGTCTGGTGGCCTACAATGTCCAGTATAGGCTGTCCAATCAGCCAACTGACGTGCCCTTTAGTATTATCCATGTTTTTTATTTCAATAGACAATCGTGTGCGCAGTAATTTAATTGTTTTGAATTTTTCTATTCAGCTACCTATCACCAACTCTCCACAAGCATATGAGATCCAAGAGACTGACCAGTCAGCCAGAGTTCCTACCATACTCCTAATCATTAGGTGTTATTGATCGTTTGTCGGTTCTTTATGTACAACCAGGGGTCCAAGTACTACAGGAAATATTCCCTTAAAGATTCCAGTGTTAAAGTTGTTCATATTCATCATTCTACCTAAATTTGACAGTCTAAATGACCACAAGTGGCATCACAATTATGCCAAAGTTAACTTTCCTGCATCAAAAGATCTGTGAGGTTAGTTGATAGGAAGAAGTTTTACCATCGTATTTTGAACGAGTACGATGGAGAGAAAGAGGGAAGTCTTATGTTGGAGATGTGATCTTCAGTGGCCGAAGTATTTGGTGATGTTCATATCAATGGTTGGAATTAGTTATATATTTGGTGCTGTAGATTTTTTATTTCAATGTTATGGTTTTTTTTTTCTTGTGAATACTTGGTTAAGTCGCTTTATTACTGTAATGCATAGAGGTGTTGCATCCGCAGTAGCAGGGGGATGCTGTACATCTGTAGAAAACATAAAAGATCGAAAAGTGAACGAAACGGAGTTGCAAAATGTTGGCTTCCATCGGATGCACCATGAAGAGTGTGGAGAAGATCCGGGATTGAATGGTATGACTGAACGTGATCTGACTTCATCAGCATATCGTAAAAAAAAACATCAGAGCGTCACTACGGAAAAGTCATTATTTTGGATGGCACTCTTTGCCAAGGTTAATGCGAGGTCCTGTTGATGAACCAAAAACCGAAGCCCACAAGTTTCGAGTAAAGTGCGTGTGCTTCAACATCCATATCCGAGGAATACTCAAGCTCAACCGGTTGGAAAGGAATCTGGTGAAAATTAGCTGCCTGAGCTATGTAGAGTGCAGATGAATGAGTTGGTAAACTCTGCTAGAGTCATCAGATTGAGCTGACCTGCGTCTGAGACTTGATTTCTGCTTAGCCTGCTCTGCCATATTTTTGACAAGAAGGTATGATATTCAGGATTTATGGAGGGGAAAACGAGATCGGAAAATATTTTGATAAACTCAAATCTAGGAAGGCAGTTGGCCAAGGATCTCTATGCTAGTCAAGCACGGTTTATATGTAGGATCTCAGAGGTGACTTACCATTGTGATGAGGAAAGAGGTTTGATTTGAAACTCTCAAAGGCCTGTTTGGGGGGAGGGGAGATAGCCAGTGGTAGTATGGCCGATGGAGAATGTGGAGGAGGGTTATTAAGCTCTGAATTTTATTGAAGTACTGCGTTTTGTACGTCTGGGCGTGGGAAAATGGTTCCCGAGTCTTTTTGATGTGATGTGTGTTGTGTTTTTTGATTATTTTTCATTTCATATTCTTTGCGTTCTTTGTTTTCATACAATGATGTTAGATTTTATTATTTCTATCAACGTTGCTCGCTACTAGTACTGTGTAAGCAGTCTTTCCCCCATGATGACTCTCCTGGCCAGGTTTCTCATGAATGTGGTGATCATTGATCTCTGATATTTTCTGAATAGTTCAATTATTTTTTTAATAATTTCGTATCTCCTTTTTTTTTTCCCCCTTTTCTCGCAGGCTATTTTTAAGCCGCCAAAGGCGATTCGTGGGGGGATCCCTATATGCTTTCCACAAGTAAGAATCTAATCTCGTCTAACATTCATAACTTGCATTAATAATCCTTACATCGAAACTGTTCTCTCCTCTGCGAACGGGGTGTTGGTAATTTCGAGCTATGATTGCACTCTCTACTTCTTTAATTTGGCTGTAGATTTTATTTTCTTTTTACTTTAGTTTAGTCATTTTATTTACTTATCTTGCTAAGGCTGAATGTCTTCTGACCTCAGTTTGGAAGTCATGGAACTCTTGAACAACATGGGTTTGCGAGGAACAGGTTCTGGAACATAGACACAAGCCCTCCACCTTTTCCGACGAACACCACAAATAGAGCTTTCGTTGACTTGATCCTTAAGCCATCCGATGAAGATTCCAAAATCTGGCCGCATAGGTAGCCTCGACTCTCCCCCCATTTGTTCGCATCTCTTCTCAGAAGGACAGCCCTGTGGGACGTGGCCAAGCAGTTCCTTTTCTTCTACTTTGCAGTTACGAATTTCGTCTGAGAGTCACCTTGGGACCCGGAGGAGATCTCATGCTGACATCGCGCATAAGAAATACAGGCTTGGACGGGAAGCCCTTTTCCTTCACATTTGCATACCACACCTACTTTTCTGTCTCTGACATCAGGTGCGCAAGTTAATCGCTTTGACCTGAACTTTGTCAATATTCAAGTAATTATTCTGCATGTGATATCATAGATCTTTGAGGCATAGGTACTAGTTGTAGGGATAAGGGAAGCATTGTTGTGGCCTAAGCCCTGCACATAAAGCACATAAACACAGTCCAAAGTTTGCCGATGATTGCTCATGTACGATGGGGATATGACTTGGGATGGAAGACGGGAGGGATGGGATAAGCTGTAACATCTCTCTCTACATATGTACATATATGGGATGGTGCATTGATGGTGCATTGATACTCTTGACGATATCCAAGATCGGGTAGTTTGAACGAATGCATTGTGAATGTTCTCAGTGAGGTGCGTGTGGAAGGACTGGAGACGCTGGACTATCTCGACAACCTGAAGGCGAGGGAGCGCTTCACGGAGCAGGGAGACTCCATTACGTTTGAATCAGAAGTGGGTAATTCGTCAGATTCTCCGATCTCCCCCCCCCCCGCGGCCTTTAGCTACTTACTGACTGTTGCTTATTCTATGAAGATGGACAAGGTTTATGTCAGCACCCCCACTAAGATTGCGATACTCGACCACGAAAAGAAGAGAACTTTCGTCCTACGGAAAGACGGGCTCCCCGATGCCGGTGTGTTTGAGTATATTATAACCCCACCTCTCTCCCTCTCTCTCCCTCTCTTTCTTTCTTATAGCCGTTGTGTCTCTGCAACAGTGGTGTGGAACCCCTGGGACAAGAAGGCCAAATCCATACCAGACCTTGGGGACGACGACTACAAGCACATGCTGTGCGTGGAGGCGGCTTGCATCGAGAAGTCTATTACTCTGAAGCCCGGGGAGGAGTGGAAAGGCAGGCAGGAGTTGTCCACTGTCCCCTCCAGCTATTGCAGCGGGCAGCTCGATCCCTCCAAGGTTCTCGAAGCCTACGGCTCCCTCACAGGTCGGGGCCCCTCTTCTGCCAAGGATTTCTGCCCTTAAACGGTTCTCTCTCTCACACACACACCCCATTCGCGCATCATTGTCTCCCGCAGGCGGCGGCGCGTAGCGCGCGCTGGTCGAGGTATACGGATTCTCCTCCGTCCTTCGTCTTGGTTAGGTCGATGCTTTTGATTGTTACTCTCCTAGATCCTCGCGCCGGTTTTTGGCGGCGAACGCGAGGCTGCCTATCTCCTTCCCCTCCCCTCGTCATTCCGGCCATCTACCGGGCTATTGTTGTCGGTTTGAGGACCGGTAAATCAGTCGACCTTCGTGCTTCAGACTGTACTCCTATTTGATTGCCAAGCCCTTTGAATCGATTAACTAGGTGAAATCATAAACTCGTGGAGAGGAAGATGAAGATGTGTAACGGCGTTGGCATCCGACCCGTTTACAGAAACCAGGGTTCAGGGCGGTGTATGGTGAGAGGGCCTGACCTGTCGGTGCCCTTATTATGTGTTAGAGACAGAGCCCAAGATCTACTGAGTTACTACTACACAGGGGACTCTGCAAGGATTTGGACCCTCTCATCTGCATTCTATTTAACTGCATTCAATTTACTCGTGACCATGGGTAGACTCAACTACGAGGTCAAACTTTAATGTGCCTCGCGAACTTGGAATTCATGTGACACCCCTAGTTTAGTGTTATATAGGTTCAGTCTGTCGCACACCTCTGCGAGGCGTGGGGCAGAATGCATGGGCAACAATGACTCACGCTTGGGTGTGTCTGGCTCAAGCAAATGGCACCGCCCAAGGCAATACAAGCAGACGTATGGGGATAGTGTGGCTAGCACGTCATATATTATGGGACTTGCGCATATGTGTAGAGTTCTAGCAGAGGACTCTATCAGCATGGGACCGGGTTAGAAAGAGTGTTTTGTGAACTTCGAAGGGCGTTGGTGTAATGTGACATGGCAACGACACAACTCAAGACAACACGGCGTGGATGGCAAATGCGACGGTCACACATGCACCAATCACAAACACAAATGGCATGCACGACTTGCATGCCATTTGTGTAGGCTCAACAACCAAATGAACCAGGTTGGTTCTTCATGTGAGGCAACCACCCCCTCTGCCTACTAAGGAAGCCTCTTTATAAGGAAGGGGGATAACTGAGAGGGCAAATTGGGTAATTCTCGGGACAGCTCTCCCCTATAAATGGAGGATTCTAGCCTTCCACGAGTTGTGTACTCACACTTTAGAAGTAGAATATGCATATCCTTGAGCAAGCAAAACTGTCCCACGTACAGAGAGGCTTCTTGGAGCATCGACAAAGCTGTCCATGGCTAGAATGATGATTTGGTATCAGAATGATTTGATATCAAAGAAAGTTTGGAGGATTTTAAGAACAGCTAGAGATAGTATAGCCCATAGTCAGCGCATCTCTTGCCTTGAGGAGCGAATGGCCATGCTATCCAATTCATTGAGATTTAAGAGTTTTTTTAATCGTTCAAGGAACGAGTGAAAGACTGATATAAGGATGCGAGGGAGGTAGTCACCCGTGGATCATGAGCAAATGAGGCAGAGGCAAAAGGGCCATGTGAGACGCTTGAGACCTTTGCTGTCGATGTCTCACTATTGAATAGCATGTCAGCGAGATGTTCAGTGACAGCCCTGTATTGATTATCACTTTCAAACGGAAACCTCTGGCTTGATGGTGATGTGCTGGCCACCGTTGACGAGCCAATTGGGATGTGGAAAAAGCCCTCCACATTTTCACTGATCATCACGCAGTAGACCTTCTCTCTCTGAATAAATTACCTTTTATGGCCAATATTACTTCGTTAAAGACGCGCATGCTAAAAAAAACTGAGAGCTACTTTTGCTCAGGTGCATTAGGATTGGAGGTTTGGCCAGGGTTAGCATTCAATAAGATCTGGTTTTGTACCAAGGTCGTATTTATGAAACGATTTCGAAGAGATGCACTACAAGGATGCGCTAATGGTGTCGTAAGTTCTTAGAAAGATGTTATTAATTAGTCCAATCCTTCCGGCTTTTTGAAACATTCCAGTCTTTTTGGAGCATTATCCATGAGTTGACTTGAGAATGGGCGACGTAGGTGTGATGGATGATGACTCCAGGTCTTCAGAAACTTGTTTTTTTCTGTTTCCCCGTTTTCTTGGATATGTTCAGTTCCTTCCAGAGAAAACTTTTAGTTTATGCTTTCTCAAAGGCTCTCATAAGTTACTGGGCTACACTCATGATGGGGTCCTACTGTCGGATAATACCTGTACATAGAAAATTCTCCAGAGAATTTTTAGTTTATTTGTGACAGCCCCCTTCTGCTCCACTTATCGAACCATGCGCTTCACTTTCATGAATTTTGAGTCATGGTTCATTTTTTTTGGTTTCAGTGCAGAGGATTGGAGGTATGCTTCAGAGCAGTTTGTCAAGAAACTTCCGGGCAAACAGTGTATCGCGAGTCTTTCTCCTCTCCCACTCTGTGATTTGACTTTCCTTGAACCTGCGTATGATCAGAACTAGACCCTGTTTCTTCGGATCCATACGGCTTAGCTGAGGTTTCTCTCCCCTCAATGGTTTCTCTTCCATATCCTGCATTAGCTGTTCCAAGTCGCTTCAATCCCAGTCTATTTTGAAAAAACACAGATCAACATAGCAGGACAGAAAATTTATTCATGCACAACGACCAAAGAAATTATTCAACTCTGACATGGCTTTTGAAGCAGGCAGTCAAAGGCAATTATAATCTGACATTTGATGGCGTGGATATGATGGGGGGGAGGTTATCCAAAGAGGTAACAGCAGGAAAGAGATAAGTTTCGAACACTTTCGAAATCGTTCAAAGTTTTACTCGAATTCTCATGGATTTCAGGTCTTTGTGGTTCTCCTCCGGAGTGATGCTGACTCTGTGTGAACAGGTCTTTGAATATGAAGCTTTGTTGATTAATCTTGGCGGGAGATTCACAGTTATTCTCTTATAAGTAATTTTAGTCGTAAAGCGGAGACCAGGGTTACAAAGGATCTCCTTTGTCGCTCACTCCTTGGGTGGTCTGATTGCTAGATATGTTATCGATAGGCTTTATGAGCCTGGATCTGCTGGAAATCGTCGATTTGTATAGGGAGTTCTTTGACAAAAGGCAGACATCCAGAAGGTGGGCGGCTGGATTGGAGCCGATAAGCTTCATAACATTTGCTACACGGCATCTAGGTTCAAGAGGGTACAAATAGGTAAACAATATGCTAATATTTTTTAGGAAAAATATTGTGTAATCAATAATCTTTTTTTTTTTTACTTCATGCAAAATTCAGATGTTTATCCTTTTTTAGAAGAATTATTTTGAAATCAATAGTCTTGTGTGGAAATAAGGACAATGATAGGGCTCTTGTTTCATTGACTCTTTTATTCCATGTGGACATGAACAGGTAAACGAGAAATTTTTCTTTCTTGGCATTCAGATGTCTACCTTTTGTAGGAAAATTATTAGGAAAATCAAAAGTCTTGTGTGGAGCCAAGAACAAGGACATGATTCGTCTCATTTACTTTTTTTCTATCATGTGGGGCCAAATAATTGAATGAGAGCTTTATATTGACTTTATTTTCCTTTCATTCAATTTAGTTGCCTATGAGAGAAAAATCCAGAATGAACTACATCCAAGGCATTGGTCTCCAACTTAAGGGCCTAGAAAAATCTAGAAGAGCGAGTACGGATGTAGAGGACATGACTTCCTTAAAGTGTTGGAAAGTTGTTTTAGCCTCATCAGTCTAATGAAATGCATCACACTTCAACTAATATACTAGGGGCTATGCAATCTCAACATAGTCCATCATGAATCTCCAGTGATACCCTATCAAACTGAGGAATCCATGAAGGTCACAAATGTTAGTAGTGGTCAGTCACATTAACATCACCTGGACCTTGCTTTGATCAACCTCCACTCTTTCAGCTGACACCCATAACCCCAATAATTCAACATTTTTCTATGTGAACATATATTTTTGTTGGCTGAGATGTAGTCGTTGTAGAGATAAGATATCCAATATGATCTTTTGGGTATCCTTTAGGTATCCTTCATATTCTTTGCATTCTTACTGTGCACTAAGATTTCATCAAAGAAAAGAAGAATGAATTTATGTATGTGATTATGAAATATTTTATTCATAAATGTTTAGAAGGTACTTGGTGCAATCTTTAAACCAAATGACATGATCAAAAATTCATGATGATTCTCATGGGTTCGAAATGTCATTTGATAGATATTGTATGTCTTAGTATATTCTCATGGGTACCTTGATTTTAGATCTCATTTTGAAATGGTCAAATCATATAATTTATCCAACTCCTCATCCACAATAGATATGGAGAACTAGTCATATCTTATGACCTAGTTGGGCCACAATAATCAATGCAAAAGTATCACTTGCCATCCTTTTTCTTCACCAACAAGACTAGATTGGAGTATGGGCTAACTAAGGGTTGTATCTATCCCACACTAATTTCTCAATTTCACACTTATGTGATTGAGGATATATGTGGAGCCTAATGTTGGTAGAGATAGACTCTAATATAAATATCTTATGTGGTCCACTAGCAATGAGAAGACTTTAAGGTACTTTTGTTGGAGGCTTTGCATTAGTGCATAGTGTAGCGTTAACCCTGATGGCTCTTATACCATTGTTAGTTGCCATAACTTGTAGCCCATTATATATCAGATTGTAACACTTATGTGAATGAGTGTAAGGATATACTTGATTTACTCAAAATGGGATCTCCCTTGAGAGTGAATGGAATCATGTTCACTATAAAACATGTTGTTAGCATGTTACAATTAATTGTCATTGGTCTCAAAGTTTGCAACTGCTACATCTTCAATATTATATATGTGTTGCTCAATTATAATGACAATTAGTCTTCGAGTACTTTTAGCTTTGGTATTTCCAATAGCACTCATTTGCATATTTATCTTCCATTGACCACCACCTCATTTCTCATCAATATTATATAATTATTTGTTCTAGATAATGATAATTATAATTCTTCAATTAGGTACTCTACCAGAAAATTATGGTTAACCCCAATATCAATTAACATTGTGGTTGTTTTCTAACCAATTATGTCCTTAAACTTTATCTTCCCTAGTGTTGTCAAACACATCATTAAGTTCATAGAAAGTTCAACCTTATGTTCACCAAGGACCTCTAATAATTGTATAGAGTATTTCCTTTGATCCATTTCATCTTCTCGATCCTCCTCATGCATAACAATCAGTGATAACTTTTTTACAATAATGTCCAAGAATGTACTTTTTATCATAGTTAAAACAAATCCCTTTGACTATTTAATCTTGTAACTTTATTTCTATTGGTGTCAACCATCACTTGAGTCTTTTGCTTGAGAGCTCTATCCGATCCCTCTTGCTAGTTTAAACTTATCCAATGGATCAACTTTGGCTTGTATTGACGAGAAACTTTTGGTCTCTCTTGATATCAATAGGACACTACTTTCACTATAGGATCGTTGTCATCCTAGTCTCATTCTTCTAAGATTTATGGCTATGTGTAACGTAATATTCTCCTCTTCAATAGCTTGGGCAGTATCCATGATATCTCATACCATAGTCCTTTGGGTTTCAACAATTTGATTTCAATCTTAACCTCTGATTTGAGTCCTTCAACCAATATACCTTATAAAGCTCCTTCATGTAAACCTTCAATGACCGAAAATAAGAGTTAAAAATCACATTGATATTTTAAAAATGTTATATGCTACTTGATATTTAGGAATTGTTCTCACAAAATCTTATAATGGTTGGAATTGAACCAACTTTGTGGTCTTTGTGTTTGTTAGGCACTTCCATCTATTAAAGGTGGAAGTTCATACCTATTTGACAATTCTCGAGCCTCTAATCATTTAAACCAAATGTGTGTCTCCTCAAAGTTTATGTCAATCAGTTTCAATTTGTGTCCTTGTGTCATGTCTTACAACTCAAAATAATATTATACACAACTTATCTAATCATATGAACTATCACTATCAAATGTTGATATCTTGAGTTGCTTTTCTTTGGTGGGCAACTTTAGTGAGTATATGTCTTCCTCTATTCTTATCTCTGATTCAACCACACTAACTCTTCGTCCCTCTAAAAACCCTCAAAAGATGCAACATCATACAAAATATCTCTCATATGTCATTCCAAGTTAGTGACCTTACAGTTCATATTTGTTAACATCTACTTAAGCTCTTCCTCCATGGCAAATAGACGATGTACACCCTCTTTTAATTCCTCTACCTCAATCTCAAAGTTGTCATATTAGTAATTGTTCCCCTCCGAAGTCATCTTTGAGTACTTAGGTCTAAAACCAAATAATATGGCCCTAGGCACTAATGTACTAAATTAAAGGAATTACAAGATAATAGTTCAAAATAAAATAAAAACATTTATTATCAAGAGAATCCTCATCCTCAAAGATGGCATATTGTCCCTTGTGAAGTTGATTGAAGAGGACATCACCCACTCTCCCTTTGTGATGTAGAACTTCTACTATTATTATATAATCTTATACGCCTCTCAAACATTCTTTGTAATTACAAATTTGCCTCTTAATCTTCTAGCATCTATAGGTGAAGTTGGTCATATCTTTTGAATGATGGGTCATAAGTTACTTGAACTATCTTCGGGCTTTATCACAATGTAAACTTAAACATGTTGGAGCATTGAAATATATGATATTTTGATGCTGAAAATTAATTATAAAATTAATTTAAAAAATAAATTATGTCTAGTTTAGAATATTGATGAAAGTGTTCATATATAATTTAATACAATAATAATAAATGTTCACATAAAAACTCATTGACATACTACTACTCTAAATATTTTATTGATTTCATTGTATGAAATTATTATCTTACATATTGTTGTGTAAAATGTTAATATTTATAGAAATTGTCATAATAAAAAATGGAGTGATTAGAGGACCTAAGTCAACAAAATTTTATGAAATAAATATTTATATAAAAGCTTGTTCAGTCATTTATGAACCCATACTTCTACACCATCGATTTTAAAATATTTAAATATTAAATTAAACAATTGAATTCAGATTGTTCAGTATGCCACACATTATTTTTTAGATACTAAAGAATATAATTTACAAAATCAATTTAGATATGTTAAATCTTCGAAATCATGAATATAAATATTAAGATCATAATTCATGATGTTGACTTAATAATATTCTATTTTATTTTAGGTATTTTGAATAAGATTTAATTACTTAGTGACTATCTTATTAAGATATATTTTGTTAACCATACTTTAAAAATGTCATATCCTAAATAGATTGATATAAACTAACATGATTAAGATGTGAATGCTGAAGTGTTAATAAAACCATGTATGAATTTTATATGAAAGTATCATAATCATCTAAAGCACATCATATTAGTCTCTTAGCCTTTTGAATTAATCATATTTTAGAGAAAATAGTTGTTGAAGACTACATAAATTTAAAAAGATTTACATACAAGATTTGCCTATAAAGTTTACTATCTTCTAACAACTAAAATAAAGAGAACAATAATATTTCTCTTCTCAACAATCTCTAGCTTTGTAATGAATTTTTTCACATAAGAAATTCAAAAAAAAATAATTATGTTGGCAAGTCAATGTCATCAAAGATATTAACTCGAAGAAAATTGTTATAACCTTGAAAGATACTCTTCATCTTATTCAAAACTTAGAGAGACTTCCATCAACACTAGTAATTCGACAAGAAGAAGACGATGAATTCAAGCCACCAAATGTTATTATTTTAATTAAAATTCTGAAGGTACTCAAAGTGTACATCATTCTCTATAAAATTACTCATCTATGGTCAAATCATTTTATATTGATTGTGGGATAAACTTGAGATTCAAGTATGATTTAATCATAGGATTTGTCCCTTGAAATAGTTGTTGGCCTCTTAGAGCCATGGATTTAGAAGAAACGTTTGAGGTGAAATTTTGTGAGAGCTGAGTTTAGTAGTCAATGGTGTGTGATGAAATAATCATAGCTAGTAAAACCTAAGAACACATTGTTCTTAAAGAGTGGACATAAGTAGAAGGCCAAAACACTATAAAAATATTATATATTCATACAAAATTCGTTTAAGTTTTAGATAATTAAGGACTAGTAAGAAAACTCATCATAATGTCAACATACAATTTTCAACTAAGAAAATTAGATTTGAATCAATTCAACCCTCATTTCTTGATTCTAGTGTGTGACAAAACCCAAGTAAGACAAATGAGTCAGTTCTTTTACATTATATATATATGAATTTTCTTATTAAGGTACAAGCAATGATAATTTTTAATTGTGAGATGTTTGTTGTGCTTTAATTGTTGTTGACAAAACACATCAAATGTCAATATTTATAACTAATTTCAAAAGAGAAAATCAAACTTAAAATTTGGTGAATCTAGGTCAATCAAATAGAGGATTGTTAATGCTATTGTCTTAATTTATACTCTCAAACTTAATTGAATTAAAGATAACATATAAATAAAATAAAATGTCTTTCTACCTCCAACAACTACCCATGTTAAGATTTATATTTGTAAGTCATGTTGAATCCTTCAGTTACTCCTCAATGATTTGTATTCTCTAAAGAATAAATACTATATTATGAAATCTTTGAATCATATGACATTAAATTGGATAGATGGTTGAAAGATAGAAAAGAAAAATTTTAAAAGTGAGAGAAAATCATGACACTAAGATTGTGTCACATAAGGTAAAACATAAGAAATACCTTTGCTCAAACTAGGTATATTATCTAGTGAAATCTACAGAAAATATAAATTTGGACCAGTGGAAGCCTCATTTCTCACCCAAAGCAAACTTGTGTCCAACTAAAAACTCAAGTGAAATAAATTGGAAGCTATATTTGCGTCATTAAGAGATAAAATAAGAATATGTAGGAAATAAATAAAGTAAGGACCAAATTAAAATAACGAAAGTGAACGAAATTAGGTTTAATCATTTTATCCATCTATCACCTAGACAAGAGGATTAAACAATATCATAAAAACTTCACTTGGAGAATAGAAACTATTTCAAAAATCAAAAGAAAATCACATGCCTTGATTTCCTCCATCTACCACCCAAAAAACACCCCAACCAATAGAGAACAAGAGGAAGATGGGGAATGTGACATAAGGAGGGAGAGAATGAGAGAGAGAGAGGGAAAGAACAAGTGGGAGAGGGAGAGAGAGAGAGTAAACACCCCCCTCTCCTCTTCTTCCCTCCTAACTATTATTACTAAAAATTTAGGGTCACAAAAAATAGAAAGCTGAGGTGGCATCCAATAAGTTTTCATACATGCATGTGCATTGATGTGGCTCATAAAATACACATTGGGTGATATGGCCTTCTATGATTGGTACCATTTTTTGTTCTAACTTAAACTTGTAAAAAATCACACAAAATAGTGTCCTCTTGATTATATTGAATATCACTTTAATAACACACTATTAACTCATCAAAAAAAAAAAAAAGGCTATCCACCTACATAAATAAGAAGGTCAAGCAGAAATATCTCAAAAATAATATAAATACTTCATAAATAAATAAAATTAATTATATAATCTTGTTTGAATATTTTTCATTTGATTTTATTACTTGTGTCATTAGTTAATGCGACATTTATCATCAGTTTATCATAATTAACATAAAAGGATGGCATATTAATAGTGTCCTCCTTATAAGATGATCGAAATTGTGCTTAGTAACAAGAACAACAACTCTTTAGTTAGGGTTGCAGATATTGTTCATCCTACAACTCAAAGATACATTGAATAAATTTTCCATGTTATCCCACAACAGCATGGTTAAGGTCATTAGCAAGAGTTGAGCTTATGATTAGTCATCATGATGAATGTGGATGGGTGATACGTGCACAATGATAGATACATATACATTTGACGTACCTTCAACAAACATATATGTGACATGTACAATCACAACCAGTGCATACTCAATTGAATACACATGTAGTGGGTGCACATATGGTTGATGGCATTCTGGCATGATGACACATGCTAAATTGCAACAACTTTCAACAAAAATGACTTGTGAACTAAAGAAATTCAGAGATGTGATGCTAGAGAATCTCTTAACATGGCAGCCACCTAGAGAGAGGTACATCACTATGTTGAGTTGATGTCTAATGTATGGCCCCTAATTTATGTCCTTTAAGAAGTATTTAATGTATTTCAAGGAGTCATTGCTGGTTGTTGAAAAAACTCTTATAGGCAAGATACATTCATCCGTCCAAGGCACTATATAGAGTATCCATCATCTTCTAGAAGAAGAAAGATAGTTCTCTCCAATAATATGTTGAAAATTATATTTTGAATTAGGTAATGTCGAAGACCAAGTACATGTCCAATTGTGAGACAACTCTTCCACCAAAGTATTTCTCTTTGATGGATATGAAGAGTAGATATGAACAAGTTCATATCTAGGAAGGAGACAAGATAACGATCATCGGTGTGATGCGATATAGCTCATACAAGTTTACAATGATGTCATTTAGACAATATAACTCTTCTATATGGTATTTTTTGCGAGTACATTCATCATTTCATCACGTTATATTAAGATTATATTTTAGTCTACACCGAGATCATGAGATAACAATTAAGCATCTTTGAGAAATACTCAATAAGTTGAGGGTGACTTACTTATTCCTCAATAGTGTGAAGTGCAACTTTGTACTCATGAAGGTGGCTTTCCTTGGCCATATTATGAGAACTGATGTGCAAATTTACCTATCAAAAGTTCATGTCATCAATAAATCACCTAAATCGAGTAAGGTCTTATAGATATGATTTTCCCTTGAGCTTACCAAGTAATACCACATTTTTTTCTTAAAAGACTCAGTCCATAGCACTCTAGGTGGATTTATGAAAGAAAAGGTTAAAATAGTAATATATAAAATAATGTTAGCAAACTTTTGATAAGCTTAAGGACCAGGTCACGAGTGAACCAATCTTACGACTTCCCAATTTTAACCTATATTTTAAGGTACACTCAGACATATCAAACTTAGTTATTGATATAGTTTCTTCGTTTAGTGCAGCACACACACAAATGCCTAACACGTGATAAATCATGTTACACTGTGATAGGTTGGTGCACTAACACACGCACACAATGTGTGCAGTGTAATGTGCACACACCTACTAAGTGAAGATAGTTATAAGTGGTGAATGCATGGCTAATGCGTACATGAAGCATGCAACGTACAGGTGACTACGTCAAAGTAGAGATAACGGTTGATACGTTAACCCTGCTATGGCCCCCAACTACCTAACAAGATAAGGCAATATCTCATCTTAGTCAACCGCCCCTCAATTTAATAAGAAAACCCTATACAGTGAAGGGGGAGGGTGCAGGCTAATAAAGCAGATTAGGAAAAGCCTTGGTGTGTCTCTCTCACATATATAGAAGAGAATTCCGAGCTCCTGTGAGCAGATCAGGCTCCACTTGAGAAGTGGAGTGCACATGCTCTCAGGCGACCGAAGTCTTCTGCACTCAAACTGACGCTACTTGGGACGTCGGGGAAGGTGACGAAGGCCGCTGCGAGGTCTGCACTACATGGTAACCCGTTGACTCTTGGGTAGGATGAGTCTGATGCACTTCAGTGCTGAACGGAGTGAACGGGCTGAATGAAATCGATGAGGATAGAGGCTCAGATTGGGAGAGACTCGAACTCGTGAGAGCAGGGGAGAGAGAGAGAGAGGGTTTCGAGATTCCAGACCGGCCTTGTTGATCCTCTATTGGAGGAACTTCTTGGGACCGTCTGTGGCATTTCCCAGTTCCCTTGTCGTCTGGCGGTTCTCTGCTTCTTCATCGTCTTCACTGGAGAAGAACCGGGGTGGGTGGGTGTCTGGGTTGGCGATGACGATCTCACAAGCGGAGGGGAGCAGGCCCAACCGCCGCGGCGACTGAATGCTGTGCTGCGGCTTCGGAGGCCAATTTCGCCGGCGGGGTGATGATGGAGAGGGCGTAGGGGAGATGCCGCGCGGTGGCGGGACTGTTAGCGTCTGAGACCGCGCTTGCTCGAGCTCTCCGGCACGAGCGGTCTCGGAGAGGTCTGCTTAAGATTTATCTTCTCTCCTCCGCTGCCACCGCCTCCTCGCGCCCGTCAAAATTTTGTGTGATCCGATCTTTCCATAGCGAATTCGTCGGAGGGCAGAGCGTGGAGCAGCTCCTCGCTCGCGGAATTCGCGGGAATCATCAGGTGCTCTCCCGACCTCGTTTCTCTCCTCACTCTCGGAATGATTCGTGTTGGACTTCTAGGGTTTTGACAAGTTGTGCTGCAATTTCGTCGTTCTCAGAGGCGCATCGTCGGCGGTGACTTGAGCTTGGGATCTTCGGCCGACGACTTCGGGATCCTAGGCACCGAAGATGAGCCCCGCGTTAACGCTGTCCTCGGCGGCGTTGGGAAAGGCGACTTGCACCGGGACAGGGGGAGAGATTGAAGAAGCCCTAATTCTTTCCTAACGGTGAGTCGTATGGCTTCAGGTCACTGAGAAATGCAGCCACCGCCGCCACAGGGCTCACGCAGAGATCTCATTGACTTGAAGTCGCAGATAATCCGGAAGCTCGGGCCAGAGAGATCACACCGCTACTTCAGCTACCTGAACAGGTTACTCGGGCATAGATTGTGCAAATCGGAGTTCGACAAGTTCTGCTGGCTCACTCTCGGCCCGGAGAACATCCCTCTACACAATCGGTTCATCCGACTGATCCTCAAGAACGCCTATCAGTCCAAGATCCCCCCGCCAGCAGCAATTCATGGCGAGGGAGACCTTCTGAAACCTGGCAAAGCTCTCGAGGAAAAATCTTCTCCCCCTTCCGGAGACGATGGGTTCCGCCCACCTCCGTCTCTCTGCAAGGGAAGCTCCTCTATCCAGTGGATCCGGGACCATCCTCCCCCTCTTGCACCCGATGGCAAGACCGGAGCCATCCCCCATCAATTTCCTGCTCCGCCAGGTGAAGCTACCCTCCAGCAGGTGGGACGTGTAGAGCTATCCAAGAAGAAGCAGCGAGTCCAGGAGAAATCCCCGTATGGCCGAGCTTCCTCTGTACATAGCAAAAGCACGGTCAAAGTGGTCGTGGAAGATGGAGAAGAGCTGGAGCAAACAGGGAGAGCTCGGTTCAACGTGGGCCCCATTCATCCCCCTCTGGGAGTCTCCTTCTCTCCTCTTGCCGTTGGTGGAGTGCGCCGAGGTACTAATCATGGTGACTTCAGTGGAGAACTGTGCCACACAGAGGCTCTGAGGGAGAGGATGGAGAGGATAGCGGGCACCCAGCATCTTGGTACCGTGACCATGGAGTGTGCCGACTTACTGAATAAGGGTTTGGATTTGTACATGAAACGGGTGATCATGTCTTGTGTCACCCTCGCTGGATCAAGGTCAGAAGGTCAATTTACAAGGCATCCGTTCAACAAGAGCCATTCTGGTGGAAATCATCCCAGTGGCATCGTCTGGCTGGGTAATCAGATGCGCAAACCGAGTAGTATTGGTTCTTCGGAGGGCACCCGAGTGTCCCTGCTGGACTTCAGGGTGGCTATGGAGCTGAACCCGCAGCAACTTGGGAAAGATTGGCCATTTCTGCTCGAGAGAGTCTCCGTTCGTTCGTCTGAAGAACAACGAACTTCTGGGTAGACATGAATTCGTCCAAATCTCTGGTTGAAAGCGTCTTTCGGATGTCAGAGTGGCTATGGAGCTGAACCCGCAATAGCTAGGACCCGATTGGTCATCTCTGTTCGAGGTGGCCTGTATCTATTCGTCCGCTCGAATAACAACGAGCATCTGGGTAAATCTGAATCCTTCCAAATCCCTCGTTGAAACAGTTTTGCAGAGTATGTGTAGCTCAGAATAGAGAGACTCTGTTTCATGATGCTCTCAGCCTATCACTCTGAAGTTTAAAGTAAGCTTATTTCAGCATGCGCATGCGTGTTAATCTCTCTATCATAATGGCGCAAATGGCTTCACCCACAGACAATTTAATCTTCTACTAACCGTTGACTTTTACATAGATTCTACATAATGTCAACTCAGGATATGCCTCTCCCATGTTTCTGATCGAATGAACCTTTCCCGCGTTTGTTTCAGAGATTTGCGGATGTATTTTTCTTCTGAATAAATATGTGGGCATTAAGTCATTGCTGTCGCTCCACTTTCTTACTGCATACGAGAAATAGATACGTTCAGCTCTTGAACAGACCAAACGCTCCATCAAGGCGACCTCACGGAGATAATCCTTGTTCATCCCATTTTTGGTAACTTCTTCCTTTGGATATGAGGAGAAATGCCGTCCAGACGGCTTCATCCGCCTCGTTTTCTTCCCCAATCGCGTTTAATTCCTGCACGGTGATCGTCTGATAGAAGCTCTGAGAGCACTAACTAAGCTACGAATGCACGATTTTCATTCACTGTTTTAAAAATCAGATGGGTGATTTCTGCTGTTCCATGGTGACAGAATCTGTGGGTCGTACTTATTTCATGCGATGAAGGTGACTAGAATGACGGACTGGTTATACACAGGACGGATCGATTATGCGTGTTCCTCTTCAATCCCTCCTCTTCGAGGATGGGCTCGCCGAGGACTTGCAGACCGGGCACCAATTCTTCTGCCGAAGCCATTGATGTATGCAGCCCATGTGATACCGGTGGCCGCAGTGGAGCTTCCCCATCTCGTCCCCCAGGCCGTATTCCTCCTACAACCACCAGCGGAAGCAGCAAATCGACCTCACTGTTCTCCAAGAAGAAGGAGAAGAAGAAGAAGCAAGAAGGGGATTGACCGGACGTACCTGGCAAATGCTGCACTTGGTGTCGTCGCTGTCGTATGCGCGTGGCGCTCCGAGTCCCGAGCTGGGCCTGAACAGGCTGCTCTCGAGGCACTCCAGCAGCTGCTTCTCGGAGAGGGCGGTACTGACGGTCCCCATCTTCTCTTCGAGGGCCAGCAATTCCTGTCGCAGGCAGAGGAGCCCTCGATGTCAACGGTTGCAGGCATGGTAAATAACTGATCAACAACACCCCCCCCCCCCAACCCCACATTTATTCTCATAGTCAACGCCGCTGACTGTCGTCTTGGCAACCAACCTCGTAAGTCATGTCGTCAATGTCCAGCCTCCAGTCCCTATGTTGATCGGGGAAGCCGATCCCCCCTCGGACCAAAGTCGAATGGAGAGCCGTCAATCGCTGAAAGAACAACATCATATCATTCAATGTGCTAAAAATGGAATTAAAGGGAGTGTCAAGAGCCACCTCGTGGGTCAACTCTTCTTCTTGCTCGAGTCTCTCCAGCGCCAGCAGCACCTGCAGAATTCGGCGGAATAAATGAATAGTAGCTTCAGATATTCTTCATGGAATCGTGAGATGGTTCGCGAATGAAAGTCAAAAGAGCTGACTTGTGGTCCGGGCCTCACCTCTGCGACGTCGTCGACCAGACGGCGGTCGGAAAATCTCGAGTTGCGATCTCGAAGAGCCGCCGACGCCGGACGAGACCCACCGCCCAGGCCGCGTTGACGAGTTGAGGCCATGTGCAAAGGGGCCGATCGTGGGGAATCTACAAAGGCTGCCTCGGAGAGAGAAAATCTTCCCCGAGACGGCGGCGGCGGCGGCGGCGGCAGCGGGAGAAGAAGGATCTCGGAATCGCCGGAAAACCTCGAGAGCCTCATTCTACCGTCGCCATTAGCAGGCCGAGCTGTTCCGGTGCAGAGCTGATTCCTGGCCCTTGAAGGTGCTCGAGGTGGCGGCCGCTCAAGAACAGACGAGCTGGGAAGACAGTCCCTGGAGAAGTCAGGGGGCCCGACGACGCTCTTACCTCTTGGAGTAGAACCCTTCCCGGCGGCGCTGCATCTCCTTCTTGAAGACTCCATCAGTTTCTTGCGATCGGCGTCAGCGCAACCCGACCGTATCACATCAGAGATTGACGAACAGCTCAAGTTCCTGAGGCCGTAACGCTGGGGCAGAGAAGATTTCGCAGCTTGCCCTGAGTGTCTTGGTAGAACAGATCGCTGGAGCGGAGCTGAGGTTACACCCTGGTCGCCGGAAGCCATGGACCTTCGATTATTCGACCTGCAGCTCCTTGAGGTCGACGTTGATAGACAATGGTTCGAGACTCTCATGGTGGAAGATTCGGGAACATCAACACGGGTAGAATCCACATCCAATTTCGTCAGCTTCTCTCGCCTAGCGCCGGAGTCAAGCTCTGCCTTCTTCTTCCTCAGTCCACCGCCTCCGCCGCCGCCGCCGCCGCCGCCGCCGCCGCTGCCGCCCTCCAAGGTAGCTCTGCTCCGCCGCTCCGGCGGAGCTTTCTCGTGCCCTTTCGCACCAGAGGAGGGCGTGGGCATCTTCCTCTTGCTACTTGTGGAAAGGCGCGCCGACTTTGACGATTTGATCCCCACCGAGCCGCCGGGCTGGGAACCGTCCATGGAGTCATGTCTGGCGCCGCATCCTCGTCGACTGCAGCACTGGATGCCTCTTCCATCCTCGAGACTGCTCCGAGATGAGAGGTTGGCAACTCTCCGACTCAGTCCCGACCCGCCGGCAACCTTCTTCCTGGTGTGTTCATCCATGCCAACGCCGACGGATCAGATAGAAAGCAATCTCTTGTCTTGTCTCGTCTCGTTTCTTTCTCTCTCGCGCGCGTCTCTGCAACAAGGAACGGGAGAAACCAATTAGCACAGGAGTCATGCCCGAATATGCACAGTTTTCCGGTAATAGAAAGAGAGGAAGAACGTCATATGATGCAGCGGAAGAAGAGCTACGTGTGGTGAGCTCACGGGTTCTCTTTGAAACTGGACACTTCCGCCTTCCACCAATAATGGAGAGTTCAGAATAGATTAAGAAACAGGGCCTATTCATTGAGGCAATCAGGAGAAAAAGAGTTCATTGGTCTCCTCGGAGAAGAGCAATCGCCGTAATCATCGCTGACGGATCATCCGCAACAACAGAGAAGGGAAGTTGTGACGGTGGCCGAGAGAAGGACATGGCGGAAGCAATCCGAGATCCTCGCAGGGGGTGAAACAGAGAGAAGCGGAGGAAAATGATCGCGGAGATGGAGCAGAGAGAAGGGGGTCTTGAGGACGGAAGAAGAGCACGGAAGAAGAGCAGGGAAGAGCAGGGGAAAAGATCCGGAATGTCAGCAAAGGAAAATGATCTGCACTTACCAGCTCAATCGTCAGCAACTACAGAGGCGACAAGACGACGGGAGGCATCGCCGGTGATGCCGTGAAAACCACGGCGAAGGAAGAAGAACAAGAACGAGAAGAAGAAGAAGGCCTACATCACAAGCTAGAGGCGGAACACAGAGAGGTAGCGAGATATATACGTACAGAGAGAGAGAGAGAGAGAGAGAGAGAGATGCCGACCGTGGAGGAGGGAAAGAATACATGGGTATTTTCTAACAGCCAAGGAGAGGGGAGTGGAGAGAGAGGCAGAGATACAGAGAGACAGAGAGAGGGACCCGCCCTGCGGGCATATTTTCCGGCCGCGGGGAGCGGAATTTCCTAATTGGGAGGGGACTTGGAGCTACTCCCACTCGACAACATCGGGTTCCGCGCAACAGAACCAGAAAACCACGAAGAAATCGCTGCCCTCCTCCCCCCTTCCTCCGGGCTCCGAGGCAGCTAGAGAACCACGAGCCGCCAGAATTCCAACCAGCCTCCTCAGATGCCAGATGAAGCTCCGGGGGACCCTCGCCCTCTCCCAAAACATCACCAGCAAGCTACATAGAACCAAGAAGAAAGAAAACCAGTGGAAGACACACCTTTTGGGGAGCTCGCCGCAGCACCTGTGAACAGCACCGAAGCAACGAACAGGGACCTCCGCCTTTGAATCCTGGAGAACCGAGAGCTTGCAGAGGCACGAGGACTCCTTTCGACGGCAGGAAGCGACAGAGCTTCGCCTGCTCAGAAGCCTAGGACGATGGGGAAGGCGGGAGGGGAAGAAGGGGCCACATGGCACGGGATGAGCGGCTGCCCGCCATGGCTGCCCCGGAGAGAATTCTCTTTAAGCCCTGGCCTCATCCCTGTGCGCTCCCAATCGACCCCATCTTCTCTTTATTTAATATCATCGGACCCCCCCTGCGACAGGAACAGGTTATGCCCTTTTTTAAATTCCCCACCTTCGTCTTCTTCTTCTAGGGTTTTACGATATCCGTGCCGCCGCTGTTCCTGGTCAGTTAATCTCCGCTAGAAATCGAAGGAACACGTTTGATCTCGCTCCGATTTCATGCCGTTCACCCCCTTCAACAGTCCTCGATCTGCTAATGGTACTGTTAGCTCTGTTTCCCCTGCCTAACTGCGCAGGATCGCGCGCTCCACCGCCGCTCGGTTCCCCAATGATTCGGAAAGCTCCCGAGAGGATTGACCCGACGAGGAGCTCCTCTGAGGAATCCGAATCCTTTTTGTATCGTCTTCGATCCGATCCTCTTCTCCGGCGACAGCGACTGGAAATCTGATTCTCGTGCCACTCTCCGGATCAAATTTTTCCGGCCACAGCCGGCGGACCGATCAGTCCTCGTCTCTGCGGCCGCTCTCGGGGCGGTCGTCCTCCCTCCCCTGAACGCCCGCCGGCTCTGCCCGCACCAGAATATCATACGCCATTAAATCCAAAGAAGCTTCACGGCCATCTCCACTGACTTCTGCTCTCCCCTGTCACCGTCCACTAGCCTAACCATGGCCTGGGCCCGCAGGGTAGCAAGCCGCCGTCTTTCCTGCTCCTCTCCTCTCCATTGAATACGCCACACCATCTCTTGCGTCTAGGGCCTCCGTGATGGTGGCGGCTCTTACCCCGCGGTGACTGCCAGTATTTACCGTCACGGGGGAGGGAAGAAGAAAGAACCAGGAAACAGAGGACGAGTACGGACCGATTTGGGAATGGGATCCCTGCAGCCGCCAGTCGAACCAGAGGCGGAGGAATGCCTCGCGAGGGCCCCGCCCTCCTGACTCTGGTGGATCCCCGTCCACTCTCCGAGAAATGACCTAATACGCTCGAAGAAGGTGGCGTGAGAGGACGCACAAACTCTGGATCTGCAACTCACGTCTCGACACCATGGCTGCAAAAAAATATTATGAGGATCTGAGATAAGCATCGAGCACGAAAGCTTAGTACGCGATGATGACATCTGAGCTTCGATCGTCCAGGAAGGGCTGCCGTGGACGTCTGCGGCTCCTCCTCCTTCGGTCGTCAATGATTGGTTCCATCCATCGGATCTTGACCTACCGGCGATGCAGGCCAACAAATACGCTCCACTGGGATCTTTTCTGGCAGGATTAGGTCCCTCGCGAAGGCTTGCTCCGCCGGTGAGAGGATGACCACCACCAACTGCCCCCTTCTCTCCCCCTGTCATTCGGTCACCTACTTTCCCTGTAACGCGACCCTCCGTGGACTGGGAGACTAATTGACCAATCTGCAGAAACCTAGTACAGTGACCAAGACCAGAGGAAGAAGAAGGCGAGAGAGAAACTATGGCAAACGCCATGGGAGGGACGACGGAGGGGGGGGCGGTGTGGGGGATGGGGGGCGGTGTGGGGGATGGGAGGCGGTCTGGCCGACAAGTCTTCAGCACCAGCGCAGAGTTCATTAATGGCGATCCCTGAGAATTCGTCCTGAAGACTGGGGGAAACCAGACCGGTCAATCTTTGCTTCTGGGCGCCGCGAGACTGCCAAACAGGAGACAAGGCCGCCGACAAGCCACATTTTTTTAAAAAATTAATTTAAATATGCGTATATTTTCGGGGAATAATTATTTTTAATATATCAATTATTTATATATTTTGTGCCGAAATATATATTATGTAGGTCACTTTTCGTAATGGCTCTCTCTCTCTCTCTGTCCCCCTCCCCCATGCGACCCAGTGCCACATAAATGGGATTGCTCTTGCTTGGATAGCCCGACCCACGACCCCACCCCAAACGCTGAGAGAGACCGGAGTCTGCTCGACCTGGCCCATTACAATGTACTTAGGCCGTCGAGAAAAGATCAGCCCATTAATATTTGGGCCCATCGTGGACTAGAGGATAAAACCATCCTTCACGGCCCATCATCTTATTCCCTAATCTAGATGAGAGAGAAAAAGAAGATTTACAGAGAGAGTGTGAGAAAAAGAGGGGGGGGAGAGGTGGGCTGGATATTACCATCTATAGATATATACTATACTATACATTCAGGGACTATACGTACATGGGCATCTTTCTCCTATGTTTGGGTTTTATTCGGAGGCTGCGACCGACATCCCCCCTTCCCCCTCCGCCATTCTCTCTCTCTCTCTCTCTCTCTCTCTCTCTCGGTGTGCTTGTCTCTGTACCTCTCTGGGACGATGATGCAGTTTTCGGTGGAGTTGCAGTTTTCGATCAGTGACGATGATGCTGGCGGTCGGCCGCCGCAGGGTCGGACCAGAGGAAGAGCTTCCAGAAGGAGCGCTTCCGCTGGGCGGCGTGAGAGATCTCCATCTCCGTCCTCAGCATCTCCCACATCACCTGCACATCCTCGTACCCGCACGTCTGCACGTCGTCGTGAAGCTTCAGGATCGCCGGCCCTGCCCAGCGAAAACAGAGAGAAGCAGACGAGCGCTTGAGGAAGAGGACTGGACTCTGGAGAGAGCGAGGGAATGGAGAAGGGGGAGAGAGAGTGATAGCATGATTTATGATTTTGAGAGGAGATCGGGAAGAGCGAGAACAAATGCCACCCCCCCCTCAAATCCAAGGTGGTAGGGCCGCCAGGATTACCGCAGAGAAGAAATTGATCATCGCGAGGAACGGAGATCTAGCGGCGGCGTCGTGGAAGCAAAACCGGATGGAATTCAAATTTGATCCGGAGACGCATGAAATCTGGGGAAGAAATTGAGGTCTCTGCAATGGCTGACCGAGATAAACGGCCGTGCCGGGAAGGCAATTAGAGGAGATTCCTGAGAATATCCATCGCGCGGCAGAAGAGGAACATAAAATCAGAAGACGCAACAAGCAATCAAGCACTCCGTTCTCGCGAATATCTTCGAGGAAAAGGTAATGGCTCCCCGCCCGCTTCCCCATTCCGAGGTAGTTGTCGCCGCCGACAGGGCCGCCGGACGCCGTCGAATCGGCCGAGCGGATGAAGGAAACGAAGGGGACTGACTAACCGGAGGAAGCAAACCTATGGCCTCAGCCACCGGCCGGAGAGATTCAGCAGGAGAGAGCTGCGGGAGAGCGACGGGGCACTCACCTGTCTTCCTGCTGACCTTGACACGGGCGGCGACGACGATCCAGACTCGTTTCACGGGGAAGACCACCTTCTGCCACCAATCCATCACTTCGATCGGAACCCCTCCTCTTCCTGCCGAATGCCAGAATCCTCGCCAACTCTCCCCCGCTCCGCCGGGGCCGGAGTCGGAGAAAGGAAGAGGTTGAGCACGCGCCGCCGGGGAGCGGAGATCGCCGGAGGAGGAAGGATCCGGCGGCGGTGGCGGGGGAGGGGCGAGGGGGCCTCGCCGCCGGAGGGTTATACTCCGCCGCTGCAACAACCCGTCTGAAATCTCAACACGTTTCTCGCTGCTCGCGCCAGGCGGCTCCTCTCCTTCCCCATCCCTCCTCATCCTCCGCTACCTGGCCTTCGCTCCTTTAATCGGTGCCGCTCGGTTTCCGGACTGGACCCGAATTATGGGCCCTCCCCTCATTCAATGCACGATCCGATAATGAAGGCCCGCGTTGACGCAACCGCTAGAAACATAGGTCGTCGTCCTCCACCTCCTTTTTGTCTTCTTCCCGGGCCCTTCTTCTTCCTCCCTTGTTCCCGGCGGCGGCGGCGGCGGCGGCGGCGGGGGCCGAGGACGGTGAACGTGGGGGCGGCGGGGATTCGACGGCGAGGGGGAACCATCGTGTTTCCCCTGTGCCGAGAATACTGCCTGCGGAGAGAGGGGGGAGAGAGAGATAGGCAGAGTGGAGAGGAAGCAATGATGTGACCGGTGGACTGACGTGACGTCGTCGGTGCTACCGGCCTATGGGGGTGAAAGGTCGTCGGAGGTAGAGAGAGAAAGGCGTCGGTTGTTCATCCCGCATTACACTGTTCGTAGCCCCTCGTCGGTAATTTCAGCTACTCGTGGAACTTCCATCCCGGATTACACTGGGTAGTCACTATCCGCTTAAGAAAAGTCAACGCATCCCATCTTCTTTCCTCCTCCATGTCAAATCCAGAGTCATGCGCCCGATGAAGCCGACAGGGCGCGTGCCCGTGGTTGACGAGATCAAAAGTCGTCTGTCCTCGTGTCTCGTGAACCACGATAGCAGCGCTTCCGATAGGTACAAGTTGAATAACGTCTGCCGACGTGGGAGTTTGCACGGCGCGTTGACAACGTGCTATTCATCGTCTAAAAGTCCACAGGGAGGAGCTGTTTTATTTATAACACACAATGAGCCCATAAAATGGCCAACTTCACACGAAATAGATTCTACAGAGAGATACCCACTTCGTCGTCAGACGAATAAAATATATTTAAATTAATCTTCGTGCAATTACTCTCGCGCATCTTTTAGTGATTTACTCGCCGGCGTCGTCTTCCGGTAAGGTGCTCCGCTGAAAGTCCACGATAATACGCGTCCAAGTTGGTCAGTTCAAATGGTCGTAATCTGTATCGAGCAAAGTCAACATAATGGATAATTTAGGAAATTAATTCAAAAACCTGAAAATCCTTCATAAATTCACTTTCTATCTCTACATATTCCTCTCTCTCTCTCTCTCTCTTTATCCATCTATCAATTTCTTCCACAAAGGGTCCTGTATCGCAGTCCCATTTGTCAAAAAATCGGGAAATTTTTCCTCCAGCATTATCCAGAAAATATAACGCAGCACATGGGTTGACTTTTCTATATTGTTGACTTTGGGGGGAGGGGGTTTTGATAAATCTAGTGCAAATTCGAAATAGGACAAGTAAAAAATTATTTGGGGAATGTTCACGTTTCACAGAGACGTGGGCACCACCACGACTAGCACGAAAATAATAAAATAAGAAAAACTATTTATCCCCAGAAGAATGGGTAGGAAAGTCAACAGGACCTGCCAGTTTATTATTTGGGTAGCCAGTTTATCCAACGAGGCCCCAGGCCCAAATGATGGAAATTTGGTATCATAGGCCCATTAGTGTAATGGGCCGGGGCGTGTCACTGAGCCTGTCCGCCGGAATCCAATGAGATGACGGTCTCGAAGGCTCCCACAAGGGCCAGCACTTTGCTCTTCCTCTTCTCCGCCAGCTTGCTCGCCGTCTCCTCAATGACGTCATTGTACGCCGGCGGCGCCTCCTTCTTCCCTTGAGGCGGCGCCGCCTCATTCCCCTTCTCCTTCCCTCGGGCTTTGTCTTCTACAGTCGGCTTCATCCTCTCCTGTTCACCGTCCTCGCCGCCGTCCGTCTCCTGGTGCTCGGTGGCTCTATCATCGTCCTCTCCCCCAGATTTCTCTGCGTGGAGCTTCTCCACCTCCTCTCCGGGAGCTTCTTCTTCCTCACGGGTCGTCTCCTCACCGTCACCGGATTTATTCCCTTCATCTTCGTCACCATGGCCTACCTCCGCGCCCTTCATGGCAGTGGTGACCTCTTCTGCGTCCTCCAAATGGGTCGGCCTCTCCGGCGACGACGATATCTCCACGAGGACGTGCTCCTCTACGTCGAGGTTGAGGATGTCGAGAGCCGACTCCTTGTCCTCGCAGGAGAGGGTCTCCTCATCTGCCGGCGGCGCCGCCTTCGTGCTGCCGGCGGCACTGGGGTTGGCAGAGGATGGGCGGGAGTCCTTGTCCCTGGTCTTGCCCTCGGCGCTGGGGATCTCGCTTTTGAGGGCCGAGGAGGTCACCTTCCTCTTGGTTGTCCGCTCGGAGAAGAAGGTGGCCTTTGAGGGGAGAGGAGTTGTTTTCACCTGCCGGGGAGCATTGAAGGAGGAGGACCGAAGCGGCGGCGCCCTGCCGTCGGCGGCGGCAGTTTTCTTGACGGAGAGACTCTTCTGGGGGGGCCTGGCGGTCTTGGAGGTCTCCGGGGACGAGCTGAAGGTGGGCTTGAGGTAGTTCGGAGCCGTCGTCCTCTTCGGCGACGTAGGGGAGACGTCCTTCTCCGAGGAGCTCGATGAAGGCCTCGTGGGCCTGGGTCGAGGGTTCTGTATAGTTGCACGGCTCAGAGAGGACCTGCCGGCCCTCTCCTTCCCCGGGACGACGTCCTTTCTCGTGGTGGCCATGGAGATCGCCACATAAAAAGACAGTTTACCTTGCGAGAAAGAGAGAAGAAGAAGATGAAGCAGGAGAAGGGGGGATCTTCCCGCTAGGATGTTGCGACTGTTGTTATCGAGGAGGAGTAGGAATGGCGGAGACAGGGGAGGAGAAGGCGCCGTAGAAATAGAAGTCACCCCAGAAATAGACACGACAGATATTTGACCAAGTCAAAATAAACAAAACGACAAATTAGAGCTTTTCACTGGGACCTACCCGAACCAATAATATCCAGAGAACTGGGCCAGGGTGGGCCAGCCCCCGACAAATATCTCTGTTTTTTGTTTAATTAATAAATAAATGCTTATACATTGTAGTATCCAGCAATTCACCTAAGTTAAAATGCCCGCATACCCGACATTTATTATTCTCCAAGTCGACAATAATATATTTTATTTCTAATTTCTTGTCACGAATAATTCATTTTTCCCCATTATTTCATCGAAAAGCTCAGGCTCTATGCACACAAAAGTAAAACCATGAATTAATAATTTAATAGTATATTTTGTATTTTTACCAAGAGCACCCCATAAACGTGTGAATTGCTAAACGAAACCCTTGGAACTGCGCATCCACAAAAAAGTTAAAAATAAATAAATAAAAATCCCCAGATGAACATCTCCCTCTCTAGATATATATACATCAGAGTATCCGAGATTGAAACACCATGATCCATTACTAGAAAACCCAACTCACAAATTTATTTATATCCAATGGTCTCAACACAATATCACACCTTTTGGACCGCGCAACTTTCACGAGACACTCTTGTTATAATTTTCCATACTTGGGGTGTTTTTTTTTGTACAGAAATTTCAGGAGGGGGAGAGGGACAAAATTGCAAGCTCACACCAACCTGTGAACGTAAAGAATATACCAAACAGCGAACAAACCAGAGCAGGATGTCCAGAAATGCATGAACTAACACACCTTGGGGAGCAGGAACAGCTAAAAAGGCACTGATGCTCTCCATTCAGACCCGACGAACGATCCTCAGATCCCTCCGCGCGAGCTGGACATGGTTGGCTAATAATGGCCGCCGGTTGGGAGGGGGGAGGGGTGGTCTTCTATGCCGCGATGGTGAGGAGGGAAACGTAGATACCCGGCACTGTTCTTCAAGCTCCAAGAACGCCAGTTCCTATCTGGGAGGCTCAAAACAACTGGACAGCCATCTTCAGCTTGTTCTGCTTCCATTTGGGTAGCTTGAAGAAGGCGTCCTTGGCCATGCCGAGCTTCTCTCTGAATTCTGCAGAGGATAAGTAGGTCTGCGAGCAGGATTCACGAGTTCAGGGACCATAAGTCTGCGAGAAATCCACCGCTCGTTCACGAGAAATAATGTCTTACCTCCCTTTTTGTCACATCTATTCCTGCGACGGGGTCGGAGGATGTGACTTTGAGGCGCTCGTAGGGGTACGTTGGCAGGCCTTCTTCATCTCCTGTCGCACCTTCCTTCAGAGACTCCTTTATGGAGAGGTGTTCGATGCTGGTTCCCGCTGAGCCATCCTTACCACCGTTGGTCGCCTCCGTCTCTGGGGGAGCTTCGGAGAGAGAAGTTCTCAGACCCAGCTTGGCGCACTAGAGAAAGAACACCTCAGAAGGAAATCGTGCGGACCTTTAGACGATTGGAGAGTGACACTCCCTCTTGCCTCTTCAAAAGAAGAGGAGAGAGTTGCCGCTGCCGGACTGCCAGACTTTGGATAGAGTTTCTTGACAACCGGAGGTGGGGTGGATAGATTTCGGGCATTAGGATTCTCAAAAGTGGCAGCCAGAGCGTTGAAGGCGGGCGACCTGCCCCTCACTCGGACTCGATCTGGGCTGAAGGACGACACGCTTCTCGAGCGCTGGGATTTCTCTGGCACGCCGGACCTTCCCCCAATAGATGTTGGAGTCCGCCTCTTGGGTTTCTGATCAATACACGGCGCCATGTAAATACATATTTTCCAAAACGAAAACTAGTGAAAACCATGCTGAACAAAGATGGTATAGCTTCTGCATGGCACTCTGTATGCAGAATGTAGCTTTGCAGAAGAATCGTCTTCAACATGGAGGATAAATCTCTGTGGAAAAACTAAGCTTAAAAACCAAATCTTTTCAATTCACGGCAGAAACTGCTAGCATAGATCATGCCAGCAAAAGAAGAAGAACGGGTTCACCTAGGAAGAAAAATCGTGCCTATATGAGGCACGGCCAAGTATAGACATGCAGATGAACGGTTCCTCTCCATATCAGCTTGGACCGACACACCCATGTCCTCCCTTTCGTTTTCTTCCTTCTGCTTCTGTCGTAATCAAGGCAACTTTGCAAGGCCTTCCACTCCAAGAAATCAACATAAAACTAAAAACCCAGACATAACTCTGCTTCTCCAATGGGCTGCTTCTATCTATCTGCCTTCCACTCAGCCCTCTCTCTTCGACATTTTGTTTGGTTCCCCACCCAGAAGCCATCCTACCCCGTCCCCACACAAATACTTATTGGAGGAAAAAGCGATGAAGAGAACAAAATCAAGGTACCTAATTGGGTCATTAAAATCAAGTTATAGAACTCAAATCTTCTCATTAAAACCCGCGCTTGGTTAGACTGTCCCAAGACCCCCCCTTCTTTTGGAAGACAATTTTGGCTCTAATCCAGTTCCAGAGGTACTTAAACTGGGGCTGGGCTTACTCTGAGGAATAGATAGGGTCTAGGGAACAGATAGGTACCTGTCTGTTAGACTAAACCATGAGGGAAGTATTCCATGCCCACTTGATGATCGAATATGTTACAAAATAACAATGTACAAAGCCGAAAAGAATCGTGATAGTAGAGAGTAGTCTACAAGGGAAATTTTAATATGGAACAAACCCTTTTAAAGAGTAGTTCACCGTAGTTCCTTAAATCTGACCAGGTAATTGAAGAACACATATCCTAGATGCTTTACGGAAAAGATGACATGCTCGATATTCAGAAGAATGACTAAAAGAGATAAAGAAAACATAGAATTTTAAATTTCAGTGGAACTAGTTGAAAATTTCTACTTACGTCTAATGCCGGAGCAACACCATTTTTCACAATCGCAAGCTTCCTCTGAAACGAATCCCCAAGCATCTGTAACCAAAAAGAAATGTGTCCAATTTTTACATCCAATTATAACACCTAAAAACTCATGCAACCATTCCATTCGAGAAACATGCGCTGCTACATTATGGTTCTTCTTTAAATCAGATGGTGGGTTTCGCATCACTGATTTTTTCTTTAAATGGAAATTCACACTACAACAAGTATGCTGCTATCTTAAAGAACCAGCTTCTTTCAGTCTGTGATACTCTCAAAATATAAAAACTATCAATATAAACGTACGCGAATATTTAAATACAATGATCGATCTTTGCATGTTCCACTGCGAATATGAAATAAAGGATCCAAAGAGGCAAAAAGTAATTATTATATTAAATCGTACGCGAGTAGCGGTTTTATACTACACGAGGGGTTCTTACTGATGATTTCGCCGAGTCCCATGTGAAAAAGCGTGTGAAAAATGCCGGTTCATTGCCTTCCGTCACAATGAAAATTGCAGTTTCACCAGACAATTTCTCCATAAGAAAATCATGTTCAATAAATTTCTGGTACAAAGAAAGATATTATATCAGAAAAGGATCAAAGACATTCTTGACGGGTTAGTACATCTAGGAAATATGTTATATACCGTTCCAATATTTAAAGCTTGTGATCTTGTCTTGGAGTCCACTTGTTTCCCTACCCAGACAAAGATCTCTGAATGACAGTCCAGAATAAGTATGTCTTCAGTCACGAGATCATCCTGCGTAAAATTGAATATCTCTGTTGCCTGAAATGATGAAAAACTTCTAAGTAAAAAATCAGAGGTGAAAAAAAGCCAAATAGAAGAATCGACTAATAAAAAATATATCAAAGAGATGGTGTGATAAATAAACATCAGGAGTTCTCCCGTACCAACCTTCAGATTTCCTGATTGCCCATTCATCCAGTGGCCCCAAGAACGAGAGATTGATTATGGAACAGCAGCCAAGCAATATATTAGTAATATTACCAGTACTAAAAGCAAAATGTCTTAGAAAGATCAAACCAAGGAAAGCTAAGAAAAGGTTTCTTCACTTCTAACCTTCTGAAAAAGTACAGGAGAAGAGGTGAGGATCACTTTCCACATTCTTTGAAATCCTCTGGCTAGGGTACTCACATTTGCCACCAAGTGAATTCCAGAAGAGTTCAGATTCACTACCTTCCTTTTGCGGCTTGGACTGCACATTGGGCTGCAAGCATTGCAGAATCAATGTTACAAAAGTATAACAACTCCCAGAAAGGCACACTACTAATCAACAAACTCTGCAGGATGGTAGCATTTGAAGTTTGGTTTGTATTTCTATTAAGCTCGGTCCAGAAATGAGAAATGCTGTGCGGGCAATATTTTAAAGAGAAAAATGTAGTACGCAATAACTCATTTTGCCATATGACAAGAAAAGGATGAACATCAGAAAAGAACCATGAATCCCATGATTCAGCTATATGAAAGAACGCTAACATTTCGACGTGCAGACTTCTTACTGAGGGCTAAAAGAGCACAAGTTCTAATAGAGACCACTTTGCCGCAGAACTATTCCCCATTTACCGGAACTCAGACAATGTAGCTTCAATTCTTTTTGAATGGTGAGAATACAACGAAGAATGATTTTAACATTCAGTCGTTCTCACTTGTGTGTGTACACGTGTGTGTGTGTGTGTGTGTGTGTGTGTGAGAGAGAGAGAGAGAGAGAGAGAGAGAGAGAGAGAGAGAGGACGTTTTAGGATACAGGCTGACAGCAGAATTGCACGTCAAATATGGCAGGTGGTTGACCATGCACGACATTATTGACACGCCATACTTGCTTCATAGAAACAATGCAGGCCGAATGAAAAGCCCAGAAATGAGAAAGTATTTCATGACTAGCAGGGAACCTCCAACACAGTAATACAGGTTCCATAGACAGACATGAGGTGTTTTCAAAAGAGTTTTGATCATTAACCCTGGCAGCTATACGTATGTTAAGCAATTACATGAATCTGAAAGCATAATAAAGAGCACACATTAATTTGCACTTAGTGATCAAGAATAATCACATTAACTTGAACGAAAATATTATAAGTTTATGTTGTATGCATTAATAGTAGAACTTGTATTTCATAGATTATAATTTCTCTATACAACTGTAAGATAATGAAATCACTTCAAGTAAATCGTTGTAATCAATAAATTAAATTAAGACGCCTACTTAAATATTCGCAAAAGGCAATGGCAAGAGAACAATAATAAAGACAGATAAATATCCACCAAGTGTCCAAGCCACCATCAGACTCGATAGGTAACATCTTCAAGTCCGGAAAATGATGACAAGATATCCACTTCGTCTTGCATCTACTTTTTCTTTATTTAGTGATCTAATACCAAAGATGAGTAAGTTAATTAAAGTTTACTAGAAGTCAATTCTGGGAATATCCGGTAAAAAAAAAAAATAGTAGCATAAACTTTTGCTGCAATGAAACTACCATTCGTTGGAATTGATTAATATAATATCAGATGATTATTCTTCGAATATTTAGTTTTTTATACAATCAGCAGTACTAAGAAAAATGAAAAGACAAGCAGTTGATATTAAACTTCAACCATATGACAAATGACTGAGCCTCTTAAGACCAAATTCTCAGAAAGCAAGATTGTCATGCAACTGCCTGAAGTTGTACCTTTATAAGATCAAGTTGTCTCTCCATAAGTTCTTGGTCCTCTGTCGTTGCAAGGCTTCCAGACCAAGTAAAAACAGTATTGCCACTATGTAGTATGTAACAGTAAGAAGAATTCAACGAAGATGACACCTGATTAGAGATAACAACTATAAATGCATCTCCCATGAAGAAAAAAGTAGCGTAGAAGGTATAAAAAAGATCCATGTTGTGCTTATATGCATTCGAGCTTCCCTAGCTCATGGAAAACTTAGAGATTGTGCACAAAAGCAATAATAAAGAAACATTACATTTAAAAAATGGAATTAGTTAGTTTCAACGTGAAATTATGGTTTCAATATAGCTTAGACCATCATATTTTGCTTGAGGGAGGGACAGCCAACCAGAAAATATGCAGGCATTTTAGAATTGGAAGCCTCAACCGCCAGGGTCGGGTCTTTCCCACACTAATCTAGGTGAGAAATTAAGAAAAACAGACACTAATCCAAACATGAACCAGCTTCTAGAGTAAATGCTTCGTTTCAAAGCAACACAAATAAACATTCGGCTTTTCCAGCTCATAGTTCTTGAATTTTCTCAAAGTTGTGAACTCAAGCATGTTTTAATTTTAAATTTTTTTTTGCAGCTCATGTGCAGACAAAAAACCAATTCACACTAACATAAAGCATGGCTTCCTCAGAGAACCATGAAGAAAGCCTTCCAGCATCAATACTTGGTAGGGGATTTAGTGCAATCGAATAGACTCTCAAGATGGCGAGAGGATTAAAACAGCCCATCATAAAGATTATAACAACTTTATATCTCTCCCATTTAAATGTAAATAATGCTTAGTACAAGCCTATCTTATAATCTAGAGTAAGCAACTTAGGTGTTACGATCTGCTTGCACAACAGGGAACTTTGTGCTTTCATTTATTTTGATTTTTTTTTTTTTCATGCAAAGGTTAAAAGTGATCTACTGATTTATTCATGGCATCAGCACACCCAATGGATAGAGCAGCCGTGGCAGGTCTTCGCCTATATGAAAATATCTTCCCAGGATATTATAAATAAATCAGTAGGATCATAAGTACACCCAATGCATGGTGTACTAAAAGACGTGGAAGACAGATCAATGGATATCCACATATTCTATTCAACAGAACAGTAACTTCGGGTAACCAAAGAAAATCCTTTCAGGCAAAAGAAGTTGTCTCAGCTAAACATTATAAGATTCATTTACATGTCATGTGATACTAGCTTTACCAAAGGATGAAGACTTGGCTACCAGGCAATCAAAATGCAAGCCCGATGCTAAGAGAAAGACAAATGTAGTGCGCCCTCTCCCACAAATAAAAACTGACATAAAGGGATAAGTAAATAAAAATCCATCAAGAACAACGGTGTCAGTCATATATAAGATAGGGCAACAGGATGGTGCTGAAAAACTCTTCAAATATATACCGGTTCAACTTGAATTGATTGCATATTTTCTGGTCCAGAGCCTTGCACTCGGAATAGAGCAATACCATCTTCAGAATATGTCTCATCAGGCACTGCATTATCTGTCACATATTTCTTGTAGCCAGAACTGATTCCCCCCTGGAATATTTTTACCACAAAATACTACTTAATAAATGGACAACATCCTGGAGGGAAATTGGAAAAGTCCAGTGGTACAACATAAAACATGAAGGCACATATACCTTATATACAATAAAACTTTGGAAGATAGAAAAGAACTGAATAGGTTCCTTTCCTTGATGAATGCAAGCCTACAGTCGTGGATCCAGAAGAATGATCAGATAATAAAAAAGAATAGGTCCACACAGTTGCTGTCATAATCCATTGAATCATTATGAACTTACGAGCGCAGCCTGATATTTTAAAGATTCAAGCATCTCGCTTGACAGAGAAATAGCTGATGCCCTTTCTTCCTGTAATCAAATTTAGTAATTAAATGAAAAAAATCATAAATGTTTACTTGGGAAAAAAAGAGGAAACAAGTAAAGCATACCACGTTATAATACTTTTGAATCATTCAATACAATTCGTTAATATACCCAATATGAAAAATGGCGAGATCAGGCCCAGCCATAGGAAAACCATTTTTTCTGATTCTTTTACTGGTTTTTAACAAAAAAATTAGTGCTAAAAGTAAAATTGCACGTCTAATGTGGTTGTAAAAGACTATATATTACGACAAGTGTCGTACAACTTTACGTAATCTGTCGTTCACGTTGTCTTGTAGCCCTCCATTTGAAAATAACCCCAGTACACGTTTCTAGTTGACGGAAAACTGGATGTTCATTAGAGCACCTCATTTTGGTAGAAAGATCAGACTGACCTTCCTTTCTTTTCCTCGATATACTGAGGGAGTGGACTTGTTATTCAACTTTAGTTACGAGGATGTAATAATTAATTGAAGTTTTCATCGCATAAAATTAAAAGGTTTGTGATAGAGCAAGTTGGCCATAATATCACCAGTAAAAATTTTATGGACTCGAATACATTTCTTATAATGTTAAAAAATGAGAAATGAACATAGCGCCTAATGGGCATAAACATCAATCTCGTAATGCGTATGCATACAAATACATTTTCCTTGCAAACTCTATGATGTGCTATTTGAGAAATAGACGTAACAAACCATGCTTAGTTCATTGGGTGGAATGGTCTGGTTTTGTCCATAGAGCCAGTCTATGTATTTCTTATAATAGTGCTGCGAAAATAACTATTTTCCTTGTAACCCAGATTCATGAATAGAAAAACCCTAGGGGGGAGGTCGAAAAGGAGAATTGAATCTCTAGTACTAACCCACCTTCCTCTTCCCCTATTCTTTGTTCCTCTTCCAGGGTAATCTTCAACTCTAAATGTCAAAAAATATCACTTACAATCAGATAAAAAAGGTTCCAAACTTAGGCAGCCTGATATAATATTACAGAATTCAAGATCGATGTCCATGATACGACTGAAAACTGCATTCATGGTTGAAGAAAGATCAGTGCTGAATGAAGTGAATTCACTAGACCAGAGCCAACTGAAACTAGTCTAGCTCGCCTGAGACTTGACCATTTTCAAAGGGAGAAGGTAACATATCTTTACTTTACATCAAGATCAATATGATGAATCCATTGTCCCTGTGATTTCAAGGTTCTGTTGCAAATTACAATCAGAATCATTGTCCCTGTGACTGTTAAGGAAGAGTTCATGGTCACCATCTCTTTTTCTCCTGTAAATCTGGTTTGTTGTTTTCTGATATTGAGGTGGCACGCCAGTCATTTTCCAATTTCCCAACTAGCCCCCACCCCTCCGATCTACCTACTATTTCAAAGAGAGTATTGAACAAACCAAATACTAGGACTGGCTAACCCAGAAGAAAGATGGTCAGGTGAAAAGATGGCCAATATATATTATTTTAATATATTATATCCATAATTTAATACAAACTAATCATCAAAATTTAAGGAATTTTGATGAAAATAATTTATTCCAGTAATCCCGATGCCTACAGACCCCCCAAATCGATTTTTCGAGGCAGAGAAAAGGAGTGATTAGGAAAGAGGGAAAAAAAAAAGCGATGAAATAAGAATGGAAGAGAAGCAGTGGTGAACAAGATATGCCAGCTGCAGCCGGAAGGAAGTAGGTCCCCTTCCCTTTGATTTCAGCCTCCCACTTTGACAGGGTCAGCATTGAGTGGAACCAGACAGTTCTACAACAGGATCGCGATCACAGTTTGTATTGGAAATGGAAAACATGGACAAAGTAGTCACATTCACTTAGGTTGAAAACAAGCTATCTTTGTTCAGATATCAAACTTCCCACGGCTACCAACCACATATCTTCTTCAAAACATTACCAAAAGCTTTCATTGGTGTTCTACATCACCACAATCTCTACAAATGTCCAAGCAGCCATGATTCACATAAATACAAGTCCTATATTGAAACAGAATACTTAACCAAAATCCATCTTATTTTTTATTTTAGACTTTTAGGCATAATAACTAAACAGAAAACGAATGCAAGATGTGAAATAATGTGATTGTTAGTACCCCTGTGCTCTCATTTCCAAACCAAGTGCCGATAAGGTAATCCTCTCTATCATCTCCAGGATATGTGTACTGGAAAATATAGCAATCCCCACTGTAGAACTTTGACTGCTCGGAAGAAGGAATAAGGATCTTTTCTAGGTCATTCACTCGCCAAACCTGTACATTAAAGCATTCAAATACCAATAAAGATTAGATGTCATAGACGATTTTCACAGTGTAACCAGCGGATATTAATTATGGACCGGAATTTTCTATCACATGCATCTAGCGGATAGTACCTGTAGATTGCCAGTGCAATCAATGTATGGTTGCAGCTCTTCTTTCACAGGATCAGCTTTCATAAGGCCCTTGACATTGAGACCTTGGCGCTTCAGAAGTGCTACATTATAAACATAAAAGATTGAAGATTATGAATAGCAGCCTCTTTGATTTGAAAGCCACATAAAATACATGAAGAATGGATGATATCCAGACAGAACGAGAAAAATTCAATACCAGCAACTTTCCCTCTACCATCCTCAGACACAGCCACATCATTTGTCTCTGTCAGTGTCCATGCATCAAACTTGGATCGGAACATAACTGTTTCAAATCCCTCAATTACACGGACCATGTGAGCTTTTGGTCGGCCAAGACCTTGGAGTAGTTCCTGCATAGAAAGAACATCCACATTTTTTATTTGTATTTGCTGAACAGCACACATGGAGATTGAATTATGAAGGAAAGATATAACTAATTTCCCTAAAAAAGAAGACTAGAAATGCATACTTCTGCAGCAGAACTTGCACTTTTCCTCTCCTCAAGAGACGTACTTCTGCCCAGCCACACAAAAACTTCCGCACCACAATCTAATATGTAACATTTATTTGTCTCTAGTAAATCTTTGGTCAGGGAATCTGTTTCAACACCCACTGTCTGCCCTTTCTCAACACTACAAGAATTTTGTACAAACACAGTATATTAGAGTGACACGCGCCACACAAATCAAAACTTAAAAAAGATGAGAAAGTTTAGAGAATAATTTTTTTTGGAGTAGATAGTAAACAGAAAATGCTCACCATAACAGTTTGACAGAGAAGGGTTCCGAATTCACATTATCGTCAGAAGCAGCCTTTCTTGGAAGAGGAGCAAAGCCTCCAAAGAGACCCCAGAACTCTCCCGTTTCAGCATCAGCCATCAGCTTCCCGTCCTCTAATGAATAAGAAAGAAAAATCATATTCGTCAGTGGCAAAACTTTTCATAATTCATTCATAAAGAAGGCTTACCAATGGCGGCAACATCGCACTTTCCATCATGATATGTATCTTTAATGTACTGGACAACTTCAAGAGCTTTAGCTCGCTCTTGAATAGACGAATTGGATCCATTAAACTGAAATATTTTAGACTTTGTATCCAGAATGAATACATCATCATGATTTAGGGAAGCACGAGCAAAGGGAACCTGATGACAATTGAAATTAAAAAAATAAAATCAACGGAGAACTACACCAGAAAGAAAAATAACAGTTGAATAATTATCTAACTTGATGAACTTGCCTCTTTTACATGGACAACACGTTTTCCTTTGCAGACAAACAAACGTGTCTCATGGTTGTCTTCATTGGTTACAGAATGCTTGAAACCGGAAGCAACCCCCCCTTCTTGAGGTATAATGCACGGCTTAAAAGAAGACAAAAACTTCTCTGTCTCATGGCCTTGCACCTCGCGGTACTGAACTGCGCGGCCTCCAAGAGCTGCATCCAATTCCACAGTCTTGATGGCCGCAGTGCCGGCTTCATCCTGTTTATTCAAAAGATATAGGATAACATCATCACATCATCATGCCCAACACTTCAAGGCGAAACCCAGAAAAAGAGGATGAACGAATCCAGAGCTGCTGACCTGACTCGTGTCCTTCCCAAGCCAGTAATGGATATCATGGCGAAAAGCACCACTTTTTAAGACAGTTGTCTGTGAAACCAGGGTTCCCAACTTAGAAATTATATAGCATACAAATAAAAATAGCATCCAGAACCAGAGAGAAGAAAAGAGAAAAATGGAAAAGCATAACCCTTCGTTACTTGAAAAGGAATAATGCTTAGAAAAGAGAACACTTCACAAATTTGAAGTCATTTGAACACTTAAGCCATATTTTATACATGTTTCAGTTTAGTATCCATCTCAAAGAGTCATCCTGGCCTTTGAGATTTAATTGTGAAGAGAAGAAATAGTACTGTTACCAATTTCAAAAAAAGAGAAGAGATGACATTCGAAACAGAACACCTAACCCAGCAAAGATTCTACAGCAACTACACCAAGTGCTAGAGACTTTCCAATGATCCCCTGACTGGTGCTAACTCATGCAAATGAACTCAGTCTTGACAAAAGAAATATAGGGCGAGCAGAGTCATGATTCAGTTCCGCCATGCAGCCATTGCATTGAAAAATATCATAAAGCAAACATCATTGAAACCACCTTCAAAAGGCACTTCAGGTTTCTCCTTACAGCAATCACCAAAAGAGATATATGTCGAAAGAGAGAACTACCTGAGCTGGACATTAGCGTAGGTTGTGTTTTGGGCTAATGAGTCAATGCCATCAAGTATATACTTGTTTATAGCATTAATAAGAATATTTTCAAATAAAAATGGAATAATATTCATAGTTTTAACTACTAGTACAGAATAGTTTTTAACTGTCAAGAGCTTACCCAGGAACTTTTCAAAACGAAGAAAAATCGCATTTCATCATAAATTGTGCCATCAATTTCAAAAATGTACCTTCAATATAATATAAGAATCCCCGGTAAAAAACTTTCCATGAGAGGATTTTGGGATGGGTACAGGCCGGAAATTTTCAATGCGCCATATCTCCATGCCACTATAACAAGTGAAGGATCACGAAGTGTTTTTCTGTACTGGGAAAAAAAAAAATAGATAACATGAAAGAAAGCCACCAGGAAGGTATCCTAAAATGTACTTGAACCAAAATCACTTGCATGAACGCAACTAATTATTGGCCTGCAAATGAAAACAACATATGTCCTGCAAATAAAATAAGTCGACACTTTCAATAGCCTCAGTGAATTTCTTTGCGCATACGTCCATTATAGTTCATGTGACCTTTTTAGTCGGATCAAGAAAATGGCGGATCTTATTTAAAGGCAAACAAAACAATTGAGTGAAGGATACGCCTTCTGTCCTGCCCCATGAAAGGCTGAATCCAAATCCCGCATGGAAACTGCCATATTGATATTGGTCTTCGGAGAAATCCGCTTCTGTCAACTTTGGCTTAAGAACAAGGGTCGGGGATATCTGCAAGTAGATATATCATTCGGCTGTTACATGATGAAATAAAATTTTTAGTGTACGCACAGGTGCTATGAAAAAATGAGAATACTTGAAGCCTTCCATGTAATCCAACCAAAAAGTTAAAACGATTGTGACTTCACCAAGAAGGCTTTGGAAAACCGTGAAAAAAATAAGTATAATTTCCATGAGCAGAAACATCTCCCCGAAAAAAACATGCCCCTTAAGGCTGAATTCCATACCTACTATGAACGAAATTTTACAGAATAAATTATTCACTCAAAGACGTCCCCGAACTTACTTATTTCGCGTGGCAAAGAGAAGAAAAAGGCTCTTCTCAAAGACAGAAAACAGCAAGATCGCTCGATGGATTCGTCTTGTGTTCAGGTTCTAAACGCAAAAACCTTTGAGATGAAGGATCGCCGAAAGGCTCGACTGCTAGACGATCTTGGACTATCCAATAGAAGGAAAGCTTCGGTAGAATTTCGGAGAATGTTTCTAAAGGAAATTAATCTTGTCTCTTATATATGATTCCAAATGAGAGGAGTAACCACAGTTTCAAGCTGGACATCTTGAACATTTCAGAACAGCGTGAAATGACGGCATGACAAACCCGGGCGGAAACTTCAGTCCTCACCAAACAGAGCAAATTAATCAGCAGACACAGAAAAGGGGAAGATCCATCGGGACGGTAGAGGAAAAAAATTACACGAACATGTTGCCAACTTCCCCACAGGGAACGGCTACGTCGACTTCATCAAGCAGACCCAACACAATAGATTAGCCAGGTAAGAGAAAAGTAACAATAGAACACCAAAGCATAAACAGATCGAATCCCCAAGAACTCCGGGCAGATTGACGTTTTACTCCCACCCATATCAAACGAGTTCAGTCAGGCTTCTCCAATCGAGATTTTTTTTTAAAAAACGCATAAGAACAAGGATTCCACGAGGTCGATTACCTCTGGCCCAAACAAGCCGGGGACAATCACCAGTCCAGGAGGGAGAATTAACGCCAGATGGTGCAGAAACACCCCAGAAATATCGATTGTTTGCCTACGATGAGAAGGGGGAGGAACAAAAGGTGCCCAAAGGCAAAAGAAGCAAGAAAGAAAAGAGAAAGGAGGAGAGAGAGAGAGAGAGGGAGAGAGAGGGGGGGGGGGAGGGGAGAGAGAGAGAGAGATGAAGAGGGGGTATGACGGTGTGCCAGGCGTGCTTATCGCATACGGAAGCAAAGCAACGCCCCCGCCGAAGGACGTGAACTGCGCTGGACTGTAATTCCCACCGTTACCCGAGAGATTACGATAAATTAGAAAACACTTTCCCCTTCCCTCCCGCGGTAGAACCGCACGGTAAATACCCGGCCTGGCCAATCCTTTACCAACCCCCCTTCTTACCATCTCCCCACGTCCATGACAAGTGTGTATGAAATGGCGACCACCTCCCTGCCGGGTCGCCGGAGGAGCTGGCAACACGCGGCCGCCCAATCCGTCAATCTTCCGTGTCCAACGCGCAGCGGGACTGATGCGGTCTTCGTGGAGAGCGGGGCTAGCGCGCAGCCGCAGGGAGGCCCCTCCCCCTCTTCCACACCCATCTGAGTTTTAGTAATCGATTACAGCGAAAGAAAACGAGAAAAGAATGGACGGGGACGGGGAGAAAGCTCCCGCGGACTGATTCAAAACGGGTTACGGCAGTGAGTGAGAGAGAGAGCACCGTCATCGCTCCTTTAACACGCCAACGTTCCTTTTTCCGCCCCGGGACATCTCAACCGTCGATCCCTCCCCCGCCCTAACAAGCACGCTGGCCATAAGTATTAAATTGATCCGTTCCCTCCGACACCTCGGACAGGTGCTGAGCTGGAAAGAGGCAGAGAGAGAGAGAGAGGGAATGAGCCTTATTCTTCCTCTCTCTTCTGGAGTGGAAGCGTTTGGCAGTTGTTTGCGCCGGATTTTGGATTCCCCGGAGATGTTTTGTCCGCTAGCTGCGAGCCGAGTTGACCAGGACGATCAGGTCTGGTTGACCGGACAAGATCTCGTTTCGCCCCCTCAAAAGGCGGTGACTTTCGGGCCGTTGTCCCTGTCAAGGATGACGTAATCATCCCATCCTATCCCACCCCTCCCTTTGTCCAGACCGTGGCAGGTGGGCCCAGATGATTCTGTGGAGACAAATTGGGCCATAATCTCCTGCTGACACAGGACGAGAACCGGTCCAATTTCTAAAGCCAATCCTGGGCCGGCCGCTTAAAATACAGCTCCGGCCCAAAAGCAGGACAATATAATACTAGTAGGGTGGGCCCGGCCCAGACAAATCGCTTCATAAGGGATAACGTCAGACTGATACTTCTAGATCGATTTTTTATTTCTAGATTAAAAATAAAAATTGGAAATGATGCTGTGAATTATTTCAGAGAAGAGTGGTGGGGAGTCACGTGCTGAGCTCGAGGAAGCGGCGGGCCATGGGGTGGTGGGCCCGGGCCATGTCGGACGGCTCCATCATCTCCACGACCTCGCCGTCGACCACGAGGCAGGCCACGTCGGCGACACGCTGGATCTGCTTCAGGCTGTGCGAGACCAGCACGACGGTGAGCCCGCGGGTTTTTTTCAGCCGCACGATGGCGTCCTCGATGTTCTGGGTCGAGATCGGGTCCAACGCGCTGGTGGGCTCGTCCAGCAGCAGCACCTGGTCCGTCAGTTCAATGGGCCAGTGAGATGATCTATTTGAACTAGGAGGGCCAGACCGGCCCAAATGGTAATGGGCTTGCTTCTTTCTTACCTCTGGGTCGTTGGCGAGGGTGCGGGCCAGGGCGACGCGCTGGGCCTGGCCCACCGAGAGCTCGGAACCGTTTCTCGAGGCGAGGGAGGGGTCCAGGTCCGCCAGGCCCAGTAGCCTCGCCACCTCCGCGTCGGAGACTTTTCTTCCCGCAAGGGCCGGCCCATAGCGGACGTTCTCGGCAACGGTTCCTTCACGGCCCAAAATCAGAAAAAGCCCATGAAAAGCCCATCCAGCACAAGAAAAAGTATAGATAGATAAAATGGGCCAGGGACGGCGGCGAGGAGGAATATAAATGGGGGCCCACGAAAGATAAGGATGGCCCATATTCTTTTTCTCGGTGGAAAAGAAGTAAAGGGCACCCCGACAGAGGAAGAATGCGACGGGGACAAAGGAAGAGCAAAATATTCTGTACAGAGAGACAAAGGCCTCTCCCTCGTCATCACTGATTTCCTAACGGGAAATTTTTCGGTTCTTCGGGCAACCAATCGTCTGATTTCGCAAAGTCCGGGCGAATGTCCTTCGTCAACGATCTCCAGATGCTTTGAGAGATGAGAGGAGGGGGGGAGGGGGGGAGGGTACCTTCGAAGAGAGCGGGGAGCTGGAAGAGCATGCCGACCTTGCGGCGGAGGGCGAGGACGTCGATGTCGAGTATGTCGTCGCCGTCGAGGAACACCGTGCCGGCGGGCGGCTCCCAGAGGCGGTTGAGGGCTCTAAGCAGCGTTGACTTGCCGCTCCCGCTCGGGCCGATGATTCCGACTATGATCCCCCGCGGTATGTCCATGTTGACGCCGGCGAGTATCGTCTCCCCCGACTCCGAGAGCTTCGTCAGGCCCTTTATCCGGAACTTGGGGCGGGGAGCTCCAAACTCTGCGGGTTGCTCGACGGCGCCCTCCTCCAAGTCCGTCAGAAGCGGCTCTCCGTGCCCTCCTCCGTCTGAAAACCACACGGCAACGAGGAAACGAGTGATTACCCAAATGAGAAACCCAGAAGGAATTGAGAGGCCAGGGGAAATATAAGAGTTGCAGGAGGGGTTGAGAAGAACGATTACATTCGGGCCTTTCCATGATCGCAGAGAGCGGTCTTCAATGGGGAGGGGAGAAAGGAGGAGAAGATCAGCGCAGTCCGTCCTACGGAGACCAGAAGAAATGGATGCAACAGCCCTTCTCTCTCTCTCGCTCTCTAAATGGTACTCGCTGAAAAACCCTCCTTTGGCCTCTTCGCGTGCCCAGAAAAAGCCACCGTCGATCATTTCTCACTCCACTTTTTGGAGCTCCATCTCCTCCCCCCACGTCCTCCGTCTTTTCTCCTTCCCTTTTGACCTTTACCAAAGTTAAAAAGTCAAACCTTTACGCCGTTCACATATAATCTTCGATGCGCACGCATTACTTAAAAGTCACAAAATATGCAGGCGGCAGTCGGACTCTGTAAGACCCATGTGATCTCTACGATCGCACATTTTACGTTTCGGTGGTGGTCTCCGCCTCCCCATGTGAGGCTCTTCCTTAGAAGGCCAGGAGGAGTCGCGGCGCCGCCGGGGAAATTCAATGTCCACCCATCGTCGGGCCTCCGGCCAAGTTGCTTCTAAAAACAACGGCGAGAGGACTGCGCGAGGAGGGCCCGACGGTAACTAGGTGACGAAAGGAATCCCGTGAACTTGAAGTACGGCGTCGGAGACCAGCGGCGGTAAAGGAGGAGGAGGAGGCGTCCCTGGAAGACGCCTTCCCCGGATGGCGACTCCACCGTCTCTCTAGCGACCGGTCCTCATCCGCCGCTTCCACTTCCTGGTCTTTTTCTCAGCCTGAGGGCGGCGGAATCTCTCGGCTCTTCCGGTGGCGGTGCCGGAGGCCCGCCGAGCTCTCAGCGCTATCCCTACTTGGCCTTGTGCAGACGAAGATGAAGAAGCAAAGCGATCCGGCAGAAGCACGGTAGAGATATTTCATCAATATCCGACGTCAATAAATAGGGATGGAAGGGCGTCCAGATTCGCCCTGCTTCTTGCTTGCCGCGGTGGTTAACAGCGACGGATGGTGAGCCGGCGCACGAGCCATTGCGCCGAAGCATCAAGCAGGAGGACTCCCGAGCGTGACGCAGAGATGGCATCGACGTGGGGTAGTGAGAGGAGAGAGAGAGAGAGAGAGAGAGAGAATAAGTTGGATGCTGGATCATCCAATAACGCTGTCATCTCGCGCACCGATTGAAAGATGTAGAATGATATCGATTTTTTAATAGAAGTAGTTATTTCCCGTGGTAGTTGGTATTAATTTTTTAGTCGGTTCACCTAAATAACATACTAAAATATTTATAAAACATCTCTCAGATATATAAAACAATTGTTTAACATGCCACGAAAAATTATTATTATTTTACGCTCATATCTTCTCTTCCGAGAGCCATCGGAGACTTTCACGTAGAACTGGGCGGCAGCTTGGATAAAAAGTTGTCAGGTTCAGGAAGGCAGCGGAGGCGGAGGTGGCCGTCGTCGTGGCGGAGCTTGCGAGGCTGGTCAAGAAGGCGACGTCCCTGCGGTGGGCCTCTCGAGCTCGCCCTCCTTCGTGCGGCTCCCTTCTTCCCCTCCGTGGCAAGGGACCCAAAGGAGATCCCCTCAGCTGCGTGTCTGTCACCGCCGCCGCCACTTGGCGGCGTGGTGATTGTCCTCTCACGGCTGACGCGGAAGCAACGCCGGGAGACTCGAGTTCCTTCTCCAGCTGGGTGGGGAGGAGGCCCACAGCGGCTCCCACGGAGAGCTTTTTGGTTCCTCTTCTATTCGCTTCCAGGAGCGCCGATCACTCCGAGGAGATAGCTCGCTCGCTCTCTCTCTCTCTCTCTCTCTCTCTCTAGCCACCTTTATCTTTCCAAGTTCGAAGTTGCAGTCGTAAGGAAAAAAAGGTCCACGCGACTAGAAACAAAATAATATGAATATTTTATATTATTTTCAGGAACAATATGAAATATTTTTAGAGATCCGACTATTTGACAGAAAGTTTGACTGTTAACGGGTAAATTTTGGGCCCGTCTTAGCCCAGTGACTTAATTGGGCCACAAAGCCCAATTAAGTCAGAAGGGGCAGTTTTATTAAAGTATATATATTATAATTTCATGGATAAGGGTTTTCAGGATAGTAAATGTGTTTTGGGGAATATATGTAACAAACCACCTCTTGACTGTCATCCCTGCGGGGACGAGTGACGGCAGAGTGGCCGACGGGGGAGTTTGAGCTGCGTGCCCCGGAACCGGGTAATCGAGAGGGAAGGGAAGGCGATGGGACTGATCGAGGACGGGGCGGTCTCTGGCGTCTTGCCGGAGGCGGAGTGCTTCGCCGTGCACTATCCGGGCTATCCCGCATCGGTTTCCCGCGCCGTGGAAACCCTTGGAGGCCTCGAAGAGATCGGCAAGGTGACGGCCGCCTGAACCCTGTCGGATGGAATCCTAGGAGCCTCCATTTCGGACAATTTCTGATGCTTCTGCGTGATCTCAGAAGCGCAGCTTGGGCACCCGCCGGGTGGAAACTCGGCCGGAGAACCGGAATGATAGTCGCCTGGAGCTGCGGTTCCGCCCAGAGGACCCGTACTGTCACCCTGCCTTTGGTGATCTCCGGCCCTGCAGCGGTCTCCTCCTCAAGGTATCCAAAAAAAGGAAGAAGACGAAGAAGAAGAAGAAGAAGAAGAAGCAGAATACGAATAAGAAAGAGGAGGTAAAGCGGCAGGAGTCTTCTGAAAACGGGGATGCAGAGCAGGGTGAGTTTCACGTGGAGAATGAGGCGTCCGCTGCTGAATCCGTGCAATTATCCTGTAGCATAGTTGCCAGGGTGCACCATGCCTACCGCTTCGATGGTACGAGAGACTTATTCAACATTCGCAGTTCCGCGTTGTTCTCAAATCTTCATTTATCCTCTTCTGTTTCTTCTTGTGAGTGGTTCAGGTTTGGCGGACTACCAATTCGTAGTTCCAGTTCACGCAGCTAAGTCAAGGCAAACAAAGAGACGTTGGGACGATGTAGAGCCAATCATCGGTGTGCCATGTTCTTCCCCTGTTCTTACAAATATTATGTCTTAGAATCAAGGCGTTCGCTGTAGTTTCATGGTTTATTTACGCAGAGAACGGTGGTCTGATGGATATGGAACAAGACGAGATGGTCATGCTGGTGCCCAAGCTGTTCTCAACGAAGGACATGCCGGATGAAATATTGTGAGATGAAATCTTTCTCATCTACTACAACAGCGTAATACGTGTTATGCGCTTTAAATGCCTGTTGGAATTGGATGTGCCGGGTTGGTCGCCCAAAGTCGAATCTGAGCCCATTCACTGCAAAAGCCGTAGAGTGCACTGAAAAACCATGAAACACGCTGAAAAGCCAAATTTCTGGGCATAGTTACAGTGCTCCTGGTCACTTGTTTTCCAGAGGAAGGCCTGGAGATTCTATAAATTAAGACACTTACAGTGAATTTAGTTTTGCTTGTTCTTGAAATTCAAGTGGTTTTTGCTCATCTTACCACTTTCATCTTGAAAATTGTGCTGTTTTTTCTTTTTGTTCTTTTTCATTTTTGTTGTCTCCTGTTTTCTACTTATTCTAGGCTCAGACCATCAGTGGGATCAGTATCAAAGCAGAAGCAGCAGCAGCAGCAGCAGGCAGTCGAAGAGCATAACTGGGAAGTAAGTACGCAGTAAATTTCTAGATAGGTTGCATATGACATCCACAAGGAACTTCTTTGATGTTTTTGAATGTTAGAAGTGGCTTCCTTTTCGTTGTGCTAGATCGATTGATCTGATGGTGCAACTATTTAATCATTTTGACGTAGGTTTTTGTGAATTTATTAACTTATGGAGGTGTTTCATTTAGCATACCTACCAGAAATGGATGAACACAAAACTTTATACAGGAATCTCCCCTGTGCAAGCAGAGTAAATATTTTATTTACTCCTCAAGTGTATTCACGTGGGTCCAATCATGAAATTCCAATTGAAAGAAGCCTATGGCTAAATGAAATTGAGTGCTAATCGTGGATTCCATTTTTATTTTATTTTATTTTATTTTATAGTATCTTATGTTTGAGAGTCGTTAAGCTTATTTGAGCCAAGAGATGTAGTACCAGAGTTGTGTTAATTCAATATTTTGGGTCTGAAGTTCATAAGCTTGCAATTTTTGGAAACTTTTCATCCATCTAGGGTAGTAATTGTTCCTAGAACCAAAAACTGGAAAATTATGCAGTAATCGTTTCTGATCATTCCTGCCATTGTGGTCTGAAACATTTAAGCATGTTAGGGGCCACTGCGAGTCTCTGTCAATGAATGGGATGTTATGAAGGAGGAAGAAGCTCACGTACAGCCACTCAGTGGAATCTCGACTTGATCTATTAATGGTGTACATATTGTTATCATCAGCAGAAGGAAACTGTGGTCATCTGGATTGCAACGAACCATAGATACATTCCTTTCATTTATAATTTCATCATCTTTTTCACTACTTTGATTTACGATTTCTTCTCTTTTGTTCGTCTGGTCTGAATTGCTATTAAATGTTATAAAAATATATATATCATTGCTTGAATCTATTCATAGTTGTTCTGAATTCACGTCCCAATCTCTGAATCGTTCTGGTTTTTTCTTCTTATTTCATTGCTCATCTGCAGATGGATATTGCCCCGTGCCTTAAACTTTCTTATGAGATAGCAGGTATCCTTTTTTGTCCAACTGTTATGATTTTGTGTAGATTATTGGCCCATTTCATTCAACCTGGCAACCCTTGTTGGTTTTTCTTTCGTGTTATGCCGGGGGGTTGTTAGGGTGTTTACTGAATGATGCCCTTTGTCATTCATTGGTTGACTTTCTATTCTGTTGTTGCTTTCTGCGTCGTGTCTGTCTTCGGACTTAAAAAATCGTAGCGGTCCCTGCAAAGGTTAACTGGGAAGATCATATTCCTAAAGATTCGTTCGAGTGGGAGTGGCAGATGGCAGTGTCTAAACTATTTGACGAGCGACCTATATGGCCAAGGTGGTCACTTCTTGAACGCTTGCTTGATGATGGTGTTGCAGTCAGCTACAATCAGTTGAGAAGGTCCGTCCTTATGTGTTTCGGTTCTCCATTGTTCTTTAAGTTCTACTTATTATTATTAAAAAAAAGGGGAAAATATTCATTTCTTATCGAGTTGACACATTTTTTTTTTTTACTATTATTAAAATTAACTCACTTCTTTTAATTCAGGTTGTTACCAAGAAGTGGATTCTACTTCTCTACTGGGCCTTTCGGCCAGTTTTGGATAAGAAAGGGTTATGATCCACGCATTGATCCCGAGTCGCGAGTGTAAGAATACTGATCTCAAAAATCTTTATGTATATATTTTTGGAAATTTGTGAGGGAGTATTTGGTCCTTTGAGGGATGAAATGGGAGAACTTCTAACTAAACCTTCAATGAAAAGGTTTTAGATATGTTTTCTGCAATGTAGGTGCATATAAGTGCATGTATGATGTAGCGGAAGTAATTTGGAGGGTAATATTCATTGCAATGATCGAAATTTCATGGTCAAAATCTCATAAAATTGGTCATAAAAAATCTCCAGATTACAATCAAGGAAGGTTGAAATGATAATATTGTCCATTCGAGTCTTTAATTTTCTATAGTCACATACATACAAAATATATATATATATATATATATATATATATGTATGTTGGAACTGATGTGAGCTGGTTGACAGTTATCAAAGGGTTGAATTTCGTTTGCGTGATCTGCTACCAAGTTATGGAGGCGTCAACCTCAGTACTGTGTAAGTTTCTAGTCAGCTAGCATTTGACTTTTTCTATCTGAGATCTCTCTAAGTTTTCCATCTATTGGCCTATGTTGTGGCAATTCCACCCAGAAGGTAATGGGTTACTGCTACAGCACGTCAAATGATAAAGTGGTAATAAGTTTTAAAGAATCAATTGATTCATGGTTAAATCCCGCCATGATGCATTTAATCACAATTTTAACTAAGCAAGGGATCATCTGATGCTGCTACATTAAGCAGATACGAAGCGGGTGACTTTGCAATGATGGGTTCAGACCAGAAATATTCAGGCGTAAATACCAATCACGAGTGAGTTTTTTCTTTTCTTGGAAGTTCCCCTCACCTCTCCCTTGTGCTCTGAGGAGCCTGCTTTTCACCAGTCAGCTTTTCATGCCTTCTGTTGACATGTCCACGATACTTGCTTTCAATAGGGAGAATGATGGATCCATTGCCCAAAAACTATCCCGTGTAATACATGTTCTAATCTCCTTTGCTTTGCTTTCAATAGGGTTCCTGTGCCATGTGCTGTAAGTGCAGATTTCACATTGCATGCATAAATCTAAAGCTTATCTACGTCTTTTATTTGAGCCCATCCTGGACAATGGAAGCAGAATTGAACTTGTGGGTTTCTACCAAAGCATTGCAATGTCAACAAAAAAAAAATCTGTCTACTGATTCAATATAATAAATCAATAGTGTAGAGGTTTTATTCATAATTTAGGTGTGCTTCTTGTTGAAACCCCTCCCAGTTTACTGGAATGACCATGGAAATCACAGGGTTGGTCAACCTATCATGCAGTTCCTTAGGTCAGCTGGTTGACCCAGAATTGAAGCACTTGTAATATTTAATGGTGGATTTTTCTCCAAGTAGGATGAAGCAGACATGGAAGGATATATGCCGTTTTCAAGCATTCCCCAAGAAGAGCTGCACCTTGCAGCTCTTTGAACTCCATGATGAGTACATTCAGCAAAAAATGACAGACACTCCACAGCAGACAACTTGCACAGTAAGTTTCTCCCTGGTTGATGCCATGCTTTCTGCCGTGAGTCTTTTGAACTCTCTGATTGCTTTCTCTGGTTTTTTTGAATAGCTTTTATGAACTGGTTACAACTGTAAATAATTCCATTGGGGTCCTTTTTTAGGGGCCCTAATCTTGGATACATGAGGGAAAACATACATTGGCCTAATAATTTATCGAATTCGTTAACATTTTTCTATATATATATTTTGTGATTTTGCACTCTCTGTCCATGTGAGCTATCTTCTGTTGCTTGGGTTTCAATCTGAGATTAGATTGCCCCTTCAAACACAATGTGGCCATTTAATGACCACTATATCTTTGTAAACTATCAGGGAATTAACATCAGTTATATCATACAGTTTGAGATTATAAGCTGAAATACTAAAGATGGTTGACCGAATAAAATTGAATTCTATGATTCTTTTATTTTTTTCCCCAACAAGCATCTTTTCCCTTAATATATTGTTCTAAGGCTAGTTTTTCTTTTCTTTTTTTAGTAAAAAAAATTACAACTCCATGCTGACGATTTGGAGTATTCACCCCGCCATGTTTGTTGGCAGCATTCAACAGGATGGTTCTCGAGGTCTACATTTGAATTACTGAGTCTGCGTGTCAAGATAAGATTTCTTTCTGTATTTCCAAGGAAGGGAGCTCAGAAGCTGCTGAAGTCTCTGCGTGAACGTTTTGAGAAGCTGAAGAGGCTTGAGATTCTCAACAGAGAGCAGGGGCGTGATGGTCAGGATGGAGACTCAAACAAGGGACTGCAGCCTGGTATCCTTCCTCCATTCATATTCATTTAATATTTTCTATTGTTTCATGGTGGGCCATTTCGGATATGTGCTGATGATAACATGGCTGGTGGTTTTAGGGCATGCGGACTGTGCTGACGATGGATTTGCGGCAAATGAAGCAGAGGACAATTCAGAGGAAGGGGAGGAAGAAGAGGAGCTAGATGAATATGGGTCTCAGCCCAGGGTAATCAGAGTCTCAATCTATCTGATGATGCAACACTGTTTTCTTCTTACGACTCATTCCGACATGATCTTCTTACAGGGGGATGAAAATGGAAGATGCTCTCTAGATGCTGGTTCCCGTATCCTCTTACTGTTTTATCTCATCACAAATTCTCTTACCCCGAACTTAAATCGATCGTTTTATGTCTCCGGTTTTTCCTTTCATTTCTTGAACAATTATGTCAGGGAAGACAACTTTAGTTTCGACATTTTAGAAAGGGATAACTCTAAATAAATTTTCATTCTGGTCTAACAGATTATGAAAAAACCATCATGAATGCTTCTATGGAAATGAATATGGACAATCATAGTCAATAAAAAAAATGCATAGAAATTAGTGCTGAATGGGGTCAAAATTTGGGAATTTGATGCATTAATCACCCGATCTTACAATCTTTTGCTGTGAAGGTTGTGCATTCTTGCTACTCTCTGCCTTTGGTTGAATTTTTTTCCCTTAACGGAAGCAGATATTGTGGGAGAAAACATCAACACCAATTATCTGCAGGAGCTTTTGTGCACTAAAATTATCGAAGGTGAAGATTATCCACCTAATGAAGATGTCGGAGGTGCCGTGTCCAGTGAAGGCGAATACCAAATATATGAGCAGGACAGCGACGACGATGATAATAATTACTTAGATGATGAGGATGCTGATTCTTAACAAGAACACGAAAACATCACAGCGTAGGACGAGCCTGACAAGAATTGATTACCAGCCATTTTCGATGGCAGGATGAAATTTTGCTATCATATTTCATAATCAAATAAGGTATATATGGTGAAGAACTGTACCTGGAATGGCATAATCAAGCTGAGGATGCTACAATCTCTGTCCGACGTTTGGTTTTCCTGGTGTTGCCGTCCCTTTGAACTGAGCCCACTTGGGCTCCCCACTTGCTGTTTCAATCAATCCCAGTGAATCATGTGGACCTGAAGCTTCTGTTTCTTGGAGATTAACATCCACGGATTCAATGCCTCGAGCCGGGCCATCGGTTGGTGTGAGAGTGCCCTCGTATGAAAGAAACTGGATGACTTTTGGCTGATTATCATCTGCAAGTGAGACCAATGCCATGCCGTCCCTGGGGCCATTCTGGAGCGGCACGAATGCAGTGTAAATTGAAAACCTTGATGCGTGGTCTGTGACGGCAAAGGCTTTGCTGTCACCCAACATCAATGACTTGTACACTTTTCCGGTGGATCCATTGTATAATAAAAGCATCAGCTTGGTTGCATCAATTGACGGATCGGCCATGATTTCCACGAACTGTTGGTTTCAGAATTTAGAGGTGAATGTGAGGGTCTAGTTTAATCATGGAAGTATATGGGGCATGTGACCAAGATATAATATGAATAATATGTACCTCATTTTCGTCCTTCCCTTTGTTGTCATAGTGGAATTCATTTATCCATGCCATCGAGGATTTGTAAGTTAGCAAGCTCCTGCTCTGAGTTTGCTTCCATATGAGATTGGCGTACTCTGGGTGGTCAATGAAAGGATTTCTGTTGTGTTGGTACAGCCTGCATACTCTTTCGTTCCTCAACTTCTCAGCTTTTGATGGCGGGTCGAATTCATTCCACTTCAGCAACGTGGAGAGGAGTCCCATTTCTCTGTTCTCTATAAGAGATTATAGCATTCATAAGTCAGTAAACAGTTCATCACGGACAAACACTTCAGAGTAGGATCTTCAAAACCTAATCACCACCGATAATCATGTTTCCATCATGGAATGGTATCAAGTACTTTTCTAGCTTTAGAAATCCCATAGAAATTGGATGACTCGGTTCGAGAAGCTACGATTTCTTGGGGAAACTTTTGAATATAAAATGGTATTACTTTCAGTCGAAGAATTTCGTCAACCTCAATGGACATCCAGTGGTTGTTACCAGTCCAAATGTCGGACGAAATGCCTTTCAAGGACAAGTGTCAGACGATCTCACATCTCTGTATACGACTGCAAAATCTACCATAAAATCCCAGCAACGATGTGTTTAACCTCTCCTTCCCAATTCTCTCCTAATTTTCATGGGGTTTCCTTCAAAAATAGGCAGATGATCTGTTGATTGACTATTCTTCGTAGAAAAAAGATCATTCCTGTATAGTAACATATTGACCTTCCAATAGAGTAAAAACTATTACCAACCTTTCGTTTAAGTCAAATCCTAGTCTCTGCACTTAGAATGTTTATGGCATGAGTTTTAGAAAATGAGTAGTAGCACGTTTATGTTTTGGACAAGAGCCGAAAGATCTTCTCAAGCAACAGTTCTCGCCTGCATAACCAACAAAAATGGAGCTTTATTTTCCTTGGATTAGTTGAGGACTCACTGATATTCGGTGAATCGGACAGCTTCAAATGGGGGCCCTCACCAGGTTGGTACATTCCGTAGGAGACAGCCATATACATCAGAGACCTTGCCACGTCACCCCTCACCTGAATATCACCACCGAGTTACAATAAGTACAGTGCAGTTCTAAGATGCCCTCATTTGGATAAACAGCATGATCCAAAAATAATTCTGTGTTGCGGGATCGAAGGCCCATGACTATTTGACGAGAAGCACAAAACTGCTGCAAAAAGAGACGTTGAGGAAGCCAAGAACAGAGATAGAAAAGAGGATCACGAAAAGTTTTCTATCCAAATACTTTCTTTATTTCAGTAGATATTCTGGAGGTTATGCACGTCCGGGGACATACATATCAGGTGGTTCAGTTACTTGAAGGTTACATATGTTTCTATCGATCTTCATGGAAGATGATGTATTACATTTAACGAAGAAGCTGGACAAATAAATGGCAGAGCAAGCCCTTACTAGTGCATATACTACATCCAGGGTACGAGGATGACACAAGAAATGATAACTAACGGTGAGCTCGGCGCATTATTTCCAATACCTTTTGGTCAAAAAAAGAGTTTTCAAAATGCTACAGCTATTATCCTTTCCATCCATCAAAAATTAAATTTCCTTTGAAGAAGAAATTCAAAGGAGCCTACCCTGTTGTGGCTTCTTTGAATTGATTTCATTCCAGTTTACTTTTCCTTTGGGATTTGAACATATCTTGAAAATTTCTTCAAGAATTTGAATGTTATTGTACACTCCCATGTAAGTAATTATACGATTTTTACATTGATGTAAAACAAGTAATAGGCCACATATCCATGCTTTAGTTGTGTAGAAACCAGATCGTAACTGCTAGGACACAGCGTTGAACCTGGAAGGGTGGAGCCCATTTTTTGCTGTCTGCTTCTGTATCAGGAGCAGCTTCGCGGTTCGCTGGTCGTAAACACACGTTTGATTCAGAAACACACTCACCATAGTATTTGTTTCCCCTTGATGAATTTACTGGAACGAAACTCCATACTGTCAGCGATTATACCATAAAGCATGGATAGAATGAACAACGCGAAATCATTTTCGTCGGCAAAAGGCAAATACAAGCTAACAAATTTTTCACAATCCTGTGTTTTAATGATACCAAAATCACTCATTAATAAATCGGCACCTTGTACAACTGTGAGCTTAGGGAATGGTAAAGCAAAGACCAACCTATCATTCATGCATGCTTACAATTCACAACCAATTTCAGTAAGAGTTGTTGTTTCCATTAATCTTACTGTTGACATCCGCAGGGCGAAGATTATGTAAATCTGTCAAGGAGGGCTTGTCTATCAGTCCGTACGATCGAGGCCACAGGTGTTCTCCTGGAAACAAGTAAGTAATTGCCATGAAAACAATCGCTATGGACCTCACGAGAAAGGCAATGACCTTCAAAGCATGCAGATAGAGGGTCACTGTCAAATGTTAACACTTCAAGCATCATACATGACTTTCAAACGTTAAGGGAGTAATTGGCTGAATCTCTATAGCTCTGTGACTATTTTCTATTCTAAAGCTAATTGATCCCCCACTTTTTTCCCTTTATTTTTTGTGTTCTGGCGTCGATTTAAGAAGTTTCTTCCTTGATCTTTCGTTCCGTCTCCCTTTCTCAACTTCCTACAACCTACGCACGTTTTCATATCAGCTATATTATTAGGCCAAGGTGGATATAAGTTTCCATCTGAATTCAACTTTTTGTCTGAACGCTCAGGGCTGTATAAAAGAGTTCCTAAAAGGCTGCAGATTGTGACTTGTACACCTAAAGAGAGAGAGAGAGAGAGAGAAAGTTATATCAGACGAAACTCCTGGACAACCTCCATTCATCCGAAACGATGGAACATCCTGAAGCGAGATTGAGATCACATTGTGGGAACTCACTGTTCCAGCCTTCCGATTTTCCTGCCAGCGTCTTTGATACAGCTCTCAAAGAGTATATCTCGATTCTGCGGAACATTGTCAAAAGATGATAACCATTGGTAGCATCTCATTAATGAAAAAAAAATTAGAGCCTGAGATATATTCAACGTCTACATACACGTCTGAAGAGTGCTCGGGGTCACTGGGGTCGGCGGCGTCCAGTATTTTGAGAGCGTCCCACACCTGTTCATCGTGACCTTAACGATAATGTTTGCTCGAGAATAGCTCATTCGACGATCGGACAAAACCATTTTCGCGGCACCTCTTTGTAAGTCAATGACCGATGAGCAGAGACAACGGCGCTCAACCGTCTCATCAACGCGGCACCGTCCAATCCCTCCAGACCAGCATAGTATCCCGCGACGTCCTCACACGAATACGTCTCTAGACTGGACAGTCTGCCGTCGACGCTGGCCGCCGAGATACCCGCACCGAAGCAAAAGAGAGCGGCGGCGATGGCCGCCACGATCTTCCTCGCCAGCCTTTGGACGCCGTCAGGGAACTCAAACTGGGACCTCAGAGGCAAAATCCTCACCACTTCACCCCTCCCGCTCTCCTTTCCTTGAAACCAGAACTTCGCGATCGGCGGCTTGGGGGACCGGCCGACAAGCCACCGCGAAGCCGCGCCGTGATGGAAGAGGATGAAACGATCAGATCGGAGGCGCCCGTCGCTCCTGGTCTTGGCAAACACGGCGGCGCTCTGGAGGGAGGCCAGTGCATTCCGATGGGAAGGCAGAGGCGCCACGGCGGAGCTCGCCATCCCCGCGTCCCCACGGGATAAGTCCTCGAGTCCGTTCATTTCAAATTTATTGCAGTTTGCTGAGAGAGAGCGGAGTTTTTCTGTGACACATGCGTTACTTCCTTTTTTGGTAATAACAATTGCCAAACGGTGGTGGCACGTGTGAGTTGCCGGGGCTAACCTTCCTGAGCCCGGTCCGAGCGTGGGTCCGAACCCCTTCCACAGCCCCCCGGACATGGCTTGAGAGAGACCTTCGCGAGCCGGTGGCAAGGAGGGCTATTAGACAAAGTACGATTTTACCCTTTTTAAAGGAAAAACTGAATTATAGAACATAATGTTTTAGTAAGGGCGTTTTAATTATAAAATTATGAATATAATTAAGTTAGGTGTTTAGGCTAATTTGACCTGGTTGATGATGCTCTTAATTACAATATTTTGAACAATAAAGTGTAGATCGGATATTATTATGGCACAATATATTCTATAATTATCGTGCTTTGATATTAAAGCTAATCATCATATTTCTTGGAAAGTAAGCTTATGTCATTGGCAATGGATCTATGGATAGTTATTGTTTAATCGTTTTTATATCACTAAAATCTCTTATAACCAAAGAACCATTCAGAGGTAAGATTTTTTTTTATCAAATACTGGCTTGGTAGTCAGTATTATTATAAGATTTTTTTAAAAAAAATAAAAATTAGAGTTGCCCATGAAAAATATTGATTTCCCATCCATTTTCTCTTGCAATGAGAACTTTATTTCTGATATTTAAATTTCTGCAAAACCACATAATTTTTAATTAAAAAAGTTATTAATTTTTTTTATTAGGATTCAGTGAGGGAAAATCTAAAAATATAATTTCTTGTTAAATGATTAACGGGAATTTGTTAGTTAATAAGCATAGAAGAATCCGAAAATTTATTGAAAAATAAAGTGGCTTGTTATTTAACAATAAATATCAGAAAAACCAATCTCTCGTCGAATAATATATCGGAGGCTTGCTTGATCTTTAGTGGGGGACGGAGATGCCCGCCATTGATCAAGGCCCAGAGCTGTTTCCGGGAGGAAGCAGAGGGGAAGATGGGGAGGGGGAAGAATATCTGGCGGGAGGAGCCAGGGAGGACGACCGGCCCCATTGGCTCCAAATAGGCAGGGCGTCGAACCGTGGCCAGAAGCCCTGACCGGCGGCGCGATCCTCAGGGCCGTCTTTGCCTTCGCCGCCGCTCATCTTAGCTATGGCAGCTACGGAATCTGGGGAAACCGGGTCTCCCCTTCCCTCTTTCTCTTCATCACCACCACCACCACCACCACCGCCATCATCATTTTCTTCTTCTTCTTCTTCTTCTTCTTCTTCTTCTTCTTCTTCATGTCACAGCTCCAGGTCTTGTGCCGGTCGATGCCGGCGACGTGGCTGGTTGCGTTGGTGAGCTGGCTGGTGGTCGGCGTCGCCCGAGGGGGCAGCTTCTCCGAGGACGTTGAGATAGTATGGGGGGAGAGCAAGGCCAAGATATTCAATCACGGGGAGCTCCTGGAGCTCTCCCTGGACAAGGACTCCGGCTCCGCCTTCAAGTCCAGGAACGAGTACCTCTTCGGCAGGATTGACATGCAACTGAAGCTCGTCGCCGGCAACTCCGCCGGCACCGTCAAGACCTACTACGTACGAGCCATGGGACCACCTTCACAACCCTCTCCTCCAGCGTCATCCTCGAATTGATCCATGGCCGCCGCCGCCTATCGCCCTTGCAGACGACCTCTCTCGGGGACGCCCACGACGAGATCGACTTCGAGTTCCTCGGCAACGTCACCGGTCAGCCCTACATCCTCCACACGAACGTGTTCTCCCAAGGAAAAGGAAACCGGGAGATTCAATTCTACCTCTGGTTTGACCCCACAAGGAACTTCCACACATATTCCATCCTCTGGAACCCGCAGCACATCATGTACACTACCCAAACCCTAACTCTTCTTCTTCTTCTTCTCGCGTTCATCGTCGTCGGGATCCTCATAAGGGACTTCAAGAACAGCGAGCACAAGGGGGTGCCGTTCCCGAAGAGCCAGCCGATGAGGATCCGAGGCAGCCTGTGGGGCGCGGAGGGCTGGGAGACGAGGGGCGGGCTGGAAAAGACGGACTGGTCTGAGGCGCCGTTCATGGCCTTCTACAGGAACCTGCAGACAGATGGATGCGTGGGCTGGACCTACCCCTACAGCATGTCGAGGACCTGGTTCAAGCAGGAGCTGGACGCTCATCAGCGAAGGCAGATGAGGTGGGTGAAGAAGAGGTTCATGATCTGCGACTACTGCGCCGACGTGAGGAGATTCGCCAGGGGGCTGCCAACCGAATGCAGCTAGGCGGCGGCGGGAGCTGATCGTGTTCATCTGGGGCTGGGTTTTTGGGCAATGCATCTTCTTCCTCTTTCTTTCGTGATCATGAACGTGATACGGTCGCAGATGATTAAATTTGGCACGTGCGACCGCGTAGCTCTGATCTGACGGGCGGGGGAGGGTGGAACACGTGCGCGGTGCGGAGCAGAGGAAAAACGAGGAAGAATCTTTCTGCCAGGGGGGGCAGTTGACTGCTCTTCAAGATGTACGTTTGATGACGTCGTTTAATGCTTCACGTCGGTTAGCTTGAAAACATGGGGACCAGCAGAAAAAGAGACCAAGTTGGCGTCGCCCGGACTTGAACCGGAGACCTTCAGTGTGTTAGACTGACGTGATAACCAACTACACCACGACACCTTGATGCCAAGTCAAGGAGTACTCGGTAAATAAATGGAGAAGTTATTTGACTTTTTGTCCATACAGACGTCTACGTCAACGGGTACTCGATGGAGAGAGAGAAAGCATGGGAGTGTATTAGTCAGGGCAAAAGCATTCATTTCGCGGCGTAGTAGTTGTAGATGAAAGATGAAGGACCAGAAACATGAAGCCGTGTATATTTCCATTACTGTTCGAAGCAAAATCTGTCGAAAACTACAGAGGAAGGAAACAATTAAAGAATACACTATTCACAGGAACAAGTGACGCTGGCAGCTCCGATTCCAAAGCTAAGCAATGGAGCACTCGGGAGGGAACCCCTGCGGAAACCGATTGGCGTCGGTGCAGTAGTTGTAGATCATGTAGTTCTTCTGCACCCATCTCATCCTCTCCTGGCTCGTGGCGTCCAGCTCCTGGGTCATCCAGGAGCTGCCGGCGGGAGTGCCATTCTTAGCTTCGCAGCTGGAGGCGCCCATCGACATGACGCAGGCGTTGGCGTTGAAGTTACTGTAGGAGGCGACGAATGGCGCCTTGGACCAGTCGGTCTTCACTAGGCCGCCCCTCGTTGCCCAGTTGTCGGCGTTCCAGAGGCTGGAGTAGATCCTCATGGGCTGGTTCTTGGGGAAGGGGACGCCCTTTGCCTCGTTGTTCCTGAAGTCTCTGATGGGAGTGCCGTCAACGGAGAAGCTGCAGAGAGGAGATCGGAATAGAAGCCATTAGAGTCTGACGATTCGGAGATAAGGTCGAGATCAGGAGAGAGAGTAATGTCCACCCTTAGCTTACATGATATGCTGGGGGTTCCACAGGATAGAGTATGTATGGAAGTCTTTGGTGGGGTCGAACCAGAGCTTGAACTGCTGCTCCCGGTTCCCCTTCCCCTGCGAGAAGACGTTGGTGTGGAGTGTGTAGGGGTCTCCGCTGAGGTTCCCCAGGAACTCGAAGTCGATCTCGTCGTGGGTGGGGCCCTGCGACGATAGCTGCTCACCACAAAAAAACCGCGCCTCCGGTCAGACCCAAGAAAGCGAGGAGACGGGTTCTGAATGGGGAAGAAGGCGTAGGGAATGGGTGGGGGCACTCACATAATAGGCGGTGACGGTGCCAGCGGAGTTTCCGGGGACGAGCTTGAGCTGCATATCGATCTTCCCGAAGAGGTACTCGTTCCGGGACTGGAAGCCGGAGCCGGAGGTCCTGTCGAGCGAGAGGGTGAGCATCTGGCCGCCGTTGAGGACCTTCCCTCTGCCATCGCCCCAGGTAATGTCGAAGTTCTGGTAGAAGTTCCCCGCCGCGGCGACGGAAACCAAGAAGCAGATGACGAGAGAGCCGGCCAGCGCCAGCATTTTGGGGGCCTTCGACGGAAAACCCATCTAGTTGGATTGTATGCGAGATGAAGGCTTGCTAGGGTCTCTGGATTGGCAGGACGAGAGGACTGAACCCTGATGGTGTGCTCGAGTGGTGTTGATGGCGTCTGCTGGTGGTAGTCTCAGGGTTTTATAGGCGGAGGAGCGGGAGCGTGAGGAAGACGGCAGGTTCTTTCGGCTCGATGTCTTAGCTGGCACCAGATGGAGAGCGGCTGTCATAGTTATCGTATTACCATCAGCACCACACGGTTTCCTCTCTCTCTCTCCTCCTCCTCCTCTGTTTCCCCCCTGGTCTGCCGGTGAATGCGTGCTGCTTCGCACCGACTCTTTTCTCTCTCTCTCTGCTTCTATCTCTATCTCTATCACTCAGTCTGGCGTCCGGCTGATGAGTGATTGGGTCTGGTGCTGGCCTCGGGAGACAAGAGGACGGCTGGTGATGAGCTGTCGGTGACTTCGGCCAGAGATGGATATTTTTTGCTCCGGCAGGTATACGACCCACATGCAATATATCTTTTCCACGCGGGAACCTGGACACGTACTCCCCCAGCGAATGACCTTTATGACTGTCTGACCTATATCACGCCGTGAGCGCATGGCGCTATTAATGGCTCTCCCCCACCATTCAACTCGGCCATTCGATTTTCTGGTAAATAAAAAATATTTCAAAACCAAACGTTCGCCCTTCCTAACTGGCCATCGGATGATGACGATGTAAATGACTTGCGTGGTAAGTTCGAAGTTAAGGCTCGTAATTATTACTCCTATCGAGTAATAAATAAAGTTCATAAATAAAACGCAGGCCAACTGGAGTGCCGGCCATTGTTGACTTCCGACCTAGATTTCAGCCAGGGCTCATAGGGGGTCTTCTGGCCCAGAACCCCGGTTTACTCCGGGCACAGCCCTCATGAGCCTCCACCGGGTCCGAGCCAAGAGGGTCCGTCCAGGCCGGACTCTACTAATAATGGTGAAAGTAAGATGTCACATTTATCGTGTCCACGTGTCCAGTCTGGCCACGTGGACCCATCCCCCCCCCCGCGGAGCCTGCCAACTCACAAGGCACCCGTCTTCTCTAATGTTGATGTGGGAAAAGTCTCGTCGAGAGAGCAGACAGACTAATTTTTATATACGGCCATACTCCAGCGGCCGCTCTTTCGCCGCCACGGGCCACGGTTGCCAGAAGGTGCTCACTCAGTTCAGTTGACTGAAGATTCTCCGTTTGATAAAAAAACAGAGTGATTTATTCGATTAAATAAATTATTTGGCTTTCTAACGTGGATGTCAGAAGGGTGATTCAGAGGTCCAAGTCAAAAAAATGTTCCACCTTGGATCATGCTTATCCTGCCATGTCAGCCCACGCCCCACTCCCCAGCTCCGGCAGGCCTCCGAGCTGGGCCGAGCTTCACAAGGCGTGGGACATGCTTGCTTCAGCAGAAACCCTGGATTCCATTAAATAAAATAGATTATTTAATTACTATTTACAATCATAGTCTAATCTTGTTCCCCGCGTTTTATATCTGGGTACTTGTTTACTCGATTTCCAATGTTTGACCTGTGGCAAAGGCACGTACGGCATTAATAATATTGTCAACAGTAAAGTATTTTTTTTTTTCCCGAGGATTACTATCGTTGATATTTTTATTCGGAGAAAATATATAGGATAGAAAAACTATGTTACCAAATAAAATAATTAGTTAAATGGAAATATGGCGTGGGAAGTGAAATGCCATCACCTTTTGGGATGCAGTCTTTGATGTGAAGAAGTGAGAGACTAAACGAGATGAGCAAACAGCTGTTGGGGTCCCCATCATTGCTAAGCGTGAAAGGGCATGTGTGGAGATGCCGTCAAGCATAAGCATGTGTGTGGTTGAGGAATGGCATGGGCAGAATGAGATTAACATACGAGGCCACTAACCTCAATGGTTGGCCCACATTAGGATCTTATGTCTTCAAATGATTGGCTGCACTACCTTATTAAAATGGTGGTTAAGTATTGTCCGTTATTCTACGATGTAAGAACATCCCATTAAGGGTTGAGGTATGTTAACCCTAGAGGGAAAAAAATGAGAAAAGTGATGGAAGGAGGAGGGGAATGAGATTTTTTCTGTAATTAAAAGGGGGACTCAAGAATTAGGCTTACCTAATCCTTTGGACATGAGAAGCTCTTCTACTAAAGTGAAGGCTAATAAGTGTCACCAAGGATGACTAAGCCCTAGCAAGGTAAGCTCAGGCTAACCACAACATGACAAGTAATGTGAAGGTGTGTTTGTAATTTGTATATTAATTGTTAAGAGTCAACAAATTAGAGCCTAGGTTTTTTTACTCTACGTATAATGAGCCTTGACTAGAGATTTACTCACTCAATGTATGAATAGACTTATTCAAGTTACATATGATATTAAGTTTCAAGCTTGAATTTATAAACACGATCATTGAAGAAGATATCAAGTTATGATTTTGTAGAACTAGAGACATCAACTTTTGAGTCAATAATATACACTTGAATCCACAAGACAAAAAGATAGCTCTTGAATCCACATAAAATATTCCATCACTTTATACAAAAACTCTAATATTTGAAATGATATCTTACGTTACAATAGCATGTTTTATATAAGATTATATAGGAGGTGAGACGCCCATAAAAGTGAACATAATTAAAACAGATTATGTAATCACATAAAATATACTTTGACAGATTCTGGACATATTCAAAATAGATTCTGAAATGACAAAAACAAATTGTGATAGACTATGAATAAAATCAAAACAAATTCTGAAACAACAGAATAAAAATTAAAAAATAAAAAAGAACATTTTTTTTTTTGAATGATTAATTGAGGTTATATTAGTTTTCTCATTCTTTACTAGGGCCCAATTAGGTTTTGGGCCATCTTTAAGCATTTTCTTTTCTATGAACCAATTCCAAAGTGACTGGACCTCTGACTTTGGGCTCTTCTTTAACTTCTACATTCTAGGCTACATCAAGTTTAATCTTAGATCAAGTGAACAAACTTAGAGTCTTGATCCAAATTGAATTAAATTTGATTTGGTTAAGCTTAGATATGTCCAACCTTATTAAAGTCAAAAGGCCACCACTAGTATTAGCCAAACAACTTGCATTTTTTTTATTGTTATTTTACTACATTTATTTTATCACAAAGTTGGTATATTTACATATAATTTTTCTAATTTCATAAATGGTCTAACTAAAACTCTTTCACCCAAAAATAAGTGAGCGACAAGTGAGCTAAGATAGAATATGGAATTTTTTTAAATAAACCAATTCATTTTAGACCTTATAGATCCATCTAATTCATTTTAGACCTTATCGATCCATTATTTTTTCTCTTCAAACACTGAAATTTCAGATTTTGAAATTGATAAATATTTGCATAGGTGTCAAGCTTGTTAATTATAATTAAGCCTATGAGTTTTTTATGGATTAAGCACAAAAAACACTTCTTAATCATTGGCACCAAACATAGAGCATCTAACTTTCTCGTGAAGCATGTCGAGAGCATACTTCTGCTGAGTGAGGGTGAACTTCTTGTCTTGATATGCAAACTCAATCTCAAGAAAATATTGTGGAGTCCCTAAGTCACGAATACTGAGGTGCTGCTACAAGTAAGTTTTGGTAGCAAAGATGTTGGCCTCATCACTTACAATCACAAGAATGTTGTCAACATATATTGCAAGGATGATAAAGCTACCCTCTATCTTTTTTGTGAGCACAGTGGGGTTTGCAGTGTAAGAGGCGAAGTCGAAGGTAGTGAGTAAATCACTAAACTTGACAAACTAAGTACGTGGACCCTAGTTGAGCCCATAAATAGCACACCGCAAAAGACACACATTCAATAACTCTTTATGAGCAACATACCTAAGAGGTTGTTCCATAAAGACTTACTCCACGAGATCATTATAAAGAAAGGCCTTATAAACATTTAACTAGTGTACAGATCATACCTAATTGATGGCGAGAGAAAGGAGCACACCGACATAGTTGAGACAGACGATGACGTGACTTAGTCGTTGTATATTAAATCACGTAAATATAAAATTTATAAAACTAGAAAATATAATTTTTTGGATATTTAGAAGTATTTCTAAACAAATATATCAATTATAATTTAATAAAACTTCCAAAAATAGCGATAATTTTCCAAGTCAATCACAGGGATGTAATATAATATCTGGTAATTATTCAGAATTTTCTTCAGAGAATACTATTTTATATAAATTTTATACTAAGAAATGAAAAGGAAATATATTTAAAATTTACAAAAAAAGGAAATAAGGGTGCGGGCATCAAGATGACGTTAGCGCCCGACGAAGGCGAATCGGACGGAAATAGAGTTCCGCCCGACAATTCTTACGTAAGCGATTACAGACGATTTAATTGATCAAATTAAGATTTGTAAAAGACAGAAGAATCGTAATGAAATAAAGTATATGTTGGTAAATTTAAAATCAACAAATTATCACTAAATGAAACGGAAATTAAGTTGAAAGTAGGAAAACAGAGTTCCGGCGTCATGGCGGCGATGCGTCGACGATGCACCGAAATTCTGAGTGTTCGGGAGGATCGTCGTGCAGTGTCCATGGCCTCGAAGGCTCTCCTTAGATAAGGATGACGTGGGCAATCTCTAGATCTTCTCGCGAAGTCTAGAGATTAATGAAATGGGTCGTCGAATCGTCTCCGGTGGCTGTCACCTGGTGGAGCGGAAAAACAACGACTTTGCGGCTTTGCGGCTCTCCGGCGGCTGTCACCCGATGGAGAGGAGCTAGATGGAAGTGAGGACCATGTAAGGGAGCTTCATCCTCAGGTCCGTACAACAAGAGGTGGCGACTCGTACGCTCTTAGGAGGTGGCGACTTGTCTCCTGACGGATCGTCCTCTTCCTGACGACGGCTTGTTCGTCGATCAATCGGAGATGATTTACTCGATGGATTCGCAATCTTTTTATTGTGAATCGTTCAACAATTTTAGTAGCAATGCTCCGCAAATCGCATTGACGAGATTTTCGCCGATGATCCAGCGATTCTCGTTGCTTAATCATTCACCGGGGATATGCAGGAAAGTCACGATAATCAGATAAAAATATATGACTTTTGACTCTAGGAGGATTCGAACCTGCGCCGGTTGTCTGCCCCTTCTGAGGAAGGTGTGACGCGGGTTTAGTCTCACATCGGTTGTGTGTTGATTTTTCGGGCGAATATATAGTAATGTTACATTTCTAAGCAAAGTTCCTTCTCTCGTGTGTACGACCACTCCTTGCCCCACAGCCGGCTGGCCACCGGTGATGTGGAAGGGGAGTGGCGCACACGTGCCCCTATCGTTCCAAGCCGCTCGAGCCCCTACTCGCGGCTACTCCCCGGCTGAGCTTCCGACCCGCTTGCGGGCCCAGCTGGCCGGCGGGTCCCCCTCATTTTTGTCTTATTTTTATTTTTTATTTCTTTTTCTTCATTTATCTTGAAAGCAAGATTGTAAAAATCATATAAATTCATGTAAAATCACATAATTACATAAAAATTCACAGTAATCAATTGAAAACCACTTTTCACACTTTAACACAAATATAAGTCTATTTATCATGAGTTAAGGTTAAAACTATATTATTTACTAATTATTAACTCATGATAATGAAGACTTATCAGACGACATGAGAGAACATCTTAGTATAGTCGATCCCATATGTCTACGTGAAGCCACGAGTGACTAGACAAGCTTTGTGACGAGTGATGGAGCCATTTCGATGATATTTGAGGGTAAATACTCACTTGCACGTCACAATGTTGACATCGGTTGGGCACATAACCAAATGCCAAGTCCCCTGAGTGATCAATACAACTACCTCTGAATCCATGGCTGCCTTCCATATAGGTACTTGTGTAGCCTCATCATATGACCGTGGAAGTGACTTAGAGGCCACAAAGAGGCCAAAGGCATGAAAAGAAGGAGAAAGGCGAACATAGGAGACAAATTGAGAGATGAGATAGTGGGTGTAGGCATGTGTACCTTTGCAGAGGGCAATAGGGAGATGAAGGTCATTAGGTGGAGCAACGACTGAAGGTGCAGAAGGAATTGTAGGAGAGAATGAGGAAGATACTACATCCAGAACATGAGGAGACACGAGAGACATGGACGAAAGAGAGGTGGACGTAGGTAATGACACCAAAAAGAGTGGACAAGAGGGAAGAGAAGGGAGGGTCTGCAAGAGCCACTAAGGGAGGGAACCTAGGTGGAGGAGATGTAGCGGCCCAAGGAAGAAGAGACAAAATATGATAAAATAAACGAGACTCCTTATGGAAAGTGATGTTGGCTGAGGTCACATAGCGACAGATATCGGGAAAGTAAACTCGATAGCCTTTTTACATGTGATAATAGCTAAGAAAGACCCCTTTAAGAGTATGAGGGGCGAGTTTAAAAAGATAAGAAGAGGAATTCTAGACAAAAATAGTGGATCCAAAGACTTGAGGGGAAAGAGAAAAAATAAGAGAGTTAAGGATTAAGTGATGGAGAGAAATGGCCCCTCCAAGAGGAGCAAAGGGAAGTCAATTCTAGAGGTAAGTAATAGCCAGAAGGACGTCAGCCTAGAGATAATGGAGGATGTTTATTTGAAGAAGAAGTGTGCGAGTGATGTCAAGGAGCTGATAGTGTTTACACTCAGCAACACCATTCCACTGCGAAGTATGGAGACATGTGGTTTGGTGGAGGATATCACGATCAGTGCAGAAGGTGCAGACATATGCTTGGACAAACTTAAGAATGTTATCAGTACAAATTTTTTTAGACATAATGATGTATTAGGTGATAACTTCGGTGATGAAGTGGATAACCTTAATGACGACTTTAGAGCAATTGTGGAAGAGGTAGACCTAGCTCACATGAGTGTAGTAATCAATAAAAATATTGCAATAGTAATAGCCCGAGATAGAGGAAGTACGAGATAGACTCCATACATCGTAATAGGAAAGGTCAACAAGAGTAGAAGGGATGCCATCACAACTAAGATAAGAAATATGATAGTATTTGCTTAATTGACAAGACTCATATATAAACTTAGAGAAAGAAAGTCATGGTAAAGTTTTTTATAATTTAGATAAATAAAGATGACCTAAACGACGATGCCACAAAAGAGAAGTAGCCGTAGAGATGACAAAAAGGGTTCGAAGGTTAGATGAAGGTTCGTCAGAAACGAGTTCGTAGACACCCTTGCCTATTTTCACACCCAAACCAATCCTCGGTCCAATATGCAGATCTTGAAATGTATAATGAAAAGGAAAGAATGTGACTATACAAAGAAGGGTACGGGTAATAACACTAATGGAAAGAGAATTAGTATGAAAACTAAGAATGTAGAGAACTTGGGTGAGGTGAAGGGAGGGAGAAGCCGAGGTGACACTATGACCTTTGACCAAACATGTCCGACCATTAGCAATGGTGACAAGGGGATGAGTCGGGATAAGCTAATAGGAGAAGAGAATAGTGGGGATCTCGATCATTTCCATGGAGGCCCCTGAATCGATAATCCACGGTGTCGAAGAAGAAGCAAGGAGAGTGTGTGTACTTAGCGTGGAGGAAGTTAGAAGCGAGGCGAGATTGACAAAGGTGGAAGCATCAATACTATTGGCGCGTCGAAAGGCATCATACTCTGTAGGCGTCAAAGTCACATGGAAAGTAGGAGCTAGAATATGGGATGGAACAAGAGACACCAGAGTCTGCGAAGTTAATGCCGATTGTGCGAAAGTAGGCTTGTTAAATTACTTCCAACACTTAGTAGTCGGATGATTCTACTTCCCGCAGTAAAGACATAGAGGAAAAGTGTTACACTTACGTCTGTGAAGAGTACGACCACTGTCAGGGCAGAAAGGAAGGGTATCATCTCGAGCCCACGGAGCAATAATAATAAGAGCCAAAGGAGTAGAGGTGGCGCCGAGAGAGGAAGAAGAGTGAATAGGCGTACCAATGGTGACCCAAAAGACTGTTAAAAAAATGGAGGCAAGATCAGACACGCAATCCCTAGAGAGAACAACTCCCTCAAATCTAAGATGTGATAGACAGATGAAGTCCAGTAAGATAAACTCCAGCATAAAACTTCTAGCGATAACATTGGAGGCTAAGAGGTCGATAGTAAAGGGCTAATAGATATCAACCTCTTAGATGAGGGCCTAGAGGCGACCATAGTGGGTCTGAAGAGAGAGATCGTTTTGTTTATAGGAGAGAAGAGACTTGAAGATTTCCATAATTCGACCGATATTTGTTCGGTTAGCATACATAGTCTCTATAGTGAGTCACAAGAGATAGGCCGAGGTGATGCGTGCTAGTGGCTTGACAATACTGAATTTAATACTCTAAAACATCCATGTGATGACGGTCGAGTCGAGTTGTGTCCATGTCACATACGAGGGGTCTCAAAGGTCGGGTGAGTCCTTCGAGAGGTGATGGAGGAGACTATGAGATCTAAAGAAGAGCTCAAAGCCAGATGCCCATGACACATAATTGTGGCTGTTGAAGATGTACGTCGGTCGAGTAAGTTACGTCGTGATAGAATGGCGAGCTGGAGGAACCACTGGAGAAGAGAGAACACTAGTCGGAAGAAAACTACCAGCTGGCTCATTGGGAAACGGGTGAAACCTTAACCACCGCAGCCGGACAGTGACAACACCCGCGATGACGACGACGAGGGCTAGGGCGTGATAGCGACGGCAAGGGATGAGGTGTGATGGCAAGGATGCAACAGCAAGGGTGCGACGGCAAGGAGGGACCTCGACGGTAGTGGCGATGCACTCGGCACTTGAGAGTGACAACACTTACAATGGCACGACAGTGAGGGCACGACGGCAAGGAGGGGCCTCGACGACGATGATGACGGCGATGGCGACGGCGATAGTGGAGACGCTAGAGAAGAGGAGGAGAGTGACATCACCAACGAGTGGTGATGGCAACGAAGAGGGTGGTGCTAAAAGGAGAAGAAAAGCAACAATAGAGACGACAAAGTTGGAAGAGGGAAGAGCAGAGATGCTAAAGAGTCGCTAGAGGAGGGAAGAGGTTGGCAAGGAGGAGAGTGGCGCGTCAAAGATGGGTGGTGCACTAGAGAAGAGGATGACGACAAGAGATACCTAAGGCTTTGATACCATGTTGACACAAGAGGAAAAAATCTTAAAATCCATGCAACCTCAAGATAGAATACACGACTCTTATATAAGAGAGAACCTTTCCCTCTTACATGTAGATTTAAACACCCCCTTGTAGATTTAAAGGTTGAAGACTCTAAATCTATAGATTTAGAGGCAGATTTCTTCCCCAAGATTAGAGTTTTGTGGATTTAAGCCCATATATTTATCTTCCACATTATTGTTGTGTCATCTAGTGCCCTCTCTCCTGGCACGTCACTCTATTACGGTGCAACTCACTTGTCCCGTTTACACATTCAATGACTATAATTACGCATGATGGGTGTTAAGCTTCAAGCTCTTTCTACAATCCCATTGCCTCTTTCATCATCTCACGAATGACTCTTCAACTCTCCGCAACCCTTCTTTTGCCTACTAGTTGTAAGTCGACTCGGCCGTTATCACTTAGATGTTCTATAGTATCAAATAAAGCATCGTCAAGCCTCCCTCTCATATCAAACCGGTGTATCTTCTATAAGACAATTTAGAGATAATGCATGCTAATCGAATGAACATCAGTTGAGTGATGGAGATCTTCAAGTCTCTCCTTAACTACAGTAGGGCAATCTCTCTCTCTAGGCACACTATAGTTGCTTGTAGGCCTTCATTAAATATAGTTGCTCGGATCTCTTGATGTTCTAGTGCTATCGCTAGGAGTTTTATATTGGGGTGTATTTTAATGGACTTCATCCTTCCACCGCATCTTAGATCTACGGTTCGGTTTGCTCTAGTGATCAGGTACCCAACCTCGCCTCCATCTTCTATGCATCATTTCGGGTCACGACTAATACGTCTTTGCCCTCTTCACCTTTCTCCACATGGATTGTGACTTCCTCCTTAGCTATGGTCGTCGCTGCTCCTCTGGCTCGAGATGATGACTCATCTTCTTGCTTTAAGGGCGGTTGTCCTCTTTGTGGGAAGAGCCGTAACTCCTTTCCCCCATATCCTTATTGCGGCAAATAGAATCATCAGGTCAACAAATGCTAGAAGTAATTTAGCAAACTTATTTCTTGTCAACTGGTGATGGCTCCTTCGGCTCTCATACCCGCTACTTCAAATGTCCTCGCCTTGAGTTTCAATGTCAACTTGACGTTTGTAAAGTAAGAAGTGTTTTGCCACTACATCAATTTCTATAGTTCTAACAGCACCTCATCTTCTGTCAAACTCACCTTACTTTTGATTTTTTCTGCGCTAAGTACATAAGCTCTCCTTATTTCCTCTTCATTGTCATAGATTATCAACTTGGGGGCCTTTGCTTATATAACCAACACTTCATCCTTTTTATCTTCATATCAACCTACTCCTTTCCATTCTCCCGTCACCATTGTTGATGGTTAGACTTGACTGGTCAAAGGCCTGACACTACCCTCGCCACTTTTGACCTTCCTCTCTAATAAGTCCTCCACATTCTTAGATTTTCTATGAACCTTCTCCCGATTAATGTCTTTCAACTCATGCCTTTGGTTGTATCATTAACTTTCTTTCTTTTTATTGTACTTTTGAAAATGTACACATTGAGCAGAAGATTGATTTGGGTTTGTGAGAACAAGTGAGGTGTTTATGAGTTTACTTTTGCTAAACTCTCTTTTAGCCTTAGGCCCTTTTTGTTACCTCTATTGTCACTTCTTTCTTCTTATAGTGTTAGCGGTTAAATCATCTATATTTTGAGAAATTTTAAAATTTTTTACTATAATTTTGTCTTAAGAAGTTTGTGTGGGAGTTATGTCAGTTAGGTAAACACCATTATTCTTTCTACCTCAGTTGAGATAGTGTTTCTTCTTCTACTCATTTTGACTTCATCTATTGTGATGTATAAGGTCTTTATCGTACTCCTTCTTTCTTGGGCCACTAATATTACATTGTTCTTATTAATGACTACACTCATATGAGTTAGGTATACTTATTATGTGACCGCTCTAAAGTCATCATTACTGTTGCCCACTTTATCATGGAGGTCGTCACTCAATATTCTACTGTCTAAAATTTTTCACACTAATAATATCCTCGAGTTTGTCCAAACCTCTCTCTTAATATTTTACGCTAATTGTGGCATTATCTATCAAATCATTTGTTTTTATATTTCACAGTAGAACAATGTCGTTGAGTTCAAACATTATCAACTCTTTGACATTACTCACACCTTACTTTTTGAGATAAATGTCTTACATTATTTGTGGACCGTTGCCTTCATGACAACCACTTACCTTCATAATCAGTTTTCTTTCATTCCTCTAGGTGGGGCAATTCCCTTTCAATGCCTCCTACCTACCTTACCCCTATTTTTTCTTCCTCGGGTCCTTGGATATACTGTCTTTATCTATGATCATTCTCCTTCCCTATCTGAACTTACCCCTCGTGCTCTCAAAGAGGTCTTTGTTGGCTACTCCCAAATACAGAAAGGCTATTGAGTTTACTTTCTTAACATCCATCGCTATGTTAGTTGGTTGACGTCACCTTTCATGAGGAATCTTCCTTTTTCTCATCTACCTTCCCTCCTTGAGCCATTAACTTTCCTCCACTTAACTTTCTCCCTTTGGTGGTCTTTGCAGATTCGTCTCCTCTAACTCCCTCCCATCCGTCCTCTCCACCATCACCTCCTCCTCTTGACTCCTCTCCACCAGCCTCGTCCACTGAGCCATCGTCTTCCTCTTTCATTGAGCCACATGTGCCTCCTGTTGACATCCTCGGTGCTCCTCAAGATGATCTTCATCTTCCCATTGTCCTGTGCAAAAGTACCCATGCTTGTACCCAACATTCCATCTCTCACTTTGTTTCCTACAATCACCTTTCCCCCTCTTTTCATACCTTTGTCTTTTCTGTGGCCTTTGAGTCAATTCTCCACTTATATGTTGAGGCGATATAGGTACCTAAGTGGAAGGCGACTATAGACTAAGAAGTAGATGTCTTGATATCTCAAGAAACTTGGACATTAGTTTCCCATTTGGTAAATATCAATATCTTCATGTGCAAATAGGTGTTCACACTTAAATACCATCAAGATGATATTATTGCATGTCGTAAGGCTCGTCTGGTTGCTCATGGTTTCACCCAAGCGTATGGCATCGACTACACTAAGACATTCTCTCACATCATCTAACTCACTTCTGTTCAAGTGTTCTTCTCTCTTGTTGTAAATTAGACATAATCTCTCCACTAGTTAGATGTTTCTAACATCTTTCTCTATGGTGATCTTGAGGAGCAGGTTTTTATAGAGCAACCTTTAAGGTATGTTGCTTAGGGAGAGTCATCTAAGGTGTGTTTTTTACGAAAGGTGATTTATGAGCTCAAATAGAGTCTATGCACTTGATTCACTACGTTCAATAGTACTTTCACCACAATTGACTTCTCCTCAAGTGTTGCGGATTTCACTGTGCTCACAAAGAATATTCAAGGTGGCCTAATCCTTAAAGTCTATATCAACGACATTCTTATGACTGAGAGTCATGAAGTTGACATTCATGTTACCAAAACTTATTTGCAACATCACTTCAACATTCGTGACTTAGGGACTCCAAGATATTTTATTGGGATTGAGTTTGCGTATTAGGATGGGAAGCTTGCCATGACCTAGCAGAAATATGTTCTTAACATGTTTCAAGAGATTGAACTCTTTAGGTGTAAGTTAGAGACTTCGCCTATAGAAATACATCCGCAGTTATAGGATACTTCATCTCCACTCTTTAAGGACGTTAATCGATACAAGCGATTATTTGAGAAGTTGATATATTTCACTGTCACTCATCCTGACATCATGTATATAGTTAGTGTTATGAGTTAGTTCATTTAGGAGCCATGATGAGTTCATTAGGATGGAGCTCTATGAGTTATAGCATACATCAAGTGAGTCCTAAGGAAATGATAACTCATCTATTGGCGACATGGTCATCTCTGTGTCAAAGCTTATTTTGATGTTAAGTATGTAAGTGACAAGGATGATTGGAAGTCTACTCCGGGTTATTTCATACGAGAGATGGTATGACTTCGATCACTTCTGAAAGATTTCAACATCTCTTCTCCTTCTCTAATACTCATATATTATGACAATCAAGTCGCTATCTTCATTGTCAACAATCACACCTTTCATGAGCATACGAAATATATTGAGATTGTCTGTCACTACATTCAATATAATATTATGTCTAGTCTCATCTCTACTCCTCATGTAGTCTCATCTCATCAGCTCATAGATGTCTTTACGAAAAGTCTGATCAGAATCTCCTACGACACCACATGTACTAAACTTGACATATTTGACTTATATGCTCTAGCTTGAGGGAGATTGTTCAATAGTGTCATCGAACTCTCGGCCTATTAAGGCCCATTATCTTCATCTCTTCTTCTATATAGACATATGTAGTCCTCTATTCTCTTAGAGTGATTTTAGGATTTTCTCCTTCGTTGTCAACACTATCTATTAGTCAATATTATGATGTCCTTTTCTCACCCAATTCGTGTAAAATTTATGATAAGGTGTTAGGGAGGATGATTAGACATATTAGGTAGCAAGGTAAACTCTACATTTTTGAGGAACTAGGGCTCTCACATGTGGTGAACGAAGTACATAAGTCTTTTCATCCACCAAATTTGGATCAAATGTGGTTATTTCACTGACAACTTAGCCATTCGTCCTTTACCATAATCTAGACTTTGTTCCTCTCTTTGTTCCATAATGTTGATACATCAAAACTTTGTTGTAATATTTGTGAACTTGCAAAACACAAACGAACAACATTTCCTCATAATGGTGTGAAAAGTATCACTCCATTTTCACTTATTCATAGTGACATTTGGGGACCATCTTTTATCACCAACTTGTCTCATATTTGATGGTTCATGATTTTCGTTGATGATTGTACTCGTGCCACTTAGACTTTTTTGCTCAAAAATAAGTCTAATGTGAGTATTGTTCATCTCACCTTTTTCTTCATGATCAAGAGACAATTTTGTGTTGGCATTAGAAGGTTTAGGTCTTATAATGCCAAGTATTACTTCAATCTAACAATTACCTCTTATTTTCAAATGGAATGGATAATTCATGAGTCTTTGTGTGATAATATCTCATAGTAAAATAGAGTGACTGAAAATAAGAATGTTCATCTCTTAGCAATTGCTGGAGTCATGTTGTTTCAAAATAATGTACCTAAATTATCTTGAGGTGAAGCAGTCCTAACTAAATCATAAAAGTTTATTAGATCTTATTTTGTCATTTCATCACAATCTACAACTTAAAACAAAACTCACTAATTTTTTTTGGGTGTTTAGCATTTGTTCATGTACACAACTAAAATAAGGACAAATTAGATCTTAGAGCATTGAAGTTTATCTTTATTGATTATTCACAAACACAAAAGGGGTATAGGTGCTACCATCTAACCTCACAACATATTTATAATTTTATTGATGTGACATTTAATGAACAAGAGCCTTATTTTCTTTTTTTTGAAGTATCATCTATTATGGAGGAAGTAGATCTACTAATTCTTACATCTAGAGTGGATCTTCCTAATACTCCCATACCAATCTTGAACCTTCATACCACACTTGATCAAATACTATATGTTGAGCATAATTCTCCTCATATTGATCTTACATTAGATGATAGAAGATTTGACAAAATTTACAGTCAAAAGAAAGCACCAAGTCCAGAGCCAACGTATGTTTATGAATCTAAACTAGATGCATCTACTCAAGAAAATCTTGAACCACATCTTACATCACCTACTCAATGTGTTGAAAGGAGTGATAATGATGGAGATAATCTACCTATAACCATTAGGAATGACATTAGAGAATGTACATGTAAACCTTTATATCTTCTTTCTTATTACTTGTCTTATATACATTTATCATATGATCATAAGTCCTTAAAAATGTTACACATACTATCTCAAAGACCATATTCAAAGCACTAAGTACTGAAGAGTAGAGATAAGCTATGAATGAAGAGATGTGTGCATTAGAGAACAACACTTGGGAACTGATTGCATTGTTGAAAGAAAAAAAATCAGTTGGGTGTAAGTGGGTGTATACTATAAAGTATCAAGCCAATGGCTTAATTGAATGGTACAAGGCCTAACTAGTTGCCAAAGGTTTTACTCAGATATATATGATTGACTACTTGAAAACATTGGCTCATGTGACTAAGTTAAATATAGTCCATATCTTATTATCTTTGGCAGCATATTTTTCTTAGAATATAGAACAATTCAATGTTAAAAATATATTCATACATGGAGATCTTGAAGAAGAAATATATATAGACTTCCACCTGAGTATGAGGGCAACTCAATGCCTAATATTGTATGTAGGGTAAAGAAGACATTACACATGCTAAAACAGTCTCCATGTGCTTAGTTTGGGAGATTTGCTAAGGTGATTCAGACAATGAACTACTGACAAAGTTGAGGAGATCACACACTCTTCATCAAGCACTCGGATGCAAGATGAAGTCCTAATTTTAGTAGTCTATGTTGATGATATTATTATCACAAGAGGAGACGAAATTGAGAAGAACACATTAAATCAATACTTGGCTTAGAATTTGGGATCAAGGTGTTAGGAAGGTTGAAGTACTTTCTTGGGATAGAAGTTGCCAATTCAAAAGAAGGTATATTCATCTCTCAACATAAATACATCATTGATTTATTGTAGGAGACTGATATAGTATAACTGCTTGCAAACCAACAAGTGCTCTAATGGATCAAAAATCAAAGTTAGGGGAAGCTAGAGATGAACTAACTACCATCAAGAAAAGATATCAAAGGTTGGTTAAGAGATTAATCTATCTATCATATACACACCTAGATTATAGTGCATGATGTTGGAGTATTAAGTCAATTCATACACAGTCTAAGGAAAATTCATCTACATTCTGCTCATAGGGTGTTGCAATATCTGAAGGGATCACTAGGTAAAGAAGTCCTATTCAAGAGAGGAGATAGAATGAAAATTGAGGTATACATAGATTTAGACTATGCTATATCAATAGTAGACATAAGATCAACCATAGGGTACTGTATATTTCTTGCTCATAACTTGATTAATTGGAAAAGTAAAAGGTAAAATGTTGTGGCAAAGTTAAGTGCAGAATTAGAATTTAGAGCTATGACTCAAGGAATTTGTGAAATATTATGAGTACATCTCATTCTTAAGGACTTGAAAATCAAATGGATTCACTCAATCAAGCTGTATTGTGACAACAAGTCAGCAATTAGTATTGCACATAATCTGGTCCAACATGATAGGACTAAACATATTGAAATTGATTGTCACTTGATTAAGAAAAATTTGGACAGTAACTTAATCTACATAAAATATATAATCCAACAATTAGATTGTTGACTTCTTCACCAAAAGATTACATTCAAAAGTATTTCAAAGTTTTACTTGCAAGCTGAGGATGGACAATATCCATGCACCAGCTTGAGGGGGAGTGTTAAAACTAATTCTATTTACACATCTTCCCCTTATTTTTATGTCATTGTTTTATTTTATTTATGTCATCTTTTCTTTTATGATGTACCTCTCTACTTGAACTGGGTTGAGCCCAAGAGGGTCTAGTTCATTATACTATTTCGGGACTGGTCTATATAAATCAGTCCCACCCCTTATTTTGAAGACAATGAAGTGTTTCCCTCTTCTAGGGTTTCTTCTTTTTTCCTTCGTTTGTCCCTTTTCTATGCTGACTGTAGAGGTCGAGAGCTGAAGGAGAAGGTTGACAATATCATTTATATATGGATTGTAAGTGAGGTCCTTGTCCTTGTACATGTACATTCTACATGTTTCATGAAATTTTCTACAGTTTTAAAGGATAAAAAGATCGTTTAAATTATAGGAGATACCCAAGAAATTAATTTGGACATTCACAAAACCTATCAATGGAAAATATTTGAGGATTTATTTTTAAAGTGTAAAAAGTTCTATAATCAAAACATTTGAAACAAGTATTTTATGTTTTGATGCAGCGTTGGTCAGCACTTTGTTGTCAAAATTATCATCCATGGGGTGTGTGATCTCATGTGAAAAAGGTAGAACACTATTAATTAACTCAAGTCACCAGAATCAGAGATTTATTTGATATTCCTTACTTAAGTTTGGCTTTTATTCCTTTAAATTATCTGCCTTCTAACATTCGTTACATCACAAGTTAGTATAAAATGATCTACTAACACATAATTGGGCATAAGTTCAAGAAGAAAATAACCTCAATGAATAAAAAATAGAAAATTTTAACATAGTTCTTAAATAATGGATGGGCAAACATAAAAGTGAAAAAGAGTGAAGAAGAATCTATACCAAAAGGATTAACAAATGCTTCTTCTGTGATAGATTTAGGAACTTCCCAAGAAGATTGTGTTAAATTAAAGAAATCACAAGTAAAGAAAGCTAATAATTATTTTTGATTAAATGTGAAGTTTAATAGATATACGTTAAAAACCTGTTTGGTTAATTCATCTACTTAGTTAATGTTTTTAATGAAAAGTTAGGTTTTGTGAGCAAAATGAATTAAATGGAAATTGAAAGGCATTTATGGGCAATGAGATTTGTTGACGTGTAAAAGCCTCTAGAACATTTAAAGTCATCCTTCATACCAAATTTTCACTCTACTTAGAAACCACATTAAATTTAATCTCATTTAACTAAAATAAAAAATTGATCTCCATACTTTATTTGCTTTGGTGCTCCTTTTTTTCCAATGGAACCTCATTTTTTACCTTTTATAAACCTTACTGATCTGCGATACAGATTAATCCTTAAGTTGCAATTTAAATAAATTATTTTTTATTAGTTGTCATGACTGTATTTGCAGCAGGAAAAAATAACACATGAAAGGTTAAATCTCCAGAAATTTAATTAATAAATTAAGATAACTATAAGAAGGCCCGACAGAGGGATCGAGTATGTCAACTCAAGATGCGTAAATTTCGTATTTATGTGGGAAAAAAATTAGTATATGATAATACAAAAGAAAGAGTCAACGAACAGATACAATATTGAAAGTATGTTTAAAATTATTCTTCACATAATTCCATATCTACGCGATGGTGCACTCCAGAGGGAACCCCTTCGGGAATCGTCTGGCGTCGCTGCAGTAGTTGTAGATCATGTATTTATTCTGCACTGACTTGATCCTCGCCAGGGTCGCTGCGTCCAGCACTCGGTTCATCCAAGAGGCCTTCCCCGAAGGACACCTGGAGGTTCCCCTCGACCAGACGCAGGCGTCCGCGTTGAAGTTCCTGAAGGAGGAGAAGAAGGGCGCCTTGGACCAGTCGGTCTTCACCAGACCGCCCCTCGTCGCCCAGGCCTCGCCGTTCCAGAGGCTGGAGTAGATCCTCATGGGCTGGTTCTTGGGGAAGGGGACGCCCTTCGCCTCGTTGTTCCTGAAGTATCTGATTGGAGTCCCGTCAACGTAGAAGCTGTAGAGAGAAGATCATCGTTATGAACGCTGTTAGAACCTCTGCAGCGAAAGAATTATGGAGATGTAGAGGAGAATGACTGTCCCCTTAGCTTACATGATTATCTGGGCGTTCCACAGGATTGAATATGTGTGGAAGTCTTTGGTGGGGTCGAACCAGAGCTTGAACTGCTGCTCCCGGTTACCCTTCCCCTGCGAGAACACGTTGGTGTGGAGAGTGTAGGGGTCTCCGCTGAGATTCCCCAGGAACTCGAAGTCGATCTCGTCGTGGGAGGGGCCCTGCGACGATAGCTATTCCACAAAACCAATGTTCTCGTCAGATACCGTTGGCAACTAACGACAGGAAACTCTCTCTCTCTCTCTCTCTCTCTACAGAAACCAAGTAAACAGCATCATAATAGGGAAGAAGACATCGAATATTGGGCACTCACATAATAGGCGGTGACGGTGCCGGCAGAGTTGCCAGGAACCAGCTTGAGCTGCATGTCAATCTTCCCGAAAAGGTACTCGTTCCGGGACTGGAAGCCTGATCCAGAGGCCTTGTCGAGGGACAGAGTGAGCAGCTGGCCGCCGTTGAGGATCTTCGCTCGGCCATCACCCCAGGTGATATCGAAGTCCTGGTAGAAGTTCCCGGCCGAGGCGATGGAGAATAATGAGCAGACAACGAGAGAGGATGTCAACGCCACAGCCATCGTGGCACTGGATGAAATCGCCATTATCGACACCAGAGAGAGCTTCGCTTCTGTGACCACCGTGCGTCTGAAGAAAGAACTCTGCGTTTTCGGTGTCTCTCCAATCGCAGGATCCCGTGCTTTTAATAGCCAAGGCATTGCCCAGATCTTTTTCGGGCATGTGGGCTGGCAACAGATGTGAATCGGAGGAAGGAGACCCCATCGGAAAACGGGTTGGTCAACAACTTGGGTCCCAACCGTGTGGAGGAAGATCATACTCGGACACGGTAATCGATTCAATATCTGCATCGACGACTCGTATCTAGTCCCTGGGCCGTAGCTAATGGCGAGTCGGATCGTTCTTCCTCGTCTCGAGCCGATTGACGGCGTGGTTGTCGTTGATCTGACATCGGAGAGACCACTGCCGGGGCGGAAGCACTGTTAAGCTCCTGACAGCTGGCTATCGCTGTTTGGAAACTCCCTCGGTGATCGAGAACACGTGTGCCACCCATGCGGCTAGTCGGTCCCACTAAGCGTGTGCCATGGCGCCAGCAGAGTGCAGAAGAAGCCACAGCTGGCAGAAGGCCGGGTCAAGACACGCCCGGAGTTGGACTCCGGCGGACGTCTTCACGCCTTCGTTGGCGAGCATCAATTTGTGTGAGAAAAAGGTGAGAAAAATGTCTCACGAATCAATCACAGCTCTCACATTCATGGTTCCTTTAATGTTGACCTTGGGAATGAGTGATTGAGACATACTAAATATGAAAGTGAAAGCTCATCCACTATCAAGATGTCTACTTCACTCATTGATGGCTGATGTTGAACAATACGACCTCATAACTTCAGTAAGATATGGGAATCAACGCCGGGTTCTGAAAGTCGTGATCATCATTTAAATTTGACACGTCACAAATCTAGATAGTTAAAAATGATCCCTTCTTGGATACTAAGAACGAAATCTGCGTGCACAAACACGCGACTATTACACTTACTACCAATTTTTTTGGATTTCATGATATTTTTTCTATAACATTGCATCTTTTGTGGAGATGACGGCACTGTGGCGCATGAGAGATTGATGAGGGTGAGGAGCAGGCTGTCAAAGGTGAATGACATGTGAAATGACGATCGGAGACATTGAACTCTCATGACGTGACGTGTAAAGATAATGTAGGCAACGTCATAGTATAAGGATAGGCGCAAAGAGTTCTCATTTTCAATGTTATTCAAGTATCATGCATGTTTGAGGTGGGCACAAAAGGGATAACCGTTGGTCTTCTCAATGACCAATTTGATATGTAGTGTCTTATTTAAGAATTAGTTCATGCCACTATTCAAATCAACGTATTGATGCTTTACATCTCGATCTTAGCTAAGATTATTTTAGGTGTGGATGAGTTAACTTATCAAACTTTAATCAGTTGACAATGAGCGGACTAAACTTATATATTTGAAAACATTATTCGACAAAGATGTGGAAGCATGCATAAACATTATATTCTAGCATACTCGGGACTGACTTCAAGTCCTCAGCATAAACATTATCCAATCTGTAGGTCTGAGATAATTGAATTTGTAAAATATACAAACTGGGGACTGACTTCAAGTACTCAGCATCTAGATATTAAAGCATCAAATACTAGAACTGGGCGTATTCTTTTACACGTATGAAGTTAAAATAATCCGAGGTCATTCTGCTCGGTCACTATATGTAAATGATCGTCACGATAGTACAAGATCTGCTGCTTATTGTGAGACATTCATCAGAAATGACTTTTCCTCTATCATTTATGGGAGATAATTTACATCAAGCCATAAAATAATCTGTAAAAGGTTTGGGGTGGCTCTATTGGTCTTTACTATCATGGCATGTGATTGCAATTACATGGCATGAGATGGTATTTATTGGTCAAGTAAGCCCACAGCTTAGAATATGCTACCCAAAATCAAATTTAAGAAAATAATGTCTAACCATGTATGGGCTAATTTAGAATTTTATACTTTATTTCCACATAATTATAACATGGTAGCCATTGCCCTCCTCCCTAGGCATGAGATCAAGGATTAATTTGGGTCAACACTTCCTGAGGGTCTAGTTCCAAACTCATTTATACTCTTTCTTTGAAAAATGGGTCAACCCCAGTTTGCCACATTGAAACCTAAACACATCATTCGTAGGATCCCATGAGACGAGTAACATTTCAAAAATTAGAAAAAAAAATCGGGTTCTCAGAGCTGGGCAATTTTTCTACTTTGTGAATTAGCGTCGAAGGCAAATTTTTCCCAACCATATAACGTTGCAAGCTCATTTTCAACTTTCACTCAGCCTAAAAAATGTACGGAAATTTTCATATTTCGCGTAAATAGTTGACATCAGTTTAATTAATAAATGACAATATACTTTCTGTTATATACTAATAAATGAACTTGTTCACTATATTTGTTGGTGAACTGAAGACACACTTGCTCGACGTTACAGCCTCACCCATTCAGTTCCAACGTATCTAAAAGCGAGAGAGAGAGAGAGAGAGAGATGCTTGACTGGAATTCCATCGGTTCGATACTACCTGGCCGCCTTGTCAATTCCTTCGAACGGTCGTCCTCCGCCAGGGCCCCTCCCATCTGTCCACTGCCAGCGTCTTCCGTCTCTCCAAGCCCAAGAACTCCCGCCATCTCTTCTCAATAGACGCCAACCAGCGCCTCGAAGACTACGACCCATCCCTGCCACCCAGTATCGTTCATGTCCGGTAGGCCTTTCTCATCGTGTAAGCTACCGAAGAAGGCTCATCCGTTCGTGAGCACCGCCACTACAGGCTCTCCTTCCTCCGCTGCGTCTGGGAAGAGTAGAACCGTGATCATTACGTCGACAGGAACAGCGCCGCAGCAGAAAGTGCACCCTACCAGCGCCACCTGTGTTACGCCTTCTCCCCTCAGCTGAAGGAAGATATTCAGGCAGATCTCCGCATGTCCATCCTCCTGGAAGTGACCAGCATCTACGCGTCCCTCCTGGAGGGGAAAGACCAGCCTCGTTGCCGCCCCGAAGAAGACGTTCGAAGAAGGTTAACTCGTTGCCGCTGGGAGGCGTTCGAAGAAGGTTCTCTACTCCACGACGACGGCGGCACGGGAAATCGGAAACGGAATGGCGTCGACTACAGCAGCATACTATGGTTAGGTCCCACCACTTGGATAAGCTCGACCCGGCGTTGCTCCGCCGCGGGCGGATGGAGAAGCACATCCACTCTTCCACGTAACGCTGGGAGGCTGCGGAGGCTGAGATGAAAACGTCGAGTGTATGGAAAGGGCGGTGGATGAAATGGGGTGGTGCCGCATGCTCATGTCGACGCAGGTAAAAACTTTGACCATCAAAACTGGTGATGGTAGCATCAATTCGGCAGCCTGACAACGAGGAAGATGATGATGATAAGCTTAGCGATGAAAATGGCAACTTTCTTCTTTGAGAAAATTTCATTTTAATGAGAGAAACTCGCTTCTCGTACGTTGAACTCTTTTTTTCTTGGTAATACTCCTTGATTGCAAGTTTAACTATTTCTCTACAAAACCCGTATTAAGAAACCAGGGGAATATGGTGAGGGGGAGGGCGTTGGGGAGGGTTTGTTAAACCTAAACCTGTCTCCAGAACCAGATGTCCCTACTATCAAACATATGAGTGTAAAGAATAAATTAGGACCGAGTTGTGCACATCATATCACACAGACTTAGAAACCCTAACATGTGGATTAACTATTTGTAGAACAAATAATGCCTCCCAAGAATGGTTGCATTTTTTCTTCTCCATTAGTTTTTTGAACTCTAATCGAGATTGAAGAAGATCAAAAACACCTCAACACACCAGAAGAAGATAACACCCGTCGCCCATTAACATGAAGAAGAGTATCCTATTGACTTCACGCAACTTGACCCCCAAAATAGGAAAGTTGACTTCACTCATCATCACGAAGAATACTAGAAGCAATCCTTATCCTCCGACAAAGTAATTTTCCATTATCCTCTCCTTATACTATTATTCTTCTTGTCTCTCCATCTCATGAGACTATCCTAAGTTCCTTCATTGATTTAGTTCTCTTCATATTTGACCCAATAAGCTTCTCTTCTTAGAGATATATACTAGTTAATCCTCTCATGACTACTTTTGTCGGTCTGTCTCTAATAAGACAAGGATTTACCGTAAAACTAAAATATACAATTCACATGGACGAGAACGGAAGAAACCCTCGAAAGATGCCTCGAACTATAATAACGGGCTTTTAAATGACGGTATCTTGTTTGCCGCTTTGTGATCTTTGCTCCGGTTCAATTGATTGCTCCGTATACAGTCCATGGAACGTCTCTTCTCACTAGGGAAAAAACGTAAATGTTCATAACATGAAATTTTAATGTCGGCGTTGACTACCCTTGCCACGGTGTGAAGTATTCTCAGAATTTTCTTGTCTAAAATCGCAAAAGATACATCGCATTTATTCCAGTGTAACTTTATCTCAATTGAAAATCTCCCGGATAATACAGAGGATTGAAGCAGTGAATGGAGTATATTCACAGTACGTTAACTGATTCTCCTCGATTTCTAGAATATCTAAGCGATGGTGCACTCGGGAGGGAACCCCTGCGGGAACCGTTTGGCGTCGGTGCAGTAGTTATAGATCATGTAGTTCTTCTGCACCCCTATCATCCTCTGCTGGCTCGCGGCGTCCAGCCCTTGGCTCATCCATGAATCCTTCGTTGCAGAGCAAGTCGTGCTGCCCCTTGACCAGACGCAGGCGTCAGCGTTGAAGTTACTGTAGGAGGCGATGAATGGTGCCTTGGACCAGTCGGTCTTCACCAGGCCGCCCCTCGTCGCCCAGTCGTCGGCGTTCCAGAGGCTGGAGTAGATCCTCATGGGCTGGTTCTTGGGGAAGGGGACGCCCTTTGCCTCGTTGTTCCTGAAGTCTCTGATGGGAGTGCCGTCAACGGAGAAGCTGCAGAGAGGAGATCGGAATAGAAGCCATTAGAGTCTGACGATTCGGAGATAAGGTCGAGATCAGGAGAGAGAGTAATGTCCACCCTTAGCTTACATGATATGCTGGGGGTTCCACAGGATAGAGTATGTATGGAAGTCTTTGGTGGGGTCGAACCAGAGCTTGAACTGCTGCTCCCGGTTCCCCTTCCCCTGCGAGAAGACGTTGGTGTGGAGTGTGTAGGGGTCTCCGCTGAGGTTCCCCAGGAACTCGAAGTCGATCTCGTCGTGGGTGGGGCCCTGCGACGATAGCTGCTCACCACAAAAAAACCGAGCCTCCGGTCAGACCCAAGAAAGCGAGGAGACGGGTTCTGAATGGGGAAGAAGGCGTAGGGAATGGGTGGGGGCACGCACATAATAGGCGGTGACGGTGCCAGCGGAGTTGCCGGGGACGAGCTTGAGCTGCATGTCGATCTTCCCGAAGAGGTACTCGTTCCGGGACTGGAAGCCGGAGCCGGAGGTCCTGTCAAGAGAGAGGGTGAGCATCTGGCCGCCGTTGAGGACCTTCCCTCTGCCATCGCCCCAGGTAATGTCGAAGTCCTGGTAGAAGTTCCCCGCCGCGGCGACGCAAACCAAGGAGAAGATGACGAGACAGGAAGAGAACGCTGCCACCATCGCGGCACCGAAAGAAGAACCCATTTTTGACTTCTGTTCGACAAATCGGAGGTGCGCTGCTGTGCTCAGTTGACGACTTTTTTATCGTGCGCTCCAACCATTTTATAGGTGTAGCCGCCGGCAGAGCAAGACGACCGGATGGTTCCGGAGCCTGTAAGCTGGCAACACCATGAGAATCGGCGTGACGTGGTCTCGCTAGAAACCGGGTGGGTAAGCCGTCGCTCGCACAGAGGACTGGATTTCCATCGTTCGCCAGCCATCGCGTGGTCGTATAGCCCGTCTTCTTTTCGAGCCAAACGAGGGTCTGGCTGGCGATGAGCTGTTCGCTACCTGCCCATGGTATCATCTCGGTTCTTATCCTTATTTCGTTTCGAACCATATGATGCTTCAATTACGTTCATATACTGGAATGAAGGTCCGGTCTCGAAGAGTCTCTCTGCAAACAATTGGAGAGCGGTAGACGTTGGCCCATGCTCATGTTTGTTTCTGACGGGCTCCAATAATTTTGGATCAATAATTGTCTCTATTACTTGGTGCCAATGACCCGGAAATGACCGTCCTTCTCTCCTCCCTCTCTCCTCCCTCTCTCCTCTCCTCTCCTCTCTCTCTCTCTCTCTCTCTCTCCCCTGAGCCCCACAAGGTGGTCACCCTTACGTGATTTTCTTGGGACTAGCCAATCCACAACACGCGACCACTTCTTTCTTAATCATTATTGTTTGATGTGCCTCATTAATTTAAGTAAAACATTAGGACGCATCCTCATACAAGATGATTAAATATTTGGCTTACCCTCTGGACGACGCTCGTGCGGTGGCCGCGGCGGCACAGCTGGGTTAGCTGACGGCGATGGTGGACGCGGTCGGCTGGAATCTTCAATAAACTATGCATCAGCCGTCTCCGTCCGGCGCCGCGTGCCTCGTTGGCGCTCGCCGGCGGAGGAGGGCCCTCACTCCTCCAGCGGCGACCCACCCTCGCCGACCCGCCGGCGGGCACATCCATCTTCTCTCCCTCGTTCTCCCCGTGGGGAAGTAAATCACATGGGCGAGGCCATCACGTCGCCCTCATCTTTCTGCTCAAGCGTTTCATCCTTTCTCTCACAGAAACGGGCGTAACTGGAAGCTGGGGACCCGACAGTGAGGAAACCGGGAAAGGCGACTGTAGCTGAGAACGATGCCGAGCAGCCTTCAGTTTATGATTATTGAAGCCCCGACAAATCTTTACATGCTTTCAGGGGCCAATGTTGAGGGAAAACAGTCTCAAGACCTAACCTTTCTAAGGTTTTGAATGCTTACGAGCCGGGGTCAGTATAATAAGCCGCATTTGCTTCAGCCTCATCATCAGCCCAACTAAACCGTGTATTATATAATGTAAAAAATGCGAAATGGGTCGTAAGTGGGTTGACTTTTGTCTTTCTGTTGTCGAAGTGGCTAGTCCCATAATTAGGAGCGTCACTGTCTTAAGTGGGCGATCGATATAGTCTTAACCACTACGTAACCTAATCCTCTCCCCTTGTCACTGACAGGCTTTTGGCATGTGGTAACCTCGCCATCTCTCTCTCTCTCTCTCTCTCTCTTAAAGTCGTGCATGCGTAAGGCCTAGTTCAATGCTGGTGATTTTCCCCACTCGGACCTAGGGCCTCGCAGTCTATAGGAATAATGTAGCTTCTCATTGAGTCAACTTATATCGTCAGCATTTTGACCAGGGGAGGTTGTAACATGGGCTGGTGCTTGGCCCAAATCCATTGGGCCAGAATGTACGCTGGTTATTGGCCCAATCCAGTGCACGGATCCAGTCAGGGGACTAGAAGATAGACCCCGCGTGACCAAGCCACGCGCCCAGTCATCATTGCCGACAGGGAGCAGGGAGCTTCTGCTTGCTGGGCTTTGGCTTTCTCCTATAGAATACCTCTTTGCGTCGTCTTATGGATGGATGATCATGGACCGGGGGGGGGTTGGGACGGCGGTGCCTTACATTCAGGGCCCCCCGGTCACCTCAAACGACCTTTCCGCAGGCCGGCCCTCCTCCCGGCTGAAAGTAATACGTGGGCTTTGGCGAACAGGGGCGCCTCCTTCGTCCATCTAAAGGGCTTTCCGACGAGGCGCACAAGGGCGGCGGCAGTACACGCCACGGCCGCGCAAGTCATAAAGCAGGTGGGCCGTGGCGGCCGTCGACTCACGGGAGATTCTCCGACCAAAGCGGTCGGCCGGGGTACCGCGGGAGCCACCGGGGATGGCGACAACAAATCGCTGGTTATGCCGAGCGAGGTGGGCTAGTGGTTGGTTGGGTGTCAAACGCTCCACCGGCGGCGGCGGTGGCGGCTGCACGGCGTCCCTGCTTCCGTGAGCAGGAGGTGCTCGACGAAATGCCCTGTGAACAAAAGTCCAGCTCGTCTCCCGCGGGTTTGACGCTGGGCTGGAATTCCACTGCCGCGGGCTCGGTGGCGAGTGACTCGGACGCAACGCCGCCGCCGTCGTCCGCGCCCCAATTCCGACGTGGCTTGAAAGCTTTGGCGGCCACGTGTCGAGCGCGTGTATCCGTTGAAAGAGCTACGCGTAGAGAAGAGGGCCTTATCTTTGCGTAATGTTTGGATTGTGTTTTACCTCGTTGTATTTATTGGATGGTATTATAATTTTCTAGGAATCAAAGGGAGCTCACGTTGGTAATTCCGTTCCAAGCTTATTTTAGCCATAAAAATTATATTTTTGGTGCCAGTGCACCATTATTATACTGCCTTAGTAAATAGTTATATGGACCTTTCGCCATTGGCTTCGGGGCTCAGAGCCGAGAACATCCCACTTCACCACCGCCTTTCTCCGTCCTCGTCGTCTTCTTCTTTCCTTCCTCCTTTCGCTGCAGAAGAGAAGAGAGAGAGAGAGAGAGAGAGAGAGAGAGAGAGAGAGTCTATACGAAACTGCTGGAACGCAGAGAGAGGAAGGGAAGGAGAGAGATGGAGAGCAGACTGCTGGACTGGAAGTCCATCGGGTCGATACTGGCGACCTTCATGTTCCTGCGGACGGCGCTGAGGGACTTCCTGCCGCCGGAGCTGCAGCACTTCCTCAGCCGCCTCTTCCGCCGCTTCCTCGCCGCAGTGAACCCGCGCGTCTCCATCCTCATCGACGAGTACGACCCCTCCTCCTACACCAACGAGCTCTTCGACGCCGCCCACTCCTACATCGGCGAGAAATGCCGCCTCGTTCACTCCTCCGACGGCTCCGCCGCCGCCGCCGCCAAGCCCTCCTCCTACCTTTCCTCCGCCACCGTCCTCCGCCTCTCCAAGCCCACGAACTCCCGCTTCCTCTCCCTTTCCATGGACGCCAACCAGCACCTCGAAGATTACTACCCCTTCCGCGGCGCACCCGGCGCTATCCACGTCCGCTGGTCCTTCCGCTCCGTCGAGCGGGTGAGCAGCTCCCGCGGCGGCGCCGGCATCTTCTATGGCCGCTCCAACCGCGACGAACACCGCTACTACGAGATCTCCTTCCACCGCCGCCACCAGGCCTACGTGCAGGACAAATACATCCCCTTCGTCGTGGAGGAGGCCTCCCGGATCCGGTTCAAGAACAGGGAGCGCCGCCTGTACACCAACCGCTCCGCCGCCGAGGACGGCGGCTCCGGCCGCCACTGGTCCTCCGTCCCCTTCCACCACCCCTCCACATTCGACACCCTCGCCATCGACCCGCAGCTGAAGGAGGAGATCCAGGGAGATCTCCGCAGGTTCATCAACCGCCGGGATTACTACGTTCGAGTGGGGAGGGCGTGGAAGCGGGGGTACCTCCTTTACGGTCCCCCTGGCACGGGCAAAACTAGCCTCATCGCCGCCATCGCCAACTTCCTCGAGTTCGACATCTACGACCTCGAGCTGACGGCGGTGACGAGCAACTCTCAGCTCCGCAAGCTCCTCGTCTCCACCTCCAGCAAGTCCGTGGTCGTCATCGAGGACGTCGACTGCACCCTCGACCTCTCCGACCGCAGGAAGAAGCCCGACGACGATCGGACATCCTTGGAAGCTCTCGGCGGCGATCTCACCCCCAACGAGGAGGACAAGAAGCGGAGCGCCGCCGCCTGCTACAGCACGGTGAGCCTCTCGGGGGTGCTAAACTTCGTCGACGGGCTCTGGTCGTCGTGCGTAGGGGAGCGGCTGATGATCTTCACCACCAACCACGTGGAGAAGCTCGACCCTGCACTGCTCCGCCCCGGAAGGATGGACAAGCGGATCAACCTCTCCTACTGCGGCGTGGCGGCGTTCAAGATGCTCGCCCGGAACTACCTCGGCGTCGACGACAACCACCGCCTGATGGGCGAGGCGGCGCAGCTGGTAGCGGAGGTCAACATAACGCCGGCGGAGATCGCGGAGGCGTTCATGGGCTGCGAGGACGACGCACAGGAAGGAATGAGGAAGGTCGTGGAGGAGATGAGACGGCGGTGGGAGCAGCTGCCTCTCCGGGATGACGACGCCGATCGTGACAAGGAAGTAAACGCCAAGATTGTGGAAAACGGCGTCTGCTCGGAAGCTTCGGATGACGACTATTAGTCAACCTCTTTGGAAGGAAGATCGGGTTGGTTTCCACCCACGAAACCCACATTCTACTCTCATTGGAAGAGCCCTTCCTCTCAATTGCGTCTCGGCCGGCTCCCCCTCTCCCCTGTAATCAAAAGTCAACCCTTGGACTCTTTCTAATTTGGATCAGTCTCTCGCTCAAAAAGATGTTCTTACTAACTCAGGAACTATCCAATCTATGTGATCAAATATAATAACACAAGCTTGCATCCCACGTAGCTATGAATTGCTCCCGAGCAAGCTGACAAAAAAGGCCCCGCCTTTGGCAGCAATCGTGCCAGGCCCTCTCTCTCTCTCTCTCTCTCTCTCTCTCTCTCTAAGGGTAAGGGTGTGGTGAGAAAACGGGATACGAACCCAGATCAAAGAAGTACGAATATTTCATATTAGATGAAAGAACAATCTTCTAGAACAGAAATATCAAAGATAAGACAGTAAAGAACCCAGAACAGATAGAAGGTCGCATACAACCCTAGAAACCCGAATAGATGAAGGGTCGCATACAACCCTCCAACCCCTTCTCGTAGATGCACGAGATACCAACTCCGATTTCCTCCCCCCCCCCCCTCCTTCCTGATCCATCCCCTTTATATCCTTTCCTTTCCATCTCTTATCTAGGCAGTTAGTCTCCTGCCATAACTGCTCCTTGTCAGATTGCTCCTTGCCATAACTGTGCCTTCCCTCAATAATGCTAACTGTTATTGACTTATTGGGCTTTGGGCCTTCTTTCTTCCAGCGTATGTGCGTGGAGCCTTTCACATTCCAAGAGCTCGGCCCGGAAGAAGGAACAGGAGTCGCATAAGAAATCGATGGGCATTCGGCAACCGGAGGAAATCGCAGGGATAAGACCGTCATATTACGGCCATAGCCGCCACGTTTGGACTTCACAGAGGGAACTTACAGGGAGGGGCGTCGATCAGCTCGGCGGCGGCGCCGCCGGACTGCTGCCAGGGAAAGAGCCCGAGCCCGCGTTATTGTTGCTGCTGTTGTTGTTATCCGCCGCCTCGCCGCTGCCGGCGTGCTGAAGAAACTCCTCGGGAGTCATGTGGGTGCCATGGCAGGCGCACACAATCTTCACCTGGTTCGAGCTGTACTTGTAGGTGACCCCAGAGATGGTCTTCCCGCTGGGGCCGGCGCCGGTGGCGGAGACCCAGGGGAGGTCGGGGCAAGAGCCGCTGCCCCCAAATATCAGGCTGGCGGCGATGCCCGGCTTGATGGCGGAGCTCTCGTAAAGGAAGCCTTCCATGCTGAGGGAGCCGCCCGGGTGGGGTTCCTTGTTCCTGGTGCCCTGGGACTCGTCTCCGGCTTGGGAGGACGAAGACGTCCCCGTCTCCTCCAGCTGCTTTCCAAAGCTCTTCCCTGCTTCCGGCCCCTTTCCGTCGTAGGCCAGAGCTTGCGGAGATCTGTCCGCCAGTTGGGCTGCAGATTTTGGAGACGAAACCCGAGAGAGATGTCAGGTCAGCTGCAGCACCAAGAAGGGCCACTGAAGAACGACAAAAAGGAGGATAACCTGGAGAGATTTTTGTTCCATTCTCTGAATGCTCGAGGTTCGTCGCTCCCTCACCGGGCCCTTTGCTGCCATACGAAGGTTGATGATGAGGCTGAGAACCAAATACCCAGGAAGAATGCGTTTCCAAGGTGGGAAGCTGAACAGAGGAGTAGCCAAAGTTATACTGAAGAACACTCGAGGTGATTGGCTGCAGAGGCGCCTGCTCACTGTTCCCAAATGGCATCAACTGCATGACACAGGTGGAGGGGAACCCTAAGGTGTTGGGTGCAGCAGCAGCAGCAGCAGGCCCCCTGGAGGAAGCTTGGTAGGGAGCACTCCTGACAGGTAATGGCTGGAGAGACAGAGGAATCCCGTATGATGATTTTCCATGGTCGACATTGGGCTCATTCCCCAGCAATTTGGATTGTCTTAAACCCTCGGAGTTCACTGAATCTTGCTCACTTGAAAAGTGTTTGTCATTTGCTTTTGTTACGTCAACGCCTCTCGCGTTCTCTTCATGCGGCGGCGCCAGCCATGAGCTGGACCCTTCAGCCTCTGACTCTGCTGCGTCCTCGTTTTCACCAGATGAAGCGTCTTCCTTTGTGAGTGGCACATGGTTTCTGAATGTGACAGCGGCGGCGCCCTTGCCATGCCCACCGACGTGATCGCCTCCTTTGTCTGGCTTCTTCTGGAGACTCACATCCTCACATGGCAATTTACGCTTATTGAGACCTGATTTCTCCTTGTCTGCGTCGGATGCTTGGTTGCTTGAGGACCAGAGTTCCGGAAACCGACGGCTTTCTGTGTCCACAGAGTTGTGCTGCCCAAGATCCGGCCAGAAACCTTCACGCTGATTAATTTTAACTAGATCATTCATCTGCTGCTGCGGATTGCTTGCAGGGTTCTTGATTGTCAGCGGGAGAAAAGGCTTGAACGATGCTTCAAAGACATTTAAGCTCCCTCCAACCGGCCTGTTCCTACTTCCTTCGCCAGATGTGGGATCCAAGGGGACATCTTTGACTTTAGATTTGCTAGATGAACCGCCACACGAGAGCCCAAGGCTCAGTTCGATCCCATTTTCATCTTCCATCTTATGAAACAGGGCTACATAGGACTCGATAAATCAGTTTCGTTCCTCCTTCCTGTGACACTTCCTGGTCATCCCATACGATGATATCTGAACAAATGAGCATTTTCTTAATTAATGACTAGGGAAAAAAAGGCATCACCAGTAAGGGGAAATTGATAAATAACATAAAAGATTCGCATATACGCATATCAGACTGCAGTAATAGAGCAAAAGTCAAGAAACACAAAAAAACAAAATCCAAAAAATATCAAACTGGCCAGATCTAAATACAACAGATAAGAACGAAGGAAGCAGTTTCCACGTTGATAATCAAAATATACCTTCGCAGAAGTGCAGAATGCAAGATGAAAGCACCGTGGGACATAAACTATACTTAATATATAATTGGAATTTCATGAGCATACGCATGTTTCTAGGTTTCCTTCCCACACTGGAGATCGAATTCGTCCAAGAATAGATGGAGAACACGAAATTAAAACTCACTCAGGGACACTGATAATGATCGGACTACAAGTATGCGACCATTACATACCTTCACAGATGTTAATGGCCTTTACACCGCAAAAATTGAAAAGTCTTCTGTTCTAGACCACTCAGCAGTCTATTTATCGATATCTTCAATATTAAAACAGCACTGACGGTGAAGAATTTCGCTCCTCACTGATCGTCTTAGATTTCGTGGAGACAGGATCCGTCATTCAACTCCTCAATGAATTGCATTTATTACTGATAAATCTTGCATTTATCAGATGAAGACATGGTTATCATATGATTCATGGCCAGAGGATAGCAAAACTTTACACAAATGAACTTTTGGCGTTCATGAAAATCTTGCAAAGACACAGAACACTCGGGATATACTTCTACCTTTCTTTGAAAAACTATTTTCCTGAAAGTGGCATATCTGTAAAATGAGATATTCATATGTATTCTTTTCCCTCGTTCTACTATGCCATGCCAGCTCATTGGGTGTTTAAGCTGAAGGAAAAATATAGAGAAGAAAGTGGAAAACATCTAAAGAAGGAGAAAGAGTTGGAGAAGGAGAGAGAGACACGAGAGATCGTTCTTTGTTATGAAAGGCTACTATATATATATATTTATAAAAGGAGAAAGAGTTAGAGAGGGAGGGAGACACACACAGAGATCGTTCTTTGTTATCAAAAGGCTACTGCATATATATATGTTATATCATATATATATATATATATATATAGCCGGAGAAAGAGTTAGAGAGGGAGACAGACACACAGAGAGATCGTTCTTTGTTATCAAAATGCTACTGCATAAATATATATATATATATATATACGGTTCTTAAAAAATACATTAAAAATACAGGTTAAGATCAATTAATAAGAATTTTCTATGATCATAATAATGGTCCCCATGCCTTTATACCCACTTAAAAGTGTTTGGTTCTGGCAAGAGGTGAGGGGGGGGCACCTTGGACCAAGCAAATAAGACGAATAGTACATGTGCGGGCCAGTCTGGTAGACTTGAGAAGTCAAATGGTATGCGAAAGCACCAGTGATCAGATCAATGATATAATTCGAAGACCTAAACACCTAAAAAAAAAAAACCTCTGTTGCATACACGAATTTTGTTCAAAAAATATACAGAAGATCACTACAGACGTAGGACATAACTAAATAAAAAGCATGAGCAGACTCCAAACCAACTCCATGGATTCTCCCCTCTGTTTAGGAACGTAACCTGAAGCATTTTGAAAGAATTCAACGAACACTAACTGGACAGGTTTCTTGCATGAATCGCCTTATAAATTATGAATAATATTCCTACAGAGTGAAGGAAAGCAGAAATATTGTGACACTGGAAATATGGTTCACTAAAAGAAAAGTACAAGCATATTACGGATTAATAAAGCAGAAATAAGATAATATGGATCTGCGCATAAGACAACTTCTTGGAATAACAAACAAATGATTTTTCAGCCGTACAAATTTGCCAACAAAAAAAAAAAAAAAGCATCAGAATGTTGCATAATAATTTTCGAGAAAATAGAGAAATATGTACATGTAGAGAGCTGATAGAAACCTTGCACAAATAGAACATCTGGCGTTCAAGGCATTATCAAAAAGTTGTATCGGCTGATAGAAACGGCATGAAAGCCCTATGCTGCTTCTACTTCAAAAATATGAACACTGCTCCATGGGACGAAGAAATCAATCATAAAGTAACATCATCTGCTAGAGGACAGATGAGAAATCAAGCATGGCAACCTTATGATCCTGGCCATGGAGACTTGAATTCAGAAACAGGCCCCTGAATCCAGAAGGAAACGGGGAGTTCAAACATCCCGCATGTCCCAATGAAAACAAGAGGCACAGCTATAACATAACACAAAAAAGGAATAATTAAAAACAAACCGCATGCCCTCCACGTCCAAAGAATTTTACCACCAAATCGAGCACCCGTAGGCGATGAGCAGAGGAGATGCAGATGAAGAGGGGGCTCAGAGTGCCCCCGGGCCCATGGTTCCCCCTAGGAAGCACCCCCTGCGACGGAGCCAGGAAGAGAGCGCTCCCTCTTCCTCCTTACCAGGAGTACCTCCACCTGGACGGGGTCCGAGGTCGGAAGTGGCTTCCGACCGTCTCACGATCAGACCAACGATCACCGATCCGCTCAGAGAGACGATGCCTTGCGTGGGACCTAGGGTTTTGATTCGGAGAAGATGCCGAGAGGAAGGCCGAAAGGGGGAGGAGTTGAGTGGATTAGGGGCGCCTGGGGGCCACTGGGACCTTCTCGGCGCCACCGCCTGCGTCGATCCGCTCCGGGGAAGCCAACCGGATCATTCCTTCAGACGTTCATTTGACCGTCGCTCTCCCTCTACGCCCGGCGACTCTCCCGTCGTCTCCGGCAACGGGATGTATTTACTCGCCAGATTTATGGATCGTATTATTATTATTATTCCCAGGGTTGTTAATGGGCCGATTGGGCACCTGGCGGAATTATTGGGATAGCCCAATAACGCCAAAGCCCGGCCAAGAGAGAGGTCTGGTCACGTGAGGCTCTCTCCATACGTGCGCGTGTGTGGGTTCTAGGGCATTTGTACAGGACGCCGCCTGATATACTTCGCGTCCGCTCTAGGGTTCGTGGTTGTATCAGCATTTGGGATTTCTTTCCTCCGGCTCCGTCTTCCTCGTCGCTCTGCTCGCTTCCTTCTTCTTTCCGGTGGACCGGGGGAATGGCGGCGATGAAGATTTTTTGAGGTTCGCTCGTCGTAAGGGCGAAGCAATGCCTTGCCGATATCTGCTCAAATCTGAGCCCCTTTCCCCCCTCCCCCCGCCTCTTCCTCCTCTCCGTCTGCTCATACCTCCGCGTCTTTCCTTTCCAATGCGGCGGCGCCGCCGCCGTCTGCTTCGCTATGATGAGAACCTGGAATCTACTCTCTTCGACGGCGTTCCCTGAACACCGATGGGATGTTAATTCCTGAGCGGTTACCTGAGCGTTGCCTCTTTCACTTCCGCCTTCCCTCTGTTCTTCCGTTTTCCCCTCTTTCGAGATTTGAGTCCCTTCAAAATTTCTATCATGGCTCGAGAAAGTTGATGGCAGCTTGTCAGCGGTGAGTCTGCAAGTCAACAGCGGCCAGCTTCCGCATCAAGAAGGTTAATGTTAGTCTTCAGAGAGAAATGATGCGTAGATCTTGCTGATATGTGAAAAATACCGTTTCCATCTCCCAGATCTCAGTTTTGAGTCAGTGTGGATCGAAGAGGCATGCACCATGTTCTTAAAAGGGAAGCTGCTTCGCCCTCGGAAGAACAGGTGGTAGAAGATGGCCGTTGACCTATCGCTCACTTTGCATTGCTGACGAACCTAGGGTGCTTCAATAAAGGTTGTGAACTCGCATTTTTCAACGTATTCCGCCGCGCTGGCGCCGCCATGCCCTAGGTGTTGCAGAAAGGGTTAATATGATCATCAACCTCCATCTTATGAAAGGATCTGGATAATCATATCAAGTAAATGAGATCGAGAGATAGTGTCCCAAGATCGTCTTTAGAAAATGTAGTGCATTCTCGAGGATCAAGAGTAGAGGCATCCGAGCGGCTAATCAGCTGATATGGCTACGAACTAGGTTAAAATCGACGAACTAGATAACACCTGAGACCGGCAACAGCCGCTGGCAAGGGAGTCGTCCGCCTCCGATTGCTGGTGCTCGATAGGACCGAGTACAGCCAGGCCTCTCTTCTTCTCATATCCTGCCGCTTCTGAGGACAGCGATCTGGTACTCTTGCCACTCCGCGATCGGAAGGAGGACGGCTAGGAGACTGGCGGGAGAGAAGATACAGATCCTGAAGAAATGCTTCCCCCCTTCCGCCTTCCAACGGAGTTGATCAACCACGTCCACCTGCGCATGAACAGGCCCTTTGGATGGATCAAAAGACTCAGAACGGATCACCCGCACGCCGCCGGAAGGATGACGAGCGGGACACTCAATCGTAATCTGAGACGACGAGCAATTTCCGACGGGAGCGCGATCCTGACCTTTACCTTCTCCACAAAAAGGACAACGGCATACGGGGGGGAGAGAGAGAGAGAGAGAGGGAGAGAGGGAGGTGGCGAGCAGTGGAACAGAACGGAAACGGTGGGTCGAGGTTTTGAAGAAGCAGTCGTCAGTGTTGACCTCCTTCTGAAAATTTTGACTCTTCTCGGGCCACAGGATTAGTGATCCAACGGTCGGCGATTGAGAAGATGATGGTCCCTTGCGATCAATTGTTTCGATCTGCGGCAATTGATTATGGATTCGCCACGTTGGCCCCAGCAATCGGACGAACAGAACATGTACACGTCGTGGATGACGGAGTCCCCTCCGCGTAACTTCTTTCCCTAATTAGAACTTGCTCTGGTTTTGGGCGGTGATCAGAACGGAGAGTGAGAGATGGCGAAGGGGCAGCAGGCGGCGGATCCTGCTCCATGGCTCCCGGAATCCTTTCCTTTTCTGGTCGTCGTCCTCATCGCCGCTCACGCCTTAGCCTTGGTAACCCTCGCCTCGCCACGCTTCATTCCTGAGATCCCCAGATCGCTTCCCCTCAGCTTCTGTCTGAGAACTGCGGCAGTCTTCCTAAATCTTACGATACCTTTGGATCGATTTTCTTCTTTTCATTCTTAGGTATACTGGATATACAGACTGGTTACTGAAAAGCAACCTCCGCGTAGGAAGGAGCATTAGGTTTATTATCTTCTGCTGCCGCGTGAGTTCTCTCTCCCCTCCCTTCCTGATATTTTTTTTTCCTCGTTTTTAGGTAATATGTTGAACAAGCCCGAAGTCTTGGCATCTCTGTGTTTTCAGTAGAATCAGTAGACTATGATCTCCCATGGAGACTTTTATGATGTTTTTGTGTGCTCATATTGTCGTGAAATCCAGTGCAAATGGATGGAACGTGCTATTATCCTGTGTCATCTGGGGAGACTTTTGATCAAGGATGTTGTGGAGCCGATAATCTAATGCGTTTTTTGAGGCGAAATCCTTGATGATGAAAGTTTTTAACCTGATTAAGGCAAATGCTTGGTTTATTTAACACACTGATTTCATTGATTTGGTAATATTCGTACGAAAGAGTACTATGGCTGCTGCCCTGGGCAGCGTCACATGGTCTGAACATGTGCCTGGATTCTCTACTGGCGTGTCGACTGTTGCAGTTGGTTGAGATGCATGATGTGTAGCGTTTTGTCAATAAATGCTGATTAAAGCTCGGGGAGAAAAATAAAAAATTGTGGCGATAAGGCCCCCGCGTGATTGCAACAAAAAATAAGCTGTAGGTTATTGACTCAATGGCATTCTTTACAGATCAAAAGTCAACAGGGGAGCTGCAGCTGTGCATGATTACGCTCTTGATTTTTATGTGGAGATCAGTCGAGGAAGACACCCAGAAGTAATCTCAAAATAGTAATGAAAGGGAAGGTGGTAAAATTTATTTGCTGATTTCAATATGACGAAGTGTTGTTCTCCATTGTTTTCTTTTTGTCTTGTTTCAGTTTCGATCTTCTTCAATCATATCTGTTGCATCTATCCATGGCATCCTCCGATTATGTCATCTCTATCTACCAAGGTTTGTATTCATGGGAACATCCATTTGAATGTACTGGGTGTGTCCAATATGTCCTCAATTTTGTGAGAAAATTAACAAAGAAAGATTCAGATTTTATTATTTATAATATTTAATAGTATTGGGCTCCTCCCTACTTGCAGAAGTCAACCCTCGTTAAAGGATGTCTGTAACTTGTTGATTTATGCTGCAATGGATCCGTCAAACCTTTCTTTTCGGACTCATTCTGAGACTTTAATTTTGCGTGTTTTGTAGCTCATTAAAGGGATAAGCAGCCACAACATGCCAATCATGACAGTTGAAAACGGCGTGCAGACCAACTGAAATCACTTTGATTTTCCGATGGGCTGTCATTTGACAATATAATATGCGATGCAGCAGATGCGTTGACTAAAAAGAAGTAGAAGATCATAATTGAAATCGATTCCTTTCCTGCCCATTTGCTCAAAAGGGTATCCGGTGAAGAATAGGTTAACATGTGCTTCATTGCTTGTCAGAAGGGGACTCAAACATTTGGTATGATTTATAGATGAATAATGCCTTTTACTTGGTGATTAAACTCTTTTCCCCATCAGTTTGTGTCCTTTTTTCTTTTTTTTTTTGCTTCATTTTTCGAAAACATTTTAGCGAACCCCAGAAAATTGCTGCATTTGTTGATGAATCTAAGTTTATCTGAAAAAATGGCAAGAAACAGAGCAAAGTGCCATCTTGTATGTATTTAAGGTCCATTCAGTTTTTTTAAATGCTTCTGACCAGAAGTGAAGGAGCATGTTTGGGTGATATTCTCTGCCTTGTGAAACGAATGATTCGGAGGCCGCTGTTTCCAGTTCTCCGGGAAGCGGAAGATCGTTCTAAGATCATCTGGGTGTGAATTAGACGTCTCTGTTGCTAGAGTTTGACATTTTTTCCCGTAGTCAACTGCAATCAAGACGTCTCTCTCTCTCTCTCTCTCTCTCTCTCTCTCTCTCTGGCTCTAGCTATGGAGGTGGGGAGAGGGGGGGGGCGAATTGCCAATTGGCCTCCACGGATCGGCTGGCGGACAGGTCAACGATATCGACTAACTGGTGGGGCCGATAACCGGGGGCAGCGTTGACCGCTGGACATACGTTGGGAAGACCACCGAGGACCGCCTTCTACATCTGTCTGCTTTTAAAAATCCTCGGGCTGAGGTCGAGCGCCATGGCGAGGGTCCCCCTCCTCCCGTAAACAAACCCCGCGTGCCATTGCCGGTAGCTAACCTGCTTTCCTCCGCCTGCCAGCGGAAACCATGGGAGATCGAGCGCAACCAGAGGAGATGGGGGGACGAAATCGCGGCGAGTGAGGAAATATTTTAATCTCAGGCGTGATCGGATAAGCAATATGGAGCTCAGAGCACCTCGCTGCTCGAAGAATTAAGGGGAGAGAGGTAGAGATACAGAAAACTCCCCGTTAATCGACAGAGCGAGGAAAAATCGTTTCGGCCGCAGATGGAACGAAAATTTTCCCCTTCCTGCTTCTGCGCGTGAATTTCGGCAGCCGAAGCACCCATGAATGTCGAACATAGCTGGGGCAGTAATCTACAGGAAACCGAGAGCGGAGAGTTGTGGTCGGAAGGGGGAAAGGGGACGGATCAAGGGGCTGGCTAACCGTCTTCTTCGGGGTCACCAGAGGCGCTTGATCTCGAAGCGCTCACCATCATCTCATCGTGGCGGTGGCTCTGGTGATCGGTCACCTTGGAGGAGGACAGGCCTCGGAAAACGCACTTCCCCACCTCCGCCGTCGTCGTCGCCGCCGCCGCCCCGCTTCCCCGCGTTTCCACGAAAGAGGCGGAGGACATCTCCATCTGAGCGACGCGGACCGCCCCGATCAGGCGCTCCGGCAGCTCCTCCTCCTCCTGCGCCTCCACGACGAACCCCATGTCTATGGTGACCGCGGTGACGTACCCCAGCGCGAGGTGCAGGACGGCGTTGGCGATGGCAGAGCTCCCTATATCGACGTCGATCTCCAGGTAGTTCTCCCCACGGTGGTACTCGCACCGCAGAGCCCTCCCCAGCAGGCAGGCGGCGTAGTTCCCCACCGCCGCCTTGACGATCCACGGCCCCTTAACGATCCTGTTCACGATCTTGAATCGCGAGTTCCTGAAGGCGTCGTCCCCGTGGACGAACCGGTAGAGCAGCGACGACGGAGGGATCGGCTCCTCGGCGGCGAAGTAGAACACGGCGCTGTGGCACTCCCGCCCAGGGATCTGGAGGTTGACGGCGAAGAGGAACGCCTTCATCGACCGGCCGAGGGACTGCGCCCTCCGCAAGGACCCCATCACGCGGTTGTCGGAGCGGCCGAGGACGTTGTCGAGGCGGCCGGGGGATCTCAACCAGTCGACGCCGGCGGGGCGGAGGAGCCACCCGCCGGAGGGGGCCTTCTGCCGCCGGGAGAAGTAGTTCCTGCTCCGCAGGGAGAAGAGACTCCCCGGCGGGGAAGCCCACCCGTTCTTCCCGCCGTGGAGATCCACCCGCCGCAGAGAACCGCCGTTTATCGCCGCAGATCTCCACTCCGACACCTCCTCCTCCTCCTCCCCCTTCGCCCCGTCCACATTGCCGTCCTTCGTCGGCTCCACGGGACACATTTTAGGCCCCTTCCAACTTCCGCCGCCGCTGCCGCCCCTCTCTCTATCTCCGCCCTTTCCGGCGAGGAGGAGATCTGCTCTGGCTCAGAGAGAGAGAGAGAGGTGTCCCCTACCGCTGGTATAAAACAGTGGAGAAGGGATATCAATATGATATATTACGATCGTGCCCTTGGTGGACCATTCTTGCCAAGTGGCTAAACGATGGTGCAGGTGATCGGTGGAAGGCCGACGGGTTGTGGAGACTTTACAGAGAGAAGTTGCAGCCCCGGGTGTGTGGGCCCCACCTAAAAAGTTATCTACGAATCCAACGGCCGATCCGTGATATGGGCCCACCAGTCACTCATCAAAGGCAGGACCCGAGTGACCGGTTGAATCTCCTGTCCGAGTGCGGCGGCCAGGCCGTCAAAAGTATAGAAGGATTTTTTCCAGCGCCGCCGATGACGCAATAATTATCCGATTCGGATTTGTTACTGTGTCAGTTCTGATCCGCTTACTGATTTGGATGGAGGGTCCCATCGAAAGGGATCCGAGGGTGGCGGGTGCACTCAGGTCTCGACAGCTGTCCTATAGTTTACATCAATGGAAGCGACGTGCACAATTAAAAAGGTTATACAAATTTATAACTTTTCATTAATGGAGATGCGTATAACTGTGGGCCCGACCCAAGTCCGCCTCCATCACCTCTCTCTCTCTCTCTCTCTCTCTAAAATATTTCACGTCAAAAGCCTAGTTGGGCCAGACCTGAGCTGGATCAAGGTCAACCCGCAGCTTCATTTTCAGACTTTTCTCTTAAGTTCAACATAACCGAGTTCATCCTGGGCCTAACAGAAGCCCCCCCCCCCCCCCCCCGCCTCTCTCTCTCTCTCTCTCTCTATCTATCTATCTAAGATAATTCACGTAAAAAGCCTAGTTAGGGCAGGCCTGAGCTGGATAAAGGTCAACCCACAGATTATTTTTCAGATTCTTCTCTAAATTCAACATAACCGGGCTCATCCTTGGCCTAACAAAGCCCACACTCTCTCTCTATCTCTATCTCTATCTGTCTCTGTCTCTCTCTGAATCCAACTTCCTGCAATACGTCACGCTTTACAAAACTACAGTCAACAGCTGCTGCGCCAAACCTTTCCGGCGGCGATTCCTGTACCAAAGTCGACCCTGGAAAGCTGTAAAAACGTCTGAAAATCACGGTAAGTGATCTGATACAGATGAAGTAACACGCGCCCAAGTTGAGACCAAAAGAACCGACTCCCAAGCAAGGTACGACAGACAGACAGACAGACAGAGAAAAGAAAGGCATAGTAATTCTTCACCCCATGAAGGTTGACCAATCCACCATTAATCTCGTCCAACCATCACTGAAAGATCAGAGCGCATATGAACTCAGTTCTTGGAGAAAAGCTCTCCCCCCTCCTCCCCTCATCCACAAGACATTCATATGGATTAGTCTTCATAGATTCGTCTTCAGACTAATCCGAAAGTCAATGAGACAAATGTTCCAAAGTCTCCGAGGAAAATATCACCAGCTGATATTACATCCCAGAAGAATACCTCCAATGAAACGGAAAATGAAGAGAGTGAACCACATAAAAACTTAAAGGCATTAGGTTTTTTTTTTTGTTTTTAATTTGAGCAATAACTAATAAATCCGACAAGTTATATACAAGAAACCCTTCTCAAATATCCATGGAAAGAAACTGGATAGTGGGCCATTCAACTTAAATTGGATGCAAAAAATGGATGATAAACCATAGATCGTCTTTCATTTTTTTTTTTGCTGCTCAAACGGTGATGTGCTGCTTGATAACCAAATTCATTTGACAAGCACAGAACGTAGAGACAGCTGAGGAAATCATAGCATGGGATGTGTTCTTTCTTGCTGAATAGCTACCCCATCATCTCCTTTCCCCCTCTCCCACATACGGAAGAATAAAAGAAAAAACAGAGGGAAAATTGTGCATGAGTCAGGAGGAATCCACATCAATGTTACCGAAATCACACTTCCGTTTTACCCTCGGAAAAAAAAGTCAGAATGTTGCCAAGGTGAGCATTTTTTTTCCTTTTTTAAATTTTTTTAATGCAAAATTCAAGAAATCTATGTAAGTACATCCAATTTATAATAAAATATGAATGGAGAAAGTAAGGACAACTGGCACTGTTACTAATTTGGATATTTCCCAAACCAGCAAGATGATTATCCAATCACCGCTGAGACTAAACATGGAAGAAATAGAAAAATATATATATTATAAAAACTCTAAATTCAGAATTAAAATATTATGCAGACGAAAATATCCATGTCTGACTCAAAGATTTGATAGTTATCAATAGTAAGCTAATATTTGATAAATTCTAGTATTATTCAGATGAAAAAAAAAGGAAACCAAATCATCACTGACAAAAAGCAGTTCAGTAAGACAAAACCATATTTGAAATGTGGAATCGTACATGATATTTTCGTATATGGTGCTCTAAAACGATCTTTGACTGGATTTCAAGCTTAAGAAAGAAACATCATGGGAAGAAGTGACACTACCATATACGAATGAGAGACATTAAAACTTATTCATACGGTAAAGCCATTCGGTTAATGGGTCACGGTACCATATAGTTAAGGAAATGAGTTATGCATGGAATATGGGAGAATATTATAAGGACCCCATTGAATCTACTTCCTTCAGTACCTAGAACACAAGCCCCTGAGGCAATTTTTTTGGACAAATACTATGAGGTCAAACTATGGAAAGATGTCACAGAAACGAGGGTCATAAGACAAGGAATACATGCCACAGTTTCATCAGGGGAAAGAAAAGAAAGAACAATAATCCATAACATGAAAATGATAGAAATAAAGATAGATATAAATACAGAGGTGGTCCTCAAGGTTGCAATTGTTTGGTAAAAAATGAAAAGTGATTTCTAAAGTTCTTCCTAGCCATTTTTGAAAACAAATCTAACTACGAAAATGGATGTAGAAGAAACCGAGAGAAAATAAGAAGAACTTTGAATCCACAAACGACAAAAGAGAGAAAACCATGAATCACAAAAAAATTGAGATTAAAAACTAAACTAGGGCTAAAAACGTGCCCTCTACTGTTCCCTGTTATTTGAATAGAAAAAAAATAATTATTGATCTCCTAACAAATAAAAAATGTCAAAAAAACTGTTGAGATAAAGTATCTCCTAAAAAAAAATGAGAAAACAATAAATACATGTGCTAAATATAAAGGATCTCCAAGAGAGAACAGACCAAAACATTTGGGCCAGCCTTTTTTAAGTCTTCAAAGCTGCCCTTTTTCCACCTTTATAATTTCTTGCGGTTCTGATTTACATTACATAATTTTGGACTATGTGATAGATGGAAGATATAGGACCGACTGGTAAAAGCCATACCTACAATATATACGAATTAAGGATGAGAATGCTTGTGATGACATGCAGAAGATTATGAGACATCACATATCAAGCATGAAGCAGCAGACCAGAGAGATGGTCTGCGTATGCTAAGAAAAGCCCGGTGAGACCATAAAAGGAATTCTGTTTGGAGCTAGTGAAAAAAATTATATATCCATATCTACATATATATATATATATATATATATATATATTAGCGTAATGAGCATAAACAAAATCTCAATGAAATTAGCACAAGTCAGGTCAATGTCTATAAATAAACTAACCAAACTGCGGCAAACAACAGTTTCCACAAGGAAAATCGAGATCCCCGTGCTAACAGAACTTTACAAGGCATCTGCGGGTAGTATGTTAGTGAAACGAACGGTCGAGATATGAGTTCTCTGTACAAATATTTAGTCCTAAGGGGTTCAAACTTGGGGTATATAGGCGAAGGAGAATCCTTTGTAACCCTTGTAAGCATAGTACGCTATCCTCGTGTAGTAGAACCCCGGAATAAACAACACAGATCCCAGCGCTGCAAAGGAAATCCCTGTTTCGTCGAGGGAAAGGTTTCCCCCAAATAAAATTCACAGAAGTTAGGAGGGGAAGCAAAGAAAGGTGAGAAAAACCACAATTACTGCTCGCGAGGAGGGACCGAGTACGCGATACCGTGAGCTCTGTCTCCGCCGACTCTGTTGGTGGCCATGAGGATCCCGACGACGATCGAGAGCGTTCCGAACACCAGCATGGCGACAGCGAGGGCAATCTCCTTGGTGGGTAGCCGGTTCTGGACGACGTAGGAGGTCTCCATCATGAAGTCCTCGTCCGCAATGGAGAAGGCGTGATCAACGTAGGCCATGGAGGTCCCTGCCGGCGCTAACCACGGTAGGAGCAGGACTGAGGATCGAATCGGATCGGATCCCTAGCTCGCAAGCACCAAAGGAAGAGGTCGGCAGTGCAGAGGCGGAGCTTTCCTCTTCCCAGTTCCAATGCCCTCCCTCCCCTTCTTTCCTCGGTGTCCCCCCCATATGTGGGCCCCACCGACTGAATGCGCAACCAATATCCTCAACTGATGGGCCAGCCCAAATTAACATCCACTATTGGGCCGATATAGTAGTGGGATATCTCATGTTTACCGCATGACCACCCTAATAAGTTCCAGCAAAGAAGCATTGGCCCACACACAAGCCCAAATGGCCCAATATGATGGTCCATTGAATCAATTCCGGGCCCAAAAGGAGGATCCATCGAATATTGAGTGGCCCACATGAGGCCCATTAACACCCTAGAGAGAGAAGGGGCTAGAGAGAGAGAGGGAGAGAGAGGCGTGCATATTCGGGTGGTTTGAGGATCCCGAGGCAAATAATGTGGTCCCGGGTTCAATGAATGCCGGAATTTACCGGATGCCGATTGCTAGCCGCCGGCAACGGATTGATTATAACCATCAGGAAACTTCCAACCTTTGCCTCGGGAGCCGCAAAGCGGAGTCGGATCCGAGCTGCCATCGGGCAAATCCAAGGGGCCCTCGACACGTACCTTTCAAAACGATAGCCTCGCATGTCCGAAGCAGACGGGGGAAGAGAGAGAGAGAGAGAGAGATTAGGACAGACAGTGAGGCATAAGAACATGGCGGCACGTGCATGAGCTCATAACTCGGCGGCACCTCCACATGAGGGCGGACGTTAGATCGATGGCCCCCCCCGGTAATCCGGCGGTTGTTACCGGAAGAAGTGTTCTAACAGCGGAGCGGGGAATAATGAGGAATAATGAGGAGTTAATCGGTCATAAACACCCGTGAGAGAGAATCCTCTTGAGAAAACCGGGGAGGAATCGAGCGCCGAGGAGGCGATTCTCCGGCGGAGACGATTTTTGATCTCCGGACGAATCTGGAGGCGAGTAAAGGGGAGATTTTGCCCATAACCAGCTAGATCTGCAGCCGCATGGCAGATGGCCGCCCTTCCTCTCTCTTCCTCCATGCAACCGAGGACTCCTCCCTCTCTCTCTTTCTCTCTCTAACTCGCTGAGTATAGCTCTCCATGGAGGAAAGCAGGAGTTTTTCCGAGAAGAAGAATTGCAGGCCTGTGGCGCTGAATTGTGAAAGGAGAGGCGACCGAACAGCTCTCAGAGCGAGAACCCCCCGTGGAAATGCTCGAGATCCATCTGCTCCGCCATGAGGGTCGGGGGATGGTTGAGGGGGGAGAGAAGACAGGAGAGTAACCCAATTACAAGGAGACCGTGTGGGAGGGGGAGAGGAGGAGGAGGAAGAAGAAAAGAATGGGGAATTCACTCAGCCAGCGCGAATTCTCTTCTTGGGACGATACGAAACGGGGGAGAACACTGAACTGAGATCTCGGGGGACGGGGAAGAAGCTCTCCGGCGAGGGGGGCCTCTTCCTCTTCGCTGGCCGGGGCTTCCTCGGCGCCGGAGGGCAAACCATGGCCGGCTTCAGCAAGTTGGCCTCCAATCTCGGCGTCACACACGCCTCCTCCTCCACATTCGCCGCCGGCGCGGCGGCGGCGGCTGTACCATCATCCGGCAGCGGGTTATCTCGGGCCACCCGGGTCTTCAAAGGAGCGATCTTCGGCAGTTCCTCAACGACGGCTTTGGAATTCATCCTTCCACCTGAACAAGAGAGAGATAGAAGACGAGAGGGGCTAAAATTGGAAGGCAGATCACGCCATTCGAAGAAAACGGTAGTGGTGGAGCTCTTCTGGAGAAAAACTATTCCAATTGTCTGCAGCCTGGGAAATTCAGGACACAGAGAGAGAGAGAGAGAGAGAGAGAGAGAGAGAGAGAGAGAGAGGGAAAGAGGGAGAGAAGAGAGTGAGAGAGGCTGTGGAGTGATGTCTAGGGAGGAGAAAGGTGAGGAGGCGGCAGGCTGGAGCCAATTTGGAGTGAAGAAGAAGAAGATGAAGAAGAAGGACGATGCCCACTCCTCAAGCTTCCCCTTTTCTTCTCCTTTTCCATGCGGATCCCACTGGTTTACCACGTCCGTCGCGCTGGACGCACCAGGGGCCCACCGGCGAGCCCCCAGGCCCGGATCGAGAATAAGAGAGGGATAATTTAGTCATTATACCAACCACGCGTTATCCCCCCACCGCGCGACCCGCTGTTGCGTGATCCATCCGTTTCTTGGGACTCCGAGGGCTACAGAAAAATACCCTCCAATTTTGATAGAATTACAATCAAGGCCATTGCTCAGCCGACCACCAACACGAGTTTTAAAAGTAGACGACAGATCCACGGCGAGCGGGGAGGATTCTTCAGGCAAAAGCTGCTCGGCCCACATGCCCTCCTCTTTTCTCTCTCTCTCTCTCTCTCCCTTTCTGTCCGTGAATTTTCTATCTCGCGACGGATCGAGGGAAATCTCTCTTTGGAGGAAAACGGAGAGGGAGGGGGGGGTATGCCAGGTGACGGCGAGGAAGGAGCAGAAGCCACGGCGAGAATAATTAAACCCACTGTGAACATACGGCTGCCATGTGATGCCAATCAATGGCGCAGAGGGAGCCGCCGGGAGGCCCATCTCCCCTCTCCTCAGGCTCCATCCTGGCCGGAACTCTGCCTCCGCGCCTGCTGTCATTCCTGCGGATTAAACCCATCTCTTCTCCCCGTACTTCGCCGCCGTAGGCCGTGCGCACTCCCATGGACGAAGCCAGCCGCCTTAAAGGGCGAGGAGGCCTGTCCTTCAGGGGCCTCGCCGCCCGCCGACATGGCCCACCGGCCGCCGATCAACTCAGACGAGGCTGTGGAGGATCTCTCCGAAATCGCATCTCCCGGTCTTGGACGCGGGTAGGTGGTACAGTTCGTCTCTGTATCATTCATTAACTGAGGTCGCCGGAGTAAAAGGAGGACGAGCGGCGAGAAGCTCTGATGGTATCCTTAGGCTGTTCGATAAATATTTCTACCGGGGTCATCGTCTTCTACGACAATAGAGGAGGATCGCCATCGCCGGAGCAGACGAAGGCCCATGTGAGAGCCGCCTTTAAGGGAGATCTTCTAGGGGTTTGAGCAGCCTCTTCTCTGATAAAGGAGGCGTGGGAGCCGTAACCTGCAGGTGTCAGCAGTAGGTCGCTCTGGAAAAAATGGGATTAGAAGACTCAAAAAAGATAGCAGCAGCAGCAGCAGCGGCAGAAGCAGGTGCATGAAATTGAGTGAAGGACGATGAGGAATGCTATGCACTTATAGTAATCTAGTAAGAGAGGGGGGGGCAGGTGCATGAAATCGGGTGAAGACAGATGAGGAATGCTGTCTGCTTATAGTAATCTAGTGTATGTGTGTGTATGTGAGAGAGAGGCAGTGAGAGGCATCGGATCCTGCGGGACAAGGGAGAGGAAGGATGAGCATAAGATGCCGGGGGGGTGGAGCGGTGGGAAGAGACGAGGAGAAGCAGACGACTATTCGACCACGGAAGGTGGGGGTCGGGGAGGAGGGTCAACCGGGGATCTCCCCCTCGCTGCAGCAAGAGATTCCATCGGAGCTTTCCACATCCTTTCCATTAAACCTCCCGGCCCACTGACTTTCATCTCAAATCATTATCTCTCTCTCTCTCTCTCACACACACACACACACACTCACTCTCATATGAATAGATGTACATATTTGTTTATGGAGGCCTTCCCCGGGCCCGGATATGGCGGATCTGGGTAAGGGAGTTGTTTCTGAACGGGCCGGCCCGGCCCGTGGAGGGTGTTAATGAGGATGACAACGTTTCGCTGGCCCCCACGTGCTGTCATAGTAGTCATGCACGTGCGATAATATATTTTTTTCCCACTTCTTTGCTCATCGGGATTGCCGACGTCATGAAAAGGCCAGATTTTTCGACAATTTTCGGTTGCGTTCCGACGTGACCTCATCGGATCCTTCGGACGCGTCCTGCCAATCGTCAGTAGGGGCCGGGGTCAGACCGCCTTGGAGTCCACGTGGGGTGTGTGAGAATTGCCACGTAGTACCAACACAGGACAAGTCAGCAGCAATCAAGATAGAAGCACGAATACTGATTTGACTTTTACCAGCCGAGCACGATAACTCTGGACAAATTATCGTCCACGCCACCTCTAACATGATCCCTCGTCAACTTGAAAATATTAAAGATCGCAAAATCAAAGCACAGTGATAGATTACAACGAAATAATCCACGTAGAAAAATGGCCCGGGTTACCACTAGGCCGCAAGCAAGCTCAGGCTCGTCCCGATGGGGCCGAGCAACACAAGGACATGCTTCTTGCTCCCCTTCTCTCTCTCTCTCTCTCTCTCTCTTACTTATTACATTTGTCAGGCCGCGTGCCAACGTCTCTATACTCCGTGCGGAGGAAAACCGCATATTTGGGCAGCCATGAATGCTAAGTTTTATGATCCCAAGTTTTGGGTGGAAGAGAGAGAGAGAGGTGATTCCCCGTCGATCAACCGGCGGCAAGAAGAGGGAGTGCAGCCCCACGAGCACACGCAGAAACCTTAAAAAATTATCCGTCGCATCGGATGCTTCTTCCGGGCTGTCTAGGGGAGGGAGGACATGGGGAGATGCCCAGCCTTCATGGGACCCGTCTCCTCGTTTCTATCAGCTCCGCCGTGGATTGCTTCGCCCAGACCCGTTGCCGATGTCTCTCCATTGGGCCGCTGAACGAAACTCTCCTGACATTGGTAATGGGCATCCGCGAGAGAGCGAGAGCGAGAGTACCCACGACAATTTCAAAGGTCGCAGTTTTCAGGATGGAACACCAGCTGTGCCATGCTCTCTTGTCGTCTCTCTCTCTCTCTCTCTCTTCACCCCCAACGATGGGAATGAATGTCATGGGCTCTTCCCCTCCTCCTCAGCGCTAGATATGGGCTCAGTTGGGAAAAAGTGCACACGTGGCACACCTGGGCGAGATCTGGGCCGGTCACCGTATGCGTGCCGATGAGGTTCGAGTTGGGACCCTCCGATGGGCTCGTATCGGACCAACATGTAGTGGGCTGTCGGAAGGCCATGTTGTTAACGGGCCAGTTCTTTTTGGCCCAGCAGAGTTTCGTACTGGAGCAGAGTCGATGTGACCGCCGTTAAATGGTCCCCCTCCCCCCTTCCATAGTCCTAGCTGGCAGTGCCGCCTGGAGGAGGACGAGAGATGGTGGTAATAGTCAATCTGCACCGTCGTTGACCCACTGGAGAGAGCCACCGGTCAAACGCCCACATCGTTCGATTTGACACCAGACATGGAGAAGTCAGGATGTCTCTGAAGCACCGATCGGGCGGTCACGATTTGTGTACGTTGTGTCTGGAATCGATCTTTCATGCTGAACGGTGGGATCGTTGCCATGGAAGGGAGGAGTCACGGGCGCGGCCACCGCCTCATTATTGTTCTCAGTTGACTTATTTCCTCTCTCCTCACGTGATTTCTGGGCCCTACGGAAGCGAGAAATCCGAATAATAACTGTCCACGGGGTCCGTAGACGGCTGAGATCCTCTCAACGTGCCGTCGCCGGTTTCCTTGTCGGTACGTCAGTCAACAGGCCCTCCGCGAAGGGGTATGGAAGCCCCCCCTCCCACCCCGTCCTGTCTCTTTATCGCGTCCCGAGATTTTTATTTTCTCGTTGGGGGCGGTGACGGAGGACGGGGTCCCGAGGTTGCCCGAAAAGAGCGTGAAAAAATCGCGAGACAGAGCGGTCCAAGCGGCAGATGGCGTCCGAATTTACTGAAGCAACCGGCCACCTACTTCGGTCGACGGAGTCGCTCAGGGCTATCCCGAGGCGGTGGTGGCAGATCTCAGCCGTTGGATTGAAAGGGACCTTTTGACTCGAATCTTCACACTTGTTTTCCACGACCCTGAGCGTCGTCGCCGGGCCCTTTCAGGATAAAAGCCTGCTACCCCCTATCTCCTGCGGAGCCCCCTTCTTTCTCCTCCTCTTTCTTCTTGACCTGCTTGTTCATGGTCCTCTGCGGGTAGGGTTCAGCCGGAAGCGGGGTCTCTCTGTTCCTTTCTTCTTGCTCTTCTTCTCGGGAAGACGGGACCGATGGCGCTCGATCCGATGGGCCTGTCGAAGATGGATGAGCAGCTCGCGATTCAGGAGGCGGCGGCGGCGGGCATCCGCAGCATGGAGCACCTCGTCTTCCAGCTCTCCGGCACTGCCCGGCACAAGCAAGTGGACTGCAGGGAGATCGCCGATTTTACGGTGACCAAGTTCAAGAAGGTCATCTCCCTGCTGAATCGGACGGGCCACGCGCGGTTCCGCGGGAGTGCTGCCACCCCCGCTTCATCTGCTCCCTCCTCCGCTGGCGCCGCCGCCAGGCGGGCGTCGCCGGCCACGCCGTCCTTCTCCGCCCCCGTCACCACGGATCTGAACTTTGCCCCTGTGTCGCCGCCGGTGAAGCCGGCGCCGGCGTTCCTCGCGCTTGACTTCACGAAGCCCAGCCCGGTGGCGCAGAAGGGCGGCGAGATGACGGTGGCGAGCCAGTTCTCCAAGGAGACCTTCAGCATCTCCCCGCCGATGTCGTCGACGAACTCGTCCTTCTTGTCGTCCATCACCGGCGACGGCAGCGTCTCGAACGGGAAGCAGGGTTCGTCCATCCTCCTACCCTCCCCCACCTTGTCCGCCGGAAAGCCCCCTCTCTCCTCGTCCTACAAGAGGAAGTGCCCCGCCCACTCGGACATCTCCGGCAAACACTCCGGCTCCAGTGGCCGCTGCCATTGCTCGAAGAAGAGGTATAGCTATGACTTCAACGCGCTTCCCTCTGGACATGGCCGTCGCTCATTCCCCCGTCTGAAAGAAGTATGCTTTGCTGCTAAAAACTTGCAGAAAATCTCGGCTGAAGAAGGTGATGAAAGTCCCGGCCATCAGCTCCAAGGTCGCCGACATTCCGCCGGACGAGTTCTCGTGGAGGAAGTACGGCCAGAAGCCCATCAAGGGGTCACCCTTCCCAAGGTAAGCGTTCGATCCACGCCCCTCCTCGAAGATACATCGATGTCTAGGGTTTCCAAATCCCTGATCCCCGCCATCTCTTCTTCTTCCTGTTCGCAGAGGGTACTACAAGTGCAGCACCATGAGGGGATGCCCCGCCAGGAAGCACGTCGAGAGGGACCCCAACGACCCCTCGATGCTCATCGTCACCTACGAGGGCGAGCACCGCCATGGGCAGCACGGCGTCCCCGACGGCGGCCATCTCGCCCTCGCCCAGCCCGTCGGCAACCTCGTGTTCGAGTCCTAGTGAGCCGATCACTAGATCGATCGCCGCCCATGGCCAGGGGAATGAGAGAGAGAGAGAGAGAGAGAGAGAGAGAGAGAGAGACAGACAGACAGATGGGGGGAGGGAAGGCAAGGACCAGTACACAGCCTGCTGTGACAGCTGCCTGCTCCTAGAGCAGCCGGCGCCGGCGGAGCCTCGGAGATGCTCCGCTTCTTTTTCTTTTTTCTGTTCAACTTCTCTCGGAACGTGTTCTTCCTTGGACTCTGCTTCCCCGCCTTCCCACACTCTTCTCCCTCCCTCATTTCGATATCTTTGTAAAGACTTTTGCCCGGAAACGAGAAGAAAAGCAGAAGATGCCGGAAAATTTGACCATCGCCCTTCATTCCCTGTCACTCAAAACCCAGAAAAAAAAGAAACATTTCTTTTTCTCCCTCGCCGCCGCCACTGTGGGAAGCCAGAGCGGTCAAACCGATGCTCCCTCTCTCTCTCCCCTCTCATAAAATCACCGTTGTCGCTGGCGCAGGTCGTCGGTCTGCGTCAGCGGCCTCGGCGCGGCTCATTGATGGCTAGTGGGCTCGGCCTCGGATGGAACCCGCCGGCCCCGATGTCGGGAGACTTTCAGGCGCCGTAATGAGGGAGGAGTAATAACGCCGGACACTAAGTCCACTCCGACAGAGCGGTCAAACGGATCCCACTTCTCTCTCTATCCCCCCCGCCCCCTCATAATTGCCGCCAGCCGTCCAAATCGCCAGCCCGATCCGCTTTCACTCGCGTCCCTCCAAATCTAACGTTGACCGTCGAGCGAGGTTCCCACCCTGTATCAGGATCCGAAATCCACTTGGACCCATTAGGGCGACGCGGGAAGGGTAGGTTCATCCGTTCTCGAGGTCAACCCCGTAACCGCTGACGAAAGAACACCGGACCGCGTAGGGATTCGGAGGATTCCAGGGCGGGACCCACCTTCTTCAAGTCTCCGATTTGACCTACCCAGACTTGTGTCCTGGGGGGGCGTTGACGCGTGTAGTGCGGGAGATGGTGTAGGAACACGTTTGCTCACGAGGGGAAGGTGTGGTGGGAGGTGACCGTAGCGCTGATATACGCGTAGAGTCGGTCCCTTCCACGCGGGCGGGGAGTTTCTGCGTGGAGGCGGCCGCGGGGGTGTGGAGATGGATCGGAATTCTGGTAGGGGGTAAAATGGTCTTCTAAACCACTATTGCGGCCCACTAAGAATGCCATGTCCGGCCCAAAAGAGGGGAGTGGGGATCGGAACTCCTCCATTTGACAAGTGTGCAGTTTGAAACGGCACAAGTCAACCGATATCACGTGTCGACCGAAGGGCTTCTTATCTCTCTTCCCCGCGACCGACCGTTTCTAGATGGGCGTCTTTTTCGGTGTTTTTTTTTCCCCCCAATCCAAACGGCATCTACCAGGAAAATTACGTGACATCGTCAAATGCCAGCAAATCGCGGAATCGTCCTACCCAAAGGGGAGCCCCCCAGACGCCAAGGGGAAGCTTCTGGAGCCATTTATTTTCTTCTCTCTCTCTCTCTCTCTCTCTTAATTCTCTCTCTAGAGTACCCACGGTTGAGTAGCTCACCGTGGCGAGAAACCCTTCCCCGTGTCGTTACCTTCTCTGTGTGCCCAGAGAAGTCCAGAAGTCTGGACATAACTCTCGAGTCCAGGGTAGTTGCAGGTGGGCGTAATGCCCCTTCATCATCATTCATCCCCTTCCTCAGTTTATCACGCTACGCATCATCAGCCGTAGCCTCATGCATACCCGATTTCTCTCCCTCTTTTCCTCCCGGAAATTCATGCTCTTCCCGTGATCTCCTCCGCCATCTATCGGGGGATCTCGAGCATCAAGCTCGCCCACGCATTCGAGAACGCAGTGTCCAATTCATTGCCCTCCCCCCTCTCTCTCTCCCTCTGCGCAAACCCTAAATTCACCGTGGGGCGGGGAGGCAGGCCAATTTTGTTGATCTTTCCCCGAGCTCGGCTTCGGAATCCTTACCCAGGCCTGCCTCCTCAACCCCGTGGGACGTCTGTATCTGTTCCTCCATTTTCTGGATTGGAATCGGCTTCGGTGCATGGCTCGACGGTCCTCCTCTCTCTTCAGAGGTGGACCCAAGGTCCGCGGCGGTGGCGGTGGAGGCGGAATTGAGAATCTCCTTGCGGTACGGCGATCTCTCGAGTCGATCTTGAAGAAGTCGCGGGCCCTCGCCTCCGCCGTGGAAAACGCAGGTCTCGGGATCGATGAGATCTACCATCGTCTCCCCGATCTCGAGGCTGCCGTACGGCCGTCGGGCGCCCCGAAGGGAGCTCTTGCCGGAGCTGGCAGCCACATTGGGCGCGCCGTGAGCCCCGGCTCCGTCGTCCTCAAGGTGTTCGACGCCTTGCACGGGCTGGAGCCGTTCCTGCTCACCGACCCCCTCGACGATCTCCAGGGCTACCTCTCCGTCCTCAAGCGCCTCGAGGAGGCCATCCAGTTCCTTGGTGACAACTGCGGCCACGCGATCCAGTGGCTCGAGGACAGCGTCGACTACCTCGAGGAGAGCTCTCTTGCGGACGACCGCTACCTCGCCAGATTGAGGACATCCTTGAAATCTCTGAAGGATTCTAAGTCCCCCCTCGATGGCGGCCTCCTCGACGCCGCACTTGAGCGCCTCGAGTCCGCCTTCCGCCGCCTGCTCGTCGACAGCAGCGTCTCTCTCGCATTGGCGTTGCCGTCGTCCAAGCCCCTCAACGCCATCAGAGAGGACCAGAAGCTCCCCCAGGTGATCGCTCCGTCCCCGCTCCCCATGCCAGTCATCCAGCAGCTCCTCTCCATTCTGGACAGGCTATCCGCCAATGGCCGGGTAGAAAGGTGTTCCAAGATCTACGCCGAAGTGAGGGGATCCAACGCCCAGGCGACCCTGGGGAACCTCGGCCTGGACTACCTCAGCATTTCCGCCCAGGAGTTCGTCGACGTCAGGCGCATTGACGTCGAGATCGTCGAGTGGATGAAGCACCTCGAGTTTGCGGTGAAGCATGTCCTGGAGGCCGAATTCAAGCTGTGCTATGAGATCTTCGGCCGCTTTGGGCCCCCAGATTTCTGGAAGAATTGCTTTGCAGACATTGCTACCCAGGCCGGGCTCCTCTCGTTCCTCCAGTTCGGGATGACGGTGACAGAGAGCAGGACTGACCCGGACAAGCTACTGAAGCTCCTGGAGATATTCGGTTTCCTGAACAGATTAAGGTCGGATTTCAATCGGCTCTTCGGCATGAAGCCCTGCGCAAAGATTCAGAGCATCACCAGAGATCTCATAAAGAGGGTCATCGACGGGGCATGCGAAATTTTCTTTGATCTCCATAACCAGGCGAAGTCGCAGGGGCAGAGGCCGCCGCCGTCGGATGGCGGCGTGCCAAAGGTCGTCACCTTCCTCGTAGATTATTGCAACAGGCTGCTCGGGGATGATCACAAGCCCCTCCTGACGCAGGTTCTGGATATCCACCAGAGCTGGAGAGGAGAGAACCTCCAGGAAGGGCTCGTCACCAAGGCAATAATGGAGATAATCGTCGCCCTGGAGCGTAACCTCGAAGCATGGTCGAAGGCCTACGACGACGCCACCCTCTCCTACATCTTCAGTATCAACACCCACAGCTATTTCTACAGGCAACTGAAGGGCACCAGACTTGGGGACCTCTTGGACGATCAGCGGCTGAGGGATCACGACGCCCTCACAGACTACTACTCCACATTATACCTGAGAAACTGCTGGGGAAGGCTCCCTCCGTTTCTGAGCAGGAAAGGCCTCATCTTGGTCTCAAAGGGGAGAGCAGCAACCATCGATCTGGTCAAGAAGCGCTTCACCGCCTTCAACGAAGCCTTCGACGAGATCCACCGGAAGCACTCCGTCTGGGTTATCCCGGACAAGGATCTGAGGGAGAAGCTCTCCCAGCTCGCGGTCCAGACGGTGGTCCCAGTTTACCGGAGCTTCCTGCAGAGTTACGGTTCTCTCGTCAAGCAAGACTCAAACTCCGACAAGCACATCAAGCACACGGCCGAGTCCTTGGAGAATTCGATCGGCTCCCTCTTTCAGCATAAGCCAGCCCGATCACCGAGCCTGCAAGCTGCCCAGTCAAACGGAAAGGTCAACGATGCGGCGAGAATCAACCAGTATCAGTCCCCCCCTGCTAGATGAGAACGTGGGATTTGGGTTATATGTCTAGCCTGTAGATACCTGGTAGATATTCCCCCATCCCCCGGTTTTAGGCTTCTTTGATTCATTTTAGGCTCATAGAAACAGGTTATTTGTACAGACACTCACACACAAGATGAGACTTTCCTCGTTAACGGACACAATCAGTGGTTCTTGGTTCTTGTTTCTTGCTGCGATGTCTCCTGATGAGATTCTCTGCTCCGAGGAAAGCTGTAATCATGTTACCAACGGTGTGGGGCTGTTTGAGCTCGATTTGGGGACATGTTTCGTTGACCCTGCCAGCCGCAGGGCTGCGCCGAGCTGGTTTGCTGGTTGGCGGCGGCGGGCCTAGCGGTTGCCTCCAGTCAACGTTTCGGATGTCTTCCCGCGGGCCAGCGTATCCCGAAAGGATTAGTCATGCAAACCCTTGCATGACCCTTGTTTCTTCGTAGATTTCCGCAATCGATTTTCTCATTTAAGGTTTCTGATTGTTCCTGATCGCGATCCTATTTACTATTAAAGGCAACAGTGCCGAAGCGTGGGCCCCATAGTTCTAAAGCCCATATGGGGCCCACCAAATCTCATCCTATAGATCATGTCGGGTGAAAAATGGGCTACCTCATTTTTAGCCTTGGCGGACAACGAATCTCCGGACAGCTGGCCAACGGCCCAATGGAGGACGGCGCTTTCACCACCCATGTCGTGCCACGCGTACTTTTCCACGTGTTCTCTGGTTTTCGAAGGTGAGTCAAATCAGCTCACAGCTGTCTCTACATGTCCTATTTGATAACGCATTACGAAAAAACGATAACATGAAAGCCTACAGATCAGACGGGGCTGCTTCTTCCGACACTGCGATGATGTCCACGTGATCCATGTCGCTTCCTTGGATATTCCGTCCATTACCGTTATATCCACGTTTAATAAGTTTCAAGGTGCGTACGAGGGAGAGAGAGAGAGATAGAGAGAGAGGATAGGTTCGGTGGGGATGGGGCGACAGATGGGAGTTTCCTGGGCATGAGAGAGGGTGTCGCTGTCAACGACACGTAGGAGACTCTGCTTCTCCGTAGAACGTGTCAAAGGTCCGGCTTAAAGGTGGCGGCGAGCCGGGCTGCGCGGTCTTCCTCTCCCTCTCCCTCTTCGTCTCCCTCTCTGTGTGGCTTCTTGCGTAAGCCGCAGCTCGGCGGCCAACGGGTGTTCTGCCGATTGATGACAGCAAGGCGGACGGAGAGGAAAACAGCTGTCCCGGGGAGGAGGAGAGGGAGGCAGAGATGTCGCCGGCGGAGGGGCCTACGGTGGTGTTCAAGGGCCAGGTGACGCCGGTGACGGCGGACGCTGCGAGTGTGGCTTCGGGTCCGGCGGTGTACGGTGGGGTGGCGGCGTTCCTGCGCGTTGTTGAAGAATGGAGGAGCCCCGGAAAGTGGGAGGAGGAGGAAGAGAGTTCTTCAATCGGAGTCGACGGCGAAGGCTCTCTCTCGTCGTCACCGTTGCCGGGGGACGAAGACCAAGAAGAGCACGACGAGGAGGTGCAGAGCAGGTTGAAGAATGGCGTATTGGCTTCCTTGGGTTCCCTCGAGGTGGCTCTCCCCGTTAAGTAAGATGTCCCTCCCCTCCTTTACCGTCGTTTCCCTCTCTTTGTTCCTCCCCACATGGATTGGTCCTCTAACGGCGGCGCGATCGCTCGCAGGAGAGGGCTCTCGAACTGCTTCTCCGGCAAGTCCAAATCCTTCGCCAGCCTCTCTGAGGCGGCCTCACTGTGCTCGGCAGGGGACCTCGCCAAGACGGAGCATCCCATCAACAAGCGCCGGCGGATAACAATGGCCTTCCGTGCTTCCTGGCAGCGGCGCGCCTCCAGCGCTACCCTAACCACCTCTAATCTCAGGGTGCTCGCAGAGGAGGAAGAAGAGCACAGCCACCGTTGCCCCTCCTCCTCTGCCGCCCTCCCCACCTCACCCGACAACTTCAAGTCCTCCAGATCCTTCTCCCTCTCCGATCTCCAACACGCGTAACCGTCTTCTCGAAGCACCTGGCACAAGCCTCAGAAATCACCTAACTCTCTCTCTCTCTCTCTCTCTCTCTCTCTCTCTCTCTCTAATCGCTTGAATTCCAGTCTTCCTGTCAATTCAACTCAGTATAGATGCTTCGTACTATCCTTTTTTCCCCCGATCTCCGGCGACCTGAGTGCCTGTCAGGCGAGATGATCTGGCCGAAGGGAGCCGACTATTTAAGAGGATAAGGTTAGGGCGGCGGCAAAAGGGTCATGCCGTGGAGATCTTATCTTCAGACCCCCTTAGACTCGGGTCGGCTTAAGGTTTGACCGAAAGCCTTGGCTCGAGTCCGTTCGCTTCCGAGTCACGTCGCTATCCACTTCCGATCGTCTCCATCAACATTTTGGAGGCTCTGGGTCGTTCTCCTCGTTGTCCATAGGGAACGGGTGTATTTGTTTGGGCCATTGACTTGCATCGACAATAGTGGGTCAATCCGACGGCGACCAGAAAACGTGGTGGTTGGTTGTTTTCGTTGCCCAGAGTCGCAGTCGAGTTTGATTCGTTTATTTTGAACCACGACCTACTGGTCTACATAGCCCAGTCTGCAAAGTCTGGGATAGAGGGCTCTGATCAGGATAGTGATGGTCAACTTAACTCAAGAGAGGCTGTTCCATATTACTATGAAAAACCTAAACGGGTCATTGACCAGTTCGAATTGGGCTTTCTTGGCCTAGTTCATAATATTCATCCCCTTTAAGACACCCCTTTCCATGCATGAGAGTCATCTCTTGCTCTAGGCAGGAGATTTGTTCATCTATGATAGATTGGCATCCTTTGTCACTTGGTGATGATGCATTAATGGCTTTACAATGCCATAGCAAATTACTCGATCCAAGTTGGGACCTCAGGCCAATTTGAAAGTATTACTCATGACCAAAGTATTGCCCATGATGATGAGGAAATGAGTAATTTGAAGTTTTTTGTAAACACTAAATACATTAAATGATGACTCATTGGTTGTCCACATGGGAGGATATAATGGTGAACCTAATCATAGACTTGCGTGAGTGTATCTATAAGATTCTGATTAAATTGAGGACAATTACTATAGCTGCATCAAATGAGTCATCATTAAAGGAGCATCAATTGATAATATGATACAAATTCCATATGAATAAGGTTGGCTCCTAAGTAACCTTAGGTGTGAATTTAAGCAAATATAAAACTATGAGTAATTTAATTTTGTTGCATACGATATCATACTACAAGGCATACTAAATGATTGTGAGAATGTTAATAACTTGCAAGAAAACGTGTAAGGCATGCTACGTCAAGATGCCATGCAATCCACTAGAAACTCAATTATTAAAATCAAGTGATGGAGAGCACAATGTATTACTCATAAGATGAATGAAATTTTATGCTAAGGGTAAAAAACATTTTATATTAAATATGAGTGGCATATGACAATAATTATTCTTCATATTACATGACATTATATACATATATCAACTCAATGAAGTATGAAAAACATTATATATGTTTACGGATCAAGCACCATAGTCATAATAGTTGATTGGTTTTTAAGTACATAATCTTAGCTCAAAGAATTGAGTAATTAGTAAAAGAGGTAGTAAAAATATTTTATTAGAACATGATAAAATAAATGGTCTTTCCCATGATAAAATCAACGATCTAGATGATCATTTCACTGATTTATTTTGACAATACAATTCAACCTTCTTAAGAAACAAAATGTTGACAAGCCATCATTAAATTTTATGACTTATGAGGGAAAATATGAAGTAAGAGTATACCATTGGCAACATTGCAGCATATGTCATATAGGCTAAATGGTAAGTAGAATGAATCAATGGGATGTTAAAGTGGTAAGATGTTGTCTCTTGTAATATAACTGGACATACATGTTTGATGTTACTTTAGTCTAGAACTACATCTATCAAGGCTAAACAAAGAGACAAATATATGCTTTTTATTCATACGATAGTGAGAGTATAAAAAATACATATAAAAACTAGCAAAATAAGGTTCTCAAACAGTGGCAAATACATGTTTTTTATATAGGTTCTTAAACAACACCTATATAAAAAGTAGCTAAAATGAGGTGTGCATAATAATTCTTGTGGCAAATAAATGTTGGTTTTAAGGAGAGTATAAGAGGTGCCAAGAAGGTAATGGTGTGATTTGGTTTGTTTTGAATTTCTAGTTGAATTCTAGTTTCATACAATTGTTCAAACTAAGATTTTTAGTGGTTTGGCTTATTTGGGCTACTCCACTCTCTAATGGTGACCATGTCTTTAAAGTTCCACTAACACATGTTAATACGATTGTTAAATATGAAGAGTTCAACTAATTCTCACTAGATTTCATAGCTCTTGTAAACTCATGTATTACCAAAACACTTGTTCTATGTTAACAATTTTAAAAAGCTAGTCATATTAGCGGTCTTCTAAGTTGTTCTAAGTCCAAGGCCCTAAGTTGGTGCAAGTAATTAAAGTAATTAAATAAAAAAGATCAAAGAACACACATTATTGTAATTTGACACTACTTTCTTTGATGTGAACTCGTGGGCATAGACATGGAATTTTGGAGAGGAGCCACTTGGATGTTTTAGAGAAACATGAAACTATGCTCTCAAATAGAATTTCTCACTTGAGGCATTGGAGTGGTTAATCCTTACATAAGGTACTATTTCCTTTATTTTTGGCTGTTTCTGGTCAAAAAATGATCTCAAATGGTCACCCCAATGATTATTTACAAGTATTGTAGCAGCTTGTTTTTCTTTATTTTGTCATGTAATGTTATGCAAAGAAAGTGAATTGAGTCACCTTTTATGACAAAGACTACATTTAATTGAATGATTTTGATGTTAAAAAATTGATCACATAAATCTAAGTATGAAAATTGACACGAGATATGAAAAAATATACTAATATCCAAATCAAGTTTAGAATATTTATATCTAGTTTATGTTGTTATTTAAATATGTTTTTTAGGCCTCAAATTAATAAATATAATGTAAAAAATATATCAACATTAAATCAAGTCAAAACATATAAAAAATTATTTTAAATGAGAGAAAATTAGTTGACATAGTGTGTCTACCCACATGAGGAGAAAGAGGTGTGTTGAACCATCTTTGGTTATAAAAGATAAAACTATAAAAATATAATTAGGCAAGCAACACATGGTAGAGATTTAACAAAATAAGTAACACACGCCAATAACTCAACAATGTAGTGACATGTGGAAAAATATTTAACAAGTATATGACACATGACAACATCTAACAATACATGTGACACGTGATGAAGCATCTAACAATCAATGTGACATGGAAAATACTTTTCACTTTATATGACATGGATGAAATCTCTAATATCACAACTAGTCTTTACCAAAGAACAATTTTATGAGGACATGACATCTTTGACATGGACATGATGACTAATGCATAGTAGGAGGATTTTAGACATGTCAGCAAAAACATGGAAGGAAAATTTGATGAGGATAACATATCCTAAAAGATCAAAAGATCAATGACATGTTATAAGATCTTTGACACCTACATATTTGAACCTAGTCAAAATTAAGTCAAAAACTAATCAAATTGTTGACCTTGTCTAGCCTTAATGCATATCTTGTTTGTGGGTTGACCCATGTGTCAACATATAGAATTTTGGATCAATTATATCTCATCAATTTGAATTGCAATGGTCAAGATATTGGGGTTTATAAAAAATATTTATAGTGGCATTTCATGAAATGCTTTAATTTCATAGAGTATCATCCATCTCACTCTTTGAATTCATGTGAGAAATTCTTGGTACAAACTCTCACACACTTAAACTTCCTCATTTCCTAATTTCCTACATCAACATGAAGCTATCTTGTAAACATCTGAAAACTCACTATATCCAATCTCCTTTGATTCTTTCTATTTGGGCATCTCTCAAAACAATGGGATAAGAAAATCAAGAAGAGCACAAAAATGGTGGCCAAACCCTAAAATATCAGTCACAAGAAACATGTTTACATTATGACTAGTATCTATACTAACCACATAACATGTGAAAGGGAGAAAGAGAATTGGGTCAATTTAGAATGGGCTAATTTGATTTATGGTTATAGTAAAAGATATTATGAATAAAAGATAAAGAGAATTAAATAAAATGAAAAGAGAAAACAATCACTCATATTTCAACACTCTCTCTCAAGTTGGTGAATGTATGTTTTTCATTTTCAATTTAGATACAAGATGATATAATATGTTTCTCTGTAGACCTTTAGTGGCTATATCTTCAATTTCTCAACTTGTATACACATATGGAGTACAAATCAGTTTTTTTAATAATTTTTTCTTGATGAAATGCAAGTCAATCTTAACATGTCTAGTTTTATCATGTCGAATTGAATTATGTGCGATGTTCATAGCTGATTTCTTATCACAATAATTTTTTTTGTCTATTTATCTTGAATTTTAAATTTTCTAAGATAATATTCACACATAGTATCCCACATATATCTTATGTCATAACATGAAACTCAACTTTTGCACTCAGTCTTATCATAACACATTATGTTTTACTCCTTGATGTAATAAGATTTTCACTAAGAAATGTATGATAACCCAAATTTGATATTTGATTTACAATTGATCTTGCGTAGTATGTATTAATATAAACTTTAAGTGTTAATCTACCATTTTTTTGAATAAAATTTATTTTGTTGGTGTCCCTTTAAGGTAATGCATAAATAGGCTTATTAAGTTAACTACATATACTATGTCTAGACATATATGAGATAAGTAAATTAATTTACCCACTAATCATTGATATATCTCTTGATTCACAATAATGTCTTCTTCGGCTACAATGAGCTTAAGGCTGAGATCAATCAAAGAGTTAATTGGTTTGCATATTGTTCTACTAATTTCTTACAATAAATTTATGACATATTTTTGTTGGGAAATAAAAATACCATCCTTAGAGTGAGCCACT